TGCAGAGGACGGCAGGCTTCAAGAGCGTCAGCAGATGTATGCAGAGGACGGCAGGCTTCAAGAGCGTCAGCAGATGTATGCAGATGGATCAATGGCACCGGTGAGTACACGGCGTTTAGGTCGATCCTGTGGAAGCGTCGAAAGTACTTGGTCGAAAGGAGAAAACTAACGTGCAGTGGAAATTCGGAAAAGAACGCCAGCTGATTGGACGCCGTCACGTCAGTTTCTCCATTTCGGACGAATGATTCGCTTCAACATTCAACTTCACTTGGTCCTCGGGTGCAGCGGACACAGCTAAAGCACACACTCTTACGTCCCTTCCCATCGTATCTGACTGTGAACCTTACTATTGCTACTTGAGTCCCAGGGTTCAGAGCCACTCACCTGTTCCCCGCTAGCGACATAAACCCAAAGACACCTACTCATTCACTCACTCACGATGTTGTCAAGAAGAGTGGTAGGTTCCCCTATTCGTGGCCCCATTCCTGTGCCTCCGCTCTATCGCGCTTCATCCTAACATGTGGACCCTCACAGCTTTCGCGGGAAGAAGAGTCCGAGTCCACAGACGCAGAAGTCACGAAAGAGGACCAAGACAAGATCAACACCTTCTCCAGGCTGCATAACCGGAGCAAAGCCCTCGAAGAGGAACTGGGTGCCAAACAGGTATGTAGTTGGCATTATTCACCACCATTACCACGACGCAGAGCAGCACGGCCGAGATATCACCACTGTGCCGTCACTGTCGTCGTCTGGCGAAACTACACCAACGCCCAGGATCTTTTTTCCACCAGCCAGGGCGCTGCGCTGACCACCCCGCAGAAAGACAAAGAAGACCTCGAAGAACTGGCCACGGAACTCGAACTCGCGGATGAGGATGAATTGATACGGTCTGTTGACCAGCTTTTTTTGTGTTCCTGATCTCGTCCTGCATGTTGCATGACTTGGCACCTCTATTCCAGCTCCACTGTGGTTCCGATTCTAATCCACGGGTTTAATTCTAGGTACAAGATCGGCGACTCGTTCATGCACCTGCCGCTCAGCGAGGCGCAGGATCTCCTGGCCGAGCAGACGGGCGAGATTGAGAGCGAGGTGTCGACGTTGGAGGAGCAGCTCGAGGGGATCAAGGAGGAGATCTCGACACTAAAAGCCCATCTGTATGCGAGGTTTGGGAGGGGGATCAATCTCGAGGCATAACCGAGTATTCAAGTGTGAGGGAGAGGCATCAATCTCGAAGCGTAGCTCCAGCTATAGGGGAAGGCCAACGAAGCATAGCACCAAGCGTGAAGGGCAATGTTGTCCTACTACGCTACGACCTGTGGATATCGGTCTCGAGTACTCCGTATGAAGGAACTCAAAGTGAGACTCGCTTGACGGGCACCATTGCACACGCTATCCATGGCCGCGGGATCATCAAACACACTATCCGCCCCGAAATTTGTACTCACTGGGTCTCCAGTGCATGAGTTACAGTATCATCATATACATATGCAGCATGTCCGACAAGATGGCCGCCAACGCCAGCTGTCGATGAAACTATCAGAAATCGGTCACCGGGCTTGAATCTCAAAAGGAGGTACATCGCCGCTCATTCTACAGCTTACTCTCCTTCTGCTGCAACCGCACGACGCCCTCCTGCGTGCACGTAGCGATCAACACCCCCTCCTTGCTCCAGATCCTCTGCACGACTAGACCCCTCCCATCCCCAGCCCAGGGACTCTCCATCTCCGTCAACATCCACTCGTCCGCGCGGAACGACCGCGGATTGTGGAAGAAGATGGTATGATCGAGCGACACCATCATGCCGACCCGCCGATTATCCTGCTGGTGCTCCAGCCGCTGGGCCGGCGTGCGCGAGGAATCGAGCTCCGCGTCTTCCTCTTCCTCCTCGCGCCCGATCTGCAGGAGATATTCCTCCATCTGTTTGCGCTCCGCGTCGCTGCCGGGAAACCGTTTGAGCAGGCGCTCGATGTTCCCCTTGTTCGCGAATCGCTGCAGACCGTGGACCCGCGAGATGGTGCCGATAAAGTACGAGTCGGACATGTATGCCAGCGCGGAGAGGTGCGCTTGGTGGTTATCCCCCGGTTGATTTGCGCGTTGGCCGCTTTGCAATTCCCCCTCGCGCACGTTGGGCGGACAGTCGCTTATGCGGCCGCGGGCGCGGATCCACTGCCGCAGTTTCCGGCTGGACGGTTCGCCCTTGTGGAGGGCGGGCGAGCGCACGGATTCGAACGGCCGCTCGTCGCCGGAGATTTGGTGGCGGGCGGAGTCCAAGTCCGGTGGGGGGATCACGTCCTGGGGCATCGGGACGGCGTGCTCGACTCGCAAAACACCGCCGGAGTCCTTTTTCATAAAGGAGAGCGTGGTGGTGAAGATGCAGGCCCCGCGCTGGCGAGCTTGCACTGTTCTTGTGATGAAGCTTTTGCCGTCACGGACTCTCTCGACGTGGTAGAGGATCGGGATCTCGCTATTTCCTGCCAGGACGAAGTAGCAGTGCATGCTGTGCACGGTGAAGTCGGGAGGGATCGTGGCTTGGGCGGCGGACAGGCATTGCGCGATCGCGGCGCCGCCGAAGATGCCGCGGGCGCCGGGAGGATGCCATAGCGGGCGAGCGTTGGTATAGATGTCGGGGCCGATGTCGCTGAGAGGCAGCAGAGACAGGACGTTTTCGATCGGCGAGTGGTGAGGGAGGGCCTTGGGAGGCTTTATCAGTGTAGCGTGTTTCGACATCTTGACGGCTGCAACCGGGGTTCGAGAGGAGCGAGGTGAGGTGAGGGTGGGAGAAAGCGCAGAGCAGGCCTATTTCAAGTGCAATTTGAGAGCCTCAAGTGAGACCTTCGACGACTGCTAAGGCTGTCTCATCCTATTGTCGCCCGACTCGGATGGGCAGTCAACCATCAAGGACACAATCCCGGAACATCAGCTCAAGGCTTGGGTCAGAATATACGGATGGTCGCTGACGGACGTGTGTCGGCGTCGTGTGTGATTGGGCGACGTGAAGATGAGCCGAGGCACTCGCGTCAATTTTCCGTGCAGAAGCGGACGAAGCATGGCGGTAGCATGGCCCATGTGCATCGGGGACCGATAGACGAATTCCACCGGATCATGCACAACGTAAATTAGGTATCATCTACTCTGTACCCTTGGTCCGGGTATGTTGTAGGGCATATACATTTCCAACCCTTCGTTTAACTTTCGTTTGTCCGGAACACGCCAGATTCCATATCCACACCCAGACGCCTCGCTAAATTGCCAAACACTTTTGAAGAAACATCCTGCCCTATGCATACCTCGTGGATCCTGTTGCCCAAGCTGGCTGTGAGGATTGAAAATATGATGGAGATTTGCCTGAGCTCGGAGTCTGTGGCCATCCACCATGCTCAACTCCAGGCGTCGGCGTCAGCAGAATCGACGAACGCTCGATTTCTTCCCGTCGTCGTTCTCGAGGATTCTTGAAGCTCTGGCTGTCCACAGTCGGGCTCCGGTCTCTTGTTATCTTGTTCAGGACGCTCCACCTGCTGGGATTCGTTGGCAGGCTGCCACTGCGAGGCCGCATGCCAGGCTGGACAACCTGCAGTCCATCATACCCAGGGGATTCGTCGCCATCCGCTGGCCAACTGATGTGGTAGGTGCTTTGAGAGTTGCGGTGGTCATTGTGGGACTCTCGCGACGCTTCCCTGTTGAGTAATAGCCGCAACAACTGTCTCCGCTGCGCCTCGTCTTCGGGTAGGTTGTTCGCAGTCCAAGCACTCGTCGGCAGCAGTTCCGTTGTGGACGTCGCATCCCCATAGTTGCCGTAGGAGCCTCGTTCCCAACGCTGCACATGCTGTCGCCTTTGTCTATCCAGCTCTTTGACTTTGTTTAGCTTTCTGTATATGATGTAACTCAATCCGGCCGCGCCAAGGGTGGTAGCACATGCGATCACCAGAGGCACATATATATAGATCTGCGTCGGTATGGGAAATCTCTTGTGAAGGGCGTGGTTCATAACCGTGGCAAATACACCCATGAAAGAAGAGGTAAGAATCGGGAGAAGGACAGCGTCGAAGAGGAACAGCAGACTGCGGCTGAAGTATGCAATTACTGCGCTGGCAGCGTAGCCGACAACGAGAAGGGCTGAAGCCAGCACGGTCAGGAAGGTCCGCGGTACTTTGATGTTATCGGTGGCCGAGGTGAAGACCAAAGCGAACACAATATATCCGCCTAATGCAAGCCATGAGGCCGCGGTAGCAAGTGTTCGAAAATACCAAGGTAGGGCGTCGCGTTCGGTGTACAGATCAAAGAGGGTCTCGCGCATTCGCTGGTAGTTTCGTGGCATTCTCCTTCACGAGAGGCAGGATGGGACTATCGCGACCATTCGCGAAGGAGGCGAGGTGATCTCAGGACTGATGGTATCTTGTGAAGCTGAGCTCGCCCTTCGTGGCGCCTTCTGGGGGTGACGAGGCTGCCGAGCCTGGAATGCCTAAAGTGAGGAGTAATACAGATGCTTCAGTCAGCATTGAAAGAGTTAGCTCTGCACAAAAGATGCAGGACTACAGTAGTTATCCAGCCGGCCTATGTGTAGGATCGTGCATGAAAGGAACGAGAAGAAGGGTAATTGCTGCGGTAGGTGGTCATCCCGAGGGCAACACAGAACAAGGCATCGACGTCGTATTGCCAGGGCCAAGCTGGCGCAGTTGTGAAAATGCCAAAGGGCAGTGTGACGAGTACAGTATGCGCGCCAGCTGCGTTCGGTCAAGACCCTCGCAACCTTATCATAGGCGAGGGGCACCCAAGACGGTGCCTGTCTGCAGCAGCCACAGGCCCTAACCAAATCTTGTAGGGCTGCCAGGCCCGAGTCTCGCAACACAGGCACCTTGTAATTTAGGGACTCAGGCCTTTGCGACGGTGTCGCTTCCACCGCTTCCTGGGTTGGAGCTTACGCAACTTCGGCGTTACCACGTCTGCTTCCCACCGCTACTTTTTGCGGCGTCCAGCAGCAGCGCCTTATCCACGTATTCATCGTATGACCCCCGCAGTCCGAACGAAAACCCAACTGCTGAGCACAACCCCAGTATCAAATGCGTTGCCATCCAACTACGAAGCCTACCATCGTCTCCGATTAGAACTGACCAATTGTCCCACGAACGGAAAATGCAGCACAAATGCAGCGAGATGATCCAACTTTCCAGCCATCTCGTGCTCCGCGTTGGGATGAATGAGGGTCTGTCGTACAAAGAGCTGGGCTGAAGACGAATTCAGGTTCCGAAAGAAGACCTCCTTCTGGCCATCTGCTAGCATTGTCCATTCTCGAACAATTAGGTCTCTCTGAACCTCATTCCCTGCACGGCGCCACTCGTGTACTGTGTATTTCGGCACCTCAATAACCCCATCCTCGGGTCCACAAATACCAGCTCGATCACCCAGTCGGACGAATGCGCGTCCTTGCAGAACTTGGAGAAGCTCTGTGTGAGTCTCGTGCCAATGTGGCTGCGAGGTCCATCTGGAGGCAACCGGCAGGGTGATGGTCACACAGTCGGCGTTTGAAAGGTCATAAATAACGGCCTCGGAACCTGATCGCTCGAATACCTTGAGGTGAAAAGTCTGTCGCCTCATGTCTGCCGCCCCAGCGTTGCGTGATCAGCTAGGTGAGGTCCCCGTTATGTACCATCGCGAGTTGCGCCGGGATGCCTTTTGAACGCCCACCGCCTCACAAGGCTGACTAAATGGTTACAATTGTGCCAACTGATGGTTGTGGTGGTCACCCAGTGGCACACGGGGACAATTCCGCAAGTGCATGATCACGGCTTGACAGTCAACCCACCCTATGATCCACCAGAGGTACTGCATCGTGCATTCTTCGACTTGTATCGGAACTGCTTGGTGTAGACTGGTGCATCTGAAGTCAGACAGTTTATCTGTGGCAAGAGGAGAGATCCGAAGTCTTTATTCGCAACAGGTTGGGAAGATGCCGTTGTTTATCTTTCAGCCTCGCGTCCGGCTGTCTACTTTCCACTGTCGGGGCTTGGGGGCTATGAGCAGACGAACGCCTCTGGTTCAAGCACTCCCTAGCATTGCTGAACAAAGCGAACGCTGATTGGCAGCGTGACGCCTGATTTAGCACAAGGCACACATGTCGACCGAAAACGGGTCGATATTCTCCAAGTCCACGCCTCGTTTGTTGCGCCCAACTTGTGAAGGAGGAACAGCTTATTGGATACCTAAAGCCTTTGTCTCAGCGACTCTGGTGGCGGTCGTATGTGTCTGCACTTCTTTTGCCCAACGCAAAGTCTAATGATGTTGTTCAAGAGCCATGGCTTGTCGAGGCTCGGCGACACCGCTCTTAGTGGCAGCCATATCAAAATCGTCTGTATCCCAGCCTGAGAGCCGGACTTTCGTCGAGCTTTTGCTGCTTTTGTCTCCCTATATCGCAACTCTGGAATACGAATGATCTCAGCCAAATGCTGGCTCACAAGATCGCAAGAATCCAACAGCTGACGAGTGGGGTTTATGAGGAAGCACCGGCCCCTCCACGAATCGACCTTCAGCCTCGCTTTCGTGTTGAGACTATCACAAAGCACGATAAGGCTTTGGCCGAAACCTACCTGAAAAGAGAGGCCTCAGCTGCTCGCGTATCTCAACCTCTTCTCCGCAGAGTCAAATCCAAACTGACCAGGCCGGACAAGACGGTGACTTTGACCGCTCTCTGCAACCATGTACACATTGACGGCTGTACCGAAGTCGCGCAAATCTACATCGACAGACTGTCTATAGATGCCGCTCAGTCTGCTATACAGTTCGCACTACCTGACGATCTCCTGTTGGCCGCAATCAAAAACGCAAATGTTAACCTGGTGCGGCTGCTCGCTCCATTCACGGCGGAGGAAGCTGTTACCGCCGCCCTCGAATCTGCTGTCCTCAGCGGCAATCGAAACATCGTCACAGCGCTACTGGAATATGGCGCTGATGCAAACACGCTCGATCACGGTTGCATGTTTCGACTTACTGAAACAGATCTTGGCCTATTTCAGTTGATCCTTCAAGCTCCCAGGCCATTCCGCCATGAGGCTTTCGGCAACCTCTGTGTCATCGCTATCCAACGTGGCGACTCGGCTGCCCTCCATGTGCTCCTTCGAAGCATTTCAGGTTATCAGATATTTCGCGATGGCACGGGCCCTTGGAATCGTGACAGTCTTCTCGCCACTGCGATCGGCTCTCCCGATAAAGCAGCTTTTTTCGCTGTTGCTGCTGCTACCTGTAACTGGCCTTTAAGTGACGCTCGCCTGTTTTTGCAAGTTCTAGAGGCTCCGGATCTGGACAGCTGCCTGGCTAAGGACATGCTGGAAATTTTGCTCTGCCTCGGTGATAGCATGGCTCGATCTTCCCAGTCAGATCAGGAGATGCAGGCAACACTTTGTCACTGTATTCAAATGCAAGCAGAAGATATACTGCGTCTCTTGGTGTCTTATGGCGTGGAGATCTCAGCCGAACCACTACTGCTCGTGTGTCAAAGTCAAGATATGAAGATGCTTGATACGCTGCTGGCTGGTAACCTCCGAGGAGCAGATCAAGTAGTTGCGCGTATTTCGCACCTGCAGGGACAAGCCCAGAGGGAGATGCGCCAGAGAGTCATGCGTCGCTTGCTGGCTGGCGGGGCTGATGGCGTTTGGAAGCACAGCGAACTCGTCAAGGCGGCCTCAGAGGGCCAGGTACACTGGGTCGAGGCACTGATCGATGGTAATGCTTCGGTCGATTATCTTAACGGTGCTGCTCTTGTGGAGGCTGTCTCAGTAGGGCACATCCCTATCGTTCAGAGACTCTTATCCCGTCCAGTGTCCCTCCAGAGCTTACAAGCAGCGTTCCCAGGTGTCCGGCAATTGGAGACTCTGCCCCGTCGCCTACTCGCAAGGCTCTTCATAAATCAGGGTCTCACAGGGCAGTGTCTGGACGAGGCTCTTAATAGCGAACTCTGCAATTACTCTTACCATCGAGACCCCGAACTGGTGGATATGTTGGTCAGCGCTGGTGGCCACTGTGACGACGTTTCGCTTACGGTCGTCTTCGAGCACCGCGATGCCGGCATTTTCGACAAAATACGTCTCTCGAAAACAATCCTTCCCGAATCAGCTTCGCATTGGTTTGAAGGCTGGCATCGCGTTCTCTTCTACCACATTCAGGAAAGGGACGAACATGCAGCAGTGTCGGTCGCTTGCCTGAAGATGATACTGTCCAAGTTGAACCCAATGGAGGGCCTTTGTGGCGCTCATGATGGTGCTCGCCAAGTTGAATGTTTCCATCAATTCTTTGAACGGGGTGCAGAGGATTTTGAGCTGCTATCAGCATGCATCAGATGGGCGCAACGCATGGACAGCCTCATACTCACCGAGCTTGTCCTGACCGCCGCTTATTTCTGCGACCTTGATCGACTCCAGTTAGTCGTCAGGTCTAGACCGCTCAGCAGTCCAGTGCCATCGCACTCCTCAACTTCTAGCCAGGGGCTTGCAGTTATCCGTTTGTCCAGCGAGCACTCGAATCAGTTCTCCGATGTCCATATACCTCCTTTGCTCCAGATTCACTCGAAATTTTCGGATGCACGGACTGCTGAAGCCTTGAAAGTGGTTTTTCGTCAACACCTACGTGGTACGTGTGAAAGTCATCTTGCGACCAGACTGCTGAAACGGCACCTCGAGCAATGCTCACAGGCAATCCCGTCAGGCGAACAATGGCCTCTTCTGACGATACAATACCTCCTGTCTCAGCCAATCGAAGTGACACGGCCAGAGTACAACGAATGTCTGAGTATGGCTATCGTCTTTCAGCAGTGGCTGGTCCTTGAATCACTGCTGGACAGGCAAATTCCGAGAGATATGCTATCCTCCTTTCTGTTGGACCAAACCTCTTCACTCACCCCTGCCGCCATCCAAGTGCTCTTAGAGTCCCAAGCGATGTCTTGTATGGAGGACGAATTCTTCTCCGATGTTGTGCAACGAGCTTTCAATCACGCCTGCCTTGCGCACGATCACCAGGTGGCGGTCCTGCTCTGTACAAGATCTCGCTGCAGATTGAGCATCACGGATGTGCTGACGGTCCTGCAGCAAGCCATTGACGAATTGGAGCTAGAATATATCTCCACCTTGCTAGGCGCGACCAGTGTCTCTGGCAGTGAACTGGAAATGCTCTGGAAGCATGTGGCTCGGCAATACTCCAGCGAATTCCTTGTCATTCTGGAAAACCTGCTCAAGGCTGGTGCTAGTGGAAACTCTGTCGTCGCGACGTTGATGAACGCGATCGGGATAAATGACGAGCGTCTCGTCAGTCTTATTCTCGCCGAGTGGCAAGCCCCGCGCTTCCTTCAGCAGCGTGAAGAGTTCGATTATCAGAATCGCCAGCCAGTGTGGAAACCGCTGAAAGAAATGCCCGAGACCGAATATTTCACGGTCCTCGGTCGAGGCTTGTCGATTGCGGTTCGCCTAGATCAACCCAGAATCTGCAAGCTTCTCTGCACTGCTGGGGCGCCTCTTGTGTATCGACGAAAGTCGCTTATTGAACTCGCCATTGTCCTTGGAAGTCACAGAGCGCTGGATGAACTCCTTCGATACTCCACTACGCGTTCTGAAATGCAGGGCATTGCCGACTTTGCTCTCCTTCAAGCGGTAGTGAATAACCGCCCAACCTGGATTGCTGGTCTGATAGAACTTGGTGGTTCAGTTGAAGCATATGGAATAGAGCCCTTGAAAGCCGCCGCGGCACTCGAGCACATTGATATGCTAAATGCTCTTCTCCCCTACAATCAAACATTGGATGGACTCCAGGCAGTGCACCAAGTACTTGAAAAGCGTCTTGCTGAACCTAAACCCAACCTGGAAGATCTTTGCGCTATGTTCGAGCAGATCTGTACGGCAGGATTCGATCAGGCCGAGTCATTCAGCAACGCTCTTCTGTCGCTCTCAGGCCTCCGATTCGCAGCCGTCAATCATGTCGGAATCTTGATCAGCTGTGGAGCATCCGTCGAATACAAGGAGGGTGAGTGCATGATACGGACATGGAGGCATGGCAATGTTCAACTGTTCCCGTATCTGCTCGCCCAATGTGTCCAGACGTCTGTCGCGACAGAGCTCTTGAACAAGGCTTGCGAAGACTATCTTCGAGGAGGCGACAATGGTTTCAATCTTCAGGGTGAGGGATCATTGGTCGTCTTCGGAGCCCTTCTCAGAAGAGAGGTTTCGCAGGAATCTCGCGATCTGAGCCTCGACGCGATTGCGCGGCTTGACCCTACTGACAACGCTTGTCGCTATGAGGTCAACACTTCAGAGATTATCGAATTACTGTTAGAAAATGGAGCTCGATTCATAGACGGGGCTGGATCACCACTCTATCACGTCTGCAGACTGTCTGACAAGCCGAAGATTCACTCGCTGGTTTTGAAGAGCAACCCACCTGTGCGATCTCGGTTCTCAGCTTTGTATCACCTTTTCCGGAACCAGGATCGGTCTTCTTCTGGGGGTTCGAACATATCCCAGGCCGATGACAGCCTAGACCAAGCCTGTTTGTACAATATCAATTTCCCTGCCTCCGAAGCCGAATGTGTCGAGCTAGAGGAGTCCGACATTATCAGTCTCCTGGGAGCAATGTTGAACCCGAGAGGTCGAGGCGTTGGCACCACCTTGATGTTTTCCTTCTTCTTTATGAAGGGTGGTCTCCGATTGCTTGCACCCCGGACCTGTTGTGACAACGACCGGAACGGTGTCGAACAGATGTTTGCCGCTGCCATCATGAATTCTGACGAGACGAGGCTGGAACGAGAAAGCGCTGAGCAACGAATCGAGTTTCTCCTGCGAGTCTTACAGATAGACGCACTCAATGCCGCCGGTGTTTGGTCAGACACCACTGGATTCGCTCTAAAAGAGGAGGCTCTGAACAGGCTACTGATTCTGTCGGTGCAGCATGAGCGGTTCTCGCTAGTCAACACGCTCGTGGACTCTGGAGCCGATCCGAACGCAACAGACCAGGACGGAAGGTCGGCCCTCTATATGGCCACTGTCGCGAATTCTCTCGGTATAATGGAGACTCTGATCGAGAAGGGTGCGAGAGAAAATGACGGAAGCTTACATATTGCGACGTGCCAGCAGCATCACGAAGCAATGCATTTACTTCTTCAATCCGAACATAGTCCTGGCCACTGTTCTCCTCTCTTCATGGAGGGGACGCCACTGGACGCCTTTCTACAGTTCAATCACCCCCGAGTTGCTGAAGATCTCTTCGCTGTGACACTTACAGTACTTTTGTGCGATGCAGAGCTACCTTCGGATTTCTGGACCCGAGAGCCGTCTCCTCTTTCTCTGGCATTGTGTGGGTCGTCTCCATACGAGATGTTCCGCGTCTTGCTAAATTTTCTCCCGGTGAAAGTTGCCGAGCTGCCCCTTGTCCGTCAAGACAGGTTCATGCTTTCCATCCTCAGCTTGGTGGAAAGAGAAGACGATATTCCATTATCTGACGTCCAACGAGTCGACCTCGTAGCTCGACTGGAAGAGCTCGAGCTCACACGGACTTATTATGCAGTGGAAGGAGAGCAGCCGGAAGATGCCGTGAACGTGCCAGAAGAACTCGAGGCCCCAGAAATCCGAGCACGCCGTCGTGCCTGGAGAGAAAAAGACTGCGCGGTATGCTCGGACAAGCCCGAAGACCGAAACGCGATCCACGCCGCCTTGTCGCCGACCTGTGAGGCCAACCACGGCTGGGACGACGACATCATCTGCACCGACTGTCTACGCGGCCACCTCGAGTCCCAAATGTTCCCGCAGGGCAACGACAGATTCCCCTCGGCCAAAGTGAAATGCTGGGCGGCCAATTGCGCCGACATGCTTGGCCACAGCGTCCTGCAAGAGCACGCCACGCCCGAAAGATTCGTCGTGTACGACGCCTCGCTCGCCCAGCTCTGCCTCAACGACGGCGCCAACACGGTCAAGTGCGCCAACTCAGGCTGCACGGGCGCAGCGTGGCTGGACGAGGACGAAGACAAGGCCATCACCATCGTCCGCTGCCCGGTCTGTGCAGAAGACACCTGCATCCAATGTAACCAGCTGTACGATCGGCATCGGGACGAACCGTGTCCGCGGGGCGAAGAGGCCCTGGGCGCTGAACGCAGGAGGGCAGAAGAAGCCGCCACGGCGGCGGTGCTGGCCACGGGCAAGAAATGTCCAAAGTGCAGATTGCCGTACGAGCGGATCGAAGGGTGCGACCATATCGTGTGCGGCAAGGATGCGCATTCGCGGGCGAGGAGTCGTGAGTTTTTTCAGTCCTCCCCCATTCATTCATTCATTTCCTTCCTTATCCTTTCCCCTTCTTCCCCTCCCCCCTGGCTTGCTGGCTGTTGGGCTGACTGTCAATAGGCGGCTGTGGCTTCGAGTTCTGCTACATGTGCGGTGCCGATTACAGTGCCATTCGGACAGAGGGCAACACTGCGCACGCGAGGGGCTGTACTCATTACGCGTGAGGGATAGCAGAAACCACTTTCATTTGGTTGGAAAGTTCGGGTGTGAACGAGGTCGACTGACGTACACCATTCACAATGGGAATGAAGGCTCATCTACCTGAGGAAGTTGTGATGGGCATGAGGACGACTGATGGACATGTTCTACGAGGTACGATGGAATGATGAAGCGATGAAGCGAAGCAGGGCACGGGATCTCGAACGAGCGCCAATTGTTGGATATAGTGTCGAGTGCACACACCCGGTCATGAACTCGTACTGCTGAGAAGCCTTTTGCTTCTACTCAGGAGCATGCATTCCAGTGATTATGTCCTTCTCTGCTTGTGCTTGTACAAGGCAGTGCAGTGTTGTACCTTCGTCCTTGTGCAGACTACTATTCGGTTTCCCATGGACGCTGGCACGGTATGTGGTAAGAAGGAAAAATTTATCAACACACGTATATCCATATTATGTATCAGGTCGCTTCATGGAATCGTCGAGAACATATAGGCCAAGAGACTTGTACAAGGAAACGACAATATCCACATATCACGCCGTTTCAGGGCTCATGGCAACTGGTCAGCCAACATCTCGCATCGATAACTGGTGCGACGAAGATGTCATGTCTCATTTCAGGATATCATAGGGTCATCTTTCGCCCTGACTTGTCCGAACCACATCTTGATCCAGTCATACTGTAAGACATGCAAGCTGCCCCGGAAATGTCGGCCACTGAGGTCTCCTGCCGACTCGACCTCGTCTCGTCAAAAGGTCAACTGCCCCAAGGACTTCGCGAGATCTCTCTCATGGTCTGCGCTGCTCCGTCGAATCAGCTGACGGGGTAGCGACTCATCTCGCCATGCTCTAACGTCCAGCATGGTCCCGACATTAGCCTGGCGGCGACGCAAGGCTTGTGCAACTTCGCCATCCGAGTTACTAGCAGTGGAAGATGCACTGCCACGTCGAGGGCGGGCAATGTCTGAAAATTGCGAGAAAGGTATGTCGGCCTGGGAGGACATTGCCTGATTGTTGTACGGCGATGTAGCCATGCTGCTTTGGTCTCCCACGACGGAAGATGTATATTGAGTTGGGGAAGAAAGGTTCTGCCGCGAGGCAAATGTGGCTTGGCTGGACGAATGGCCGCGGTAACTACTTTGACGGGTCGTTAAGGAGCCAGGATGCGAGTGGGTAGTGTTTCTCCTGGGCATGCCGGGTGCAGTTCTCTTGTTGTTGCGGGGGTATTTGGGGGTAGGGGTCGTTGGTGCTGCGTTATTCTGGACTTCTGCGCATTCATCCGCACTCATGAAATGGGTGACCTTGGGGCTTTCGTTCTGTTGCTTGAGTTGGTCTTGTCGAGATTGCGAGCTTCCAGCCGTAGCCATGAGACGCTCGATCTTCAGGCTTTCGTTCTGGCGCCCAAGTTGGTCGTTTCGAAATTCCAGTGCTTGTATCTTTCTTGTCTTGTCCTCAACCTCTGCTTCGAATGCTTGTATCTTTCTTTTCTTGTTCTCAACCTCTGCTTCGAGCCGTGCAAGCTCCCTTCGCAAAGACTGCACCAATCCCTCGTCCTGTTGCATGGCCGGAGAAGCAGTTGTAGTCTGTTGCCGCTGAGACGAGAATTGAGTTGCTTGGGGTGGGACCGCTCGGTCGTCACTGTGGTCCGCAAGTGGGAATTCACCCACGCCCAGATTGGCTGCCGGCTGAGGATGGAACATTCCGTTGAACGGTCCCATTGCTCCCGTGTTCGGCGCAGGAGCGAGCATCTGAAAGGGCTGGCCGTTGAAAGGAACCATTGCCGGCTCATTGCCAGCCATGAACCCGTCCATGGCAAAGGGCGAGTTGTTATAATTGAGCCAAGGATCGGGGGATATGGCGAGAAGGTCACTTGGATCGGCTGTCACGCCACTCTCCTGGGTGTTCAGGCGAGATGACGTTGGTAATGATAGCTCGCTTGGTCCGGCTTGGTACGACCAGGCATCCTGTGGATTTCTCTCATGATCAGTGTTGGGTGTCTGGGGCACGGGAAGGGTTGAAGTTGGTTTCGTCCGTTTGGTCTTGCCGCGATTCTTTTGGGACCGATACTCAAAGTCATTGACAGGGTCCTTTGCCCATTCGCAAATCTTGTCTGCTGTTGCACTCGCCCTGCGTTCCGTCAGCCAGCCAGCGTGTAATGGTGCGACAGAGGTAGAACGTACGCAAAGGGAAAGGAAAAGTCCTTCTTTAGGTTCTGTACAATTTCCCTGGGAGAAATGATCTGTTTGTACTCGTGGATGACGACAGGTTTAAAGATGTCGAACAGGCAGTCAGAGAGACTGCCTGCGACAGCTCCCCATGTTTTGCCTCCCCAGGCGTCCGGACCGTAGATTCGTCTGAATAGTTCCCCAGCCGATCCCACGGCCTTACTGTGTCCCACCTTTTGGCACTGCTCGTAGTAGTGCTCGAAGATGTCTTTGGGAATTCCATGCGTCTCAGGCTGCGCTGGGGCTAAGCTGGGCCGCGCGCCAACAGTGCTCTGCGTTCCGGAGATAGGCATTGACATCCTTCGAGTCAGGGTAGGAGGGTGGCCTGCTGATGGGCGTCCACGAGCAAGTGGCGTTGGGTCTGGTGTAATGGACGCGACGCGGCTGCTTCGGTCTCGCTGGAGGAAGGTCAGATCGTGTAAAGGGACATGGGTAGCTGTCCGCCCTCTGGGGCATGCGTGACGCCTTTTGAAGGCAGCTTGTCCAGCTCCATGTACGCAGTTGCTCAAGGACGCTGAGTTGCGCGCGCAAAAGCACGAGATAGACACCGTTAGTGGGTATCGAGCGCACACGCTCTACACCGCACATTGCCAGCAGATTGTCGGAATCTGGGGAGCAGCGATCAACTAACCGGTGCTTGTCACTAGCGAGTGCTTTGCGTACGCGCAATGGAACCGAGTCCAATAAGTGACGTCGACCAGCGCCATCGGGCTGCTCGTGCTTGCCCCGGACTTGTTTAAGCACCAGCTTCTGACGCCACCTGTTGACTTAGCTAACTTTGCGTACTCGTACGAGTACGCAGCACGTTTGCTCCTCTCCAAGCAGGTGGGATAGCCAAATAGTGGAACCAGCCGCTGCGTGCTTGCCATCAGTAGCCCTTGGGCACATCTCGTCAGCATTGGCGTCTCGCAATGCGTGACATGGTACGAAAGGGCCCCAAAGTACTCCCTACTGAGATTAACATGGCCATCACCTCGCCTCGACGATATCTCGTTGTCGCTGATCCGATCGTCCAGCCACTCCTGGCCCGTCACAGGGAACTCACTGGTTGGCTCTTTGACTCCGGTCATGGTGAAATCATCGGCTTCGGGAGGGCCAGGACAGTCTGTTAGTACGAATTCCCCTGAAGGGAAAATCTGCATCTCAAATTCGTACTGAGTAGATTCTGGTGACCGTGATTTGAGACCAGCATCAGAGTCCGTGCGCGTAGCACGAAACCCGTACGCGACAAACCTAGAATTGAGTTTCTTCTCGCCGCCCAAAGTACACGTTGCTTCAACGTTCTGTGCGACAGGAAAGTGCGGAGTTCTGGACCGTTTCACAGCCATGTCTATCGTCTAATCATTCGCTGTACATGCGCAGGAACAGCCTTTCGTGGTACTGTGTCCTTGGCGGCGATAGTCGCCCACCGACTGGCTCGATGACACGCAGTATGACGCATCCGTCCCTGCAACTGCGAAGGGCGCTCTCATGTTCAGTACCGAGAGCTTCCATATCCGCCGCCATATCCCTCACCTTCGCCTCCATCCTCACCATACCGCCGTCGTCGACCGCCATACCCTTCGGTCTCCTCGCCACGAGATCCATACTCGTCTCCACCACCATACCGCTGCTGGCTTCGGCCATACTCATCTCGACCACCGCCAGAGGAGTACTCGTCTTGCTGGGAACTGCCGAAAGCTCCAGGGACACTGTAGGCCTCTTCTTGACGGGATCCATAGCTTGTCTCCTCCCGGCGACCATAACCTGAACTGCCACCATAGCCGGACGATTCCTCTTCTTGACGTTGTCCGCTGCCGTAGCCGCCCGAGCCATAACTTGTTTCCTCTTGACGACCGCCACCGAACCCGAAACCGGACTGTGGTTCTTCGCGGCGACTACCGTAGCCTCCGGAGCCGAAGCCGCCTTCTTGTTGACGTCCATAGCCGGAGCTGTATTCATTGTCGTTGTCGTTTCGTCGTCGCTCTCCGCCACTGAATCGGTTACTGTCGCCGTCGTCGCGTTGTCCGTACTGCTCGCGGCGTTGCTGGTTACCATACCCCTCTGAGACTCCGCCGTAGCTGGAGCTTTCCGTCTGCTGGCGTCTACCACTGCCGCCGTAGCCGCCTGCAGAGTAAGACTCCTCGTCACGGTTATGGCGACGGCGATTGTCGTCATCATCATCATCATCATCATTATGGCGGCGCCCTTGGTGGTGTTCCTGACGGCGTCGCTGCGAGTTGTCATCGTCATCATCGCCATAGCGTCTGTAAGCCTCTGTTAGCTTAGCTGGTCTGGTTGGGGAAGATGCCTACCTTGTCTCTTCATGATACCTTCCCTCCCCAGTTCTCTCTTGACGATGCACCTCGCTCTGCCAACCACCACTTGATGTCTCGCGCTGTTCAAAGCGATTGTATTCCTCGTGCCGGCGCTCTCCGCTGTCACCATAGGTCCGCGAGTACTGCGCTTGACCGTACCTATCGCCACTCTGGGAGTGTCCAACTTGCGTGACAGTTTCGGTACGGGATTGATCTTGGCGGTTATAAGACTCTCGCTTAAAGGTCTCCTGGCCTTGATTAAGACCACCGCCGAGAATATCACTGCCGACTTGAGAAGCAATGCCGCCCACGAGAGAGCCCAGGACACCACCGCCAAGTGCTTCGCCAGCCATTCTGCCAGCTTGGTCGCTGATTCTCTGGACGTTTTGCGGTCGCTGATTGCCCTGGTTGTTGCCTCCTAGGGCCGAGCCGATGGCACCGAGCGCGTCGCCTGCAATGCCACCGCCACTTGACGACTGGTTCGTATTGTAATTCAGCTTTGTCATGCCAAGAGGACGATTGCTACCATGGCCATGGTCCTTAACCCCTGGCTTGTGGTTTCTCCCGGACTCGACCCCACGGCGGCTGAGTTGTTCACGGAGACCGTCTTTCTCGCGCTCGGATTTCCCGCGCCACCATTCTTCGACCACGCCGAACATCAGGCGACGACCATCGCTGGCACCGTCTTGGCCGTAGTCACGGAGGGCTGGGTGGTGTAGAACACCATGAATGATGCGATTGAGTGCACGTTCGACATCAATAGAGTCATCGTCCCAACATGCGACGATCTGTGGAACAACCCATTTCACTGTCTGTCGCGCGACTTTCCCTGCGGGCTCGTTGAGCACATTCGAGAAATGGTCCTTTGACAGCATAGAATGCGTAGGATCAGAGGAGTGGTCATCATTGAACACAATATGTTGTTGAGCCACGCTGGACTGGATGATCTCATTCGAGCCAGTGTTGAGCTCGTTCTTGACCTGGTTGATGATCGGAACGACATAAGGTGCGAGAAGCGAGAAGACAAATTTGTTAACTTCCTCCTGGATGTTTTCAATAAGGTCAGGCAGGATGGGGATTTTCTCGATGGTTTCAGTGATTGACTGCATGATCTCATCGTGAAACTCGATAATGGGATAGATCTGCTTCTGCACATCGTCAATGTAGCGAGTCCACTCCTCTGGTTGACGTGGGCTGATGTTGGTGTTTTGCATTTGATGATTCAAAGCATTTTGCTTTAGCTCGTTGGCTTTTCCTGACTCGTCTTTGCCGCCGAAGACTCCAGAGGGGACCTTATCGAGGAGGTCTTGGAGGATACTGTTGTCTTGGTTTCCATTTTGATATTGCTGTAGGGTATTGTCGAGTTCTTCGATTTCAGATTGCGTTGCCTTGTCGTCGAACTCGCCGCAGACCGAGTGCAGGAAGTCAACACCACCGAAAGTGCCAGTAACAATAGGGAAGACGGGATGTCGGACCTCACGGAGCTGGATTGCGGTGCGGCGGCCAACATGGGGAAATACATCACGTTCACCTAATTCGATGAGAGCGAGTTCGACGTAGTTGGAGTGTGCAGCATAGTCTTCCAAGCAGTGGCTTGCAGTGCCTAGCAAGCGAAGCGCCTCGTAGAGGTCCTTCTTGTTCTTATTCCGAGCATACTGCCGACCGAGTTCAATGCTGCGGCCGAAGAGCTTCCGCACCAGTCCAGCGGACGTGTCAATGCCCATACCTTCAGACGCGATGTAGTTCTTGAGCCCGGTATTGGGATTTATGGATAGTTCTCGGCGTTCATCAACCGGGCCACGGAGGCGACGATCGTACTGTCTAGCGTCTTGATTGTCTGCATAGTCCTTGGGGTTGCTTGTTTCTATTAGCATGGTCCAGGAGAGAAAAGACGCTACTCACTCGATGTGCTCCTCTGGTCTGTAGCAGCCGAGTCTCTGTGTTGTGACTTCGAATTCTCCAGAGCCATATCCAAAAGACATGAACCCAAGGACCCAGAGCAAAATTCGGATGGCCTCTGCGCTGACATACTTGACAGTGCCAACATCAACAGCCTGACTGTAGTCCCGCAGCCAGTTACCGAAATAGACCTGGTGGGACGTCAGATCAGATTCGTGTTGAAGGCAACAAGGAAGACGACTTACTCTCTTGACGTCGAGTTTACTGAATTTCTTGCCTCCCATAGCACGAGAAGCGACAATGGTCAGTAAGGTGTCTTCAAGGTCACCATGTCGCCAATTCTGCCCCTCGATCTTGGAGGTGGATCCAATATTACCTGCGCCAAAGGCATGAGCCGGTCTCGCCAGGAGAATGATGCCAATGGCACAGAGAAGGACGATGTGAGTAGAAGATAGCGCCATGACGGCTTTTCAGTTCGAAAATGTGTTCTCAGCGTAGCCTTCAGTGTCGGGTGTGTCTAGGGCGGGGTTATCGACAGGTGCAATAAGTCGATCTCAAGCCTCTCTCATAAGTGTCAACGCAACACTGGCATGTAAGGGCGAAGCTGAAGCCTTATGTAGCTACGTTCAAGCAAGAGTGACAGGAATAATTTTGCAACAGCAAACAGGCTTTGACAACGGTGACGAGGTTGAAGTTACGTGGAAGGTGATGCTGAGGTGAAGCCAGGGTGAGGGACAGATGAAGTCTGCCAATGTTTCATCTGCAAGTGAGAACCAATCGCTGGTGCAACTTCACACCGGTACGTCTTGGCGATGCTTATATTTGGACATAAGAATTCCAACTTACGACAGCTGCCAACATCCAGTCAGATCTCAGAACTGACCTGATCTTCTCATGTTAGAGCGCGAAAGGTGAAAGGTCTCCCCTGCCGTCTCGCAGCAGCGAGGCTATACCAGGGTCTCGGCATCACCGCAAGGCTGAGCTCTTCTTCACTCAGATTTTGGGACGCTTGCGTCTTGTCGCTTAGTTGTCATCCAGTCACCCAAAGGCGTCCATATGGCGAGCTTTTCTGCTGGGCTCAGCGTAGCCGCCAGGCCACTGGTGGATGTGGCCACAAACGTCTTCGCTCCCGGCCACGTCAATTGTCCGTCTTCCCAAGTTCTTCCCAGCTGCATGTCCTCATCCTGCCATCCCCAATGGAAGTTCGGGTCCTGGAACCGCTTCAGCCCCTTTTTGACCATCCAGATAGTCTCCCAGATACCTTTTCCAACGATTACCACCGCTTCCGGTTTGTAAAGCGCAATTTTCTTGTCCAGTATGACAGCGCCCTCCGCCATTTCCTCCTTGCTCAGACCATCTCCGCTCCGCGTTGGCCGGGCACAGATATTCGTGTTCCCAATGCTATACAAGTCCATCAAATCTCTAGTGTCGGCAGGGATGTGCTTCTTCGGAGTGACACCGGAGTCATGTAGCAACTGCCAGAACCGATTGGAAGGATGGGCGTATGCATGACCCGTTGCTGCCGTCATGAGCCCAGGGTTGAGGCCGATGCACACGAGGGTCAGACCAGGCCGCAAGCTATCGACCAAGTTGTTGGTTGGATAGTGTGGATCTTGAGCCGACCGCTCCTTCGTTGTGCTTCTCCTCTTCTTCAAATTTGGAGGCGTAGATGTGCTATCATCCTGCGCTAAGATAGAGTCCGGCTCTTCCTTTACTTTGACGTTGTCGTCGTCACTTGCTTTTTGGGACCGAGGTCGTTTCTTCGGGGACGAAGAAGCGCTTGAGGTCGTTGACAGTATCGAAGCTCGTGGGCTGGAGAGTCTGGACGAGCGCCGCAAACCTTCTGCTTCCTTTAATGGGGAGTATTTGAACTGCGCCATACGAGCGCTGAAGGTACTGCCTGCAGGATTAGCAGTTCGTCCTCCGGAGCACGTTGAAGCGTCCACACCTTGGTCACCAACAGCAGAAGCTTCCGCTTTCATTTCCTGTGTAATGTCCTCCATTTCTATCGCGGAGCTCTTTTGGTAGGCAAGGAGTATCCTCGTGGAACAACATTCCCTTCCAGTGTAACGCGCCGAGCCATTGCCACCAGCGCACGGCTTGTCAAAACCCTACCACACCGTCAGTTGATCGTTCAGTTGCGGATATGCAGTTGTCCTCCGGTTCGAGGCTTTCTAATGACCCTCTTGGTGACGAAGAGCTGTTTAACAGGCGCTCGCATGTTGCTTTCCCGCAGTCAGGATTGGCTTGCCAGAATAGCACGTTTCTTCCTCACTAGCCTCTTTCGGAGAGACAGCCCTGCCGCTCTGAGGGGGGGCCAAGCTTGGAACTGAGACGACTTCTCAGCACTTTCTTCTCAGCCCGAGGTATGTTGAAATACTCCCAAGACTACAACAACATACGTGGCGGTGCTTCAGCACGTGGCTTTGTCGTCAATGGGGGCTCTCCTGCCATCAGACGGTCGAAACTCACGTCCAAAAGATGCCAAAAAGAAGCATGCATTGTCTACAGCATAAGCTCTGGACAAATTCGTTCCTCTCTGCCACTCATTTGCCAGTGGTGCCACAAAGTAAATCTGCGGCATGACCATATGAGTTTTCTCGCGCTCCCTATAACTTGACATGCACAGCTTTGCACTGTGTCATGTCCCGCAGCTCCTCGAAGCAATCATCCCTTCCAATCCCCGATTGCTTGTAGCCTCCAAAAGGCATACTGAAAAAGTGCGTGCCGACCGTGTTCACCCAGACAGTGCCTGCCTGGATCCGGCGCACCGCAGTCTGCATTGTCTTGATGTCTGAAGTGAACACCGCTCCTGTCAAACCATACTCGACAGCATTGACGTCCTTGAAGAGTTGCTCCTCGTCAGTCCATTTGAGGATTGACAGAATCGGACCGAACACCTCTTCGTTGGCAATACGCATCTTTTGATTGACGTCGGCAAAGATAGTCGGTTCCACGAAATAGCCGCCCTTCGTGTCCGCAGCTTCCGGGACTCTGACGCCGAGCACAAGTCGTGCACGGTCCTGCTTGGCAACTTCGACGTACCTCAGCACGCGGTCTTGTGCTGCCTTGCTCACGAGTGCGCCCATCGTCGTCTTCGGGTCAATGGGATTACCTGGCTTGAAGGAATTGGCGACCTTGTCGCGGACCCGGTCGAGGACCTCATCGTGGAGAGCTTCGTGCAGGAAGACCCGAGACGTCGATCCGCAAGATTGTCCACACCACCCAAAATTCATGCCTGCAACTATACTGTTGGTGAGGCGCTCAAGATCTGCATCCGGGTATGCAATCAGGGCGTTCTTCCCACCGAGTTCATATGAAGTGAGTTTTAAGGTGTCGGCAGCTGCCTTCTGGATTGCTTTTCCTGTCGGTACACTCCCTATGAGAGTCACTTTTTTGACAAGCGGATGCGTAGAAAGGACCTTCCCACAATCCAATCCGCCAGACAAGATGTTGAGGACGCCAGATGGAAAGATCCCATCCACAAGTTCAGAAAACCGCAACCCCGAAAGCGGCGCCTGCTCCGGCAGCTTGATTACGACCGTGTTGCCCATAGCAATGGGTGCCGCAAGCCGGTTAGCAGTGAACATCAGTGGATGATTCGACGCAACGATTCTCGCAACCACGCCCAATGGTTCACGCAAGGTGTAATTGAATGTTGAGTCGTCAAGATGTGTCGTCTCTCCCTGCACAGCCGGGATGAGACCAGCAAACATATCGACAACATCGGCAGCAGAGAAAGCATCGGCCTTCATCATCGAAACCGGATTGCCAGTGTTGTAGGCATCAAGTAGGGCCAGTTCATCTGCATGCTGACGGAGAATGTCGGCCACCTTCCTGAGTTCTTCCCTCGTTCCAGCGAGGGAACTGCCCGCCATGCCGGAAAGGCCGCCTGAGCAGCTTCGACGGCAGCAGCGGCGTCCTTGGCCCCGGCAAACGCGACTTTCTTGATGACTTTTCCATCTCCGGGGCTGTATATCTCCAGATACTCTCCGTCTTGGGGCTCTTGCCACTTACCGCCAAAGAACAAGCTCCAGTTCTTTGGCAGACATTCCTCGATATTTGGAAACGACATGTTTGCGACAGCTGAAGTACGGCACCAGGACGTGATCTCTGAATGCCTCTGGCCAAGGGTTGGGCTTTAAGTCTACCCAGCTAGGTAGCACTCCGACTGCTCCTACCAACGGACGGAGTATTTGCTGTTTACATATACTGCAACCTCGGATATACGCTGGGGTGTCTTTGCATCAACTCCTTGAGGCCACCATCATCTTGGTCAGAGATTGCGAATAGGTGCGGGACGTACAGTCAGAAAGAGCAGAAAGGGTTATTACGATCCCGCTCGTTGGAATACGGCCGGGTTCTGCATCCCAGCCAGACGATCTGCATGTGCGGGGTTCCTGCAAGGCCACGTCGAGGGCGGCAGGAGCGGTCACACGAGGCTGCCTGCTGTGTAAGCATATCTCAAGGTTCGGAAGTGCAGGGCAAGACTTGCTCAAAAAATGGATCGATGCTGTCTCTGGTTATCATCTGACCACACAGTGATCCGACTGCAAGACAAAGCGGAAGGCATGTTATTGGTCGGTCACCCACCCTTGTCCCCACAAAGTCTACCCTTGATATACGCTGCTGGTATACAAAGCCTGACACTTCACCTCCTGCACCCAAACGCCCCAAACCCTCTCTCCGGCTCTCGCGTTCACGACGTGCGTATCCCGTGCCTGATCCCGCGTCAGCGGCTCAAATGCATTGACTGGCCCGGTGGGCGCCCCATCCTCCCATTCGCCCTTTGTATTCTTCGGGTCCGCGTCAAATACACCCCTCAGCAACGTCGCCGTCGTCTGCGACTTGGCATTCTTGGTCGTATACACAGCTCGATAGACCGCCTCCTTCAAGCCCCTCCTCCACGTGGTAAACCCGTGGCGGCGCATCAGCACGACCGCCTCCGTGGGCAAGTCGGTGTGGTGGTGACCCGTCCACGAGAAATAGCCGGCGAAAGCAGTCCCAAGTCTCATATTCTTGACGAGTAGATCGTGTACGTCGCCGGGATCGCCACGCTGATAATGCCGCTCCACATGGAATACGTGGCCGCGCTGAGAGCCCATAAACCCCGCCATGCGCGCCATGGCCCGCAACAGCACCCACTCACCGTGTAGGGCAGGATGTCGTCGGCGTGGGCGTGGATAATAACGCACACGACGCCCGCGTACCACTTGTACAGCTCCGAGTGGATGTACCGTTCCACGAAGCCCTTTCGGGGCCCGTCGCGGTGGGCAGGTTGGGCGTCGCTCACATTGTATTCGGCAAAGTCGGCCGCGGAGCGCACAAGCGCGGGAGCAGTGTTGGCCGACATGATGAAGCGCGACGGATTGGTCGGGTGGCGGATGGAGATGTGCCCGGACGCGTCCACGACGTGGTTGTAGTGCAGGATGTGGTTTGCGAGGACGAAGTCCTTCAGGAGCTGCGTGTATCCATCACGTCATCGGATGATCCTGCTTGCATAAAACGGACACAGTACAGTTGCCTAGAAACAAAGGACCTCGTCCTCGTACGCGGTGGTGTGCACGCAAGACACAGTACAGTACGGAGTACGTTGGCCGGTAACAGTATCGCGGCTTTCGACCGGGAGTTCTCCTCCCCGTCACCCCTGCGTAGAAGGATGGCACGGAGCACTTACATGGTTGGAATCACTGGCAGCCATACGGAGTACTCCACACTCCGTAGATACGTACGCCGTGCTGTGTAGACGATACCCTCACCCCCACGAAAGACAGAACTACACCGTACCACCACCGGAGCCGTCGTGCCGTCCCAAGTCAAGCGCCGAGACCAAGGACACGCCGCGAATGAATAGCCGTGCCGACCCGCTCCAGCAACTGGAGATTGCGCCTGCCCTCAGATGTTGGAACTGGTGGAACTACCCCAGCGTGTTGAGCATGGGTCGGGATGGAAGCAACACGGATCCAACGACCCCAGATCTGCGACAGGGAATTTGGACTAGTGCAACGGCCATGCGAGATTGGTGTGGCATGCAGGTGCGTGCTTCGTCGCTCGTACGAGCCATATCAGGTACAGTACTCCGTACGCAGTATATACTCCGTGCGGAGTACATCATGCGAAAATGGAGTGGCGTAGTATGTACTCCAAACTCCCTTCGTACTCATCATTTCTCCAAGGAGCCAGGCACCCAAGGGGGAATACTTACCGTACGGCATAGGACATGCCGCGTTATGTAACATCCATGGCGACTGTACCCTCTCCTTCACTTTCGACTGAATGTACTTTCTATCCTATACGAGGTACTTCGTAGGCAGCGCGTATACACAGTAAGCACGGACGGAGTGCCTGACCATTGCTAGAAACAACCAACATAGAAGTCAATAGCTACCAAGTACTCCGTATATAGAACGAGGCGTGGGATCTACTGATCAACGTGTGGGTGGGTGGGTGATGGACATTGCCAATTTCCAACGCGCTCCGCGTCGTGACGGCTGACTGTGACGCTCCTCGGGGCATCTCAGGATTCCGTGTGGCCGGGCACTCGCGTCACTGTCCTGATCACTGGATTTGTAGCTAGATGACCACGTCTACGGACTACGGTACCCGCGCCGTGTACTCCGGGGTTCTGCGGACTGGTGCGACAAAAGCGTCAGGTCCGGACATCAATGGCGTAGTATGTTGCGGAGGGAGCCGATTAATCGTAGCTCGTGTGCGGAAGGGATGATTGCTGACACTTTTGCATTTTTGTGTGATCCATACTCTAGAGTCGCGGTCGTGAGAGGACGAGTCACCGTAGAGGCGCCTTTCATTTCTACAATGTGTGTATACATAAGGAGTACGGAAAGATGAAGTACGTGCCACGTTCCTCTATCTTGCGCTGCGAACTCTGCCACTGCCATATCCATTGCTCTAGCTGTTGCTATTGCCATCCCCTTGTCGTACATCTGTACATATGTAAACAGACCAGGTCTAGTACATAAATCAACCAACAGACTTTGTATTGCGCACTATATGCTATGCCAGGTGGGAATAAACATGATGTGTCCACACACGGGAAACCAATCCTAGGAAAATCATTACAACAGTGCGAGAACAGACTCCGGCGTCGCTTTTTCGCCAAATCCAAGCAAAGCATTTACATGGCAAACGCCAAAGCGAGCAGGCCAAGCGCCATGCTCGCGAATGACACATGTACCGACGAAGCCGCGCCCGTGAACGAGGCGACCCCGGTGGTGCTCGTCGTAGAGACACCCTCGTTCTGTGTGCCGGTGCCGCCGCTGTAGGAGCTGGACGAGCCGCCAAGGCTGGGGTAGTTGCTCTTGCCGTTGCTGGGGCAGACCTTGCCGACGTCCGAGGGCGGCTTGGGGAAGTTGTCGACGGCATCGAGGATGGCGACGGCCATACCACCGGAGAAGTGGGTCTGGACGTGGCAGTGCAGGAGCCACGCACCGGGGGTGTTGACCTGGTAGCGGAAGATCATCCACGTGCCGTTGCCTTCGGCGGGTTGGCTGGTGAAGCCGTCCACGTAGGGCGGTGTCTGCGTGTTGATGGGATATCCGGCGGCGATCGCATCGGCGGTGTTGGTGAAGTTGAAGTCGCCGACGCCGGCACCGATCATGTAGAACTTGTTGGCGTGCTTGTGGATGGGATGCGGCTCGGCCACTGGGCCGGAGACCTTGATGATCAGATCAACCCACTCATTGCTGTAGGTCTCCAGGATGAGGTCGCTGGCGGGGATCTGAGACACGTCCTGCCACAGCAGAGGGGGTTGGGTGTCATCGTTGGTCTGGTTGTACGAGTCCGTTCCGGAGAGAGTCCAGGCCCAAGCCTCGGTCGGTTGGACGGGTGACTTCTGGATGTCAAGGACGAAGGTTCGGTCCGCCGATGTGGCGGGTGTGTTGGGAGGGTATGGCGCAGCAAGGCCAGGGTTGAATGGCACGACGGTCGTGGTGTTCTGGCTGCCGTAGTTCTGGGTGGCAATTCCCACAGCCGCACTCTTTCCGCCCTTGTACGACAGGACACCGAAGCCAGAAATGACCTGGTTGATACCCTCGTTCGCGACGCGAATGGTGTAGTCGCCAGGGGTCTGGTCAAGCTTGACGAAGAACGAAACACGATCACCGTTGCTCAAGCTGAACTGGTCGACCACCTGGGGGACGATGTAGTTACCGTTGACTTCGTAGATGTACAGCTTGTGGCTGTCGATGGAAACCTTGACAATGGCAATACCAGCAGAGCTGATGTAGCTGAACGCATGCCAGCCATTGGAAGCGTCAACCACAGTGGTATAGTTGGCGCCTCCATATCCGATACAGGTGTTGTAGGCATCAGCGGGCAGAGCCGCGAGGTTCTGCTGTGCGATGTATTGACCACCCTGGATGACCGGGTTGTTGGGAGGAGCGCAGCCCTTGGCAGTCAGGGTAGTGCCGTTCAGGATCAAGGACTCTTGAGGAGCGGCAGAAGCGGCGAGGAAATCGGCGGAGGGGCAGTACTGGGAGCCGAAGCCGTTCAACGTGATGGAGTCACTGCAGGCCCAATCAATGTTGGCGGCTTTTTCGACAGCAAAAAACTCGTCAAAGGTGTATCGGTTCCAGTCTGAGACGAAGACGGGCTCAACAGCCTCGGACGCGGCAGTCAAGGCATCAACGGCGGAGGAGTCGATTTGGCTGAAAGGAGTCTTGGCATCGTCGGCGGGGGCAATGAGGATGGCACCATAGAGACCGTCCATCATCTGCCCCTTGTAGTGGGCGTGGTAGAAGTACGTCCCCGACTCCTCTGCCGCCCATTGGTACTGATAGGATGTGCCTGGTTGGATAACATATTGACTGATACCGGGGACACCATCCGACCACGGGGTGCCATTCTGTCGGATACCATGGAAGTGGATGCCGGTGACATTTGGTAGGTTGTTGTTGACGGTGAAGTCGACACAATCGCCGACCTTCAACTTCAGAGGGGGACCTGGCAGCGAGCCATTGGTCAAGATGGCATTTCTGGAAATGCCTTTGCTTGGGTCTGTCGGGGCCCAGGTAAGATCGATAACGAAAGGAACGCATTCTGATGCTTGCGAGCAGACAGAGTCTGAGCTGCCAGCTGCGACTGATTGAATGGATGAAGCGAGTGTGATGGCAGCAAGTGCCTTGAAAAGGCGTGGGAACGCCATTATTAGTATAGAGGGCAAAGAAAGAGAGACTGAGGCAGCTATCGTGTGTGAAGGAGGCAAGCAAGAAGAGACGAAGCAGCAGGGGAGGAATAGGACATCTTATGAACAAGCCATGTCAAGCAAGACAAGCACCACAAGCATCCATCTTCCAGCGACCAGCGCTGCGGGAAGCTGATTTTCCCCCGAAGTGGCTGCAGATTGGCAGGACTGGGGCTTGCCAGCCATCCTTGCAAACATGCGGCGGCGACAAGGTTTGGTGTTTTGGGGCGCAAGAGCCTCCTTCGCCATGGCCGCTTACCGCTTTCACGATAGTCGGATCCATCCTACCCACTCAGATGGAGCCTTCTGGAGCCGGCCCAGCCTCTTCCCATTTATCACCAGTGATGGACGAGATGACAGCCTCAGTGCTAGAGTAAGCTGTCAGCTCGGAGGCTCCTTCGGCGCTGGTAGACTGTACACACGAACGGATGATTCATGAATGGCAGCCACGGACAACAATGAATCTCTCTGCAGAAAACGTGTAAGCCCAGCACATTCAGGGAACGAGACCATCTGGCGATCTCGTTTGACTGAGATTGCGCACCAGAGAGCACCAACGACGGCGACTTGTCGTCCTCGGGAAACAGGGATCCGACCCAGCTTATGCGTGTGAAAGGGGGCAGGGCTTCGTTTCGCAATTCAATCAGAGATGACGGCCTGATCCATCGTTGGTGGATGAACCCAGCGACCACAAACAAACAACCCCAGTGTGACCAGCCTTGGGATGTGGTTTGTGCCCTGTTACGCGACGGGGTCCACTTGGTGAAGCTTGACACCCACAAGAAACCGCGCCAACCACGCCCAAGGCCTCTTAGCGGCGTCAAGCATCGGGGGCTGGAAGCTTTTCCTGTTCAGCTCAGGTGCGCCCCAATACCGTTTCCAGCCTGTTTATCGCCGGCTTCAGCGAAGCCTGGCACGCATGGTGGCCTGTTAGCCTGGACCTTATGTGCTTGCCACAAAACAAGCACCCAACAGGCCACCGGTCTGCCAGCCAGCCAAGCGTCGTTAAAATCTTGAGCGAGACAAGCATTGGGAGATTGATTGACTGGTTCATGAATTGATCGTCATAATACAAGGTTCCAGGAACTCAGAAATCATTTTGGGCTTGCCACGCGCGCATCGTGACCAAATTGCTGCCAGTATTATTTCGGAGGCTCGATGAGGAGTGGCAGGAGAATTTGTTACGCCCCTGAATTTTGGGGACGCTCGAGAAGCTGCAGGCCAGTGGCGACGGTCCAGGCACAGCCGTGTTCGTTCCGAGATGTGGATGCGGTGAGTCACGGGTTGTGAGCCAGAGTCCCAAAAATAAGCCCGTCCGGTTGGAGCAGAGGCTCGGAGACAAAAACAGGCAACCGGATGCAGAGGAGCCGCGTCGAAGTAGGTGTGGAAGCGAGAGAGAAAGAGCCGAAAGGGAAGAAGTTCTCGCTTGACTCCATGCAGCAGGATGCTTACGGTGGATCCATTCCCTCCTGGTGCTTAGTGACACAGGGTGGCGACAGCGCCTCCTGATGGGTTGCAGCAGATACGAGGTACCTCGTACGACAGTGGCTCGACTGGGTACTCGTACCGCCGCTGCTGGTTCCGATGCGAGCGGACAGCTCATCACAGTTGCCGAGTCCAGAGTACATACGAGGAACTGTGGGTGACTGACTGGTGGCTAAATGGCAGGTAAGAGGCGGGTGAGCGGCAAGTGAGTGGCAGATGGGTAATCACGTGAGCTGCGTCAGCTGAAATGTACACAGGACTTGGCACCACTGGCGCTGCGACCATTGCATTCGCATCAGAAAGAAATATCGTTGTGTACTCGGCAGGAGTAGATTCTTTTGACAAGCGATGCCTCGCCGGGACCGTCTAAACCACCATCAAGGAACCCAATGCTCGCATCGACGTGCACGCCCGAAGCTGAAAATGGCTCCGATGCTCTCGTCCCCGCGTCTTGGGAGATTTCAGAAAACTCATAAACTCCTTCCAGTGGCCCGAATTGAACTCGTACAGTACGGAGTAGGATTCGAGCCTTCGTGGGAAAGTAATCAGCGCTGCGTCACAGGCGATCCTCTGGTGTGATCAGGCTTCCTCCTGCCTCGCCACGTGCGTGACTGATCGCGACTCGCACCTCAGCTCCGCCCACCAATTGTCGATTATTTCTCAGAACCTCGTTCCGCCTTTCTGCAACAGGGAGTTGAAATGATGCTGAATCCTTTCGGTCACCGGGCTGCCCCTACCAGCATCAGCGCCATTGCCGCCGGTTTATCGATTCTACTCTCGCTCCAATCACCGTCATCGTCACATGGTCGATCCTGTGTATCAGCGGCTGGAATCGGGCCTGCAATCTCCTCCAACTTCCCAGATCCAGGCCTGGCACTCGACACGAGCAGAAGCACGAGCGGCAACGGTTCCCTTCATGGCACCTGGTATGCCTTCAGCACCCAGACCGGCGAGATCAATGTGCAAATGGCGTCGTCGCCAGACTTTTCCACCTGGACGCTGCATCAAGGCTACGACGCTTTGCCCACGTTACCAAGCTGGGCACGCAAGCCACCCGACGCTGGCGTGTAAGTTTTCCAGCTTCTTTCTCCTGCATGACGCTGCCTCCTTCTGCGATGCAGCAGTGAATTTTTTCCCCATATCGTTCCTTATCTTTGCATACTGCAGGACGCTAATGCACGTGGCAGCTGGGCGCCGGACGTCAACCAACGACCCGACGGCTCCTGGGTCATGTACTTTGCGGCCGTAGGGCGCTCTCACCCGCAGAAACACTGCATCGGAGTTGCGACCTCGCCCGACGTGCAAGGCCCTTATACGCCGGTCGAGGATCCCATCGTGTGTGAGCTCGCGCGCGGTGGCAACATCGACCCGAATCTCTTCGTCGACCCCGTCAACAATGAGAGCTACCTCGTTTACAAGGTCGACGGCAACGCCATTGGCCACGGAGGCGCGTGCGGCAACACGAACGCCCCCGTGCAGCCCACGCCGTTGTACCTCCAGCTGATGGACCAAGAGGACCTCACCACCCCCGTAGGCAAGCCGGTCTACCTCTTCTCCAACATGCAGAGTTTCAAGCAAGACGGCCCCAACGTCGAGCGGCCGTGCATGGTCTTCCGCAAGAACACGTACTACCTGCTGTATAACGCCCAATGCTACGCCAGCTCCAACTACCGCATCGACTACGTGAGCTGTGTCGTCGGCGTCGACACCCACTCCGGCGTCCTAGGCTGTGACTGGGACGCGCTGAAAGCCAAGCAACAACTCTCGCCGCACCACACGCTGCTTCACACCGGAGACACCGTGTCCGGCACTAAACTCTACGCGCCCGGCAGCATGGATGTAAGTCCCGATCAGAGACGGGTCGTCTTCCACGGCGACGTCAACCTCGACTGGTTCGCTCCTCACCGTCCCAGTTCCGTCAAACGCGATCGAGCCATGTTCGCGGGCGAGATTGATTTTGTCAAGTCGGATTTACGCATCACTAAGCTCTTCTGACGCGGGGGCTAAGAAAGGCGAAGCAAGCGAGTACCTCGTACCAATGCTTGGATCTTGCTTACCGAAACGTTGATCAGCCGCCCTGCCTGTTGCGAGCTGTCAGCAGCATAGCCCAGCCGGAGCCCGGCATCCCTCTCGCATCAGACACCGCACGAGTACTGGGGTGTATATGCTGATGGTTGATTACCCAACTGTATGGAGCACTGAGACCTCCATCCACCGTACCGTGTACCGTGTATGCGACCGTCAGGCCTCCAAAAGATCCTTCACCACAAGCTGAGACGCTTGCTGTGGATACAAACCGGACCCCGAGTTGAGGCACAGGCCGCCCCAACCATGGAGACGTACTTCACACAGAATCGGACTCTCCTCAAATACGGAGTTGCAATATTGGCACACCACTTATGATCGCCGCTGTCGGAGTCTGTCCCTTTTCCCCTCGTCTTGTTCAGCTCGACATGATATCTGACACCACACACGAACTTCCATTACAATTCAACATGATCAGCCACGGCGCCACGGGATGTGCGAAAAGAGCACAATGCCATACTGGGTCCAATATCTCGTAGTATGATCGGCGACGGCGCTATGCGATACGCGAAAAGAGCACTGTGGAGTAACGGGTGCATTACAGTTTAGCGTGATCAACGACGGCGCTATGAGCCGTGCGATAAGACCACTATGCGATACTGGGTACAATGTATCATAAGTTGATCAGCGACGGCGCTATAAGCTTTGGAAAAGGACCTCACTTCGTCGGGATCACGGGACGCGGAGTTCATGATCGGCATATTGTTATATATTATAATACACGATACTCACCGCACGACATATACAACACGGCGTAACCGCTGAGCCCTGCACCTGGCACCAGACAGAGAGATACAATAGGGTATAGTGCATGATCAGGATAATGACAACACAGTAGTGAAGGCATATTTTTTCCATGTGCTAGAGCTGGCGCAAACAAACAAAGAGCTCCAAGAATGGGCGGCAGGTTCAGATCCAAGCTTGGACCGTCGTCGTCACCGTCACCGTAGCTGTAGCTGACAGTTGTGCGCCCTGACCAGTGACCACCATGAAACTGTTGCTTGCCATATCGACATACATATCCTCTCCAAGCATTCGACTCGTCATTTCTCAGGTGTGGTCAATCTAACCTTCAGTTCAGACAGTTCTGCAGTGCCCCTGGGTGGTTAGGTGGTGGGGCGATTTGTGCTTCCCACGACTCCCCTAGTCTCCCACATCCTGGCCTGGATGGCCCGTGATGGTGGGCCAGGTCAGTTCAGTCAGATTCCCAACTGAACTGGAGATCTTGTACTCTCAACCCTGTGCCACAATGCTGTGTTCGGTACCAGTACGATGCTGTGCGACCTGCAAGGGGCGCTGGCCGCGCCTGCCCTGCTACGCCGGGGAAATTTGATGGCGTGCAGCATGTGTGGCGTATCCGGTTATTCTGAGTGCGCCTGAATTTCCACCTCCTTCAGCCCTCGCGCAGCCTTGTGCACCCTGCGTAAGCTGAAAGACTCCTGAGTTGGACTGAATGGGAGCCCTTAGGCTCGGAAAGGTAGCACCATTCACATGATGAAGGTGATCGGCTTCTTCGTCTGCACGGCCGAAAGAATGTAATCAAATAGTTCGTTGCTCTTTGCGGGCCAAGTCCAGCAGCTGACCGTGCTTGGGAGAACCAAGGTTTCGTGGTTTCTCTGGACACTTAGACAGGCAGCAGCTAATCGACCAACCCAGTTACCCCTAGCTCGTACCACCGCAGCTCCCAGTGGACGGTCAATGAGCTCCGCCCAGGTGTCGACACTGGTCAGATTTGTGCTCGCTTCGTCGAAAGGGTTATACAGCCCGCATTCTGCGGAACTATGCTTTGACCCCTTACTTTCGGTGCGGTAATGCTTGATTGAGGCCAGACTCTTCAGCACATCCAGGTCGGCGACCCACTCGGAGCGATCAAACACGGAAATAACTGCCTCTTGGAAATAGGCTTCAACATCCCGGAAACTTTTGTGTTCTGTAGCAAAGGGAATGGAATAATCTGTCAGGGAGAGGTGCATCGATGTGTGTTCGAAGCTGTCCTGGAAGTTGCCATCATACGGAGCATGGTTGATAACATTGAAAGATTCATGGCCGACGGTCTTCGAAAGCGGGTCTGGTGGCGGAATCAGAATGGCAAAGCCTGCTTTGCCAATATTTCCGTTGACTCGAGTGACCGTGGCTTGAGCGCTATCATCAGAAGGATCGCGGAGCAATGCAGCAGCAATAAACAAGGAATTGCCAATGGAAAGTGCCATTGCCTGGGCCAAATCGGTTGGTGAGAGGTCAATGCTCCCGGTCTCAAACCAGGTTATGCATGCAAACGCTTTCCTTCTCGATATTTCTGATGACATCCAGGTTCGATATGGGAGTATGCGGCCAGAACCCACCCAACGGCAAGTGTGTATCGTGTGCTGAGTGACATCCAGATTGACTCTTGCGCCAGGCATCTGGTCATAGATTGCCGATGCGATAGCTAGACATTGGATTGACCTCAGCTGTTTACCATCAAGGACCTCCCCTGTATCAATCAAGGAGCAGAGCTGGCTAGTGTCTACCTCATCGCGCTTTAGAAGTTCAACCAGGTCTTCAGGGGCAACAAAGGCATTGATGGTGGCCATTTTCGTACTGGTATATAATGCTGCTGAAGCAGAGTCGCCAAAAAAGGGTGAAAAATTGCTATTCCAGGGAGCTCTTCGACAATTGCAAAGTCGTCCTCTACCGTGTCGAGTGGTACATAGCGTTCCATGACTTCTAAAAACAAGGACATGAAGTCTTCAGAGTGTGCACTAGGGAGAAAGCTGCCATCGTGCTGCGACCATCTAGTGGGTGACGTGAAGTATCTTTTGTAGTCTTCCTCATCGCCTAGCTTGGAATTGCAGGTGAAAGGCTTTGGAGCACCAACCCAGGCTAGCGCAGAAGGGCAGCTGACTAGAGCCTTGCTGGTGTCAATCACTGAAAACTGTTCCGACATCAATGGCAGATGTCCCGGAGGGCCGCCAAGCCAGCGACAATGCTGTGCCTCTTCTCGTGTAGCCGGGTTGGTCTCTTCTTTGGCGGCGGCTTCAGATGCAATAGGGAATGCCGTTGCCAAAGACAGAGGATCCCCAGGCGATGATCGGTAGGCTATTATCATTTGTTGGTCGGAGCCCTTGCCAACAAGTCGGCTGGCGATCTTCCGCAGGAACTCGATCTTGAGCTCCACAGTCCCCAGGAGTTGAAAATAAATTTCCGTCTGCCAAAGAACGGAGAATGGATACGACGAGACACTTGACCTCGAGAGGAAGCGCTCGCACCTGCGGCTGCCAAAGGAGACCCTCTTCAACATCGTTTTGGCATCGTCTTTGCGGGCACTGAGCAACTCGTTGGCGGCTTGGGAGAGAAACTGCAACCAGTCAGGGCAGGGTCTGGTCGAGCCTTCTTGCTTGACGGCTTGTAATTTCACAAATTGAGACTCAAGGAGGGAGACCAATCTTGCAACAGTGAGAAACGTTCGCTCCTCGAAGGCGCGGTCCGGGAATAGGCAACCCAAGGCTATCAGTGCAAGATCTTTCATCGAGCCATAGCCATGGTTATCGCTGACTGCCTTAGTGATTGTGACGGCATTTCCATAATATCGCAGGTATGCCAAGGGTAACGACCAAAATATTCCTTCAGGTAGAGTTGGGGATGCGGACTTGACCCCGAGTGTGAGCAAGCCCCCGTCCGGAAGTAATGAATCCTTTTGTTCCACGACCTGATTCGAAGAACTTCCCAAGGCCAGTATATTGGGATAGAGGTGCCATGATGCTAGCCCCAATAAGATGGCGCCGCTTTGGACGTTTTGCGGTATGCCTTGGACAAGTCTGTTTACTACACCTAGTGCCTGCGCCCAAGCATCCAGAACACTGTCATACAGGTTCTTTTTGGTGTTGACCACGAGGCCAAACTCTTGGATGATCAGCATGAGTTGTTTCTGGCTGCGAAACTTGGCTGCATCGGCTACCTGCAGCCAGGAACGAGCACTGGCGTCCCAATCAGCAAGTTGAGCACGCGTCAAAGTAGCCTGGCTGGCCGCCAACGCCACTGGATCAGATGCTTCAGTTTGCAGAATCTTCCGGCGGGCCTCGACGAGCTCGTGCCAGATTGATGTTGCCTCCTGGTGGGACCACATCCTCGCCAACATGCAAGCCAGAAGATGAGCAAGTATGGCATCACGTCCTGAAGTTGCCGCAGCCCAGATCGAAGTGCCATCGGCACCAACGAAATCGGCAAATGCACCGTTGTCTCTCTTACTGCCAGAATTGGAGGTCGGACTTTCTGCTATCTCTGACACACGAGCTCCGTAGGCTTTGACGAGGTAGACGACTTCCGGTAGGGCTGAGCGGAACAAAGCACCAAGTTTCCTTGCGGTAACATGTTGCAGGCCGTTCTCTGCGACCTCGCGTCGGTCTTTTGAGAGGCAAGCGCCTAAGCCCCGATATTCGAGGGGCGGCTCGACTTTGACCAGTGAAAAATCAAAGTTGATGGTTGCCAGTCCGGCAAGGTTAGTCTCCTGCTTTCCGGAGACGAGTGCAGCTGAGATCGATGGGGTGTTCATGTTGGTCGTTGAGTATTGAATGTGTCTCGACCGGCAGCACTACGAGCGATGCAAGAATTCGAGAACGAGAAGTGTATCTGAGATGAAGGTGGGAGGAGAAGTGAACTGTCACACCGCATCGCACACCAATCGGGCGCAGGTCTCATGCACCTTTGCCCGTCCATCTCGTGTTGCTGGCGTGTGCGCTGCAAGGCGGCCGCAAGGCGGACTCTCCAGCTCTACGCCCAGCTCCGACGCAAGACCAGAACAGGCATGAAGTGATCGGTCCTCGATCCTGGCGAGTAAGCATGAAGAAGCCAAGACAAGAGAAATGAAGACGAAGTACTCCGCAAGATACTGAAGCCTTAATACAAAAGAGGCAGGTTAATCAACACTAGCAAGTGCGGGAAGTAGCGTTGTCGCCGATGACGCAACGTCGCCATAATGACATTTATTACCTAGGTATGTGGCTCCTTCCACACTGCTTCCACACTTCTTCCTCCCCACGTCAACTCTACAGTTGCGGAAAGCCCTGGAATTCCCTACTCTGTACTCCAGTACAAGCACCGCTTTGAAGTATTACCAGAGTCAGAATCCCAGATTGGGCCGCCGGTGGACTAAAGTCTAGGACCATCCAACCGGACATTGCTCTTACCACCAGACCATTATCTTTCCATAAGATACCTATCCTGTGAAGCGGAGGCTTTCTCGGTATAGCCAGACGGTGTATCGTGAACTCTGGATGGCCTGAACCTTAGCCCGCACCTAAGACATATCGATTGCCTTCTCGCCATGTACGGCGTATCTTTCATTCCTCTTCTTCGTCATGTTCCTCTCGACAATTAATCCCACCACTGCAACAGCACAGCTGACTACCTTCAATGCTAACAACGTAGCCACAAGCCCTTGGCCAACTTCACTCTCCTGACAGAGTCGGTTGAATCCGGCCGGGATAGGCACGCCATTTGGCACGTAGACCGGGATCTGTAGAGAATGGGCATCGGCCATGAATTGCGAGGCACCGTGTGAAAACTTGCACGTCCAGGACTGAATGGATTCTCGTGCATGGTGGGACTTGAATCCGGTCAGAAGGTTGGCAAAGGGTAGGGTGAAGACGGTGAGAATCAAGCCCGTAATGGAGGTACCCAAGAACAGAAAGTTGTAGAAGAGGGTTCGAGAATATGGCTGTTCAAAGCGTCAGCATTTCGCGGGTGCTTGAGACAAAGGATAAGCCGTACTGTCGGGATCAGCGACCAGACCAGATACACGATGCTGGTTGCCACAATAATACAAGCTGAGATCAAGACAGCCAGTGCCGGTCGCACATCCACATTTGATGGCCATAGTGGTGGTAGGTGGGAGTCGTCTCCCGGACGGGTCGAATTGTATCTGTGCAGAACATGAGCCTCGCAGCCCACAGCAGCGATAGCCGTAGCGATAGCCACGAGAGTCAACGAGAGGCGAATCCACCAGAGAGACCCAGCCTGGCGGAGATATGCAGATTCCTGAGCCGATGTTGCTGAATTGCGGGAATGCAGGGACGAGGTCATGAGAGGAGAAGGCTGAATAAGAAGAGCCGACGCATCGTAGGCCGGGGTGGGCGGTGGTGGTTCCAGTTTGGACGTGCTTGACTGTGATCTCGGAGGACTGCTGCTAAGACGATGGTCCTTCTCCGAGCCAGGCCGTGATGTAGAGAGACGATTCTCCATGATTCCAATGTCGCGGATTAGCAGGACATTAGCAGGACAAGCAGAAATGAAGACGGCCAATGGTGATAGTGGAAGGCGGCACCGGCACAGACAAACAGTAAATGAAAAAAAAAACGAATGCAATGGTAGAGGCCGTACAGATCACAGATGCGCCCCGGACGCGCTGTATGATATATTGTACAAATGAATCTGCGCGGCTCCCTGTGGTTCTTGCTTACCCGCCTCGATCGTGTGAGGCTCGACCATAGTAGAGCCTAAATCTATTCCGAGCTCAGGCTTGTCTCTGATTGAACTGTGTGGTCATCTGGCGGCGAATCATGGCGGTGCTTTCCTTGCCAGCAATATCCATTGAGCGCTTACACAGCTTACATCGTTTCATGAAACAGAAGCCAGGGCGAAGGGCGACCACGATGGGCCACGAAGGAGGTCAAGGCACGGATTAACAAGGGAAAAGACAAAGGCACGACTGGGGAACGGAAAGCAAATCGCAGAGCGCGTAAGAAAGGTGCGTCTTGGCATCGTGCTGACACTTCATTGGCCGTTAGATGAACGCGTGGCGCTATTGTATATTTAGGAAGGAGCGGCAACCCCTCATTGGCTAGTGGCGAGAGAGTGGTCAGTGCCATTGGTGGCAGGTTGAATCTCTCTGCCGATCTCTCGACAGCACACACAAACTGCATTAACCGTCCTCTCAACCGCGCGCCCGCTAGTGCAAGCGTTTCCATCGAGTGTCCATCATTGGCTGGTTGCCCACCAGACTTGGTGCGACTGCAGCGGCTGCCGTGGGGTGACAATGGCCATGAATGGCCTGTAATGGACTTAGCGTCTCGTTGGAAACACCCCTCTCTCATTGGCTCACTTCCTTCAGTTAACGTCCCACGCGTTGTGAAGTCGAGGTTCACCCCGTAGGTGCCCTGCGACCTCAATCATCGCAGAGCAGATAGATAGTGCGCTAGACCTTCACCTCTCTGTTCGCTGCCACACAGACTTCGAAGTCCGTGTTGATCTAGGCTCATCCTTCCCATCAAGCATTTCTCACGTGCTGCAACTCTCCCCACAAGCCATGCTCGAATGGGTTACACCACCGGCGGCCAAATGGACCCTGTTAATTACTCCTGGCCTGCCGAAAATCTTAAACCCACCCCAGTATCGGCCGTTTTGGCATTGTCTCCCTGCTTGACAACTCACTGCCGACGCGAAGGTGCCTTCTGGTTCCACCACCTGATTTCCACTTCATGCATAACATACTGATGTGTTGGTGGATGAAGTTGCCCGTTTCTTGCCCAAACGAGCAACTTGCACGCCGGTTTCGGTATATCGGAAGGATTCAAGGTCAACCAGCGCAATCTTATGCATGCTTGGTTTCCCACGAACCTTTTAGACCAATATGACCTGTCACATCCTCCCCGAAGGACGTTATACCTTCTGGTGATGCGGCTGAGGTTTCCAGACGTGATGAATGATGCACAGCGTGCTGACTTACAGTCTCAATCTGGGTCAAATATCGCAGCGACTTTTTCCAAAGCTTGAACCTCTTCCGACTCCACTCTTTTGCCAGACACTGCAGCTGACTGTTCTTGTACGTCTTCTCCGTTACGGCGGAGATGCGATTGTGTGCGTTGCTCAATATAACCTCTGCGCTCCTCTTTAAGTTCATCTTTGGCACTGTCAACATTGACGCTGGCATGTTTCAGGGCTGCAAGTTTCGGTCTCAACTCCTTAAGCAGTGTTTGGAGGGCGGGTAACTGGGAAATGGCGAAGTTCGTGTTCGTGGTGAGCGATCGAGCTTGAGTGCTGTTCGCGAGGAAGGAGAGGTTGTCGGGTGTAGCTTGCGTCTGACCAAGCAGACTGCGCAATTGCTGTATGATGGCCTGGTTGCGGTTGTACTCTTTCAGAAGGGCTCGCGAGGCATTTCTTCCAGCTGCCAGTTTGCCTCGCATCACTTGTACACTGTCGACCGTCGGGGCGTTCTGTGGCGGGGGGTAGGACAAGTTCTGTTCCGTCAGCTCGAACCCCGGCGCAGCTTGTGCTGGGCGGCTTACCTCGTAGTGACTCAGGCGCACCCAGTTGACCAATTCTGCCGGCACAGACATGATGTTCCTCAGAACGTATATCTCAAATTTGTCAAAGTTCTTATCCACGGTCGAGTACAACAGCGTTTCGAGTTTATGAAGCCCTTCCTCGATCTCTTGCTTTGCATCAGGAAATTCGACTTCCTCAACGCCATCTTCTCTCCTTTTCTTCACCGCCTGGAAGCCAAGTTCCTCAGGAGGTGTCGTCAAGAGTCCCGTCTCGAGGCTACCGAGAACCTGTAACACGAAGTTGTTGACTGAGTTGATGATGTCGTCGATCAGCGACTATCACGCGTCAATCACGCGTTCCTGACCCAGTCTCTTGCTGCTGACTTACCAACGGCGTGTACTGGAGATGCTCTGTTAGCAGCCATGTGGCTGCTTGCGACGAGTCTGCCATGTCTGGCGGCACGAAGAGGAAGGACAACAATCTCAACCACGTCAATGAACGCGCCTGCGGCTGTTGCTGGTCCTGCCCTGCCCCTCACGCCGTCACAGTGTTGACAGACGCCCCAAAATGGCCCTAGTCACGTGCTGTCGCTCGCTAGTGTCCCGGCGCTGGCCACGGATCTGCGCAGCGGTCAGTCACAAAAATCGACGGGAAACTGTGACGCTGCTTTTTTGGATGACCATCTCCACCCGCCCCCTCTCCCGCACACGATCCCTTTATCACCAGTCTGACCTCCAGACATTACAACCACCGAAACAAGACTGATTGTGCAAATTCCCAACATGGGCGGCCCAGGCGTAGGTGGTTGTTCTGCTTGCAGCATTATCCCCTCAGGCTAACTCAACATCAGTCTGGTGGCTACAAGAACAAGCCAGGTGACACCGAGACTCATTCAGCATGGGACATCATACCTCAGGACCCCGAAGGCACTCAGGTATGCGCTCTATGGTTTTCGCGACGCAACGCGCACCGTGAACCAACTGACTCTGCTGCGTAGAAACTCGCCCAGGTACGATGCAAGTACTGTGGCAGAGAAATGGCACAGCACACCTCCCGCCAGCGTGTCCACCTCCTTGGCTGCCAAAACTACCTGAACGCAATGAAAGAACAAGGCATCGAGACCTCCATCACTCGTCAAGCGGCTGATCCGCAAGCATTCTTCAGAAGCTCCGACTGGGCACAGAAGTCGGCGGAGGCGAAGGCGCCCAAGGTTCTGAAGATGGGAGATCACACTACAGCCGTGCGCATTCAAGCATTGGCGCTGGCCGAGGCCAGTATTTCCTATGAGAGAATCCAAGAGATCACTGGCATGGACCCCAAGGTTATGGCTGGACTTCGAAGACTCGCCCGCGAACGCGGCTACGACCCTAATATCTCCATGCAACTCAAGGAAGAGTATGTGCTGGATCCACCAAACACCTCCCGCCCTCGCGGCCGACCGAAGAAGAGGAAGCCAGAAGATGAAGTCGATCCCGCCCTCACCAACATGTCCGATGGCGCCCAGACTACACCACCGACCTTCAACACTCCCAATCGCGGCAACTTGCCTCCTGGTCAATGGGACTTCATGGCGCCCACTCCAACCGGCTACACAATGACTTAGGAGGATGTTGTGGCAGCCCAGCAGCAAAAGCGGCTTTGATGGTTCTGCAGACGTGACTGGCGATTATCGCCTAATACAACAGGTGTGACCGTAGCACGATGCCTTAATTTGGAGTTCGATATGGATGTCGTTGCAGCGCGGAGTTGGGATAGGCGGTCTCTCTGACGGTAATTAGCCATCAGAGACATGTATGACCACATGCTGTCATTTCTATGACGAAGCCACAGATCTGCTGGGGAGATGGGGGCATAATAGGCTTCCACGAGCAGCGGTAGCAAACTGTTACATGACCACGATATGCCACGCGTAATCACAATCACGTCTACAAGGAAGCAGCACCGACATCGTGGCTTTATTGTTGTCCAGACCACTGTGGACACTTTGAATCTTCAATGCTATTTCGGTAGGGATCAATCCGGCTTCAAACTCGCTTGGGCAATTACTCTGCAAGAGTGGCTGAGCTTACTGCTGTGCGGTGAATTTGTATGTATGAAACTCGGAAGGTGGACAGCCGAAGTTGTAACCCCAGATAAAGGCACAGGTGGAGATCCCGAAGACAAGCTTTCTCGGAGAATGCAGACCCTGATCGAGACCTCGAGGCTGGTGCTCGTGGGATCTCTTTACGACCGCGTGTCTGGGACTGGGACGTGGCTGATAGACGAGATGTGAGTGAGAGATGACCGAGGGCGCAAAGGGGAACGGCCTAAGGAAACGCCAAGGAACCAGTGACACCGTCCCCGAAGAGGAAAGGTCGGCGCCGCGTCCTGCAACAGGCGAAGTTTCAAGCTCGCCTCTCAGCGTCTCCTTCCCCTTCTTCAAACACTTTGCCAAACCACCCAGCGCCTCGGATTCTCCTGTCGCCTGTCACTCTGCGACACTTGAGGACCCCGTCCTGTCACCTCCGCTGCTGCTCTATTCCTAGCTATGGCCGTTTTGACGCCGACCGCAAAGTTTCCTTCGCTCGCTTGTCCTATCGTACCCCGCCCGCCCTTCTGCACCTGAGACGAGTCTGTAACAACTCGATCTCAATGTCTTCAACCTCCTCCAGGGGCGAGCTGGACAAGGTGACGAGACTCTGTGGGTGCCATCTCCCTGCCAATCGAGATCCATAATCTCAGTTTCCCAGCTAGCGGGATTTCGCTTGTTCCGAGCGCACAGCCGCCCGTTCCTGGCAGGCCTATACATATGTCAGTTGTGTTGCTGTTTCGAATCCGTTTCTCTCTTTCTCTTCATTCCATCCTTATACCAAAAAGTTGTGGTCGCGTACTCGGTAGTACCGGTCCTGTTCATTCCTTTTCTCTGCTGCTTGAAGCACTGCAGTTCGTTCCATTCTCGCCTTTGCGCCGGTCGCTCGTTGTCCTACAGCTCATCCTCACCGTCCATCTGCAATATCCAACACTACTGATATATTATCCTCACCATGTCTTTCAAGACTCTTCTCGTTTCGACACTGCTCGCGGCAGCTGCCGTCGCAACCGACCACGGCAGCGGTGACGGCGGATCATGGGGCGGCAACAGCGGCGGCGGTGGTGGTAGTTGGAGCAGTTGGCCAAGCGGTGGTGGTCAAGCACCTCCTGCTTTGGCGGCGCCTTCTTGCCCAGCTGGCTGCATGCCATTCCCCACCGGACCTGCCGCGCCAGCTGAGACCCAACCCGGCCAAATGATCGTGCAAGTCGTGTCCGTCTCAGACGCCAACGGCTCTCTGAAGTACTTCCCCGACAAGATCACGGCGCCAGTCGGCTCCATTGTGCAGTTCCAATACCACCCCAAGGTATGTTTGTGGGGATACCCTTTTGTAACTGAGCCGTGTTCTAACAGTCACAGAACCACACCATCACAGAATCGTCATTCGCAGAACCGTGCAAACCCATTGCCTCGAATCTGACCAGCACCACCCGCCCTGGTTTGAAATCCGGATTCGTCCCGGTCACTGGCCAGGAACCTTTCACTCCCGTCTACAACGTGCTCATCAACGACACCAAGCCCATCTGGATCTATTGCGGTCAAACCAACCACTGCCAAAGGGGCATGGCCATGGTTATCAACCAGAACGATTCGTCACCGAACACGATTGAGGCGTACATCTCCAAGGCTGCCCAACTACCAGTCGCCAGCACGCCGCCGCCGCCACCTTCGTCCGCCGCGCCGCCCGTGCAAGCGCCTCCTGCCTCATCAGCTGCTCCCCCGCCACCTCCGCCTCCACCTCCCGAGTCATCGCCAACCTTCGTGTTCGGCGGTGGTGCACCTCCTCCAGCCGAGACCGCTTCGTCAGTCGCCGCTCCTCCCCCTCCAGCTGTCGCGACTGTGACCCCTCCATCCAGCCCAGCGGTTGTGGCTCCTGCAACCTTCACCGGGGCGGCTGTGCCCGGCTATGTGCCTCAGTCATCGACGGGAGTGGCTGGTCTTGTTCTCGGTGCGCTTTTGGCTCTGTGGTAATGTCCTTTTGTGGAATGGTGGACCGTTTTGATACCCAGTTGTGGATGTCTTGCATGCAACATGAGAAGGCCGCGGCGGCTAATCTAAAAGCTCTCTCGCGAGTTTCGAGGTCGAGTCCAGTCATGCCAGTCATGATAGGAAGAGCCATGCCAAAGCGAGGATACATTGGAGCTTTGTCGGACAGTGGAGCTGCAAGTCCGGAGTTGTTGTGGACGGCCACGCCTTTTTTTTTCTGTACTTTTTATTCCTTCTCTTACCGGACCTCCCTTTGATACCACGCCATGCAAGGATGCCGCAGGCCAGTATAGAACAGAACATCAATGACCCGGGCATGACCCATGCATGACCTGAGGATGAAAATGAAGAAAACTCTTGGAATCAGCTAAGGGTGTCTCTGAGCTGTGATCTTTGCTTTACTCAAGCCGAGTACTCCGTGCCACGGTTGGCCCCCGAAGACGTCAATAAAAACACGCTGTAGTTCTCCAGTTGCTCTTCTTGGCCGATACAACTACCACATATGCATATGAGATGCGTCAAATCTTGAAGAGCGTCTATCAAACATGTTAGCAACCTCGTGGTCACGCAGAAAGGCCTGCCGCCGCTCATGGGTATCTCGCCTTGGCGAGCGCCGAGTTTCATTTGCCGACTTTTCGGAAAGACTGAGTAACAATCTGGAACTACAGAACTGGCAGCTCCACAATACAATACAATCAAAAGTGATAGAGTTGCCTCACCTCCGTACGTAGATCGTACCTAGGCAACTGGCAAATTCACATACAGTACCTAGGCGAGCCAAGCGTATTAGATTTTTCAAATCCGCCCCACGGAACACACTCTATGGAAAGGTGGTATGGACGCATGTATTGCGCCTAGGGAGGTCCCTGACCACCTCCTAAAGTACATGTTATATTTCATTCTCCGGAGAACCGTGCCAAAAGCACGGAATGTACGTACATAGTACTTGATCCGACCTGACTCGATTTCGGTCGTGTCTTCCCACTCCCCTAAAAGTGTCGTCCCGTAGAAGTACGCTATTGTAAAGTATAGTACTTCGTATGTTATCGCACATTCCGGGTCGTTCAGAGGGTGTTGCATCAGGTATGTCTGAGATGTGAGGCGTGAGGTTCCTATCCCATCATGATGCGTGCTCGCGCCATCACCTTGATCCCTCACCACGACAGAACCGACCCACTCATCACAACCAGCACAGCAATGGATCCAAGGCCGAGCACAAGCACAGAGGGCACGTAACCACCATGTACGAGGTACTGCAGGTCCCCTCAGAAATCAGAAATCCAGAACCAACTGACACCCGACCCTCTCCAGATCCTCCACCTCCAGCCATCCCGCGTCTCCGGCCCCGCCTCCGCCCTCCCTTCTGCGCTTGACAACCCTCTCCTTCTTCTCGTCTACGCACCGCCGGATCGCCTCCTTGACAAACACGCCGACGTACGTGCCCATGAGGGCCTTTGCGTCCTTGGAAAGCGTCGTCGTCGTCGTCGGGGATTCGAAATGGGCGTGCATGATCCGATGCACGAGCGGTAAGGGGATGGGGTATTCTTCGGTGTCCAACACTCCAGAGGATTTGGCGCCTTTGGAGCGGGTGTATTTGTCCGTGTGCGTGACTTCGGCGAGGATGAAGTCCGGTTCTGGGCTGGAGGAGAAGTCCAGGCCGGCGGGTGGAGAGGCGGTGTTGGCCTTGTCTTGCTCGTCTTTATCCTCACCTCTCCCTTCATCTTCACCTTCATCGCCGTCGAGGTCGGCCCTTTCCGAGCGGGACTCGTCTGTGGCGTTGTTCGTATCTGTGTCTGTCTCTGTGTCGGTATCCATATTCGCGGCAATGTCGTTCAGAACTGCGTCGGTCTCAATATCATCGTCGTCTTCCTCTTCCTCTTCTTCGGTGTGCCTTTTCCGTTTGCCACCGACGCGGCCATCATCATCATCATCGTCGCTGGCCCGGTCGACAAGTCCGCGCATCGTCGCACCCGCTCCACGCTGTTTCTGTTTTTGCCTCTTTCCTGTGTTGCGCTTGTCTTTCCCTTTCCCTTTCTCTTTCGCCGCGGGTATGGACGACTTCGCCTGAGGGTTTGATTTGCCCTTCTTCTGCACACCTGCAGCTGAGTCGGCGTTTATGTTTCCCTTCCCGTCCGATTTCCCCTTCGTGGCGACGCGGGTATTCATGGCCTTCTCTTTTGTGGATTTTGTGACTCTGGATATCCCCGGTCGCGGGAGCGAGAATGCAGGCTTTGATCGCTTGGATAGGGCGGTGGGTGCCATTGTTGTTTGGGGCGGTGTGGGTAAAATTCCCTGGCGCTTCGCAGTCTCTATTTCAGCAGGGTTGTCTGAGGTGTGGACCTGTCCCGGGGGGGAACCTTCGTAAATTGTGGCCTGTACTCCGTATGTGTCAATCATTTCGTCTGGTAGGTCATCAATGTCGTAAGAGAACCGATGTTACGCTTGACGCGCTCGGAAGCCGAACGCGGGGCAACGCGTAGTAACGCGTCCGAACAGCACGCGCTTCACGTGACATCTCGGCTCACTTGCCAACGGGCGAGTTGAGTTGATACTGGGTAAAGGCCACCATTATTACTGTATCTGCGTGGCACATGCAGGCACAGTCTCAAGATGCACATACTGCAAATTGTCAACCATTCGTTTTAGAATCCTATCTATCACAGGCCCTTGTGACTATCTCATAAGCTGCCCAGGTCATTGCTGAGCTCTCCCTTCTTCATAAAACACAACCGCCTAAACGCCTTCCGCTGTCGATGCAACCAATGTCATAATTTCATGATTCTTTCCCAAGCCATGCATCATCATACATCACCGAATCGTTTACTCGTAAAGATCCATGTTCCCATTGGGACCATCTTCAATCTCCAACATCGCATCATCCTCGTCAAACATATCTTCGTCATCTTCCATCTCACTATCAGTGTGATTTGGCAGGACCACAATCCGTCCGTCTTCCAGGATGACGTTCGCAGTCTCGCCGTCCTTGATAGCACCTCTCAGTATCAACACTGCCAGCCGGTTGAGGATCTCCTTCTCAATCAATCTCTGTAATGGACGTGCGCCGTAGGCAGGCGAATAGCCAGCAGCACCCAGGTAATCCTTGACCTCGTCGGTAGCGTTGATAAAGATCTTCTTGTCGTTACTCTCGAGCCGCTTCTGGATCTCGCTCAGCCTCAAGTCGACAATCTTCCGGATCTCTCTTCTAGTGAGCCGGTTGAAGATGACAATCGCGCTGATTCTGTTCAGGAACTCGGGTAGGAAGTAGTTGCGAAGCGCATTCATCACCAGCTCCTTGGTCGTGGGGTCAATCTTTCCGTCGGGTGCATTCTGGCGGGAGAGGTATTCGGCACCGAGGTTAGAGGTCATGACGACAATGCAGTTTCTGGCATCGATAATACGACCTTGTCCGTCGGTAATGCGCCCATCGTCCATGAGCTGGAGCAGGACGGTCAGAACTTCCTTGGCAGCCTTCTCGACCTCATCGAACAGCAAGATTGAGAAAGGTCGTCGTCGTAAGGCTTCCGTCAACTGACCGCCAGCGTCATGTCCAACATAGCCCGGAGGCGCGCCAATCATCCTCGACAACGAGTGTCGTTCTTGATACTCTGACATGTCGAACCGGATCATGGCCTTCGGGTCGTCGAACAGGAATTCCGCGAGTGCTTTGGTCAGCAACGTCTTACCAGTTCCGGAAGGACCACAGAACAAGAAGGATGGTGGCTGATTCGGGTTGCCAAGGCCAGAACGTTGCAATCTGATGGCGTTCGAAACAGCTTGGACAGCTTCTTTCTGTCCAACCACTGTGCGACCGAGCTGCTGTTCCATGTGGAGGATCTTTTCTTTCTCGGAGGCACGAAGTCTGGTGATTGGAATGCCGGTCATCTTGGACACGATTGCATTGATCTGTTCTGGGCCAACTGCATCAGTCGGTGAGACCTCGCCCATCGCACCAAGTCTGGTGTGCTGTTCAGCATCAGCTTGGGCTCTGGCATTCTCAAGTTCTTTGATCTTGTGGGCGACATCTGGAATGGCATAGTACGTCAGGTCGGAAGCGGTCTGCAGATCATTGGAACGTTCGGCTTCGTCCCGCTTGTTCTTGAGCTGTTCCAACTTGATCTTGTATTCTTGAATCTCGCGGGACCGATTCTTCTCGCGCTCATAGTGTTCTTTGAGTGGCTCGAGTTCTTCCTTGACGTTGGCTGCTTCGCGCTTAGCCTCTTCCAGACGCTCTTTGGATGACGGATCCGTCTCGCGTTGTAAGGCGTGGATTTCGATTTCGAGTTGTCGGAGCCGTCGCTCGAGATTGTCCAGAACTTCGGGTTGAGATTCGCGGATGACACGGACATCTGCTGCTGCTTCATCTATGAGGTCGACAGCTGAATCCGGCAGTCGCCGAGAGGTGATGTAACGAGCGGCCAAGGATGCAGCTGCAACAATGGCGCCATCGAGAATAGTCACACCATGGTGAACTTCGTACCTCTCCTTCAAGCCACGGAGTATCGAGATGGTCTCGGCCACGGAGGGTTCTTTGACTAAGACTTGCTGAAACCGTCGTTCGAAAGCAGCGTCTTTTTCGATGTATTTGCGGTATTCGGCCAAGGTGGTGGCGCCAATACAGTGGAGCTGGCCACGGGCGAGCATGGGCTTGAGGAGGTTTGCTGCGTCCATTCCGCCCTCACCACTAGCGCCAGCGCCCATCAGGAGATGGATCTCGTCGACAAAAAGGACGATCATCTCATTGGACGCCTCGATCTCCTTGAGCACACCCTTCATTCTCTCTTCAAATTCACCGCGATACTTGCTGCCAGCAACAAGAGACCCGACGTCGAGTGAGAGAAGTTTGCATGCGGCGAGGTTGGCAGGGACGTCGGCGTTTATGATGCGCTGTGCCAGCCCCTCGATGACGGTCGTCTTTCCCACACCGGGCTCACCAATGAGCACGGGGTTGTTCTTCGTTCTTCTGGACAAGATCCGGACCACTCTTCGAATCTCCTCCTCTCGTCCAATGACGGGATCGAGCTTTCCTTCCCGTGCTAACTGCGTCATGTCGATTGTGAACTTCTTGAGATTCTCATTCTCCTCCTCTGAGTCGGCCTGTTTGGAGTCTACTCTTTTCGTCCCCCGTATTTGCTGGATGGCGGCATCGATGAGTTTGTTGTTGGGAATGTTCGACTCGCGAAACGCCTCTTGAACCTTGGGGTCCTGTGCTAAGGCGCTGATCAGGTGGTCAATCGCGACATAGCTGTCTTTCTGGGTCTTTTGGAGTTCTTGGGCGGATCTAATGACCTTGGAAAGGGCCGGTGACATGGTGACATGCTCTGGCGGAGGATCTTGACTGGGTAACCGCACCAAAGCTTTCTTGAAGGCTCTGTCGAGTAACTGAACGTCGCCATGGGCTCGCTCTACCACCTGTCGGAACAGCGGTGCTGAGGCGTGAGCTTGCGAGGCATTGACTGAAGTCTGTTGGTCTTTTGACTCGTCCGGAGGAGGGTCAAATAAAGCGACTGCAAGATGAACTGGCAGAATCTGGGAATGGGCGTATTGCTCTGCCAGGTTTGCTGCGTCGCCAAGGGCCTTTGCGGCTCTATCTGTGAACTGAGGCGCTGCCATAGTTCGATAAGCTTTTGTCTATCTGGAACCGTGTGTGATTTCGTGTCTAGTGTTGGAAAACGCGAAAAGGAGGAAATGGTCGACAGCAAGGTGATTGTTATACTCGGGCACCCATCGCACCTGCGGCCAATGAGGCCTATGACATAGTGCTTTCCAGAACTGCCTAGAAATGCTTGGCGCCGTCACGAGACTTCGGGAACCCTCTGGACCAATCATGCGTCATCCAGCGGTTGCCGGCTGTTCCTTTCTGCATCAGTCGGTCTGTTGCGCATCAGACCACATTCTGTATCTCCATGAGTGTCGCTGTTGACGTACTGTGCATACTGTACTACATGTTGGCTGGTAAACGGTGTGCCGATACGATTCGATCCACGACAGATGTGCCACCTCCGTAGTGGCTGACCATTCACCAGACTGGACATGAACCGGGATTGACTTTTGAATTTACGCTACTCTGTACCAGCATGACTTGGAACTGGATACATTGTACATGGGATAGAGCAGGGTCATTCTCTCATTTGTCGTTTGCTGAAGCCAATGCTATGGAAAGTTACATTCTGGACGTCATTGAAGAGGAGCGACACCTTCGAGGCAGCCGAGAACTCAAGCTTTTGGCTTGAGGGCAAACTGCTTCAGGTACAGGAAGTCCGCCATGTTCTGGTCGACGGTCTTCCGGATCACCTCTGCTGCCTTTTCTCCGTATTTCTCCTTCCACTCAGCATTCCACTGCTCCTCGGATTTTGCTGCTTTCTTCTATGTGTTAGTCAGCACCGCCCCAAGGTTGAGCCATGGAGGCTACTCACGTGTTTTCTTGGCTTGAGGTCAGTAGAGTTGATGGCATCCTCGTGGAAGCCCTTCCACTTCTCGAACACCTCTTTAGCACGCGACTGAAGCTCTTCGTCGTCCCAGTTCAGCATGTCAGGATTGAAATCAAGACCCACACTTGCGCAGTAAGCTCGGAGGATACCCTCTGGGTCGTCCAGCAAATCATCAGCATCCACCAAGCAAACCTCAGGAATATTTGCATGGCCATTCTCCGTTGCTCCGTTTGCTGATCCATTTGCCAGAGCTGCACCTTTGTCCCGAACCAAGCCAGTCTCTCGTGCGTAATCGAAAAAGCGCCGGAGTTCATCATAGCCAGCCTCATCTGGGTAGAATTCGTGAAAGCCGGTCATTTCTTCAAGTGGAGGTATAGTGCATCGATAGTAAGATGGGATACTCGAGTGAGGGTCACGGATAAGGAAGGTGAAGTGGAACTTCTCAAGCAGGGCCCTGGGGACGATTGTCGGGTTTCCAGGTTCACCCTCTGTCGGGAAGGGGAAGGGAGCCTTTTTCCCGGTGCCATTCACGCCATTGGTGCCATTGGTATCATGGCTTCCGTTGATGCCACTTATACCATTAACATGGTCACCATTGATACCGTTTGTGCTGTTGACATGATAGTCTCCGTTGACACCATTAGCACCGTTGACATGATGGTCACCATTGACGCGGTTTATGCCGTTGGCGTGATGGCTACCATTTACCCCGTCAGCTATGTTAAAGGTTGCTTCGGTGCCAATGCCGCGCCTGTGAGGGTACAAGGAGGGCGCCAATTTGGGTGCTTGATGATTCGGAGGGACTAGGTAATGGAGGATGTCTTTGATAAACACGCGTTTGCCCTGTTCGAAGGTGAGCCAGGTCCTATCATAGAAACCTCAGTCACAATGCCATTTTAACGAGTATCTCACCTTAGCTTCTTCGTCTTCCAAACTATCGAAGATCGTTTTATAGGTCGAATCGCCGTACCCTGAGGCGATTCTGGTCTCTTCGTCATTTTCGTAGCGCACACTCATGCGCTCTGGACTAGGAGCCAGTCAGATATGACCGAGGTCTTGCTCTGAGAAAACTCACCCATAGTAAAATGCGTCACCAAACGGTTCGTGCACGGAGGTCAAATCTTCCCTGGTCATAAACACCTCGCCGCGGTCAGCCCGATGGTTCCAGGTTGCTTAGATGGTGTCTTACCCGTTCAAAAGCCGTGCTACAGGCTCTCGGGTGCGTGGCACAGAATATGGGTTTGGCCATGATGGCGCTTTCCTTTCAGTGAAAATGCTACAAGTCAACTGAGAGAGTCTGATGTCACTCCAAGATAAGAGACGTCAAGGCCAACAGACCGAGTCGATATAGCCCCTTTCGGTCGGCTAGAAAGATATTCCGGGTTCGTGGAGGCACCGGTGAAGAGGAGGTCAGGAATATCCTGATGGCTCCCGCAAAACACTTCTCAGCCATCGATCATACTTATACCTGCCTCAACGAAATCCTCGTAGCGGAACTCGGCCCACGGGACTCGGCCTGTTAGTATCAACAATACGTACGCAGTACTCGCCACAAGCAAGGCTTCGTTCGCTAGGATCCTATGGGGCATTTTGCGGAACGAATGGCAGAGGGCAGTGAAAAATTCGTCATTGCTCCATGTGCCAGTGAACGGGCACGACGGGCATCACTGAGCACCGCCAAGGGTTCGCGATTCGCTTGTGGTCCTCGGCCGGCCCCGCAGGCTGAAAGGAACGCACAGGGTCTGGGGAGTGGTGTGGTGGTGTTTGCACAACGGCAAGTCCACTTTTCCAGGAACATGTGGGTGGGAGAAGGTTCTTCAGTACTGTGTTACAAGTACGATGAGGCAAGGACAAGCAGCATCGAGTCAAGCCCGGAATGCTGGTCAAGGTGAATTGGAACGCCCTACAGTACCCTGCGAATCTCGAACCGCGATCGATCTCAACTCAGGTACCAAAATGCATGTGCTCTGGGGGATGCGCGGCAGCCACTGATGTAAGTGCTCGAGGTGCTGCACAACACTTCGGTGCCTCTCCGCCTGCTAATTCGGGCAACCATCGATCGTCCATAAATCGGGAACAAGCTGATGGTGTGGGATGGCATGACGTGGAAGAAATTGGTGGGCAAGTCGACGTTGAGAGACTTCTGATTTGAGTTGTGGGTACGGAAAGTCCTAGCTCGCCGAGCTAGTTAACTAAGTAACTCGCCGCCTCAGGCAAGCCACCCCCAAGCTTAGGGATCCTTTTGGGGAGAAAACTGACGATGCGGAAGCCTCCGCTTCCATTGGGTGAAGCCTAAACAAAATTCTTGGATGCGTCGATTTGCTTGCCGTCGCCAACTCTTGTGACGAGGTCCAACGCATCACGTATTGTGGCCATCCGCTCATTTATTCTTGTGTTCAGGGAGTTTGGCGCGGGGACTGTGATCTCAATTGCCCATTCTATTTACTTGGGGTCTCTCTCTTCATAGCTTCTGTTGCATCTCTTCAGACGTTTCTTGACCGACTTTCTTTGGAAGCTCTCGCTTCCCAGTCGTTGACTTCCGCCATGGATTTCTTGAAGAACCTGATGAGCTCTCCCACCGCTCCCTCACCTGCCGAACCGACCGTTGTCGTCGTCAAGCCAGTTCACCCCTACTATCCCACGGAGATCGAAATCCTGAACTTCGTGGCCAACGATCTGACCGTTCCGCAACTCCTTGCTACATTCGCCACGGGCTGTGCGGTGATTCTCGGCCTGACATGGTTCCTTGCATCCCGCTTTGCACCACGCCTGAAGAAGACGGATAAGCTGATTGCAATATGGTTTTGTTTGTGTAAGGGAAGACTGCCTGCGCCAGGAGACGGAAACTGATGTGCTGTAGGCGGCTTCATTCACCTCTTCTTTGAGGGCTATTTTGCTTATAACCATACTCGTATGGGCGGAATGCAAGATATATTTGGGCAACTGTGGAAGGAGTACTCGCTGTCCGACTCGAGATACCTTACGTCGGACCCTTTCGTGTTGTGCATGGAGACCATCACGGCGGTAAGATCGAGGTCGGGTTCACATGCCGTTAATCACTGACACAGGCGCAGGCATTCTGGGGTCCTTTATCATTCTTGATGATATATTTCATTGTTGCCTCACATCCTCTGCGCCATCCACTCCAGATAATCATTTCGCTTGGCCAGATTTACGGCGACATCCTATACTATGCCACGTCCATGTTTGATCATTACCACAAAAACTTGACCTATTGTCGGCCAGAGGGATACTATTTCTGGGGCTATTACTTTCTGATGAACTTCTTTTGGATCGTCATTCCAGGCAGTAAGTGTGGCCTTCTCCGTACTGGTGATCTTCAGCTGAAACATGACAGTGTTACTTGTGAGCAGCATGAGCTCGATTGCTGATGCCTTCCGGGCATTGAACTCGATAGCCAAGTCAGTGGCGGGAAACGGGACGGTGACCAGTCCAAAAGCGAATGGCCATGCCAGCACGCCCAAGAAGCGTGCGCAAAAGTAGAGTGACACTCAATGGGGCCCGTCCTGGGCTCCGCAAGCGCGAATCAATTCAATCCCAAACTGCCTCTGCCATGGCAATAGAATAGATATCCCGGAGACGCGTAACCAGTTGCGCTCGTGGGTGAGCGAGACAGCAGCATCAAGAATTTTGTGTCCATAGTGTAACCAATAGCTAAGACACAGAGTACAAGTGGTGTGCTCCAGAGAGGTGATTGGCACACTAGTTAGACCGAGCTATGGAGATCCGAGCTTGTTGGTCTCGCTTGTTGCTCTGGGAAACGCGCTCGGTGTATTGATGCCACCCCCACACACAGCTTGGGCCTTGACGCAACCCGCCTCGCATATCGCCTGCGCCACGGGAAACCTGTGCCACCGCGCCTTGCGTGAGATCCGGATCTGATCTGCTTGCTCGAAGTCCAACATTGCCCCTGCACCCTTTTCAGATGTTCGGCGCTCCGAGGATCGAGTCGCTATCTCCTATATCGACGTCGAGGCCCAATATGCTCAAGCAGCGACCTTCAGAGCCAATGCAAACTTCCCAGAGAGAGCGAACGGCCGCCACAATTTGAGCAGACAACCCATCAATGAACCACGCCTTCCTCATTACTTAGTCCATGCCAGCGGAGTCGGCCAAAAAACCAGCTCGCAAAACCCCAAAGACCTATCGCACGAGCAGGCGCACACCTCCCAAGGTCCAAAATGTAGAGTCCTCGCAGCGCGATGACGCCTACGAAGCGACGACTGTCCAGGATCGCATTCGGCAATGGCAGGCCCAGGGTGCTGCAGAAGCTCTCGCTCCAGATGCGGTGAGCGTGCGATCAATTCCGGCTTCTGAATGTCCCTCAAGCGTTACTAGACCGCGGTCTGAACACGGAGATGAGTCTAGTGTGCGAGGCGATGGAGGTACTAGGGAGAAAAGCGAGGGCGTTCGAGACAAAGCCAGGAGTAAGAGTGCTCCACGGCGCCGCATCGTCAGTGATGAGCACTGGAAGAGCAAGGAAGACGCCAGAGACAAAGCCTCTAAACCAACGAACAGTCGACGCCCAGAGTCTCGTCGATACGATCCGTCCTATACATCCAATCAAGAGAGATCCAAGGAATCTCGCCGCTCAAGGTCGCATCAACAACTACCGACAGACGGCGAGATCAAAACAGCAATTCCATTTGACGACGGTATCAGAGTCAAGCCGCTGGACCACGAGGGACCCCAACCTGCGGAGGATTCACAGTCCTATGGAGACGTGGAAAGCAGAGCGGATGATGAATTGGCCCGCCATTTGACCATGGAATCCATGATTCCTTGTGATCACGAAAAGTACTCTGAGGGATCGATCAGAGCGAACGATGACGACACAAGTCCACGCAAATCCAGCAGATATGCGGAATTGCTAGGCAGGGGCGGAGATGCAGTTCAAGCCATGGAGTTGCCGAAAGCCAGAAGAGGTGGACTTCTCGGCAAAACGCGAGGTAAGATTATGAAGTCGGAAACTCTACTACCGGTCAACAATCGCATACCCAGTATCGAGGCATGGCTGGATGAGCAACCTGACCCCTTTATGGATAACGGCGATCGAGAAGATCTGCCACCAGTGGAAGTGCCCAAGCCGTTGCGGAAACGGGCACATCGAAAGAGAACATCGGAGGCAAAGCCTGGATTGGCAGATCCGAATCAAATATGGGACTCTATTTCCACACCTGTCGAACCTGGACCCCCTGATACTTCGAAACAACTTGACTCAGTAACCTCTCCGGACGGAGATCGAGAATCCGCTCCAAGACTCCGCAATCGTCGGAAAGCCGACCAAGATGACGATGATGGGTCTCCATCATCGCTGCGGCGGAGAGGCGCGAAAGTGCGCCGACGGCGCGATATTTCCACAAAAGACATGATGAACAGTAGAGATGATCCGGAAGCAGCTGGATGTTTGGCTGAAGATCCTTCACTTGAGGAGCCGACAACCGCATCCACGAGTCCGCCTAACCGACGTTGTCCTCCTGTAGGCGGACATCAGCCCGCAACAACTGCATCCCCCGAGACTTTCAGAGAGCCGCCCCGTGAGCAGCGCCCTGACCCGCCTGTACCCCAAGAAAGTAATGGACTCAGGCGCAAGCTTACCACTCATGAAGACCTAATGTCAGTCCTGTCTATGCCAAGAGGAAGCAGAAACCGCCGATCAGCACGGGCCGCAAGAAGATCACGGGTCAAACAGCACTCCAGCTCTGCGAGGGAGGTACTGTACGGGCTGTCGGTGGATGAACAGAAGTATGCACGAGAACTGCAGACCCTTGTCGATGGTGTCATTCCGGTTCTTCTCCAATGTGCATTGTCTAGAACCAACTCAGCTGCGGCAGCCGAATTGTTTCTCTCGTCGGATAGCGGCTCGGACGAGATGAACATGACAAAATCGATCGTCGAGATGGGTATCGCATTGGAGAGACTGAAAACCCTCCACAAGCGGATTCCCCTCGGGGACATGGACAGCCTACTCAGTTGGGCAAAAACCTCAGAAAGGGCGTACCGGGACTATCTACATGCGTGGAGACTCGGCTTTGAGGATGTTGTTGTGAACCTTGCTCCTATTAACAGTTCCACTCCTCCCGAGCAAGGCATTTCCCGGGATGAGGCGGGTGACCTGGTAGACGGAGAAGGCAAGAAAGCGGATGTGGCTTACCTGCTCAAAAGACCGCTGGTCAGGGTCAAAGCCTTCAGCAAGGCCTTCACTCGCATTCGAGATCAGTCCGACCTAGCCCTTGCGGTCCAGATGGCGACTACCTATGCGGACCTGACAGCGCTAGCCAGAAGGCGAAATCAAGAAGAACAAGCACGACTGGAAGACAACCTTGCGGCGAATGTTGACGCAACGAAGTCGCGTGACATACGTACAATGGCGGCAATGACCCAAGTCAACGTGAACAGGACCCGCCGGGTGAAAGCGCGAGACTTCTTCAATCTCACCGTGTACCACTCAAGCGGGCAGAGACTGGACTGCGGCATTGAATTGGTCTTTCGAGACAATGCCCGTGGCGATCCGGTTGGGGGAGATGTGCTTGTTTGCGAAGTCGACGACACGAGTAAATGGCTCCTCTTTGCTCCCATCGAGCTGAATTCCGTGTCCGCGAGACGTGGAGAGGAAGGATTCGACCTTGTCATTATGGTTCGGGGCCTGGCCGGCTTAGGCAAGGAATGGCATGAGCTGCTGGCTCTGAAGACTGACGACAAGGAGGCTGTGACAGAATGGATGAATATGCTTGGTTCCAACCCGTTGCCTCCGAGGCTGAATCGCACCCCCGATTTTGTGCATCCACCTGCGCCTTTGGCCGTCACCGCAGCATTTGAATCTCGTCCTGAGCAAGCGGACGCGCACAGTCAGATATCGGATAAGGCAACCACCGTGGAACAGTTGGACGTCCCCATCGGTGAGCCATCTGTCCTCGGAGCCCACAGCAAGCCGAGCCGTGGGTCTAAACCTAGCATCCCTATAGTCCACGTGCCGTCGCCAGGACTGAGTTTAGGAGGCGGACTGGCGCCGAAACCTGTCCCGCAATACCGCGTGCCGCCAACCACAATAACAAGGAAGCCTGTGCCATCAGCGGTGTCTTCCGATCGGTCCACCATTTCGGATCGCTCACTCAGAGATTCCGCGACAATTCTGACCACGTCGTCGAAAACAACATCAACAAGACCTGGATATCTGGCAGGTCACGCAGAAAAGTCCGAGGCGTTTAGATCTTCCCAGCCGCCAATCATACAACAAGCATCCGAAGAGACGAGAACGCAGACTCAGAGCGCCAATCACAAAGGCGTCTCGAAAACTCTGAAAGGAGCGCATGCCTCTGACGGATGGCCATCTTCTCCAGTCTCTCATCACAACCAAGCTCCGAAGTCGACCGCTGCAACAGCTTCGCCTCAGGAGTCGCAAACTCTCAAGCAACACTCCACCACCCCGTCCCCTTTGCCTACAACAGGACTCGAAGCACCCGTACAAAGGCCTGCTTATCATCGAGCAGTGTCATCAACACCATCAAAAGACCTCCCTACTGTCAACAAGCTTCGCATTCAACCCGCTCACCAGAAGCCGTCCTCGGTGCAGACAGTTCAACAATCACCTGAGGTGCAACGGCTGTCACCGCAGGAAGACCAGTGGGCACATCAATCGAACCGTGGGCAGAAGGGCTCAACGAAGAGCAAGATCTATACAGAAGATATCCCACCACCGCCAGTCCACAACCAACGTCAAGACCGACCCGTGCGACTCAGTCTTGGTGCTTCCCCCTCTCCGCCATCCACTCCCCCTCAACGCTCGGGCATCCTCCTGCCGATATCAAATAACAACCCAGGCCTCGTTCCAAAACCTACACCGAGCCCGTCCGATAAAACGTTAAAACCGCGGACGTCATCACCTCTGAAGCATGAATACGCGCCATCCACAAGCTCTGGCAGCTCTTCCGACTCCGATTCCGATAGCGAGAGTGATACATGTTCGGACACGTCGGAAGATGTGGTATCCGAGCATGGAGATGTACCGACCCCTCTTGTTGCGATCACTGGCGCTGATCGTCGAGCATCTAAGCCGTCCATGCCTCCCCCGATGCCACCATCGTCGTATCAGGGTACAGGCACCTCTACAGGAACGCGCACGCTGGCCCCCTCGGATTCAGCTTCTCAAGGGCCATATCGCAGGGTTCCCTCTTCTGCTGCAGCCCCAGCCCACAAGAAGTCGAGGACAATCGCATTGATCTGCTCGTGGTCAGATAGAGGCATGTGGGAACAGATCCACCCCGACGAGTGCTCCATCGTCATATCTCCAGGTTTAATTGAGGCCTTTGAAATGTCAGCAGCCCACTCCGTCCCGCAAAGCCGCCCTACAGACGACTCAGATTCGAGGGCGTCCTCGCCAGGTCAACAACCACTTGTGGCTTTCGAGCTGACTCCCATCGTCCCACTACGAAGAGGAACTGCGTTGGACATTTCTATCCGGTCACCCCCGACTCCAAATTCTAAGATCAGGATAACCAACAATGTCATGTTTCGGTCACGCAACCCCGAAGAGTGTGAAGCACTGTACGGCATGATCAACTGGGCGCGTTGTAACAACCCGACTTACATCCAACTTCAAAATGCACGTCCGGCTCGGCAACCGTCAGTCACCTTTAACGTTGGGCAAGCTTCACATACACGCGCAAAGTCGAGTTCGTGGTTCAGCTTCGGTAGTCAGAAGAAGTCAAGTTACCGCGCGTCGTCTGCACCGACGCCCGCGTCGGTCGACTTTTCGGTCGAGAGCTCGGGTACCACGACGAGTGCGTTCTCCGCCTTCAAGAGATTCAGCGTTAGCAACGCTTTCAATCTGAACAGGTCATCGGTCCTTCGCAAGGAAGGCGGAGTAGGCACACCCGGCTCGCTGTACTCTTCCAGCAGCGGCACCCGCACCGGCTCGGGTTCCAGTACTCCGGCTCCCAGCCAAGCTGGCTTTATTCCCGGCCACGACGGACCCAATGTTCCATCTACCAGCGCAGCCGCGGCCGAAGGGGGAGGCATGGTCAACAACATGAAGATCCGCCTCTACGTCAGAAAAGGCCAGCACTGGGAGAACCTAGGAGCCGCCCGGCTGACTGTGCTACCTTCGGCGTCCCCGCCACAAAGCGGCCAAACGACCTCCAGGCATTCAGGAGTTCTTGCGGGAGCCTCTTCTCCACCCGCCACGCCGGCCCACTCCCATTCCCGCTCAGCCTCGAACCTTACTCCCGTGGGACAGCCCTCTATCACCCGCGGGCCCCGCCTCCCCAGCTCCAGCCACACGCCGCACCGCGTTCACGGGAACGGGCGCGAAAAGCGCATCCTCATCACGCGGAACAAGGACCGCGACGTCGTCTTGCTCGACTCGGTGCTCGGGGAGAGCTGCTTTGAGCGCGTCATGCAGACGGGCGTGGCGGTCAAGGTGTGGAACGAGGACGAGGTCATTGCGCACACGGGCGGTGTGACGTTGGGTAAGGAGAGGGTGTATATGCTCCAGTTCGCGGGGGCGAGGGAGGCGGGGTGGGTGTTTGGGCTGGTGGGGACGTATAGGTATGGGGCTGGTGAGTGAAAGAGTGAATGCACGAACGGATGGGTGGATAGCGGGATGAGGGACGAGAGATGCAGCTTCTGGTGCTACGCGGTTTTTCTTTGCGGTGGGTGGTACCGACTTGTTTCAATATTAGGTTTCCGGCATTTGATCATTTGATTTTGAGCGCGGTGTTCAGGAAATGAATGGAGGGTACTACGTACTTCGATTAAGTAGGTCGGAGTGTTAAGTGTTTCTTTTGTGTCTGTATGTATATCTATGTTTATGTCCATCGGCGTGCTCTAGAGGCTTGAGCGATTGGATAATTACTCGATTGGAGGGTCCGGATAATTAGGGCCATGCCATTGTATCGAGGCCAGGAACGAGTTGCGTGGTCGGATCTGGTGAAAGGGTAATTAGATCAGGAAGGTTATAGTACGGCATCTTCACGTTCGCCGAACTCTCCAGTACAGACACACATATACATATATACCTTGGATGGAACGATGACAACTGGATGGGACTAGTCTCCTAGTTCCCCCCAGTCAGAAATCTCGCGCCGACGGATGAGTGGATCGCCTGATGTTTCTAGACTTCATATTTGTTACATTACAGATCGGGAATCGGTATAGCTACAGCGCTCGGAACAGTTACAGCGCTCGCTCGAGCGATTCCAGGCCTTGATGACATGGTCCGGGTTGTACAGGACGTACATCTGGACGACAAGCTCGGACATGATGTACGCGATGGATGTCCGGTCAAAGGGCCATCCAAAGTAGTTCGACGAGCCGGCAAAGGATTCGAGTGGGCGGCCCTCTCTCGGCCCCGCAGAGATGGACACCCAGTGATACACGCCTCCGGGGGGAAGGCACTGCGCTCGCGAAATCGGCAATCGAGGCGTTGATGGGAGCTGTAGTCAAACGTGGCCACCCAGGCCTCCTAAATGAGCTCCAGGGGCGCCACCGTTGTAGACTGAGATGGCAAGCAACGTGCCTAGGACGGACGACCCAAGCGATGTCGGTAGTCAATGCGAGTCCGCAGATGCTTAGAAGGTCGCATTGGCGGTGAAGCTGGTCGACATGACCTGACGCGTTGACGATCTCGCCTCCCAAGGATATGACGGGCTGTTGGTCGCACACAAATACAATCGGAGAATGGGTCATACACCGTACTTCATACGAAGTGCAACCGAGGAGACTCTCACTCTCGGACGCGCTAATAAATAAGGGACAACGGTTCCGTACCTTGGGTATCCCCGTCCACAATCTATCAGGCAGAGACCCGGGATCTTATGCACTTCGGTGAGGTGAAGGCATTCGCTTGGTATTGACAGTGGTTCGCCTATCTGTTGCACCTCAAATAGGTAATTTGAATAGTCACTGCGCGAGAGCGGGTGGCGGTCGAACAGCAAGGGCGGTGTCGATCGCGGATGATTGGCTATAGATAGTGAGCGTTGGCGACGCTTCATATCGTCGAGCACGAGTCATGGTCGAATCTGACCAAAGCTGTTACAAAGACAGCCAGGAGGAAGAGCGCTAAGCACCCTAAGCTTAACTTCGGCGCGTGCTTGTGCCACGAAGCTCGAAGCCGGTGGCCAATCTTCGAGGCGTGAGCTGAGTTGGAGTATCTACACCGAGGCCGTGCTGAATTGCCCCTTGGACGAGTGGGATGAGTGATAGTATAAGGCATTGATGAGATCGTGAGACTCGGCGCAGGCAAGGAAAAACAAGGACAACCGGGACAACCAGGAAATCAGCTCCAATCACGTGATGTTGCTTGGGCGCGGAAGCTGCCAGCCTTGGCAGATGCTTCCTCTGTTCCGTTCCTCTTTCAGGATCCAGATGCTGTTGCGACACTGCAGCTTCTTCTGCTTATCGCCAGTCACGTACGAGTACCTAAGTCACAGATGACAATGCAGGCCAAGTCTCCAGAGCCAGTCATATCGGCGCTCTGTAGTGTTGACAGTGCCGGCAGAAGTAGTTAGTGCGCGGGGCAAGGCGCATTCGACCTTGCCAATGCTCAGCCTCACCATCGCCAGCTCAGGCAATCTTCTGCCTGCCAGCCAACTCAACACTCGAATATGACGGTCTCCAGGAGGAAACTCGCTCCTACCAACTCCTCACTACCACCCATTCAATCACTCGGTACCCATGGCGAGCGGGCTTGAAGTACTCGGGGCGTTGGCTGCAGCGTCTCAGATAGCTGAGCAGCTCCTGAACATTGTCAAACTTGTCCAAACCATTCGAGATGCGCCGAAGGAGGTCGTTCAGCACATCGCCTCGCTGCGACAACTGACTAGCGTTGTGGAAAGCATCAAGGCCACCCCGTCCTACCAGTCTCGACAGGTGGCCGAAATCCTGTCATTGATTAACACCAAGACCAATGCCTTATCGGACATCCTGGTTAAGCTCCAAGCAGATTCCCGGGACAGTACTGTGAATGCTACCAAAAAAAGAGTCAAATCAACCTGGATTACCGATAATGTGGCGAACAAACTCGACCAGATTGAAAGGGACAAATTGACACTGGCCTTGTGCCTTGCTCGGATTGATGCGTGAGTTCACCTGTCTTGCCTCAATAGGCCGGCGGGGCTGACCACTCGTTCTCATTGCTTGAGCCCTCTCGCTCCGACATACGCAAGTGTTCGACTGGGACTGACCTATGGAACAGACAAGTCCAGGGCGAGCAAATCAGGAGCCTTTCTTCCCAATTGCAAGGTCTCCGCAGCACGAGGGATGCGTCAATCTTTACCGCGGAGCAGTGGCGAGATTATTGCCTTGCTGAGCTCTTTATCACGAATCCTGTTGACGATAGAGCTATGTTGACTCGGACGAAGGGAGAACGCACCCACGGAACCTGTACTTGGATCATCGAGCAACCAGCCTACCGATCATGGAAAGACCCGGCTTGTCAGTCGCCCCTTCTTTGGATATCGGGAGGCCCCGGAAAAGGCAAAACAATCATGTCAGTCTTCCTGACAGAAGAACTGGAACAGCTTGCCGCGCAGAGTGACACCAACAAGCACCAAGTGTTATACTTCTTCTGCGACAATAGGGACAACAAACGAAACAATGCCTCCTGCATACTCAGGGGAATTATTCTTCAAGTCCTTCTCTCGCATCCCGATATGATTACCCACTTGCTACCCGACTTCAAAATCCAAAGATCCAAACTGTTCGAGGAGAATTCTTTTGACGGTCTCTGGAGGGTTTTCGAAAACATCATTCGTGATATCGACGTGGAAATCGTCTCCTGTGTGTTGGACGGGATTGATGAACTGCAAGATTCTTCTCTGGATACCCTCCTGCCGAAGCTCCAGGATCTTGCTCTTCCGAAACTGAAGGTCATCGCTTTCAGTCGGCACTTCCCGCGGAGCATAAGTGATGCGCTCAGCCACTATCCCACAATTCGGCTAGACCCAGACTCGCAGAAGGAGATCAGCACAGATGTGGACACCTACGTTCGCAACAGTGTCAAGGAGCTATCTCGGGTAAAACGATACCCTCCAGATTTGGAGCGACATGTCCTTGAGACTTTGAAGCTCCGGTCAGAAAGTACCTTCCTTTGGATTTCATTCGCGGTGGGTATTTTGCGAAAGGTCACCATCTCTGAGACAGAAGCCTGCCTTAACTCCTTACCGGCAGGTCTTCACGATATCTACGGCCGTCTCTTGCGAGGGGTCAGCAAATCCAACTCAGACCTTGTCGCTGCGATGCTGCGATGGGCTACTCTCTCGGTGAGACCATTGAAGCTTGAAGAGCTCGGCACGGCCTTGGCGCGACCCTCTTTTGCAACACTTAAGCCCGCGGAAGTGATCAAAGACGGACTCCAACTGTGCTCGGGACTCCTGCTTCTGGATGATGATATGGTGACTTTGGTGCACCAGTCGTTCAAAGATTACCTTCTCCGCCCAGAGCCTGATGCGGACTCGGTCCTGGAATGTTACAGAATTAAGCCAGATGAGGCGAACTGCGAGATTACGGTAAAATGCTTGGAGTTCCTGAGCGAGGAGAGGCCGTCCGCACGTGTCTTCAGGGATGCTTTTCTCTGCGAGCATCACCTGGACCCAATTGAGGTTTCCTTCCTGAGCTATGCTACCACATACTGGCCGCTGCACGCGCGAGCTTCACCCTCCTTTGCCGGAAAAAACGATACGATATTCAGTTCCTTCTTTAGTCACGAGGAAGGTACTGGAGCCTCATGGTTCGTTGAATACATGCCGCCACTTGAGCCCTATTTCAACAGGGACATCTGGCGCGATGTCTTCCACTTTTCTAACGCCCTATTCATGGTTGCGACGGCGCTGCTGATCCCCAATCTAGCACTGAAGTATTGGCACAGACCTAGAACATTTGGGAAGCTGATACGGTTCCGGCAGCACGACAGGATGTTGAGCCTGGCCCTTTCGGTTGCAGCAGTGTCAGGAAACGTAGAGATTGCTCGCTTTCTACTACGTCACAGGGTGCACGTCAACAACGCCTACAAAAGCGATGGTACCTCTGTCCTTGGTGTCACGCCGCTCCACCTCGCGGCAGTCCGTGGTCATGAAGATATGGTGAAGTTGCTCGTGTCAAAGTCTGCGAACCTAGAGGCCAAAGGACCTTACGGCCATACGCCGCTTTATACCGCTGTTTTCAATTCCATGTCGCCCTCATTACTGAGGCTTCTGCTTGAGGCTGGTGCGGACACCGAAACCAGAGACCTTTATGGCCGGCCGCCCCTCCATGCTGCCTGCCAATTCGCAAATGAATCCACAACAAGGATCTTGCTCGAAGCTGGCGCAAATGTAAATGCATCGGATTCGGATCTTTGCACACCTTTGCACATAGCAGTAAGCCAACGGGACGGTGACATTGCAAGACTCTTGATTGATCACGGCGCAAACATCAACGCTCGGACCACAAGCGGCGAGACGCCGCTTCAAATGGTAGCCATCGAAGCTAGGCCAGATCTTTTCGCAATGCTTCTGCACAAAGGCGCAGACATCAAAGCCCTTGACGATGAAGACCAGACGGCAAAGGAGAGGCTGCAGGATTTGCTTCAAGAGCTAGAGGAAGATCGGGATCCTTTTTTGGCATTGCGTTACACTAGCATAGCGGATATAAGGGACACCCTTTTGATGTTGCAGGCCGCTGAAGCAGGCATTCCCCCGCCAGTCGCACCATGACCGATTGTCGGTGCCACGATCCTCGGCTCCCCAAGCATCGACTTCACAAGCATCTACTCCACGGAAACCTGGCTCTTCTACCTTTGAATCAGGTTTGACGACTTTCGGCCACCACCGCTAACAGAAGGACATGGCACACCCCGGCACTTGGCAAGTACTTTTAAATGCCGCGGCGTAGCGTAGTAATAGTCTGGTAGGAAATCAAGCGTTCTGCTCCTGCTGTAACCAAGTCATCGCTCCTACCAGATCTTTCATGCGCAAAGCGTCGACTTGGGAGAGGATCAACAAGGGATCTCGCTCTCGCCCACGGTCTCGCTCTCAGGGCTCGACCACTGCTCTAGCGACCTATTTATTTCGTTGAAATAGCCACCCACGCGATCCCGACGATATCGCGGAGTCCGTATAAGATCAGCTCCTAGCTGAACTCGCAAGGACATGCAACCAGCCTCATACCGTATGTCTCATGGTGCGTGTCTTGGTAGTCGGCGCTGTGATACAGCTCTCCTTGTCTTCGGTGGCCAAATCGACTCCACCTTGATACGTGCGGTCATGGACCGTCCATCAGATGCCTCATCGCCCAGCGCAGGTCGATTGCGGTATGACGTGAGGTAATTGATACACGGTTTGGGAATGTATGCTGGATGCGGATGGATTTCCAGCCTGGCCATTGTATCGATCTGCTGGCGGAATGAAGGCTCGCCCGCAAAGGTCTCGACGATGATGAGCGAGTAGCGAGGCCAAGGAGAACGCTCTGCGAACGATATTTCCTGGGAGCTATGCCCAAGACAGATTGCGCACGTACCGATGGTCGACGGCCGTAAATGGAGTAGTAGTAGTGGTTTGCTACGTTATGAAGGATAGGTACGTACGTGAAGAGACGGAAAGACTTGCCCAGACCATGCTTGATTCGCTTGTTTCCAGGGGCGGCTCGGCTAAACGAAGACGATCCGATCAGTAATCACAAATCCTCGGGCGCGTTACACAAGCGCCGTCGCCTGATTCTGTCACTGCAAGAACGATACTCCGGAAGCCGCTGGGAAAGACAACACGCCAGTCGAATACGGCCTTGAGGGTGGAGGCTTGCTACGACCATGATACCGGATGACTAAAAGCATGGACTGGGTCGACTGGACGGAGCGGGAGGTTGTGGCGGGCTCGTTATCACCCGATATGTCGGTGACATTACCTCCATCTTCTCAGCATCTGCAGCAAATCCTGGTAGGCCATCAAGGCGGCGAGATTGGCGTGCCGTGTTTCCAAGTGGCTGAACCAGCCTAAGGCCATGGCTCACGTCCACGAGAGCTCGAGTGGAGGGGGCAAAGCAGTGGGTGATCCTGTCGCCAACGTCACGGCTATCGACCAGCAGGATGCTTCGGACGCACCTTTGCAGGGCGGATTTCTGTTCATTGCGTCGACAGGTCACAAGACGAAGGATCGCCAACAACTCCGGACCCTGCGCGGACATGTTATGCACAACTACCTCGAGCGGAGGGATGCTGGAAAGCATGAAGGCGACGCCAACCAAGCCGGCAGAGTGTCGCTGAGCACCGGGCAACCGCAACTTGGGATCCCAAAACCTTTTGTCAGCGGCGGGCAGAAGATGAGGTTTAGGATGCGATCCGGGGAGCTGGAGCTGCGCCACTCATACAGGTACCGCAAGGGCAAGAAGTGGAAACAAAGAAACGCGACCGAAGACGAGCGCGACGGAGAACCTCCAGCGAAGGAATCATCTGCCACCACCGAGCAACACGTTGCCACCGACTCAGGCTTCGTGCCAGGAATGCCAGTGACGTGGCTGGGGTCTCGCAAGATCGACGTTTTCGGTGTCTCACCGGTCAAGATGGATCAAGGAGATGAAACCTCCCTCTTCCTGTTCCAGCAATACGAGAGGTACCCTTGGTGCCCGATCAATGGACAGAGTTCGTGGTCATCATTCGTCGTTTCCGACCAGCTGGTCTTCCACGCGACCATGTTCAGCTGGGGCATGCATTTCCGGCACCGCAGACCCGTGCCCGATCCGCACGAGGAAATGAAGACACTGCAGCACAAAGTAGCGGCTATATCGCTCATCAACGGCCGCTTATCCGACTTGGAGCGGGCGGCGACTGACGAGACGGTCGCGGCGGTTGCAGCCTTGACGAACATTGCCCTTGTCGTTGATTCCCACGTGGAGGCAAGCAAGCACATGGCGGGGTTGTGGGCGATTGTGCAAATGCGAGGAGGTCTCTCGTCGCTGAAGTCCAATGTTCAACAACATCTCCAACGGCTGATCAGTTGGAACGACCTGATATACTCGGAGGTGTTTGATGAGAAGCTGCGCTTCCCACCGATCGAAGTCTGGGACGAGTCGTGGGGAACTCTTGAGCGGCGCCATACCACGTCAGGGTCACTGCCCGGCCTGAGCCGTGCAGAACTGCAGGCAGCTGGAGTGCCTCATCACCAGGTCATCGATCTCCTCAGTGACATCTGCGAGCTATGTGATGCCGAGCAGACCAGTCCGCTGAGGCTCACGCACGACCAGGGGCGAATGCGCCGAGCCGACATGTTCCATCGCATGGAGAGAAAGTTGTGGGTCATTGTCCAGGGGGATGCCACGCTGGGGGACAATCGCTGGGACGCGATCGTATGGAGGGCGGTGTCGTTGTCGGCCTTGCTATTCACCCACCATTACTTGCGCGGCAATCCGCTGAAGTACCGGCATTTCAACGTCCTGTCAACACAGCTCTACGACACGCTGCTAGCGATGGACCAAGACCTGGCGGAGCTGGATTTCGCTCCATCACTGCTCATCTGGATGTTGAGTACCGGGGCGGTGACCACCTCTTTGTTCCCGGTCGTGCATTCGTCGTTCATCTTCATGCTTGGTCGAGCGTGCGTCAAGCATGGACTAGTGGACTACAACCGGTTTCAGCGGACTTTGAGCCAGTTTCTGTGGACCGGCGAGGCCGATGAGGCGAGATACTCGAGACTCTGGCACGAGCTGGAACCGGCCATGCAGGCGAGCTATCTCGAGGCCGCTCAAACAACCAGATGTATAGCACACATGTATCATCCGTCTCGATAAGCAGTATTGTATATACCTAGCAGAGAGAGATTGTGAGCGCCGGATGACGCCTCCTTATCTCCGGCCACTGAATCACTGGCTCGGCCCGGCATTCGACCGCGAGTCGAGCTCGTCATGTTCACATTCCCGTCCTCGATCTCTTACATCTCCATCTCCCTCGCTTACATCGTATATCGGTATCTGGTAGATCCAAACATGCAAGAAGTCTCTATACCTTTGCAGCCATCGGCCGGCGCTATTCATAAGCCAACAGTCTACGAGACGACCACCGAAGTCGAGCTGAGCCAGAGCCCCAGTTCGTCCCCGGACAATTCGTCCCCGCAGCTGATCCCGCACTCACACTCGGCCTCACCGTCACCGTCTCAGTCACAGCCCATGGCACGACTCCTCGACCAGGCGCCGGAGGTTTTACACCATATTTTCCAGCACGTCGAGCCGACAGACTTGGCCCGGGTGGCGAGGACTTGTCGTCACCTGAACAGTGTGGTGAAGACCGACGAACTGCTCTGGAAGATCCACTATCTCTCTCTCTTTGTAAGGATGGCGCCGCTTTAGACTCGATGCCCGTGTCTTGATATCGAACGACGCAACGAGCACTGACAGCACTTACACTCCTAGGACCCTCCCGACGACGATGCTACAGGGACGTGGAGAGCCCGACTCACTCGTCTGATCAACTTACAGAAGATCCTCGAGTCGGACAGTGAAGAAGTAAAGGTGAGCTAAGCAAAGCGTGCTGACATTTCGACGGCGTGGTACATCCAAGTCATGTCCCGCCACATCTAAATGCTGTCCAACTGGACCTGATCTAACCTAACATCTCCTCTGCCTCTTCACAGACCCAAAATCTCTCCGAGATCCTCACTCAGACCCTGGCCCTAGCGGAGCAAGCGCTCTCGACGCCACCGAAAAACACGTCCTTCCTTTCAAAGTACTACCAGCAAGGCCTCAACATCAACACCATCCTCTGCTGCTCCAGCCTCTTCACGCGCGCCCGACCGCGACAATGGCCCCCGGCGCCCACAGAAGATCTCCGCCAGATCTCCGCCCAACTCCACGTCCTGGCAGGCATGAACCTCGACGCCCCGTGGCCCGACCCCGAAGGACAATCCTGCTCGCATGTCGCCTCCACCCGCGCAGGCAGTATCTTTGACGAATCCTACGACAACAACTCTGACGACAGTTCCGACGCGGAGATAATCGACTCCGAAGCGCCAGACACGGACAACGAGGACACGCGGCTCCGTCTGCGCAACCATCCGACCCCGATCCGCGACGTCCACCCCTGGGCGCGCAGCAGAGTCTACGACCTCCGCCGGTACAAGGAATCCAACATGTGGGGTCCGTTCCACGACGACGGATCCGGCCGTATCGACTGGGAGAAGGTGCAATCCATCATGATCGTCCTGGCGTACAACCACCGTCTGTACACGGAGCGACGCGGTCTCATCGGCGCCGACTCGCTCGGGCTGCCCGCGGACTCGACCCGCATGGCAGATCCCGTCCGCAACGTCAGTTCCACGCGAAGCAACCTGCTACGACCGTGGGAGGGCGTATTCGAGGGGATCGCGCCCAACAGCTACGTGTCCTCCCCGTTGGAAGGGAAGCTGAAACCATCGCTCCACCCACACTTGGACGCGCTGGACCCCTACGGCGTGACGGGCACGTGGATGCGTATCGTCTGCTTCCTCGACTACAACGACCTGTACCGCTTCAATTTCGATCCACACGCCAACATCCCGAGGGACCAAGAGCGCGACCCCATCTCCACGAGGGAGGCGTTTCGGCTGATCAAACTGCAGTTGCAGGTGACGAGAGTCGAGGAGCAAGAGGGCCTCGACGTCCACGGCAAGCCTTTGTTACCGGTCGTGTACTTCGAGGGCACCAGCCGGAGTACGTTTATGGCGTGGGACCCTAACGCGAACTCGCGCATCAGAGGTACGTGCCGCGCATCTGGGGCATCCCCATATCAAGCCGAATATTCATGCTCGCCCTCATGCCTACCCTCTGCCATTATTTCATTCCCTTAACTAAGCTACGTTTTGCTCCCCCTCTCCCCTTGGTTTTCTTTCCATTTCCCCCACCTAAGCTGTGTGCGTGCGCGGCCGTGTGTATGAGTATGGTGTTCACGCCATTTAATCACATACCCGCTGCCCACCACTAAGTCATTTTGTTCCACCTATGAACCCCCTGCCCACCATTAAGTCATGTCAGTCAACCCGTGTTTCCCCCTGTCCACCTCCCAAGTCCTTTCAGTGTCAAACTATGATCCCCCCTGCGTGCCCACCCACCCATGCAATCAAATCCCCCTCTCTCCGATCCGTCCTAACCACCATTGTCTCCTGTATAGGCACCGTCCAAGCCACACCCTCCGGCGCCGTAAGGTGGACCAGCTTCAGCATCTTCCACGGCGAGGAACGCTGGCGGTCAGAGGGCGTGCAGATCGGCGGGCTCAACTCGGCGCGCGGCATCCTGGGCAACTGGTTCGACAAGGACTACGACGCGCACGGCCCCGCCGGACCCACGGCGTTTTGGAAGATCAGCGATACCATGGTCGAGGAGAGGAGGCGGGATGTGCCGAATGTGCTGCAGATTTTTATGGCTGAGTGAGCCGTTACTGAAGAGTGGAAGACGACCGGGATGACGATGACGGTGACGATGATGATGATGATGATGACGACGACGACGATGATGATGGGATAGGACAGCCCCGTCCTAGAAGCTGGAAGCTGGAAGCTGGACGCTGTAGATATGATACCTGCAGTACCTCTTGACGTGGGCTGCGTGCGGTCGGGACGGGATAGGATGGGATGGGGTAGCATGGAATGGACCAGGTCCAGATGAGCGAAACGGACGGGGCTACCTAATTCCACGGTACCACGGTATTATCCCTGATTTGACGCGAGGAATGCTTCGTGGGCGGGACAGTGGATGACTGGCGTGGCGTGGTCGGTCGTTGGCATGCGGCACTCTACTCATATTCACATTGACATTCGTATGCAAAGCTATGACCATATTCATGGTCACGAGACTTTCTACTCAACTCAGTCGAGTCCGCCACGCTGACTGGGTACGGACCAAGATTGGTGACATCTCTTGACGTCAAACGGAGTGAGACTGAAGAGAGGTTGGTAGACGCCAGACCAATGTTCATCAATTTCGGCTGAGATCGTTCATTCATTCCATACGCCGGGCCTCGGGCAATTGTACTGTACTTGTACTGTACTCATCACGTAGACAAGCCATCGCGACTGCCACCCCCACCGTTTCTCAATCAGACAGGTTCATCCAAGTTATATGTCATAGCCTTATACATCTCCTTTTACATGGCTCAAGCTCCCGCCTTTAGACAGCAGCAGCACAAATGCTCCATTTCGAGAACATATATCATAGAAAACGCCCGCTCATTGATATCCACAGCAGTAAAGACTCGCTATCTGTCGTTCAGTCAATTTCCATCCTGTTTGCCATCGGCCGCGGAGCCGGCATCTTCCCAGCCCCGCTGGGTTCCATCTCGGTGGCGTACGGAGCATATGCACTTCCTCCCATCGGCTTCTCATCGTCCTCGATGACTTGCGGCTTGTTGACGTACGGTTTGAGACCCGTCTTATAGTTGTTTGCGCAAATACATGCGTACGTGATGGTGAGGAGGATGAGAATAATGGTCAGGGCGGCAAAGGCCGTCAGTTCTTTTCGTGCCGGGAGATATGGATCCTTCCAGTGCGGCGAGTACATACGGACCATCTTGAAGACGAAGTAGGCGAGGCCGCCGAAGTAGAGGATCTAAAAAGCAAGGATTAGTCACGCGATTGGGCGAGGAACATTACTCGCTAGACTTACAATGACGGCAATGCTGCCGATGAGCGATTCTTTCCGCACAAACCAGGCAGCGGCCAACAAAATGAAAATGGTGACGGGAATGGCGGCAATGGTGAGAGCGAACTCGGCGCCTCGGCCCTTGACAATGACGACGAATTGGACGGTAAATCCGAGGAAAAAGAAGAAGTCGAACTTCAGCACGGTGATGTAGATTTGGTACTGGAGATAGCGCCGCTTCATCCTCAGGTCGGCCGAGATGCGCTTGTAGATGGTCCATGCGAACTCGTCGTAGAGTTTCCAGGCGCAGCCAGCCATCAGAACCGTCCCCACGGCAAGGATGCAAGGGATGGCGATGAGATATGGCTCGGTATCGGACCAGATGTCTCTGCGAATGTAGTCATCTTCAGCTAGCTCTAAGATCGCGTCCTTGATCTGGTCCATCTGGACGGCGCCGTAGATGAGCAGTCCAACATTGTACATGACCAGTCCGATGACCTGAATGGTATTTTTCATGCGCAACGCATCCCACACGAGCACCAGCTGGTACAAGAAACCGAAGATGTACAGGGTCAGGAAGGTGGGAATGGTCCGCGAGGATGTGTTGCCGCTGGTGTTGGGAATGCTTTCAAGGTGGATCTGGAAATGCGCAAAGACATAACTAGCTTTTCAGTCAGAATAGAACTTAAGCCACCAGTTGGATGCTCACCTCTCGCCTGCAAGAACGATCATGGCCTGGGCAAGGGCGATGAGGGAAAACGCCCACGTCCATTTTGAGTTGGGTCGATACATGATGGATGTTGATCGTCTCTTCTCAAAATCCTTTACAGCATATCCTTCGCGATGGTGGAACCCTCCCGGTAGAGGATGATAGTTGTCTGCCTGGCCTCCGAGGAGGGATGCGCGAGACTCGTGAGCGGGAATTTTGGCGGCTTGGAGCGGAGTTGGTGGTTGGACTCCTGCTTTCTGCGATTGCGTTCCCACAACCGATGGTCGTTGTGGTCCGGCTCAGAGACGTTGAACGGTCCGAAGATAACGATAGTAGCACCAACGATAACAGTTCGAGAAGCTTCTGGTGTATATAAGGGGACCTGAAAGTCACTTGATCGGGGTCCGTGGCCTTGATCAAGGCTTGGTACTGAGGTGAGGGCGCACTCGGTTAGGGGACTTTGCAGTTTGGGTGCGGCTGAAACCCAAGGAGGAGGGGATGCCTGGAGATGTCACTTGGGGATTGGTTCCCAGCGCGGTCTAGAGCGGGCAAGTGGGCGGACTAAGCAGGCGAACTGCTCACTGAGCGTCAGTTGATCGATGGTGAAGAAGCGAGTGCAGAGTTGGTTGCAATGAATGTGTCTAGAGATGGAAGAAAGGAGAGGTAGAAAGATCGGGGCCAGCGCAGTTGCAGTTGCAGTTGCACGTCTCCGTCAGCTCTAACTGACTAGGAGCACGCGAACAGGGCGCTGTGACGGTTGAAGGCGGAGCGAATGATCCCAGCAAAAAGACTGGGGCGAAGCTGCCCGCAACTGCGCCAGACCGAGCAAGAATTTTCCCAAGGCTTCCTTTTTGTGCTTAGCTGGGTTGTTATGCGCGTCTTTTGGCTCTCTCGTGGCACCGTTGAGTTCAGACGTCCCTGTGCACAGTAGACCACGTTACTGTGATATGTGCGAGAGATGTCGTTCAAATCTGGTTTCTTAGTCACATAGATGAACCCAAGGCAGATTGGACCTGCTCTCATCAGTCATAGCTATATACAGGTTTCTGCTGGTAGGAGGCAGCCATGTAGCCGACCTTGTCATTGATTTACTATCGACAACCACCTCCTTTGGGACTTTGGGACACGGTCAAGTCTGCCTCAAGGTGGTGAGCCAAAATCCCCGGGCTATTTTTGGAGCGCGGCGCTGACACTGCTTGCTCCGCTCGAACAACAGGACCTTTAGGCAAACGGAAGTCGCCGTCTGCCGCACCGTAGGGGCCAGTCTTCACGTGCGCGATCACTCGCTGCGGCAGGAGTACGGTGCCGCAGGAGCACAGCCTGTGTACTATCACGACTAGGTGTGTAGAACACGTCGAGAACGTACTCCGTACGGAGTAGAGTACAAATACATGCAGGCACAGCGACACGCATTTTGCCCATGTAGCGAAATACCCCGCGATCGAATCTCGTGCAGGAGCTAGCACGGGGTCTGCACATTTTCTTGAGCTCTCCTGTCTCTCTCTACCATGTCTATCACCAGAGGACCGCTTCAATGCATCGCTACCCGCCTCATCATCTCTCCTCCACCAACCACCCTGGGTGAATCCACAGCAGTCCTTAAGAGGCTGCAATCTTTCGGCCATGTAGCCTCCTTCACTGCGTCCGCTCGGCATGAGATGCCTGGGACGCACGAGCAGCGAGAAATGGAAATGACAGTCCTATTTTCATCCAGCGAGACCATGGCAAAGGCTCAATCTGCCAGCCCCTTCACCGTCAGGGTGAACCACCACCTCCCGGACCCGAGGGTCGAAGACCCTTACAACGTCCGCAATCTGCAGTCGAGGAAGCAGCCTCAGCCAAAGACAATGGTGTGTCGTCTCGAATGTGACCACGCAGAATTCCCTGCCGGCCAGAACGTCCTCTCCGCGGGATTCTCACCGAGCATCCAGACCAGACTGTACCAAAGTCTTACGAACCTCAGGCCACCGGAAGGGATGACTGCCGCGCTGGGAGTCTTTCACAATGACAGCTCGAGTATCAAGCCGACACCGGAGCTGGTTGATCGGGTTCCCGACCTCACGGAGATGTACCTCTCCCGGCCTGCCGATATAAGTACCCCAGGCTCTGGTTTTCCCGCACCTACAAAGTCAGCGAACGATTGAATCAAGCACATCCTTGCCGAGAGAAGCTCCCGTACTGGTCCAGCTGGGCCTGATAACTAGGAGATGGAGAGGTCCGACGCGGTCTCGGTGCGTCTGGTGATATGTCCTATCTCGCGACCGAGGCGAAGCCATTTGGCCTACCATGGTAATTGCTGTTGCCCTTTCAAGGGACAAGTCTTCTAGCTAGAGAGGCAGAATCACCACTGCGGTGCTTGATGGCCTGAGACTCCCATTAACGGTCGGATCTATAAGTCAAGGTTCCGCTGGCTCATTACAACACCCATCCATGCCGTGGGCTCTCGGTTATCCTCTCCGACCGTCCAAACCCTGACCGAGCTGTCAAAAGGGACACCTCGACGCTTTACAAATGCACACGCGCCTCACTCGTCCTGTCGACTTCTCCTCTCGTGCTCTGCCCTGGAATGCATATACTCACGCAGTGCAGAACGTGATCAATCCGGGTTCACAGATGCTCATCGGGTGACACGAAATCCTGCCCCTACAGTGGTGGCGGTTGTCTCTTGCGAGTATCATTCGACTGCCTTTTAACACAGATCGGCGCCACCACTGGCTGCACAGAATAGAGCAACATTCACGAACAGTTTGGCGCAACCACTTCCAGCCGCAGCCAACAAGAAAAACACATCCGCCTCAAACCAGGAGTCGCGTGTCGTATGTCACCAGCCACTTGCACAGACTACCCGTTCTAGCTCAAGGTACCTAGCTTCTGCACCTGAGTTGGGGGACAGGGTACATGTTTCGATCTCAGCAAACAAACAGATTAAAAGTGATGGATGGTATAACTATGCATCATCTATGTTCATTTATATTCAATCCACTTCACAGCGTACATGTATAGCCAGTAGGTAGAGTAATCCAAATGATAACTCCAGAAGAACAACCAAACAATCGAATCGACTCGATTCAATACAAACGTGGGTATCATGCGCGTAGTTGTCAACCTGTACCCGTACCGTGCACGCCCAACTCAGCCTAGCCTAGCAAACCCAGGCCAGTTCAGTCCAATCCCATGTCCAAAATGTAAACACCAGTACGCCGTGCCATCATGATCTTATCTACAAGTGACTCTGGGTCATCAGACCGGAGCCACATCGCCCTCGAATCGACTGTTCCGATTGAAAATTGTTGAAATGTTGAAATATTCGAAACGCCTCCCTGCCGCAAGGCGCATGCGCCCAGATGTGATGCCTGCTTGCCTGCAGCCCGCATTCCAAGAAGCTGCAGATGCTGCTCTTCTCACGCATGATCATCCGCCCGTGGCTAGAGAGTGAGCACCATCAACCCCGCCAACAAGGGTGGTCGTGCGTAATGCGGTCCCCTGTGCCAGGGCCAGGTCGGTGCCTGTGTTGAGATGCGCAAGTAAGTCAAGACGAAAAGCCGACTGATACGCAGACATCAACAGTCCTTTCAGAAAAGCGCGTCGGCATCGGCATCGGCGTCCTGGTCCTGCTTCTTGGACGTCTGACCGCCTTGCCGTGGTCGCTCAGGTTCTGAGGACTGGCTTCCACTCGACTCCGTCTCGCACCCCGCGTCAACATCACTCAACTGCAGCACCACGTCTCAGCGTCGGGGATCTCTCTCTCCTCAATTGCTTTGCTTCACACGAAGAACGGCAAGATGGGGATGATCTTCACATAACATACATGTGAGACGGTGCGCAATGCAGGATCTATGCCGTGGGGGCAGGGAGACTCACAGCTTGGGTTCTAGGTCCACCCAACCTATCCCTAGAGCTGTACGTGTTGAATGCACCAGCTCTATATTCGGGCGGGGCACTGGCATCGACGCCGGAGTGCAGTGCTGGTGCTCGTGCCGGTGACGGGACAGGCTGTGCGAGACTCATGTGTCTTGTTCCCGAGATGAACGTGTCCGGCTCGGTCTCTTCGTACACGGGGCTTTCGAGCCCGAGGCCAGCTTCTTCGAGCTGATTAGCCTCGTAGAGCCCGAATTGCTGCTCGATCTCGGCGGCGATGGCGGCTTCGGTCTCCTGGATTTGTAGGGGCCGAATCCCACCCTCGGATGAGATTTGAATGGGCGTCTTGAGGGTCACGTGGCTGCTGGAGATGTTCGTGCCTGGGGTCCGGAAGGAGATATTCAACTCGAGAGAATAGGTCCTTGAGACGATACAGGAATGGAATGTCGGTACGAACACTTTTGGCCGGCTGCTGCCCGAGGCAGTAGGGAGGGCGATCGGGACAGGAAGTCTTGCGGTATAGTAAGGCGAGCCAGACTCATAGGCACACGATGGTTCGGGGATTGAAGTCGTCGAGGTGGTCGAGTAGCCTGATGGCCGTCGGGACAAATCCGAGGAGGAGAAGCTCTCACGTTCTGCAGGGCCATGGCGGACCCACGAGACGGTTGACAACGCACGCGAAGACAGCGAGACGCTCTCAGGGTAGATACCGTGCAGCGTGGACCAGTTGTCGTGCCTCCGTGCGGCGGGTGTGATTTTGTACGGGGCAGCGCCGAAGAAAGTGTAGACCTTCAGCTTGCTGACAATCGAATCTAACTGTGGCGGCAAATCCTCCAGAGAAGCGGGATCGAAGCGCAGGTTGATCGTGGCCATTGTCGAGACGGGCTCAGGCTGCCGGTTCTGTGGGTGAGGTAGCCGCAGACTTCTCGGCTGGGTCGTCTCTGCCGTCAGACGACCGACCTTACCGATCTTGAACAGACCCTTCTTGACGCTCTTCTCCTTGCGCATGATGTAGTCTGACTCCATGTCGTCGACTTCGACCGGCGGTGCTTCTTCTCTTGCAGGCACGATCCGAATGCGCTCTAACTTGTCTGCGACCTCCAGTAGTCTGCCGGTGGCATTCCATTTTGTGATCCTGGCTCGAATGCTGTAGGAAATCTTGGACATTTCAGGAGCAAGATCGTCCATCAACATGTGTCCATCTCCTGAGACACTTGGGTCGCCCAAGCTTGGAGGAAGCTGCAGATGCTCTCTCCTGATCTGCTCGGTATCGACCTTGTGAGAGCAGATGAAAGGAAGTAATCTGTCGGGCACGACGAAGGTGAACGGGACGGTATAGGTCACGCCTGCTTCGAACAGGCCATTTTCGGGTAGCAGGCCCTCGGCGATTGGCTGCTGGACTTTGAGAAACGTGTGCCTTCCTGTCGTACGACCAGTCGTGGGAGCGGTGGTAGCGATCTTCTCGACGTAAGTGCAAGTTTGGCCCTCGAAGGTGATATTCAGGTCATCAAACGAGGTATCCTTCTCAAATTTGATCACAGCATGACCCTTGATCTCGTCGTAGGTGGAATACGAGTGCACGAAATCTGCATCGCCATCCAGCACGATATCGAGCTCGCTTCTCTTCCGCAAACCAATGGCGTTTGCGATCGCTGAGCCGCGTCGCTGGGACGCAGGTAACGCCAGCGACCGCGAGCGTGTGTAGGCAGGAACGTTGGTGAGGAAGGAAGGCATCTCGCCGGATATGGTATGACCGGGCGTGCTCATGGTGAAGAAGGAGTCACTGCAGCCAGAAAGTGGGCAGATGTTTGATAACCCCAGTGACCGGGGATTGGCTCGGAAGAGCTCGTCAATCCGCTCTCAAACGAGGGGCGCCGTGGTTCGAGCAGGTGAGTCGCTGGCAAGCTTCCAAGACAGCGTCAAGAATGCGGGGAAGATCAGGTGGAAAGATAGGGCGGTGACTGATTGGAGATAAACGATAGCACGGAAGAAAGAAGGCTCAGGAACACGGCCAAGGCGAGACCGACATCGGGGGTATACTTATATCTTGTGTTTGTTCTCAATGGAAGCACTCCGATGCTGACCAGCCAGGAGTCATAGACCTGCATTCGTAAGCCACTCACCGATATGTGCGCAACGGGGCGCGTATGGTCCATGTCAAAATGAACGATGCGAAAGGCGTGCGTAGCGGGACATCTGTTGAGGTACCCCTAAAAGTGAGTCATTGAGCACGTTGAACGCCATGATGGGTACGGAGTATATGTATGCAAATGACGCGAAGGGCGGACAGCGTCGACGAATGGATCCTTGCCGCGTTGTGGGAGCCAATAACCGCCCCCTTGAGCCTCCGTTGTGATGCCCTGTCGAAATTTCCATGTGGCTTTTTGGGGGCCCCCCATGGCCCCTCCAGGCGTCCTAGGCCCTGTGCGGTAATCAAGTGGATGTTCTTTGAACCGCAGCCTCATGTAACCACGGCCAATGGCCTAAACAAATCACCCGAGTACGCCCTTCGATCTAGTATTGCTCCATCGCTTCGGTTTCTGTTTGTCAGCGCAACCACTTGACCGCGCTCCCGAGAGCCGGATCAACACGTTTTCGTTAGCTGAGTAAGAATCCTTCGCTTGGACTCTAAAGCTTATGGGTGACGTCCAACGAAACCGACCCACGTGCGCGGGTCGCGGTCCGCATACGCATGTCGGCTGAGGGCATGAGAATTTTTTTGACACTTGCCGACCAAAAACGGAGTAAAGGCTACCGGAATGGAACCAAGGTGACGGTGAAGATGCGGGTCTCGCTGTATCTGGACATGTGGTCAGCAGTGAGGGATATCTCGATGTCTTGCGGGCATGTCAAGTAGATGGACATGGAAGTGGTAATTGCTATACAATCTAAACGTTGCCCGGTGCCTTCTATCGTAAGAAGTGTCTTCAGCACTCTTTTGGAAGAGAAGGGAATATGTCAAGGGACTGAACTATCAGTCTACCTTCACACCGCCGTATATCCGCCGAATAAACATGTACGCCGTGAGGAACCCAACCGTCCCCGTCGCCAGCGAGTACACCGCACAAGCGAGTGCGCTGTAGCTGAAAAACAACAAACCACTCACAAAGCCGTCTATGTGCAACCGGGTGGCGTAGTACCACACCGAGTACACAAAGACCCAGAAGCCCGACGCCCCACCCACGAAGAACGACTGCCACCACCAGTGGTAGTTCTCGGCGCAGAGTTGTATGTATGTCGCAATGATGACTGTCTCGGCGATGGTGATCGAGAGGAGAGCCGAAATGATGCTCAAGAAGCCGAAGACGTAGTAGTAGGATGATTTATCAAGGTAGAGTGATTTAAACACAAAGATGAGTTCGATGAAGAGAACGGCGAAGGCAACGAGTCCAGCGCCCAAGGCCAGTGTGACTTGCTGCTTCATGTACCACGCCTGAGATGGCACTTGTCGGGGTATTGCGTTTGTTTTGGTAGGGTGTTCCCATGCGGATGACCTGTAGAACCCCCAGTACGAACCCAGATGGACGAGAGGAAGTTGGATGAGCAGCCATAGGCAAGCCAGGGCCAGCAGGGTCGAGAACGGGAGCGCGGTAGAGGACGCTTGCGCCCAGCAGAAGAGGTTGAGGACGAAGACCAGGGTAAAGAGGAGGCCTGGGAAAAGAAGTGCAGTCTGGTGCAACCTGTCAGCATACTGCTTGCAGTCCCACGTGGAAGGAACTTACCATCATTGTGTTCTTGCGCCAGTTCTGGCCACCAAACGTCTTGTAGACTCGCGCAGAGAAATACCCCGAGAATCCACCGGCGACGACGAAGAGACCAGCACCGACGCTCCAGAACCCTCCGCGCCAGCTTGGGTTGAGAATCCCCGCGCAGCTTAATCCCAACAAGCCCACTATCATGAAGACAAGCTGTATCCCGGATCCGACCAATGGGGCAAGAAGTCCGCCATATGGGGGTGGTCTGAACACGTCGCCATGCAGCAGTTTCCATCCTGTAATTTCTTCCAGCGGTTCTTCATCCGAAGACAGATCATCTTCCAGGCTCGGCTCAGAGGTCTTCTCCAGAAATCCGCTGCCCGACTTCTTCTTCTCGCGCTTGCCGAGCTTGAGGCGAGCTTCTTCCAGCATCCCATCGCCACGACCCTTGACATCTCCTTGCATCGTCCGTCCCCAAATGACAATGCAGATAGCGCCCAAAATCCCCGAGATGATCAATGAGTTGACGATGGCCAGCCAGTGGGTGAACGTGCTCTCAGCCTGGTCGTTGAAGTAGAGATCCCAGCGATTTGACCACTCTACATCCTTCTGTTCGAAAAAGTAGACCGAGTAGGTGTAGGGAATGGTCATGGTTGCCCCGTCGTCCATGTCTACCGCACTTTCTGGGATGTAGGATGATTCGGCATATCGCTCGGTCAGGTCGGTGATGTTTCCTGGGATGTACAGTGCTAACGGTTCCAGGTCGTCTCCAGACACATCAGAAGGACAGCCCGTGGCATTCCGTTGACCCACATTGATACTCTTTGGATATACCTCGAACCCCACAACGACCTTTCCGCCGTTGTCGCCTGCTCTCCCCGGTGCTTGCCGCCACCGCACGACGAGGTTGTGATGATTGTACAAGTAATACATCTCTTTGCCTGTAGCCGGGTCAAAATCCCTATATCCCATCTTGAAGCCCGATGCGTAGTACTTCCGAGTTCGGTCGACTGTCACAAACGAGGTTGCTCCCGGGAGGTTGTCGAGAATCCATTCTATGACATATTCGCCCTGTATCATCTGTTGCGCCCATTTTAAATCCTCGCGGGTTATGACCCTGTCACAGAGGTACTGACAATCAATGTCCTGCCCCATATTGATTTCGAAGTCCGAGATCTTGATCCTGTCACCGCGAAGGACCTCACCGAGGTTGAGGGCCACGCTGTGTCCGCTGGCGTGGGAGAAGCCGGCGTGCTTGTTGCCCGTAGGCGGGCAGACGAAGGGCAGATCGAAATACGCATACTGCAACTGGCTCGTGTCGGAGTATGCCTTGTTCACAAGAAGTGGGATATGCTCGTCATCTCGATAACTTCGTATCGATACGCCTGTCAGACAGGTATCAGTCGCCCCGTTACAGAAGCAGGTCGGCCTAACGCGGACGAAGCATACCTGGAATGTAGAAGGCGTGCGATAAGGAGGAGAATAAAATGACCACGCGGCTCAACCAGGAGACGCGGAGCCGGACGTCTGGGGACATGTTGTATAGTTTCCAGAACTACTCTGAGCGAGTGGAATTGGCACAGATGGCCGTATCGCGCAAGGACAGGGGAGAGGAAGGAGAGGAAGAAGGAAAATGATTATGCGAGAAGCAGATGATTGAGAGAGCCTATCTGCAACCCATCCAAGCTCAATCGAAGCTAGAAGAATAGGGCATGGGGATTCGCTCGGCCCAACAACGAGATGCAGGTGAAAAAGATGCAACTCTCAGACGCAGATGCGAGAAGCCAGAAGAGGATGCGGCCGTGTCTGGCTCAGTGCTCACTCTCGCTCCGCGATTTCGCATCGATGATCGGCGGCGAAGCCCAGGCCGGAAACGTTGAGTGGGCTTCGCGCTTTCGGTGTGGATCACTTACTGGACACGCGTTTGGTCGAGTGCACGCCTCACCCACGCCTAGACGGCGGTCCAACGATTACGCAGCACACCCCGAGGCGGGGTATTCCATGCCTAAATTTGAACTTCAGGGGACACGACAGAAGCATTCGAAGCCTCGAGGGCATCCCAAACCTCGGGTCGGGGCCCGGGTGCATTTGCAAACTGTCTCTTTCAGCCCCTGGGCCGCATGTGCGGTCCATCGTTTTTCTCAGCTTCTGACTCAGCTGTGAAGAAAAACGCACCGTATAAACTCAAACTCGGGCATCACACCACAGGCAGCACGCAGCATTATCCTGACGAGACCCGCTCTTGATTCGGTCTGAAACATCCTGCACGCTCAGTTGCGCGTTCCTCTTGGCAACTTGCGTGATACTCGTTCGAGTCGTTCTTACGTACGGAGTACATTCGTCGACTATCACAAAAGTCTGCGGTGTGGGCCGTGATCTGGCATGGCAGTAAAGAGTCGACTTCGACATATCTGAGTCTCAGGTCAGCCCTCCTGACGGCTTGATGGCCACGAGCCATGGAAATGTCTATCATAGTTGAACCGTGTTCGGGCCGGTCCCTCTGATCCTTGACACATCCGGCCTTTCCTCTCGGGCTCGACGACATCATTGTACGGTAATGAGCCAACCTCAACGGCCCCTCACTCAAGGTAAGAAAAGGAAATGTCAATCCGCGACGTCGAACTTTTATAAGCCACCGAACCACTGTCATAAAGGCAGCCAGTAAGCTATAGTGGGAAAATACTTTGCAACCACACACGTCTAGAATCATTAATCGCAACTCTCATCAATATGCCCTTCGCAACCGTAAACGACCACTCCCTCCACTACACGGATATCGCGCCCTTGTCATCAAGCCAACCCTCGCCACGCACCCTCATCTTCGTCCATGGGCTTGGATCGACGCAGAATTATTATTTCCCTATTTTTCCATACCGTGAGTTCCCACCATCTCTGGACGATTGTCTCTGTGCCAGGACTCATACACCACCCTGTAAGTCCCAATCCAGACTGACACATCCTCTCAGTAACGAGCTATCGATGCATAATCTTCGACAACTACGGCGCTGGCCGCTCAAATTTCAAGGCCGGAACCGAGACCTCGATTGAATCTGTCGGTAAAGATGTCCTCGCCCTGCTGGACCATCTAAAGGTAGACAAAGCGATAGTAGTCGGCTACTCGATGGGCGGGATGTGAGTTTCGAGCCGAGAAATGCGCTGATGCCTTGATAGGGCAGCATTTCACGAAGAAACTCACTGACTGACACGACATAGGGTTCCCACACAGCTGGCATCAACCTCGCCCTCCCGCGTCGAGGCCGCCATCCTGATCGGCCCCGTACACCCCAGCCCGCAAGTCGCCGAGGTATTCAAGCAGCGCGTTCCCAAAGTCCAATCCGAGGGCATGGAATCCATGGCCAACACGATCCCCAACGCGGCCACGGGCCCACAAGCCACGGCCCTCCAGAAGGCGTTCATCAGGGAACAGCTCCTCGCGCAGGATCCCCAGGGCTATATCGCGAACTGTCGGGCCATCGAGCGCGCCACCCCGCCGCTGTATCACGACGTGAGAGTCCCGGCTCTGATTATTGCCGGCGAGGTCGACAAGTCGGCACCGTTGGAGGGCTGCAAACTGATCTTTGAGAGTCTGGGCTCAGAGAAAACAAGAAAGCGGCTCGAGGTGTTGCAGGGCGTGGGCCACTGGCACTGTGTTGAAGCGCCGGATGAGGTTGGGCGGCTGGTGCGGGAGTTTGTAGAGGGCATGTAGTCGCTATATAATGGAGGCGAGTCTCTTCCAACGGAGCGGTCAACGTTGTAAGAACTTCGCTAGCCGTGAAGGGAAGGGATAAACGTCTGTTCGAGTCCGGCTCAAGTGAATGAGTTTGTCTGTATCGGAGGCTGGAGATATAAGGACCACGAAGAGAAGCTGATGAGACAGGATCATTCCAATACCGAGCCAGTCGCGACTGCCGAGTATTGTCCCTAGTCAACAAGGTATAAATTCGAGCGCCCGGTCAAAAAGGTGATGGAGGTGTAGAAGAGCTGATGCGAGCGCAAACTGAAGAGCTGCTTGTCCAAGATACCTATATTTTGAATTGAGATCTGATCACCCGTCTCTGTACGCGGATGTCTGCCTGCTACTGATGCTTCCCCAGCTAATTGGATAGTGGATATCAAAACACGCTCGATGCTCCAGAGTCAGCTCCCAAGCGGAGAACTCGTGATGATCCGGCATCAAAGCTGCAGCTCCCTTCACATTCTCTCCTCACAAGCTTTGCAGCATGCTGGACCTCTCATCCACAAAGCCTTCACTACAGCCCCAACTCAGTGTACAAAACAGGCATTTTACGTTTCCACAAACATGCAGCGATTACTCCATTTCTGTCTCAATCCGCAATTCCAGCTGAAGCCAAATGCAAGCCTGCCAATGTGCCATTCGAACCCCAAACAACCAGCCCAACAAAGGGAACATCGGCCGCGCCGGGAGGGTGATATCAAGAGAGTCCTCCCGCACTCTGCCACAGGAGCCGTCAGAACCTCAAAGTAGCTGACAATGTGAAGTCGTCTTAGGCGATTAAAATTGTATTGTTTTTGACTGCGCACGTCTTGTAACCCTCTTCGGCCTGGCACCCGTTGCGCAAAGGTCCATTCGCACGGATGCCTCGTGCACCCGATCGTGGAAAGCATGAGATAGTGAACGCCTCGCTAGATGATGCCAAACGAACTTTTTACCGTAATGTGCTTTTCTAATATCAACAGATGAACAGTAAGGAATCGATCGCGAAAGGTGAGACTGGAATTCTCGCCCTTATAAGGCCACGTCCAATACCAAGCTCACATCCTGTACTTGTGGCCCGGCAAGATCTTCCAGCACTGGAATGAGGTCAAGCAGCTCATTATCGTGTGCATCGGAGAACCATGAGCTTATCGGGACTGCATGTTGTGGATGGAAGATGTAGGATGTAGGTGAGTTGTCGATGATGATCGTCTCCTTCAAATCTCGTCCGACTTGTGACAGGTCCTGATATTGGGTCAGCACAGTTGATCTCAGGATGTTCGCGCTTCACTCTCTTACCTTGACATAATTTCCCTGGTGGTTGTAACAGCTTTCTCTGAACAGCCTGTGGTGGACGACGTGGTGGATGTCCAACTGATCCAGCAATGGATCACCATATTTGGAGACCGAGGCAGTAAAGACGACAACTTCGTAGAGCTCTCCGACCCTTTTCATGAATTGATCCACTCCAGGTCTCTTGATGACATAGACATTATGATACTGACCTTCGATTTCTACAGGGATAGTGAAGTCCGCCTGGTTGAGAATTTTGAAGCTGCTGTGTACCAGTGTCTCATCAAGATCAAGGATAAGACATTTTCGGCCCTTTAACCTAGTGTCGACGGGAGGTAGAAGCCAGGTTTGCTTCTCCGGAGATGCGTCCGGCACGGGAGGGACTTCTTTTCCGACGACCTGTTCATGCCTTTTGGACAGCGGAGGTGGAGGAGGCAGGGATACTTGCGGTTGCAGTTCGGCAGGCTGGGGTGGTTCGTCGAGATGTTCTTCGTCAACCTCAGGAACCGCGGGAGGAGCATCTACCATGTCCACGTCGGCCGTCGTCTTCTCATCCTCCTCGGATAGCTGAGATTCTGCAGGATGCTCGGACTCTGTAGGTGTAGCGGAAATGACATTCACATCTGGCTTTGTTGATGGCTCAGGCACCGCGACGGTAGTCGATTTTATTTGATCTTCGTCACCTCGGGGTCCTACATCTTGCTGCGAGTACGGTGCCGGTGGTAGCGTGGCACTCGTACTGGGAACAGTCACTTTGTCATGGTAATGCTCGTCTGAGGATGTCTCAAGCGCCCTCTTCTCCGATAGCTCTTCACTTGCAATTTTGCCCTGGCCGTTCGTGTCATCAACCATCGGTTTCGCCGGCAAGTTCTTCTCGGTTTCCACCACTTCGTTTTGGTCTTGTGTTCTGGACGTCCTTTGCGGCTGCGCTTGGATTTTAATTTTCTTCGCCGCAACGTCAGGGTCATCTGATTTTCCATCGTCGGGAAAGTCGCCCGGGCTGCAACAGTTCAGAAATGCAAGGAAACCTTTGTGAGCTTTCTTCTCGGCCTTAGTCGCGACGTTCGAAGGAAGAGGCGGCACAGGGTCCTTGCTTTCCGCCGCTCGAGCAGCTCTTAATGACCTTCTGCTACTCCTGCTATTGTTTCTGCTTCGGCTGAGTAGACTTCGTTTTGAGCCTCGCCTTGGTGATGCCGGTGGTTCGGACGCCGCAGGCACAGCAGGAGCAGCGGCATTCAGCTCGGTCGATCGCTGATGCGAAGAGGTGCGAGAAGGGATTTTGACCACCGAAGGCTGCTTGGGCTTCTCGGTCATCGTCTCGGTGGGTTGAGGAGCTTGGGGGGACGAGGTGACAGCGGCGTCATTGGGACGGATTTCTGGTACTTGTGGGGATGCGCCTGAGCAGAGACATGTTAGAGACAGGAGTGCGCCATCAGGAGAAACAAATCGAGATGTGACGGTGGCCATACCTGACGAGGGCTGAGTGGCAGCGCTGCCACTCATGTGGGGCGACGGATGGTCAACGGCCTGGTCTCCTTGGGTGAGCGCCGACGGATGAATGCGACCACTCCAGAATCATGCGATATGACCGTGAGCGATGTTGTGCGTGGTTATCGAGATGAATGGGGGAGTAGTCGCGCGCAAAAGAGCGGCAGTCGAGTGAGCGACTAGCGATGAGGTTGGAGCGGCTGAACGGGGCGACAAAGATGACGAGACCAAGATACCGAAACTGGAGAAGAGAAAGGGAAGCCTCGGTGGCTGGTCAAGCGACTGTCACTCAGGGGACTAGAGGTGCAGACAGCGGCGCGTCGCTATGGCAAATGCTCAGAAGCGATGGTGATTAAAGTAGGTCACAGCTCGATTTCTCAATCAGATGGAGGTTCAAGAGGTCGAGCAGTTAGTTTAGGTTGATTAGCAGTGGTGGAGGGAAGTTGGCTGTGCTTTGGAGGCGGAATCGGGATTCGAGGTCATGGGAGGATGGACTTGACTGGCTGGCGATCGGCAAGCAGGCACACTCCACCCGCTCCTCTAGGGAAGCCGCGACGGCTTTGCACTTGCCTGTTGGCTGCTCGGGGCGAGCCTAAGGACCCCCAGAAGCCTTTCCAGGCGCAACTTGCGCAGCTCTCTCCAGCTTCCTCCCCTTCAAGTACCGACTGCGGAAGGACGGAATACCACAGTACACAGTACTGTACCGGGTACCGCACCGTTCGCCTGCAGAAAACGACATACAGACATCTTAAGTTACTGGCAGGCGTGTTCATGCGGTGAAGACCGAGACTTGTGTTGATGATGCTGGCAGCTGCCAGATGTCCGTCTTGGGCAGGCGCAGTTTTCCCGTTCTTTCTTTGGGGCGCCTTCACGTTCCCATGTTTTGACGCCCTCTTGCTCTGGTCGCCTCTTACCTACGACTTTGCCTCTTCTTACCTGACAGCTGCCTTTACCCTACACCACCCATACTTTTGACCCTTCCTCGTCCTCTTACCACTGCCGTATCGCCCGGACTAAGATCCTCTATGGAAGAGCCGAACGACGGCTGGGCATCAATCGTCGCGAAGCCGGTGCGCCCAATAGCCACAAGACAGGCGCTCGGGCGGAAATTGCTTGGACGACATTTGGCCAACCCCACGAATCGCATACGCTGAATCTTGCGGAGTTGTCGGACTCGCTAGAACGGTCTGAGATAAGGAGGGTGTGCTCGTTGACGCTAAGCTCCACTCTTGCACGAGCTGTTCGGCGGTTGGTCACTGGATGCACACCTTGTCAACCACTCCCCACGCTAGCTGCCCGTCCTAGTTTGTGATAGATCGGATCAGTTTGCTGTTTAGCCGCCAGCGCCTCCGTTTTCACGCGGGAAAAGGTGAAGGACTCTGATCCGAACTTCGTCGAACACTTGCCGTACTATCATAGCGGTACTCGATTTTCGCCAGCTGGCGTGGTTCAGATACCGCAGTCCGAAGTACTGCGTAAAGCTGTGAAAGATGCGCAAAATGCGTGGCAGGACAGTGGTGTTGAGCAAAGCCAGCAAATGACTGCAAGTCAGCGCAGCGTGTTCCTGTCAACCACATGGCCGCGGGACGAGCCTGCCTCGAAAGCAAAACAGAAGTTTCCATGACCTCTTGTTGTCCCTTCCTCACGATCCCGGGGCCGTGGCCCGTCGGCGACCAGGGTCGTACAGATGTGGCTGCATCAGCCTCGTATTACATCAAGCCCTGGAATTACATCGGTGAAACTTGGGGCGGCTCGCTCATGACGCGCAGTCTGTCCTGCACTGTTGTTATAACCGCAGATAGATAGCATAAGCATCTTGGTCACAGGAAAACCTTCGATCACGGCCACAATCACTCTGCGCTAATGGTTGCCTGCTTGCGCGGTGGGCGTCACTATTCACTACGGAGTACGCGCCCAGACTTTCACTCGAAAATCTGTGGGCTTGACGAACCAATAGTTCACCGTGTTCCACTCTCGATCAGGTTGCTCAAGTTCAAAGTCAAACCTTCTCACGAGCTGCGGAATGAGCTTGGACATCTCCAGGAACGAAATGTGTCGGCCGATGCATGTTCGTGACCCAAGGCCAAACTAGACGATGTTAGCAAAGGCCAACTTGGCGGGCGACCACATACGGGTAAGTAATAATTCTCCATATCCCTCAACCTTTGGCCTCCTTCTTTTTCAGCCTCGATCCATCTCTCAGGTCGGAAATGCTTCGCGTCGGGACCGAATACATCTTCGTTATAGTGAGCGCACCATGTGTTGAGTCCGACGATGGTCCCCTGGGGAAAGAACCTGTCACAAATTTCTACACCACCTTCGGGCACAACCCTCCATAACGGCAGGCCTGTGGCAGGATGCATCCGCAGCGCCTCTTTCATCACTGCCTGCAAATAGGGCATCTCCTGGCTCTCCTTGAACGAAACTGCTGGGTTGCCACAGCGTCCCTGTCCCTCGTGTTCTCGGATTTCGTCCCGAAGCTTCCGCATGGTGTCTGGATACCTCAGGAGGTTGTAGAGAATTGAGGACAAGGAGACCGCCGTGGTGTCGGACCCGGCAATGATGTTCGACAAGCCCATCATGAACACATGGTACGGCGTGACCTTCTGCGGATCATGCTGGTTCGCTCTCATTAACTTCTCCAGAAAATCCATGGGTGCGCTTTCGTCTCTTTCGCCCATCTTCTCCACATCGACCCCAGACTTCCTCTCCGCTTCCCGTTGCTTGATCCTCTGGTTCGCGTAGTCCATCAAAGTCACCCTCCCTCCACCGCCTCCCAGACCCAGTCGATTTGAAATGGCAAATATCCACGGATGCCATTTAGCATATACTCCCACCAAAGTGCCATACTGTAACACACTATGCAACGCCTTCAACAACCCACTCACATCCTCTCCCTTGTCCAAGAAGCCAAATCGCTGCGAATAAGTGATATCACCGATGACATCGAATGCATAACACTGGAACCAATGCGCCATGTTGATGGTCTCCCCCTTGGCTGCAAACTCAGACAATCTCTGCCCAAAGATTTCCGCACAGGCGTCGACGTAGCCCTCGTAATTGACCAAACTACTCATCGAGTACATTGACTGGAAGCGTTTCCGGGTCTCCGCGTGGCGCTTCATATCCCGGTCCGGGAACAACGTCCACCGATTGGGGTCCGGATGCTGCCATGCGTAGTACCAGTCACTTTTCGGAAACTTGCTGTTGATCCCGTACACCTTCTTGACCACTTCAGGGTGATCAATGCTGTACATATCCGGCGCGACGCGGACAACAGGGCCGTATTTTCGGTGTAGCGCTAGGTCATCATGTTCCCAGCGGCCGAGGGAGAGCCGGTACAAATACCATAGGCGGGAGAAACGCGCGGCAAGGGGCCCAGGAACGGAGCGGAGGGGCGAGTTTAATGAGCGGTAGACAAAGATGAGGACGCGGGTTGTCAGGAGGACTGAGATCGTTAAAAGAGCATATCGGATCAGAATGCTCGTTGTTGATCCAGCCGTGAAGGCGGAGTGGTCGACGCTCTCGAGCTTCATGGTGTGTCGATGTTGAGGCTCAACCCGCGGGTTGTGGCCCTGACTTTGTTGGGTGGTTTAATATTAGTGATCGAGTTTTGTGCGCCTGTCAAACGGCGTATCCCGTGATTTCTGTCTTTCGGCAATGACACAAAAATGAATGAACCCGGCAGTTCGAGCTGACGGAGCCTTCCGGTCTTTCGGTCGCTCGTGGGTTCTGGAGTCGTGGCCGGCGAGATTCCGGCTACTGTACGCGCACGGCGGGGAGTTTCAAAGAAATCGAGTATTGTGGTCGTCACAGTCTTCCCTCCTAGCGGGGATTGCTCTCTCAACAGTCGTGAGAGAAGGCTAAGGACCAATTATATCAACACTGAAGCCAACAACACATATAATGTCGGTCCAGTGTCGGGGAAAGGGGCCAGAAGTTTGTGCAGTATCGTGATGCGTACTTCACACTCGGTCGTCCTCGTCCGCTAGCCTCAAAGACGAGGTAATCATGGACCAATCGTTTTGCCACTTACGCTTCAAGAGAGGTACTCTACGTGTACGAGTACAGGCGTCACTGAGCTCACAGTCTTACGCTGACCAAGCTCCACCTCGGTATGAAAGGTCGAGCATCCGAGCGTGCGAGGGCTCTTGCGGTGTCAAACCATACGGAGTACCCGCGGGGAACCAAACCTCGAGAATGTGGGATGCGGGCATTGTAGTCATTGGGCGTCCGCTCTTCCCAGAGGTCCCTGAGGGACGTACTGATCTCAGCCTGGCCTCGGGCATATGATTATCTGCAGTTCGTACCATCGGTTGCTAGTGTCGGCAGATGCATGTTAGGGATCCCTGGCTCGCAACAGGTCGTTCTCCTGTCAGATTTGGGTTACCATTTTTTGAAGCATATGGGGCAGTTCACGGCGGGTTCTACAAGATCGTTAGTGGCTGAGGTAAGAGTGTACGAATATCGCTGGTGACTGTGTGGATGCGATGAAGGATTTGTATGAGTACGCGCACACGGTACTCGGTACCTCGTATGGCAGAGGAGCTGACGACGGTGCGAGGATGTTCCAGTCCGAGTTTCTAGCAGCATCGTTGCGTCTGCCCTTGATTCACCCTGCGCTGGTTCCGGCATATCCTAGCCGCCCATGAAGCCGATCGGAGAGCTGCTTGATGGGCAGGACCGAGGTCACAGTGCCCGTTCTTCACGTCATAGGCCCAAGGTGCGGTGCGTCCGAGTGGGAGAAAACTGTAACTACTAGCTGTTTCCAACGCAACACTTTGTACAGATATTCATCAATCTTCGGCGCCGAAGGCTGACATGGCGCGGAATGACCCAAGCAGCCAGAGCAGAAGTGCAGAGGACCTTGCAAGATTGAGAAGACGCCCCGTGAAAATGAACTGGAGGACGTCGTATGAAGCCTGACTCTAGGCCGTCAGTCGTTGGAACAACAGCTCGAATTTTCAGCTTCCGTTGACCTCGCCCCCCTTCACGGCCAGACACACAATGGCGCGACTGACCTTAACCTTGCCCTCGGGATGCAGCTGATGTCCTGGACTGCGACGCTCGAAATGCCGAAATGAGGATGAGCTCAACCTCGATACCCAGTACCTAACACCGAAAGGTGGCGAAAGAGTCCGTCAGGAAGAGCGAGAGATACTTCTTATGCCACTGCGACCCGCCCCGACCTCTTGACTGCTACTGAATGCTTACCACGAAAGCGATGCTAGTGGATCATGCTCTGCTACAGTTTCAATTTTGTCCGCCGCATCAAAGCTTGCTGACAGTTGGCAAACCCCCCCTCGAAATCAAGATGCTGAACGAGAGTTTGCCTGAGGCTCACCAAGCGTTCCCTGAGTAGCACACCGAGGTCTTGCCTACAGGAAGGCCTCAAGCTGGCCGCCAACCGGCTGCCTTACACGTACACCTGCCTCTCAGCTGTTATCTCGGGCAACCTGGCAGATCACCTGCTCTTGGGCGGCTGGCTAACCGACTTAACCACGAGTCAGTAGTCCAGATGCCGAAGAAGCCACTGGAGGACTCCGTCGAACTGAAGACCATTGACTCATTACCAATCAAAATCTAAACAAGGATGCAGAAATAAAATCTTTGTCATGGGTGTACAGTAGAGACGTCGCCTTGATCTTCGTCTCCGGGACAGTCCCTAATGTTTCCATGATTTCCTTATTTTCAGTACATCCCTCTTTCGGGGAAGGTGGGCGTGTGGAGAAGTACGGAGTACAAGTAGATTTCATCCGGGGTGCAGACGCACCGGCCGAGCCTTTGTTCACGCAGTGCTTTGTTAGGCTCTAGAGCACTACAATTATTTATCGAAACCTCCAGGCATTCTGTGGCTGTGGTCTGCAGGACCGCAGGTTTGAAAAAGACAAAGGCAAAAACGTAAAGAAGCAAAAGGAGTACAACCCAAAAAGAAAGGATGCGACGGGATTCGAACCCGCAATCTCTTGATTCGTAGTCAAGCGCGATACCATTTCGCCACGCGTCCAGATGACGCTATCCCTGGGATCAGATCCCAATTGTTGAACACATTTCCGTGTATTGCATAATATATAGAGTAAAATTTCTCCGTTTAGCGGTTTCCGCTAATCTCGTTCGGACACTGACGGATCCTTAACCCACAAGGTCTTGGCAAGTGACGTTTGCCTGAACGCAGCTGCACAACAATTCACCAGAAGTGAACCATGTTGTTTGTCCCGGAACACCAGACTCGAAGAAAATAATACGAAACGGTCTGTTAGCGATGAGCTGATCACGCACTCGAGGTGGTCGCCGTGATTCTCACCATGAATCATGGACAATGGGCTCCAGCAGCTCGACCTCGAAAATCTCCCAGACGCTGTTCGACGCGTTAGAGCTTGGGATTGAGTATCCGCCCCGGCTATCTGACGATCCTGCAATCATGTGCATTTAACAACCGCCTGCCAAGAGTAAGGTCAGATTGCGGCCTCATCATGAGACCAAATTTCAACTCAACTACATTACTTCTTTGAGGAAGGCTGCCTTGGTGCAGACCTGAGGTGGCGTTGCTCCGACCGCCTGTAGCGGCTGCAAGCAAACGAAGAGCCTTTCACGGGTTCTGTCATCCTCGACGACACGTATCGACGATGGATGTGCCAATCGCTATGGTCCGCCTTAACGGCTTGAACAAACCATGCTACGGACGCCACTCCTTGCTCTAAGCACACCACATGCTTCTCCCTTCCCTGTAGCGTCACCGAGATGTTAACAACTTACACTTTGCGCGCCCTGCACCTGGGAACCCTGCCGCTCTTGATTCTCAAGGTGCGTAACAAATTCAGTTCCGCCTCATTTCAGCCTTCCATCAGTACCAGTCTTGGCAAGCTGAGCTGAGCGAGATCTCGAGGGCTGAAAATTGCGGTGCTCTCATTGCCAAGCATGAACGGACTGTACGTGCTCACGTGGCTCGCTTGCCAGACCTCAACGTAAGGTCGCTCCTGCAAACGAACTATTCTCGAACAGAGCAAATCCGTTATGAGCAACAAGACCTCAGTCTCATTACCTAGCTGTGCTTCTTCCGGACATGAGCTTCAAGGCGGAAACTTCAGCGGCCTCGTTCAACTTCACGCAACTTCGTTCGATCTACGCTTGTCCATCTGCATGATTTCTTGGGACTCCGTCGCATTGATGAAGCCAGTTGGTTGAGCCACGCTGGATTTGCATGTTCCATTGGGACTGCCCTGGCAAACTTACTCTTAGCGAGGGTCGCTGCCCGTCCCACCGACCGCCGGAACTGGGGTCAAGCGAGACTGCTCGAGGGGTGCTGCTCGTCCCGCGTACACAGGCCGTGCTCGCGTACGTCGAGGAGAATCTCATCCTGAGCATTGAGGCAGCTCGTGCCCTTGAGTTGTTGTGCCGAGTCTTCTCGAAGGCTAAGTCTCTGTGCAGTCCGCAGGGCTCTCTTGGTTTCGTCCCCGGTCGAGCTACCGTGGATTCTCTCATCAGAGGCTTCTTTGCCTTCAGCTTGTGCTGCATCAATCGGCCAGCTGCAAGAGCTTCCGTCCATTTGCCACGTCAAAGGGGATAAACACTCAGGCAGACACGATCCAATCATCGATGACTTAGGCATCGGTCTTCTAGGCACGTTTCAAATGCGCCGAGTCATGCTGGGACTGTCCTAGACCGAGGATTCCGGTCTTGAATTCTCCAAGGTTCGTGGACAATTCGCCTGTACGGACAATCTTTCGATCTGGGATCGCCCATATGCATGCAGTGTCGTGGACGACGATGTTCCAGAACCAATCGGCTGCCATTTGCACCCAGTCCATCCTGAATGGTCAGTCACTCACTATCGTTGCTCACGATTAGAGCCCATTACGACGCAGATACAGGCTTTCTGCCATAAATGACCGCGCTGCGAATTAGAAGTCAGCCTCAAACCACCGTCAGTTGCATTTGGTCGACCACTTACCACGGCCAGTAAGTATAGCGTTTGGTGGCTTTGAACTCCTTCCGCACATCAGCGAGGAAGACGTGGACACGTTCCGGCTCCCAACCCAGGCAGCGGGTAAAGATGGCCAATGTCAGTGCCTCAACGCCCTCCAACATGGCGTACAGCTGAAACAGCCCTGCTTCTTTCAACTTTGGATCGGAAGGCCACCGACCTATGGGGATCTTGAACGGCCGCACGACTACCTCGACGAAGCCGGCCTCTCGCATCAGATCCCCCAGTTGCTCGAAATCCAGATCAAGTCTGCGCCCCATACCGGTGATTCCCTGCCGCATGAGCCGACACCACTCGTTGACGGCACTGTCTTCTCTGATGGGAACATGGTCACTTCGCAGGTAAGTAGCCAGGTCGCGAAGCTCGAAATACCCGCCCGGCCTGCAGTGCCTATGAACAACTTGGTAAGCATCACATTCACAGAAATTGGTTTCGAGTGTCAAAGAGCAGATCGAGCGGTGAATTACCTAAAAGCCTGGCGAAAATACTTGGGAAAATCCGCAATACTTCCGCTCAGCATGAATTGGCTGTAGATGAGATCGAAGTGGTCTGCCGGCCAGGTCCAGTCATCCTCGACGTCGTCAATTTCCCACTTGGCATTTGGCGGAGCGAGTGACGGCTGAATGGGGCTCAAGTCCACACCGATGACTACGGCCTCAGGGTAGGCGTCAGCCACTTCAACGGCCCATGTACCGATGCCAGTGCCGAGATCCAAGACATGGTGAAGGTCGCGGACGGGCGCATAGAAGAGCTGTCCACCAGCAGCGAGGGACATTGCGCGGTGTTGCAGCTCGAGTCGTTCGTGCTCGGCCGAGTCATTGGGCATGAAGTACTGGCCTTCTTTGTATGAGTGGTATGTCCGCCCGTTCTCGAATTTATATTGATATATGCTCGACCGAACGGACTGGGTCAAGACAGAATCTTGCTCAAAGCCAGAGTCCTCGGTGTCGTACTGTCGCTACAGTAAGTCTGAGCACAGCGGGGATGAAGCGTGGAACAAACCCCGTGATCTATCTCCACTTCGTCTGCGGGCTGAATGTCTTCTTCGGCGTGAGTACCTGGCGGAGATGAAGACATGTCGGGTCTCTGATTTCGGCCCGTGCACACCAGAAAGGGCGCACGATGGACAGTAGACCTGTTGTCTTCGAGGAAGTCAGAAGCTCAGTTTTGCCCGAGGTCAGCAGATGGCATGAGGCAGTGAGATCTCCCTGATAAAGTCAAAAACAAGAAATCTCACAGCCGTGGTGGGCCATCGCTTCCGGGGATCGATGTCACGTCCGGATCGAAGTACTTAGTCGCACTGTAAAAAGCGGGCGACAGCGTGGCAGATGCAAGATGCCGGATGAAGGTCGAGAAAGCTCGACTAGTACGGCGCTTATGCATGAGCGATCCGCTGCCACCTTTCACTGGAGGATACTTCCAAACCATGGCCGGAATCGCGATGATTATCTTCAGGTTCATGCGTCTCGTTGCCGAAGAACTCGAGAGCAGGAGCGAAAGGGCGCCTTCATTGGCGGACACGGTGGTTAAGCAGCCAATCCCGAAAGGCTCAATTGCCGGGCTTCAGTGCCTGTAACGGCAACTTGCATCACCGCGGCCGCCCGGAAGCCTCGCCAGAGCTGCCGCCGAGCCGCCATGGCACACGCTTGGTCCCTGCCACCAATAGACGAGCGCCATTACCACGACGGTATCAATGCCCGGACTGTAAGCGAGTACTAACGCAGTGGTCAACGGGCATACAGCGCTCAACATGTACCCTGCATCTGTACATAGTACAAGGTAGGTGACCAAATCGCTCAACTGCCGTTCAAGCCACCTCAATCGGCATCTCGCATCTCAGCTGGAGCTCACAGCTGGAGTTATTCTCGGCTCCACGACCAAGGTCACATCGACACAATCCACTTATCATCGAATTATTACATGGCCTTTTCAGAGTTCACACAACCGTCAGCTTCCTCTTGATGTCCCCTCCCTACCCGTACATTCTCGCCGCTCGTAATAGCCTGGCCGTGAGCCGGCACACAATACGGCAGATTCATCTAGAATGCTCGACCAGATTGCCGGCCCGCTGCACGTCAGCTTCACCTCAACCCTGGTCCTTCTCGTCATCGCCCTACTGGGATGGTACCTCGTGTCAACAGTCATTGCATACAACAGGCTGCGTCATATCCCCGGGCCGCCACTCGCCCGCCTCACGAACTGGTGGTGGATCCGTGCTGCGGTGTCCGGAAAAGGACACCTTGCGCTGAAAGATGTGTGCGATCGCTATGGTACGACCGCCTCGTCTTCGTCGGGGAAGTGACCAATGCATCTAACAAGGCCGCCTCCAGGCTCGATTGCCCGGATCAGCCCGAATATGGTAGTGACGTGGGATCTGGACCTCTACCGCAAAGCCAACGCCTACCGGATCAACGACTACACCCGTGGGAAATGGTACAAGGCATTCAAGATGGACGCGGAGCGCGAAAACCTCTTCACCGAGCTGAATGACGAGAAGCACTCTGTGATGCGTGCAAAGCTGTCTCCCGGGGTAGGTGGGCACGGGCTACCAAGTCGAGCACCAGTATTTGCTTACCAACGGAATGCGTAGTATTCGGGCAGGGACAACCCGGAATGCGAACCCAGCATCGATCAGATGGTTATGGACGTCGTGCAGTTGATCAAGCGCAAATACCTGTCCGTTGGGTCCACCTTGAAGCCGCTCGACTGGGCCGAACTCGCTCAATACTTCACTCTCGACGTGATCACATACCTGTCCCTGGGCGAGCCGTTCGGTTTTGTGGCAGACGACACGGACAAGTACACGTACGTAAAGTCGATGGAGGACAACTTTCCCATCATGAACATCTTCTCGGCCGTGCCGCTGCTGTCGGCCATCGCGAGGATTCCCACAGTGCAGGCCAACCTTGTGCCGTCACCAAAGGAGAAAACCGGGTTGGGAAAAGTGAAAGCGTGAGTGAAAATCCCGTTCAGCATATTGCACGTTGGTATCAAGATATCCTTGTTGATATCCTGTCCCTTTTGCATATCTACATCAACTGTATCTATACTCCATACTTCCCACGGGGAACAGGTCACCCGAATCACAAAACTAACGCGTGGCGATATACCATGTAGAGTCGCTCGACAAATCATCGCAGACCGGTTCTCCTCTCCCTCCACCACCACTGAGAAACCCACGCGCCATGACATGGTCACCTCGTTCAAAACCCACGGCCTCTCGGAACTCGAAATCTCCGACGAATCACTCTTCCAGCTGCTCGCCGGGTCCGACACGACCGCGACCATCGTGCGCACGGGCTTCCTCTCCATCCTGTCCAACCCGCACGTCTACCGCAAATTGCAGGCCGAAGCCCTCGCGACAGACATCCCACTCGACGGCATCATCCCATACGCCCACGCCCTCCGCCTCCCCTACCTCCAAGCTTGCATCAAGGAAGCCCTACGCCACCACCCGGCCGCGGCAGGCCTGTTGCCCCGCGTGGTCGGGCCCCAAGGGGACACGCACAAGGGCGTATACCTGCCCCCCGGGACGGAGGTGGCCTTCTGCGCGTGGAACATGCTGCGGCACAACACGGCCGCGTTTGGCGAGGACGCCGAGGTCTTCCGCCCGGAGCGCTGGCTGGAGGCGTCTTCTGAGCGGCTGGCGACGATGGAGGAGGCGCATCATCTCGTGTTTGGGAACGGGCGGTACAGGTGCATGGGCGAGAACATTGCGCGGTTGGAGCTGAACAAGATCTTTTTCGAGATGATCCGGCGGTTTGATTGGAGTTTGGTTGATCCTGTGGTGCCGATCAAGAAGAACACGAACTACGGCTTGTTTGTCCAGAAGGGCATGTTTGTAAGGGTGAGTGAGATGGAGACCTAGGTGGGGATATGGTTGGGTGCGCCGAGTTGGCTGGCTAGCTGACTGAGCTAGGCTGAGCGCATAGTCATTCTTACAGAATTCGTACAGTCCGCAGGATATCACGGAGATCATACTATAATACTACCCTACCCTATCCTATCCTATCATATACTTACTGGTACGGAGATTCCTCTCGCCGTTTATAGCACCATATGGATCTGTCACTGTCGAAGATACAAAGGGGCCACGCATGACCTCATTATGTCAAGTATTCTAGAAACCAACTCCGTACCTCAGTCACCATCTGGAGTGCCTCCGTATGTGGCAGCTCCTCACAACCACTCCGCTCAACCACCCGATCTAGGTAGGTACTGTAGGAGCCCAAGACAGATCTCCAGCAGATTCAATGTACACGTCCAATAGAGCAGTTAGCCAGCCAAGTCGAGAGCGAGTAAACAACATATCGGTAAACCATCCTTCTTCCTGCTTGCCTTCCCTCCCTTCCTCGCTGTCTCCACTGGGGCCTTCTTCCTACCTTACCTTCCTTCTTTCCTGTCTCCCCTGGACCTCAGACTCAACTATCCGGACAATTCTCATTCTCCCCAGGACACGTATAAGTGTCACACGGCGTTCCAAGCCTACACGTGTCGTAAATCCCCGTATCGTACCCGGGCACCGGCACCAGCGTCACCGGCACTATCGCGCTCCCAGAGTATGTGAACATGTACTGGCGACACTCGCCCGTGGCGGCGCGATACGTGAAGATGGTGCACGCATCGTTGTCGTCGCACGCGCGCAGGCACGACCAGAAATCGGGCTGCGGGTCGATCAGCCAGCTTGGGTTGTAAATATCCGCAGGTAAAGGGGCCGGGGCTTGGTTGCAGTAAATGTTGAAGGTGCAGTGGCCGCAGCCGTCGCCCTGGAGCGTGGGTTGGTCTGTGGGACAGGTGGTGGGGTGGAGTGAGGTGCTGGTGGTGGTCGATGTTGTCGTGGTCGTGGTGGTGGTGCTTGTGGTCGTTGTAGTCGGTGAGGTTGTGGTGGTACTTATAGAAGTCGTTGTAGTTGCTGTTGTACTAGAGGAAGTGGTAATGACCGGGTTCAGCGGCCTCGTCGTCGGGTTTAGAGGCCTCGTCGTGGTGCTGGCACGTTTGTGCCGTGGGAACCTGCTAAGAGTCGTCGCGGTGCCAGCGACGGCGACGACAGGTTGCGGCATATACGCAGAACAGTACTGCTCAACCGGTGTAGAGTTCGCCAGAGGCTGGTACTCGGGGTTGATGCCAGGGTCGCAGCCCCGGTCCGGCCCAGGCCAGCCTGCCAATGCTGTGCCTGTGATGGCACAGAGGACCAAGGAGAATATATGAACTCGCATTGTGAGATCGTGGAATGCAGTTCGACTCTGCCGGCTATACTAATGCTGTACTGCGCTACAGCATCTAGGACGGCGACTGTGTTGAAGAAGACTACACACAAACGGGGGCCATCGGTAATGAACTAATTATACTGTATGGAGTAGGGAGTACAACTCCCCCTTTACAAGCGCTGCCAGGGAGATTTCGCGCACTCCCGCTTGAATGATAACGAGCATACGGCGTACAGTAGCTTGATAATGTGTAGCCCGTGCTCCATAACAGACCGTCTCGATGCGTGGAGACAATCTTTGGGAATCGCTGTGGCCAGGAGTCGATCTTTGAGCTGGAAATTTCCACAACGGCCACCATGGAACATGGGGTCGGGTGGATCCTGTGCACTCCGTGCGTGATGTGTACTGTAGTGCTGGCTACTCTCGATCGCATGAACCGTTGGAAGGTGGAGAAGACTTTCGCGTTTGGCGGATCTGGATGAGGATGTGGCTGTCGACCGGGCCATTTTGGGAGCGTAGGCATCGAATGGCGCGGGCTGAATCTCGCATCGGTAGTGACTAGCGCAAATTCTCGCGGACAGTCCTCCGGGCTCATAGCAGCTCGGTCATCACAGACCTTGAATTCCCCTTACCTTCTTGAAGACGTATGACACACCACCTCCACCTACCATGTCCCGATCGAGCTTGAGAACATGCTCGAGACATGCATCCTCCACTGCTGAGAGGATGTTGGCCTTGAAGTCGTCGTTGTCATCTCCATCTTCCGCTTGGCGTAACAAAGAGGTGTTAATGTGCCGGTACTGCATCAACTCATGCTTCTCTGCTACGTGACCTGTTTCAGATTGCGCTGGCGGAATGGTGTGAGCCTCTTTGCCTGCGACGCCCGGTCTCCTCGAGCTCCCGGGAGTTGTTGTCGGAGAGGGAGTGCTAGACGTTGTGACCGGTACCAGAGACCCGTCGTCACAAGCTTCATTTCCGTCGCCGTCAGCAAGAGGTGGGACTATATCGCGTTCCTCCCCAGCCTCCTGCCCGGCGCCTTCACAACGACAGTCAATCAAGTCGTGAGTGCGCAGGCCTTCACTCTCATCCAAACGGAAGAGATCTCTGAGCTCGTCTTGGCTGAAGGTTGATATGCTTCCTTTGCCCCTGCCCGATGGCCCAAAAGAGTTGGCCCCAGCACCGGCTCCGCCCTGCATGATGCTGTCCGCTAGCGCTCTCTTGACTACTTGCCGCTGCCAGATGCGCTCCTCTAGTCCACCCTTGATGAGAAATCTGTAGATCTTGCAATGCCGCTTCTGACCTTGCCGGTGAATGCGTGCGATCGCTTGATCGTCCGTTGCGGGATTCCAGTCCACATCAAACAGTACGAGTCGGCTGGCTCCTATCAAATTAAGTCCCACTCCACCGGCTCGAGCACTCAGCAGGAAGAGAAAGGCTTTGGCGGGTGGTGACTGGTTGAACTGATCGACCAGAGCTTGTCTCTTCTTCGCCGGAACAGAGCCATCTAGGCGGAGAGACTCGAAATTTGAGTTTTTCGCCAGCTGTTCGATCAAATTGAGTGTCGACGTATAATTGGAGATGACAACGACTTTTTCATCCGTGGTACGGTGGATGTTTTGAAGCAGTTGGTCGAGGAGCCGGATCTTACTAGAGACAGAGTTCTGGTACAGCCTTGAGAACCCGTCGGGTAGCATGTCATTCAGCGCCACGAGCGATGAAGACGGAGTCGCGTCATCGTTGCCACTCATAGGGTCCATCAGTGCCGGACTGTTGCAGAGCTTCTTCAAGATGGTGATCATTTGAAGGGCTGTATCCTGACTGCGCAACGCCGAGTGGAACATCGGAGAACGAATGACGTTCCGGTAGATCTTTGCTTGAGCCGGGGTTGGTTTGCAGAAAAGCACGTACTCCGTCTTCTGGGGCAAGAAGTCCGACAGAATATCGGCGGTCCTCCGCAATATGAACGGCGACGTTGTACGGCTCATATCTTCGCTAGCTTCCTGGCCGCGCTCGATCTCTTCCGCAGTTGCGTCTGGCTGCCGGCTTCTCATGATAGGCTTCTCATAGTCTCTGATAAAGCCCTTTTGGGATCCCAGAACACCGTCATTGACAAAGTTGACCATGGAAAAGAACTCGCCCAGGTCATTCTGAATGGGCGTCCCTGACAAGATGATCCGACGCTTGGTGTTTAATGATTCGATGGCTTGGGCTGCTTTATTCTTCATCGTCTTGAGTCGATGACCTTCGTCGCATATGACAAGGTCGATGGAATGGCTCTTTGCAAGGTTATCGGCCACCATACGCAACCTTTCGTATCCGATAATCATGACCTGGAAAACCCGGCCGTCGAAGTCGCTCAGACGCGTGCGTTTCTCTTCGAACTCCATCACTCCCAGTTGGTCTCGGCCAAGCCATTTCTTAAATTCGCGTTTCCAATTCCGGATGAGGGAGACAGGGCACACAACGAGCGCCTTTCTGACCACAGGGGGGTCCCTGAAGACCGGATTCTGCCGGAGCAAGGTCCACAGAAGAGATATAGTGGTCAAGGTCTTGCCCAATCCCATTTCGTCGGCGAGAATGCACCCTTGGCCATCGAAGTCCTTCAGTCCCATAACACATTCATAGAGAAATTTGACTCCCTCCCGCTGATGTGGACGCAGCGTCTTGGCGACATGAGGGTCGAGAACCACATCAACCGTCTGACGACCTTCAGGCGGACTTGGAGGTCTCTTGAAGACGAGAGCGCCTGGCGCAGCAGGATCATGTCGCGGAGTAGGGGTACCACCTGAGGTCCGTGCGAGAACCCTTGTTTCCTTAACCGGCGGCTTGAAAGCTGGGCCGCCAAGTGGATGGAGAGCAGCTTGCTTCGGCACCTGTGTCTTCTGCTTCTGTATATGAGCTTTCATCTGAGCCTGCATGCTCAGTTTCGGTTGCTGGTTGGAGGAAGGTGAGCCAGATTCGGTGTCGGGCTTCTCCTTCGCAGGCTTGGTGCTTGCGTTGACATATTTGAGATATTCGGTCCTTTTGATGCATGAATCGACCTCCACCTCTTTCCCGCCCATGGTCAGATTGGAGCCGGGCAGCAGGGGCGATGACAAGGCGATGCGGCCAATGCTCTTCCCTGTATTGTTATACAGTGTTGCATAGCCACCTCTAATGGCTAGCACCCCGTCATCTGTCCAGGTTTTGTTCTTCTTGTTCGTAGGAAGACGCCTGCGAAGTACTCAGCAATTGAAGGTGGTGGGAGGAGATGCGCATACCATAAAACGGAATAATAACTGTCAAACCCGCCAGTGCCGGCCTCCTCCTCTTGCTGTGTAGGACTAGCAGGATTCGTGATCTGCTTCAGGGGTTGTCTGGGAGCGCCGGACGACGGTCGCTCCGAGGCATATCTAGGCAGTATGAAAGGGTCAGACTCATCTGCCTGCCCGTCTGGAGGACTGAGCTTTCGTCGTTTCGAGGGTGGAATTTCAGTTGTGGCGGCGTCATCGGTGAGAGCGGCCTGCCGAAATTTGAGCGGTTTGAATGGTTTAGACAACATAACTGAGTACTCCGTAGCCAAGCCTGTGATCAAGACTCTTTCAGACTATGTCCACAGGAGGCTCAGACGGGCCTTGCAGGTTTGGTGCACCGCGGAGTCGGACGCGGAGAGGGAAAACGAAATGGAGAAACGCGACGCGCGACGCGAAACACGTCATCACGTGCGACAATGTCCTTAATCACCCCTGACGTCACCTTCAGTTTACAGAGTCCCTGTATTGAGCTCCACCCCCGTTCTTCACATCTCTCTATGGGCGATTTCATCTCAGTTTCCCACGCTGTTGCTGCTCCGTGTCTCTTTCCAATCATAGGTGATGTGGACGGATGCACGAGCTCAGGTGAAATGCCGCCAGAGTCTCAAGAAGGCAGCTCACATTCCAGCTCGTCCATACCTCTCATCTTCGTCTCAACCACGTCGTCTTGGTAAAGCCGCGTGCGGCAGCACTGTTGAAGAGAAAATCTATATATGTCGTGGCAGTCATAGAATACAAGCCGACAATGTAGCCAAAAGCATTACGAGGGATGATGTCGTGGATGTAGACGTGGAGCCAGAAGTTATGTCTGGGATAATGCACGCGGGCGGCGTAAGTTGGATAGAGGTGGTGGTTGCATCCGCAATGTCGCTTGCAGTGGTCGTAGCTCTGGAACTGATATTTGGCAGGTCGGCGACCACGCTGGAGGGGTCTGGTGAGGTTGCTGTGGTTGAAGACGTTGTGCTGGTTGTGGCAACCTCGGACGAAGTTGTGGTATGTGACAAAACAGCATTCGTTGTCGAAGTTGTCAAGACAGCTGAGGGACTGGAAGTATGCTCAGCTGAGACATTAGTAGGGTCAGCCGATGTGGTCGTCGTGGGGCTGGTGGACCTTGCGTCGTCTATACTAGTGAGTGACGTGGTTGGGGCCTCCGAAGCAATAGACGAGGATGTGCTAGACGTTGCTAAGGGTTCCGACACATGTACAGCGGCTGATCTCGTAGATGAAGTCGGGTCGGAGGACGTTGTGGGAGGATCAGCAACGGCACCAGCGACATCAACTGACGTCGTCGTGGCTGAGGTGGACGAACTAGTCGTGGCAGCGTCATCGGAATCACTAAAAGATGTCGTCGTAGCTGCTATGTCAACAGATGATGAAATGAGTCTCGTATCCGCCAAACTGGCGAGTGCTGACGTTGTAGAGGTCACAGAGTCGCCACTTGAGCTAGGCGAGTCTGACGTGCTCGTTGAAGCATCTGTAGAGCCACTGGCACTTGTCGTTGTGGGAAGACATGCGGCAGTGCTTGAGACGGATTTCTCAGAGGATATGGTATCAGAGGTTGTAGTGCTCGTTGCAGACATGGATGAAGAATTTGTTGAAGTGTCAACTTAAGAAACAATCTCAGCTAGGAGAGTCAAGGCTAAACCATTCGTAGGCACGACATTGGCGATGCTTAGGGAGGGAAATGCCATCTGAGTCATGAAGGTCGAATAACCCCACACGCTGCACTGTAGATGAGGGAGCCCCCTTTGCCAGATGCCGGGCAGGACAACGAACGAGATGCTAGCGAAATCCCCAGCCCGTCGACAGTAGGCTGAAGAGAGAATAAGGAAGACGCTGCGTTTTGTGCTGGGGAAAGCAGACTTTTCGCTAGGATCGCTCGACGATGTGGTAGTTGGGACTCGAGGGACTCCGACGTTGGCGGGACTGGGCGAAGTGGCCCGCTCCAGCAGTCTCACCTACAGATGCGGCGCTGCTCATGGTGGTAATGACTGTGATTGTGCTCCGCTTGAAAGACTCGAGGGACCAAGATCGCCCGCACCAGCGGCGGACGTTTTGGAGGAGGGTAGGGTTCCATCGTCCTTTGTTGGGGAACTCGACGTGCCGGTGGTTGCTGCTACGTTTGATGTTGGTTCTGGTGTGTACACAGCGACATTTACCGTGACTGAAGTGGTCGAAGGTATAGGGACCGCGTCAATCTGTGCCTGAACAAGCGCAACTGCAGAGCAACCGTCAGGAACAACTCCGTCCCAGTAAGCGACAAGGGTCGTGTTGACCACTGTGCGAGACTGAGCAGTTCCGAAGAAAATGATGCTTGTTACTGCGTCTATTGTCCAGTCAGCAAAGAAAGCCGGTGTGTACGAGCCATCATCGTGGGTGTTGCGCACAGCTGCGTCCACACGGAGGCTGTCAAATCCCACGTAGCCGGGGACGCCGCTGAATCCAAGAACTTGTGTTATTTCATCGAGAATGAACCGCCCCGCGAAGCTTGGGTCCGTGAGGGCAATGGCTTCGGTTCCAGAGAATCCGATGTATGCAGTCGTGGTCTGACACCTACGGTATCTCCTCCGCCATATATTCAAGGCCAGAGAGACGAAAAAGTTACCATCTCCGGAAAGTCGAGCAGGTGCGGGATCCGGGATCCGGGATGCGCGTCGGTGGGTCCACACTCGGCAGTAGTCGTTTCTAGAAGTGCTGTTGTGGTCAATGTCCCATACGGTCCCGCGCGACTCGTGGTAGCTGAGCCCACGCTAGGCTGATCGGAGATTGATGAGCACGATGGTAGATCCAGTGAGGCCGTAGACCTTTGGTGAGGGCTTGTCCGGGAACTTGAGATGGAATGAGTGTCATGGGCTGGACTGCTCGAGAATGTAAATGGCTGGCGATGGGAGCTTCTGCCAGGTTTCGATGTCGAACGAGTGAATGAATAGCGACAATGAAGAACAAGAACGAGGAAGAGAGGGGAGTACTCACTCGCTTCCAACACCCACGTATATTACTGTCGGATGCTCTTGTGCCCGCGCTCACATGAACACGTACATTCGAAGCCTCGCGCAAAAACCCTCGAAGTTCGAACGCTTCGTCGTAGACTCTGCGACGTCCACATCAACCTCGTTAGGCCGAAGGTGGCATAGTGGTCAACGCAACGGCCTTCTCAGCTGCTCACACGTGCGACTGACCTAGGCGGCCTAGATCCTCGTGGGACTCATCGAAGAAGCTGTATCCCAGAAGACAAATTGACCAGGCGAAAGCTTGAGCTGAGTTCGAGAATAACGGTCTGTACGCCTGAGCCTCATGCCGGACGCGGTTAGTTGCCGAGGTTGTGAAGTATCGGGCGACGGAGAGGGTAACGTGGCTGCCAAGAGTCTAAGATAGGTGACGATGTGGCGTCCGGCCCCTGAAGCGGTCTTTGCGGCGGACACGTGTGTCGGGAACGCTTGATCCCTGGCTTGCTCGAGAAAGACCAACCCACCAACTTACCCGGGAGAAACTTTCACTACATGACGCACTATCGACGTGAACGGCGAGGCTGACAACGACTCAACGGTGGCACTGCATCAGGGTTCGGCCAGCCTTTTCGCTGCTGTACCGGGTGCTTCGGGTTCGCCGACTCGCTCTGGGTGTGTCGGGCTCAGCAATCCCGTACTCTAGCGACCCCAGCTATAAGGTACTTGCCGAGCTTCGCTTCATTTCCGGTGCACTGATTTACGGAACGGAAGAGGTACAGCATTTGCATGCGGAAATGCGGCAAGCCACCATAAGTAGGACCCAGCAGAAGGGATGCTGCTGTTCGGAGTGCTAACGACGCCGTGTGGAGAATCACCACTTGAGAACCATCCGATATAGACATTTTGTATTCGCAGGCTGTCTCCTAATCACTACGTCGTGTTGAGCCAAAGAGAGCTAGATGGCGGCGCTACTCTGTTCGAGAGAATAGCCGGTCCATAGAAGCATGCGACATGAGCAGCAGTTTCCCAAGCACTCGAGGCTATAACCATGCAGAATAGTAAGATCAAGCAACAGATGTCTGGGAAGGACAGAGCGTAGGAGCCCAAAGGGTGAAGTTTGAGTCTCGACAAGACCACTGAGTTGAGGTTTGGTTCCGAATGAACAACCTGGTCATTGGCTTGTGTGGCTGTTGGAGTTCTGGGACCGCCTTCGCTCAGTTCCACTTGGATTTGATCCAGCGAACCTTGTTCTACATCGAGCTGGTCGTTCTTTAGCTTGAGTTCACTCTGTAAGGTCTGCACTAGCTCTCTCAGCTCTTGAATTTCATTCATGGCCAAATCCACCCTCTTCTGAAGCACGAGCATTGGTGACTTAGCAGAGTTGGGAGCTTCCGGTGGAGGAGTGCATGGCGACAGGGTGGCTCGCCGGCATGGCGAGTCCGGGATATCAGCTCGGAGCTTGAGAGGCGAAAGTGGATGTCTGCGCGCAATGGGAGACTTGCTGCTAAAATCTGGCCGCATCCGCCATACAGAGAAAGGGGTTAGCGGTCCTGTAGCACTCAGAACGTCACGGGGTGATGTCGGCGAGAGGGCCAGGGTTCTGATTTTTCGGGGTCCTAGTGGTGTTCCACAATGAGCGACGCTGCTGTTCAGTGGAGTTTCGCACTCCCCTTCACATTTCCATTTGATCGACCCAAATGTTGCACGGAGGACTTTCATGAGGACTTCCTCAGTCCCGGCAGCGGTGTCGATCGACAGCGTCAACGAAGGCATTGGGGATATCGGTGGTGTTGTGTTATTCTTCAACAGCTGCCTCAAAGCAACCTTGATAACTGGTAGTAGGTATGTTGAGCCCCAATCCTCGATTGCTTCGATCCAGCCTTGAAATTCTCTGAACCCATCGGCCTCATCGAGATTAAATCGCGAGAGCTCGGACATACAATAACGCCCGTCTGCATCAGTGCTGTGGTAGTTGATGAGAGCAGCTGAATTGTCGATAGCGCAAGAGAATGAGATTGGTTTTTCAAACACCGCGCGAGAGCCACCGCATCTTCTAAACAGAAGTTGCTGTGCTCGAACGCAGTGAGCGCCGGCGATTGCGCATTGGTTCTTCGTTGTCTGCACTGCATCTTCGGACGAGGTAATCATTCGCTCAAATATCAAGAAGGGACAATAAGTAGTTGTTCCAGGAGAAACGGACCCCGATTCAAAGTCGACAATGGTTCCAGAGGCGGCTGTGCAGTGCGGCAGAACAGATAATTCTCTTTCGTTGAATGCACTCGTAGTGAAACCAGTCAAGAGATTAGGTCGAGGAGAAGGCAACTCGAACAGACTTTCTTGCGCTCTGACCGCTCGTGGTGGGAGGGCCTCTCGAGTCAGCTTCGGAGCTTGGCATCGGTGAAGGCCGCGATTGTCTCCGATCGGCGGGAGGACCTCAGGAGGAAAGACCATCGTCGAGCCGAACCCTCTGCCATCTGCCAGGTTCCTTCGCCATTGTCTTTCTTGACGATCGAATCGGTCTACTCTCTGGAGACACGGCTTGAGTCTGTCGGAAAAAGGGCGAGACAGATCTGAAAGCTGGATACCCTCGGTAAGGACGATACGAAATGCACTGAGGACAATCGTTCGAAAGTCGGACCACTTAAGGTGACTGCCGTCAAGAGCTCTCAAGAGGGATACTGTCGTGTCGGGGAGTGGACTTGCGGTCTCCATGCCTCGGTAGCAGCGAAGGGGCTCGGTTTAGACGAATAGGACCGAGTGGTGAGGTGTGGGACGACCCTGGTATGTAACGTAAGTCCACACTTCCTGGTGACAAGTTGACCCGGCAGGATGGAACTCAGACAGTGCGAGCCTGGAGGAGTGAGAACATCGCAGGAGATTTTCTGGAGTAATATGTCCACAGCACGTGGCTACAGGCTGATGTTGTGATGGCATGATGGCGGTTATGCAAGGCACAAGTCCACGCTACTGTATCAGCTCTCAAACAGTGCTAAAGGGTTGTCGGTGCCCCTGATGTCTCCCGCGTTGTGGCTTGTGGTGTGTTTCGACGAGTCGGAGCCTTTGTGCATCGAGAAATTCGCGCCAAGAGACGGGATACCAGTGCGCGTCTTGAGAGCCTCAAGCTCTAGGTGCAAGACCTTGACGGCCACCGAGCGCTTAAATGGCCTCTCATGACATAGGTAGTCTCGAGCCAACTTTGATTCACAGGGTCTTCGAAAGGCCGCCAGCAGAAGCGTGAGCGCCTGACGACAGAAGTTCGACAGTGATCCTGAAACGTGCATGCGCTGGCGGGCGGCAATGAAAGGGGCAGGCGGTTAAGGACTCCTGAAGCGTTCCGGACACGACTGTCTAGAGCGGAAGAAGAGGAGATCACACAGTGACACGTGTGAACGATTCAGCAGCAAATACACTTACAGATGAAGAGAAGAGCAGCGTACTCCGTACTGCATGCTGGCGAATCGACGTTCTCACACGAGAAGCAACGAGAGAGCGAGGCAAGTTGCTAGTTGTAGAAGGTTACAGCCAAGGAGTCACGATTGGCATCTTTTCCGACCAGGACTAGTCCTGAAACAGCTCTAGCACGAAGCGCTCTGATTAGTGGCTGCGCCGGTTCGTCATCAAGCACAGCAATCTTACATAATAGCGCCACATAAGGTATTCTCCAGACACCCAGTCACTCACCAGGCTTACCTGGGTACTTACGAAGGTATTTCATTTTCTTAACCGTCAAGGACGTGACCCGAACGATTTACGAGGAGGACGACACTGTCATGCTGGAGGTATTGTTTCTGGTGCTCAGGCGATCGATATTGACACCATCTTCAGTAGCCGGGCGAGCCTTACACGATGTCAAGACGACGTGGCAATCGTCCCAATTGAACTTGTGACAAAACTCACTCGCCGATCATGCTAAGCTGCGTCGTGTCAGCTTGAGGCGTTCGGGCTGACGAGATCCAGAGTCGGCCGCCATGTCCGCCGGGACCAGATACATAAATCTTATGGCTTTGCAGGAATCTGCATCTGCCAACATGATAGAATATCCGAGACACTATTACTTCTTTGCTCCGTCCCAAGTCCAAACGAATCATCATGGGAGATGCAGGAGCGAGCAAAACGCCGTTGAAAATAGCAATTATCGGGGGAGGAATCGGCGGGCTAAGCCTACTATTAGGTATACTGAACCACGGCGACCCGCGGGTTATACAGCCGCACCTTTATGAAGCCGCCCTTGCCTTTGCCGAGATTGGGGCTGGTGTCGGCTTCCTGCCCAACGCGGTACGAGCGATGTATGCAATCGATCCGAAGCTCCATGAAGCATATGGCCGCATAGCGGATGAAGCTCCGCGAGCAGATGTCAACGGCCAGCAGAAGTACGTATTCAGCAAAGTCTATATGGGTATGGAAGGCAGAGGAAGCGGTATGGCCAAGGCATTCGACGAGATCGGCACGGTGTACAATGACAACAAGCTGCGGAACGTTCATAGAGCGGTATTCCTGGACGAGATGGTCAAGCTCTTACCTAACAGCCTCGAGGCTGACCTTGTCAGCTTTGGGAAGAGATGTACAGACATCAGGATACATGATGCCGGAGTGACAGTAGCGTTTTCAGACGGCACCTCCGAAATCGTCGATGCTGTTATCGGCTGCGACGGCGTCAAGTCGGTAGTGCGAAACATTCTTCACCAAGGACAAGAGAAATATGAGCCATGTTTCACGGGAAACTATGCCTATCGAGGCCTCGTTCCAATTGAAGATGCCACCGAGGCGTTGGGAGAAATCGCCGCTGTCCATCACATCCTGATACTCGGGTACGGCGGCCACCTCGTCACCTTTCCTATCAAACAAGGGAAAACGCTCAATGTTGTCGCATTCCATGGTCGATCGGACTGGCCTCACGGCAACAGTTGGGTCGTTCGAGCTACGGTGGAAGACGCGTTGGAGGATTTCAAGGACTGGAGTGAGCCTATCAAAAAGCTCCTTTCCCTGCTTCAAAGGCCCGATAAATGGGGCCTGTTTGATCTTCCACCACTCAAGACTTACACCCTGGACGGCCGAATATGCCTACTGGGGGATTGTGCGCATGCATCAACACCTCATCAAGGTGCAGGGGCCGGCATGGCTATTGAAGACGCCGCAGTCCTCAGTCGAGTACTGGGAGAGATCAAGACACCTGACAGGGTACAACTCACAAGAGCCTTTGCAGCCTATGACGCTGTGCGGAGGGACCGAACTCAAAAAGTCGTGACCAGGAGTAGAACCCGAGGCATGCTTTATGATTTCGAACTGTCTGGTGTCGGTGACGATCTTGAGAAGGTCCGAGACACATTATCCACCCAATGGGACTGGATATGGGATTTGGATATCGATGCTCATTGCCGCGAGGCGCTCGGTATCATGCATCAGACCCATATGGTCGGGAACGACTCTCCGTAATACAATGGGCAGAATCGATTGTGAACTGCACCATATCCCTGCTTTCGCGCTCCTCTTGAAACCATCTATTTCTTTCCGCTGCCCAAGTTCTCCTGAACCGATCCTCCCACTGCGCCCTTGTCTGTAAAATGCTTGCCGATAGCGCCCTGCGACGAGAATGGGCCACCGACAGCTTCGCCGACGCTACCGATTGACCCCTCAGCTACATCCATTGTCAGTCTTGGAGCCACCAGACGCAGTTGATCCTAACTCACGCTGGAATTGCTTGCCAACCGCGCCGTCCTTGTCGAAAATGGGCTTCTTCTCTCCTTGCATCTGCTCGGCAGCTGAAAATGGTGAGCACAGTGCCAGTATTAGGTCACAAGAGGCAATTCGTCATACCGGATTGTGCGGTGCTACCTGCAAGCACACAAAGTTAGTAACAGTGTTCTATGAGCGAGAGATCAGAGTCCGATCACGTACCAACCGAGCCCTTGTCCGTGAACTCCTTTCCCACCGCACCTGCGAATCTGTCAGATTTGTCGACATGGCGGTCCGAGAAGAGGCTACTCACCCTTGCTGCTAAATGGGCCGCCGACTTTCTCCCCGACCTGGCCAACATTGCCCTCCGGCTGGAATTGAGAGCCTACGGAGCCCTTGTTCGCATCGAGCGAGGATTTGTCTTGGTCAGCCATTCTGGCGGAGTATGCAGAGAATGGTCGCGAGGTCTGCGATGTGATCAGAAGTTGAGCGCGCTGTGTCTGGCGAGCAAGACGATTCATAATTGGTGTAGTTTGAGCTGTGAGAATGTTGCGGAAACGAAAAAGTGAGGTTGAAAGCGAGACGAATCTGAGTGACACACCTGAATTAAATGTCAGTTCCGATGCACTGCACGACATCACATCAAGGATCGAGCTTCCGCCGGCATCATCCTGACGTCAACAGCGCAAGCTCGTGTAAGCCTCTGTGGGGACGTACCTTTTCTGTACTGAGACGCCTCTAATTACGAAATATCGAGCTTCTAGGCTCCGATTCCGCCAGCTGAATACTGGTTGCACAGGTAGATGTCGGGGTAGAAGACAATGGAGATGGACTTCAAGGTCAGTTGTACTCCCAAGGAATTTGATAGTCCAGTCTACGTCACTTCTACATCTCCGAACCTTAACGTGGAGATCGATTTGGAACGAGGTACACCTAACTATCAGGGCACGCCATTCCGGTCCAAGAGACGACTCGGCTTTCCTGGGAGGAGTGAGAGCAGTGCTTCATAAGGTACGAGTTAGCACGTAAACCGATTGGTTTTGCTGGTCACCTCTACGAAGGCAGATCCAGTGGTGACGTAGTGCGCGTCTCAATGCGGGGAAGTTGTGCCAGTGCGACAAACAGTCCAAATATGCCCAGAAGGACCTTCATCTTTCGCTGTGTGGTCCGCGTTACTTGCCAGCCTGCTTTTTGCCTTGAGAACTGGCCAGAGTATCTGGTCAGATGGGCATATTCGACGAGGATCGTCGCTTCCGTTGTTGGGTAGTTCGAGGACATAGGAGGACCTATCTACGGTTGGGACCGCGTGCCATACCCAGAAGGTTCGGCTGGACTTCACCATGCAGGCACGACGGGTGACTGCATGTCGATTCATCTGTGTCTCTTGCCTTCTTCTTTTCCATCTCTCCAACTGCTCTCTCTGCATCGCAAAGGTTCCCTCGACCGAGTGAAGGGTTTTTTCTTTCGTTGGATTTTTGGATCTTGTCTTAGAACACTCTCATTGTTAACTGTGTTTCTTGGACCTCGAGAGTGAATTGCGTCCTGCGACATGTTACCTGAGCTCTACAGATTCAGTATTCCGACCCGTATCTCCAACTGATGCGCTTGCAACATAATATTATTTGAGAAGAACGTCCGCCAGAGAAGCCTGGAGTTTCCCCAAAGCCGCCTTCATGGCGTCCACGCCATCCTCCACGAGCCGTATCAACGGCACCGCGGTTGAGAATGCCTTCCCAACTCCACCTACCGGTGATACCGCTCCTGAGAATGCCTCCCGCCTCAATGGCCGGATATCCCCAGCTCCTAGGAAGCTTCTGCCTTTACAACGTGCACAATCTACTCCGCCAGAGCTTTCGCATTCGACTCAATTCGGCGTCTTGACCAAAGGCTCCCAGGGCCTGTCAGACCTGGCAAGCCTGGAACATTCGTGGAGCAAACTGGGATTGTCGAAGAAGAAAAGCCAATACTACGACAACGCCTTCGCGTATCGTGAACCAAATAATACTGCAAAGGAAAGAGTGGCGAAGGACTCCGTCATCTTGGCCGAGGTGAAGCTGAACTGCTGCGTAAGATGGACGGTCCGACCATGCGAGCGTCACTGACAACCGGCGTAGGTCGAGTCTGAAAAGGAATTCCTCATCGATCTGTCCTTCCGTCTCTCAGAAATCTATCAGCGTCCGGCGTCTTGCGTCATGGCCATGGTGACAACAGACGTCCAAATGCTCCTGGGAGGAAACTCGGAACCGGCATACCATCTTACAATTACGGCTCTGCCTTCGGAAATAGCAGCCACCAAGAACAAGAGAGGTACACATCTGATCCAAGATTTCATCCAGGACACTCTCCAAATCCCTCCAAAGCGTGGGGTTCTTCGGTTCGATGCGGTCGCGGAAGGGAACCTGGCGACGAACGGCGTGACTGCTCTGCAGGAGATTGAGCAACTTGAGAGACAGTCATCCGATGAGGATGGTATGTTACGAGCATTGAGTCGTCAGAGAAGTCGAAGGAGCAAGAAATCAAGTGCGCCAGCTTTCGCTGAGCGCTTTCGAGTTGGTCTGCCTTCGGTCAGATCTACCACTCCTTCCAGTCAACGTTTCAATAATGCTGAGACAACACAGACCAGATCGGTGGACGCCATTGGCCTGAGCAAGAAGCGTGTCAAGAAGCGGCAAAGCATTTTGGGATTCTTCAGGAAGTGATGATGGCGGTATTAGGGATCGGCTTTTGCATTGTACTCAGCATTGGAATATGTGCCATGGGAGACGGATAATGATATGACGAGTTCACGATGGGTTCTGGTATAGGGATAGGCATCTAGTGTAGGAACCACGCAACCAATGTTGCTACCAGTAATCAGTACCCAGGAAAGAAGGGTCCGCATATCCGATTTCACAGATACAATTTCTTCGAGCACTCCGGCAGCTCATTTTTGTGAGCTGGGGGTCGGTTCTAGTGCTGCCTCACTTCACTCAACGTGGTAGTTCCGCCTTTTCATACACAACTGCCTCACCATTGTGGCGGGAACCACCCCGAAGTAACTGCCTGCCCACAAGCATCGAAGAAGCCTATTGTCACAACTTCAAACTTCTCCGGGCAGGCATGTCGGACCCAGACACATCTCACACTTTCCTCACCTCTTTAACATTACTTGGCCCATATTATCCTCAACATGGAACTTCCCAGTCATGACAAGTACCACAGACTGTTGAGCTCGCCGTATGCGTGCTTGCAAGAGCTGGATGAAAGTTATTTCAAAGCAGTTGAGTACTGGACAGTGCAAGGTCGACGCGGCGTGGAGAATGCGAAGGTGGAATTACAACATATCGACGAAGCTTACGGCGCGCTCTTTCAGGAGTACCTGAAAGACCAAGAAGGCGTGGGATATGAGAAGGCGAAGTACACCATGCAACAGGTGGTCAACGGCCAAGAACGCATGACCAAGCCGAGTGAGGGCGACGAAGACCTTTGGGTTCCTCCTCGACAGGAGAGATCTGCTTCACCTAAAATGGGAGACGGCATCGAAATCGACGAGTTAGCAGACTATGAAAAGATGGAGCAGCCGACCGTGTACAATTCAAATCCTATGCGGGGATTTGCCATTCGAGAGATCACGGGTGACATCAAAGATGCTCCTGACAGAGCAGTCATTGTCCGTATGTGAGTAATCAGTGATGGCCACGCAGAGACTGATACGCGCCTTGATAGATGCAGTCAACTGTCAAGGAGTCTGGGGATATGGGATTGCCAAAGAGCTCAAAAACATGGTACGACTACACCCCAATCATTTCGGCCCCTGCCTGACTATTTCAAGTGTCCAGCAGCATTCGAGATCTACAGATTACACTGTCAACGGGCTAGCCGCCCATACTATCTTGCTGGGACTTGCCTCCTTATCGCTCCGCAGCGATCCGACTACGAGCAAAAACGGAAGCTGAAACTCAGAGGCGTTGATAATGCCCTCAGCCGGGAGGTCCCTCTCCCAAAAACGCGTCATTGGATAGCCTGCCTCTTCACCAGCACTGGCTATGGTAAACGGAACCTGAAAATGAACAATCCCGGCAAAGACTCCCCGTCCCAGATCCTCAATCACACGCGGCTCGCCCTTGAGGAATTTCGAACACGCCTCGAGGACTATGAGATACCGGATTCTAACAAGGTAACAACAAGTGACGCCGTCGACGAAACGCCCGGAGAGATATGGAGCTCAAAATTCAACAGCGGTGCATTTGGAGTTGATTGGGAACTCACTCGCGATATCCTGGTAGAGGAGTTTGATGGTTCCAGGTGCCAATGGACGCTCGTGGAGAAGGTCAGTAGTGGAGGCGATGAATCTCCGGCGTCTGTTGACTCGAATGTCACGGAAGGTTCTGTTTTCGAGCACGCCCGGAGACATGCTCAAATTGAAATTGAGAACCGTCTAAAGACAAAGAATGGTGATCCAGTAGAAGGTGACCTGCCTTTGCGGGATGCACTGCGGGAAATGGGTTTTCAATGATCATGTGCAACGGGAAGATATCTCAGTGTACACTGATTCTGCTGGGGAGTTTCCAAGCGTATGTGGGCGGACAAGACGAGGCGTTGGAAAATAGGGGAAGCGCTATTCCTCAGGTGGACTAGGCTGTAGATCTTTGTCTTGGCGGTCAATGAAATCTCAAACTGAGCGTCAACCAATGATTCACTATGTTTTCTGCCTCACCTCGCTGGACTGCCTATGATTGTCGGTTTTCAAACCATTAACATGAACGGGCAAGACGCTGACTCTCGCCCTTCGAAGCGTGTCAAGCTTGATTCAAGTGATGCCGACGTGACGATCGTGAGCACCTCAACGATGGCTTACCAAGGCCATGAAAGCCACATTCAGCAAGGATCGCTTGTGTCGGATGATACAGCCAAAGAGAGACAGGTGGGTATCGCTGCTTTTGTGGATGGATCCCGCTCTGTCTTCCGAGGGATTCTCAAGAAGCGGTACACGGATTTCTTGGTTAACGAAATCTTGCCAAACGGAATCGTGGTGCATTTGAGCTCGATAAAGGTACAACATCGGGCCGTGCTGCCTACGTCTGGGAGGACTGCCTCAGCTGCAAACGGAGGGTTGGCGCAGGCAGATCAGGAGATTGCACGAGGGCAGCCCACTGGCGAAGGGGCGACGGGGCAAAAGGTACCGGACACTGAGAAGGCACTGGAACCAGATGCTGCGAAGCGGCCAGATACGAATGGAGAATCTGCACAGGTGAATCTGGCCCTATCTTCGAACCACAGAAAGCTAACGAGAAACCAGCTCTCCGAGGCCGACCGCGCAATACTCCTGGGGTACTTCGGCGACGAAACAGTCGACCAGATGTCCTCTCTCTACCAATCAATCCTAGGCCATCCAGACTGGAAATCGAGAGACCATCCCATGGTCCGCACAGAGTTTACCTCCGACCGAAACGTCCGGTCCCAGATACATCAAGATATCCGCCGTATCTTCGACGGCAAGATCGACTCTTCCACAGACAAAGATGGTATCCTCGTGCTCACCGCATCACATGCAGCGTTAGCCAACAACCGTGACCGCAACCGTGGTTGGAACAGCAAACCGAACAGTGATCGATCCTCACGCCCCAACAAACTCAGCTGGCAGGACCGCGGTGGCGAATATCTCCACTTTTCTCTCTACAAGGAGAACAAGGATACCCTGGAGGTCATCTCGTATCTGACGAAGCAGTTGAAGACGAACACCAAGACATTCCAGTTCGCTGGCACAAAGGACCGACGCGCTGTGACCGTGCAGCGGGTTAGCGCGTATCGTGTAGAGGCGGAGCGGCTAGCGGGGTTGAATCGGTCGTTGAAATATGCGGCGGTTGGAGATTATGAGTATCACAAACAGGGCCTTGAACTCGGCGACCTTAGTGGGAACGAATTCGTCATCACCTTGAGGGAATGCGAGCTCGAAGGATCGTCTTCTGACGGTATCGCTGTTGAGTGGAAAGCTGAACTCCATTCTTATTTGCAGACATCCCTTCAACGACTACGCGAGAAAGGATTCCTCAACTTCTACGGCCTACAGAGATTCGGTACCTTCGCAACCCGTACGGACATTGTCGGCCTTCATATCCTCAAAGGAGACTTCAAGAGCGCGTGCGACGCGATCCTCGAATTTTCACCACTGGCTCTCAACGAAGATACTTCGGAGAGTCATCTTCTTGTTGGCCACGATGATAGATCCCGCGCCGAAGGTATCAATATCTGGCGTGACACGGGTAGGATCAACGAAGCGCTCGACAAGATCCCCCGCAAGTTCTCCGCCGAGTCGAACATCATACGACACCTCGGTAAGCATCGACAGGACTACCTCGGCGCGCTACTGGGTATCCAGCGGAACCTCAGGCTTATGTACGTCCACGCTTATCAGTCCTTGGTATGGAATCTTGCGGTCGGCGAGCGCTGGCGCCTGTATGGAGAAAAGGTCGTGGAAGGAGACCTTGTCCTTGTCCACGAGCATAAGGACAAACACATGGATCTCGAGACGGCCGCTCGGGAGACCGTCGACGCGGACGGCGAAATCGTTATACAACCGTCCCACGACGACAGGGCGTTCGACAAGGACGACATGTTCGAACGAGCCCGCGCATTGACCGCGGAAGAGGCAAACAATGGAAAATACTCAATCTTCGATATTGTCCTTCCCCTCCCGGGATTCGATGTGCTTTACCCGGCCAACGCGTGCGGGGAATGGTATAAGACCTTCATGGCGAGCGAGGCCGGCGGTGGCCTCGATCCATACAACATGCGACGCAAGCAGAAAGATTTCAGTCTCAGTGGCGGGTACCGGAAGATGCTGGCACGCATCGGTGAGGCCTGGGAGGCCAATGTGCAGGAGTATGGTGGCGAGGAAGGAGAGAAACAGTTTGTGGAGACGGATTTGGAGCGGATCAAGAAGGGTGAGCAAAAGACCAACATGGGGGCGGAGCAGACTAGAGTGGCAGACGACGCTGCCGTTGCCGCAGAGACGCCAAACCCGCCGCAGCAGGCATTGACGGAGCAGTCTACGGAAGCACAACAGGCCAAAAAGCTCGCCGCGGTCCTCAAGTTCCAACTTGGCTCCAGCCAATATGCCACCATGGCGCTGAGAGAGCTGTCGAAGGGCGGAATTCAGGCTTACAAGGCGGAGTTTATTGGCGGGCGGTAGGCGGGTCAGCCGTGATGGTGTGTGGTCACCGGCTTCCTCATTGGGTGGTTGGATATCGGATGCTCGTGATCCCGCGCGAACAGACATGCTACTTGAATCCTCTGTTGGGCATCATTATCGCCTTTCTCTCCCGGGGTGCTCCTCTGTTACTCTGGCCTATTCCTGCGAGGGTCGTCCGCCGAGATGGCCGCACCGAAGCACAATGCCGTAGCGGGTGTAGCTGACTTTGGCCCCTCGGGGGCTCTGGTCTGTATGGGGCACATGCCCCTGAGTTTGGGACTTCCGCCCGACATTCCGGGGTGAGGGAGTATAGCAGCCGGTATGAGGGCGCATGACATGTTACTAATCAGGACCTGTTACTGTGCTGGTCCGGGACGATTTTTGGGCTTCAGGTCGTACTCGATGAATCAGATACTGGAAGCCATTATTGTTTCTGGGATGCCTGCCGGTAAAGGCACAACCCTTGGCTCGGGATCGTCCTGTCGACCCACTGATCGAGATGCATTGTAGATCTAGGTTGGCGACGGTACCTCACCCGACGACATGAGATCTGAATGCTGTTATCATTCCCGTAGTACAATTGAGTTTCGCATGCTGTTTCAGAGCAGGACAGCAGCGTGAGCTTAGCTGCGTGTTTCCACCGCGAATCTCTGCCACGACGCTGTCTGAAGATGCCTCCCACTCGGACCCGGGACGGCCTACCCGAGTGGCGTTACGTCAGCCCCGAATGCGTCATCAACTGGTACCCATTACCCACGGGCACCCTCTGTAACTAGCGGGAGTTTCACCAGTAGGTAAAATACGCTTGGATTAAGTCGCAGCGCACAGTCAGTGACCTTGAATGCTCATCAAATTACAGTCATAAGTCAATATCTATCCTCGGAATTACAACACTACAATTTCGAGCCGCTGATTCACGCATCCTTCGGTAAAGCAGCCTTCGCTCGCCGAGACCGCTCAAGACTTCACCCGTTCCAGCTCGCCCATGATCTCCCTCATCTCCGCCTCACTCGGCAGATTGACCACCGTCAAGTACAAGATGTCCTTTTGTAATACCTTCCTGATCACGCCCTGTCTTCGCTTCGGCAGTCGGCCCATCTCCGCATTCTTCACATCTGATGGGCTCAGTTCGTATCCTCTCTTGTGTGCCCTTCTCTGAGCTCGCCGCCCCCGTTTCTTGGCTTTCGGGTCGAAGTGCCCACCAGTAAGAAGCCCGAGAATGGTGCCCGAGTTGGCCGGGTGATTCGGATCGCTGAATCGAGAGGCAAACGTCTTCTCCGGAGAAGGCACCGCGAGCTTGCTGTCCGGGTGCATCCCGGCGTAGCTCGCCTGCGCACGACGGTCGAGATAGCTTGCCAAGAAACCCCCCGTAGCGCGGAGCTTGTCCTGGGCGCGTCGTGAGAGTGGTGGGTCGCTCTGGGCGGGGCCGGAGGAACCCTCCGCTGAGTTGAGCGCTGATACTGCGGCTGCGTCGATGGCAGGGTAGATCAGGGGCGCGGACTCGGGAAGGGAAAGCTCGCCCTTGCTGACGCCCGAGGCGAGGCGGAGTTTGGCGAGCTTTTGTTTCAGCGCGGAGTCCGGGATCGAGGTTGCCTTGGCGAGGGCTTGGTCTGCCGCGCTGACGCTCGAGAGGTCTACCCCGAGGAGCGGCTCATGCGGGCTGTCGGGCTTGAAGGTCATGATCATGCAGTATAGGCCACGTGGCTTGAAGAGAGATTCGTTGATCTGATCGAGGTAGGTGTTTCCGCGGTGGCGTGTTTGGATCTCCTCTGCAGTATGACTGGCCACTTGCACAGCGATGGTGGTGGCCATGGCGATGGGGCTGGGCACGAATCCCGCGGCGAAGCAAGCCAGATTGATCACGTCGAAGACCGGGCTGGCTTTGGAGGCGCGGTCAAGGTCGTTGATGAAGTCGATAAAGGTCTTCTGGTCAATGCCCGCGCACTCGCCGAGTAAAGGGGCGTAAGCGCGCACAAAACCTCGACTTTGATCCTTCGGTCGGCGCTGCGGGAGTATGACGGGGCATGGTAGTGGTTTGATGTTCACGGAGGGCAGAGCTGAGAGCTGGTGCGTGTCCACGAAAGCCCGGGCGACGTCCTGGTCTGAAGCCGGTGGAGCTGCTGCTTCTTCGTATGACGGTGGGGGTTGCTCGAGCTCTTCTGCGGCTTCATCAAGGGCCCATTCGGCATTGTCATTAGCCAGAGCAGAACTGCTGATACTCGAAGAATCGTCGTCTTCTTCCGCGTCAGAAGGGCTTTTCTTTTCCGAAGAATGCCCTGTGGGAAGCGTTGGAGCCGTTAGGCGCGAACTCTCCCCGGTCTCGTGTTGGACTGCGGGGTTCGGTGACACTCCGCGCTCTCTGGCTGCCTTCTTCTTGTGGTCGGCGATCACCTCCGACGCCGCACCGATGGCCGCGCCAACACCCTTGGTCAGCCTACTTATGATAGGCATGGAAAGAAGTGCTTGAGGAAGACTCGTAACAGGACTTTGGGGAGCGGGATGCGGAAATAGCTTCAACCTTGCACGAAGGGAGAGTATCTTGTAGATGGAGGATGACTTATTGTACAGTACGATTGCGCTGGGGCTTGAGATGCGATCTTCTGAAGCACAGCGACAACCCCTTCTTATATGCGTCGCCTTGATCTTTATGATCGACAAGGGCTGTAGAGACTCGACCTCTTCCAGGTTAGAACCGCGAACGGTTACATGGTCAGTTTTCCTTCAGCATAGCCTCACGCTCCCAACAGAACGGTTCGTTCGCGGTATGCTCCAAAAGGGGCTAGTCCAACCAGGGAATATTGGCAACGCGGGCGGCGAAAAGCTTGGATGGTGAGCCTAATCGGCAGCGTACGTAATCAGGAAGCCCCCCGCACTGCCCACCTCAACCCACCAATCACGCGCCGATCACCCACCTACCGCCAGTTCTGTGCTTTGCCATTAAATATACGGCCGCGGCGAAGGTCAATGCCCTCCACTATAAGAGACGGGCATGCTCGGACCGAGTCTCGCATCACATCCTGGGCCTCCATCATCTGCGGAACCTGGCAGAGTGAAGAAACGTATCATGAGCGCTGAAACAGAGACACGCTTGGCGACTTCGTCTGATGGCCCAAAGAACGATACCCCTCGTGGTGTGACCGGCGGACAAGCCTTTGGGCCGACTTGACAGGTCTGCATGTCAGAGTCTTTCCCTGTGTTTCCCTTCGTGAGTATCACCTAAGCCACGAGTTCAGCACGTCGTTGTTGGGTTTGGTCGTGCGATGCGACAGTTCCATCACGGTCTTCCTTCGGACGTCCCTGTTACAGCAGGGAAGTTGAACAGGTCCGCTTCTCCGGGTTCCTGGTGTCGCTGTGCGACGGTAACGCCGATGCTCAACAGGCGGTAAGTCACGTCGCCGCATCTTACCAAAATCTGTTTTAGGAAGCGATGCTTGCAGCCAGACAATCAAGTCACCCGAGAATGAAGGTCCGACGAACGTTCCCCCCGTAACGACTCGAAGGGGCAGTGCTTGTAACCCAGCTGCTGTCTAGGGGATCACCTGCTCTTTGGTTGTACAGCAGACAAGCGTGTTGGGCGGGGCACGTGCGAGCTCATCGGTGTGGTCGGCCGTTGTATTTGAAACAGCCTGAGCGGATTCAGACTGGTTACCATTGCGGAGAGATAAGGCGGACCTACGAAGAATCGTTGATTTTTACTCTGCAGTCGTGTTTGTCCTTTCTGGCTTGATCCTGGTGTTGGCAATCCTTGAGGAGATCTAATTGCGGAGTAATCCAGGGTAATCCAGATAGCCCAGACGTCTGTAACCATGTGGCGGTCAATACATTGGCGTTGCAAGATGTCTGCAGGTGGTTGGAGACAGGAATAATCTAGTGGCAGGCAGATTTAAGGATTTTTGACATAGGGGTACGGTTCGATTATTGGTCAAGGACAATGATCTTCTCGTTCATTGCACGAGGAGCGTCTTGGATCTCACAGTTCTCGTTTCGTAGCCGATGATGTCGCAGCAAGGACGTAGTAATCAAGTGCCTTAGATAAGGTCCAAGCCTGAGTTATTGCAAGGTTGTAACTGACTGGGTCTCGAATATCAGAAGCAACATCATTTGATCCATGGTAAATACCTCCTCCCCAAAGACGGCCGTGCAGGACTCAGGGACAGGCTCTAGCGCTAAGATTTTGCCAAAGCGGGAGCGGACGAGCACGGTTAGCGAGATCTGGATGCCCGGGATAAGCATCAGCAAGATCTTGGTTATACTTTAGACTCCCGCTTCCCTTGACAGCAATAACGCGAAACCCAACCTCCGCCAGCGGAAGACAACTAAGTGCATCTTGACTCCATATCCACCGAGCATCTGGCGTTGCCAGGCACCCAAGGGTTGTCAAGCCGCAGTTGCAGTGTTGTGATGTTTGAGAGCGCCTTATACACTTCCTAATTGGTTCAGTCCTGCAAGTTTAGTTCTTCGTTCATCAAAGATCGACTCGAACGAAACGATCCATAGGGTTCATCGACCTGCCTAGATGGTGAATTGCTCAATCGAGGTGCCGAGACTCGGCAAATAAAGCTCTTGTATGGACAGAAAGCCGTGTGATAGAAACTCTTACCTTCTCTCCAAAAGCATTCGGTGACCAGTCGAGAACGATAAAAAATTGGCAGTGGCAAATCGCGGACTCCAGAATCGGAGCGGCACACCTACACCTAACGGTGAAAGCAAAAGCATCGGAAAATAAAGAGATCCGAATCGAAAGCTAGAGCTGTTGTGCATGTCCGCGTCACCATCCCAACAGAATGCTCTCTCCGCATTCTACAAAGGCATTGTCCTCCTCGGACTGCCACAGGATGAATATTGCTTCGGGCCTTGAAGAGGAGGATTCTCCCAGCGAATCAGTCCAGTCGTAACAAGAAGAATCATGATCACTTCAACCAAAGTGTTGAGAGCTTCTGGCCAGCCGCAGACCACTGTCGCCCTCCTTTTCGAAAAGCTCCTTCCTCGCGGGGCATCGTGCAAAGACTTGTTCGGACAAATTGGTTGGCCATAAGCCTTCGGTGCCTGAACGCTGCATGGACGATATCGCAGGGGGACGGGCGCACATGATCGCCAATAGTTCCATACTTCAAAAGAACCCTCTTTTCCCGGCCAGAAGATGCAGCTGAGAGTGGAAGAAAACCATGATTTAAGTTCGCTCGACGCGTGGTCGTTGCCCAAGTGCCCCCGTGTCGGCGATATAGAATCATGGGGCAACAGGAGTCCACCGAAATTCAAAGTTTGAGTCAAGCGGGGTTCAGGAATGTCGGAGCTGCGCACGTAAGATTTTCATTGCTGGCCTGGGTGGGCTCATTTGTTAACTTAAGGGGTCTTGAAGCATGCGTTCAGCAGCTTTCGGGAAACGCATGCAACATGGCCTGATGCTTGCGTGTGGCATGTGAGAGGGGAAGGGGATCGCGGAGTCAAGTCGGTGTGCATGTGGCATTTGTGTACTCCGTAGCTGATCTGGAACCTCCGATATCAGTGGAGAGGTACTCCTCGCCGTTGGACAAGATTCTACTGGCGGTTCATTTATCGGAACCCGTAGGCTGTTGCACAATCTCAGAGCAGACGACGAAGCATTCTCGAAGCAGCTCTTCAACTCCATCACGAGCAAAAGATGGCAGTTCCAAGCCTGTCGCTGGTTGGTGAGAAAGTTCCGTAAGACTTTTAGCACAAGTGACGCAACGCCGGAGTGGAGCTGTGTCCCGGGGGCTTCCTGCCTGGAACAAATTCGTATCAGTCGTCTAGGGCCCGTGTAAGGCGGCATCGATGGGGGCACAGGGGACATAGTCAGAGTAACGGTCGAACAGCAGCAGGCACGATCGTATCCTTGTATGACGTGTATAACTGCCGGAACTGCATTCTCCCGGTCCCTAAAAGCAGGATACCTCGTAACAGTTGCACAAGTGTACGGAGTACGCGAGTAGCACATGCGGAAAATGATCTCCCCCTTGAACCTGGGAAGGCCTGAGCGACTCTAAACCGCCGACACATCTCTTTTCGACGAGCAATCTGGAGGATGCGCAGCCAGGCCGGGAGCGATCTGTAGGCGTGATATTTGCGGGGCCCAGCTTAACCAAGAAAAGCCTGGCCCGCTCGCTCTAAGCGTGATCAGCATTGAACTTGTTTCGGTTGTTCGGTTACTCAGCCTATTAAGGAGCGCCCGATATGCACGCAACATAAATAGGTAGAGTTGATGCCGCCCCTGGCCTTTGGGTGAAATATCCATGGTTCACAACTGACAGACAAGGTCTCAAGCAGGTTCAGACTTTACTCTCCGGAAATTGCCGAAGGTACATAAATGCATTAGCTTGACTATACAATAATATACAAAGCAAAGTAATGATTATGTCAATTCTCAAGACAGCATGCCAACTTGTTTCTCTATTTGTGGGCGTCTGGCTCGGGAGGGAGGCGATAAAGACATATCAGACCGTCAGCATCATGCGAGCAATTCGAAGCTCTCGTGCAAGGGTCTGCGCGTGGATTGCAAGGACAATGCAGTAGTACGGACTTGCCAAACCACTGCTGATATAGATATTAACAGTACCCCGTACGCGAGGACCAGCTGTGAGAGTCCGTGGTGCTCCGCGACTGATGACGGCTCAAAGCCGCCAGTAAGAAACACGCAAGGTGTCGCTGCATTGGTGTCAGCCTCTGTAGATGTGTGCATCGGCCCATCTAACGAGCGGGCATCGCCCGAAACATAAAACTGATCGAGGCCATTGGCTGGAATGAAGGGAGCAGTCGCTCGCCTCTATCATGACTTCGTGACTCCGTTGCGCGTAGATTCTTTGAGCTGGGTGCATTCCAGGCGCGCGAGCAAGGGCCAGGCCTCCAAGGTTTAAGGGCACGGCAGCAAGGAAGTGCGGGCGCCAGGCAGTAGAAGGCTTGCGCCTAACCTTAACTGGAGCGCTGCACTGCAGTCACGGGCAGACGGGCAGAACGCGTGTTCCCTTCTCTCTCTGGGCAGCACCGCCGTCACCCTTGAACGCGCACTAACAAGAATCTGCACTAGGCATTAGACCCATCTCAAGAACGCTCCCCTCCTGTGGGTGCATCGACCACTCTCGCTGCTGTTTCTCCTGAACGCTGATGCTTGGGCCTTCTCCTTCCGCACCAATTGCCAATTGTCAATCTTCAGATCAATCGCTGCAAACTGCACCAGGAACTTCCTTCCCTCCCAATTCATTCATCACTTCATACAGTTTTCCTTCTATCTGTACCCATCGACGCCGTCTTTTCGCCGTTGTTGTCACCGTCTTCGGTTGCTCGCCTCTTCCTCTGCCCAATACCTTGTACACGCGCCGCAGCTGTAACATTCGTTTGTTAGCTGTCGGGCTTTGCTGCCTGCCAGGTTTCTTGGGAGACAAGTTCTCCCTGCCCTTCGCTTCATCTTGGACTGTCGACAACGATTCCACTCACATCCTTTAATCAACCTTCGTTTCGCTCAGTTGACGCTCGACTCGATCACCGCCGTCCCCCAACCATTGGATCCCAAATCAATCAGTCAGGTATTCACATGTGGTGATGCCGGGACTCGGTTGTACACTTTGAAAAACATCACAACATCAAGGTGTGTATCTCACATTGATCCCAGATCGAATGGGTCTATGGTGATAATGACATACTGACTCGGGCCTGCAGTCAATCTCTGACTTGAAAAATCAGGGATTCTCCCTCTTCGAGCCCCCACCACCGAACCGAGATTGTCGAAACACGAACCTCGAATCCACCCCCAGCAACATCTTGTGCTGAGGCACAACTGATAGAAAATCTGAAAAATGGCTGCTTTGGTGCAGACGCTGCCTCCTCAAACTACAACGGTCTCAATGCTAGGGCGGCCCTCTTCCTCAGGGGGCTATTCTTCACAAGCATCGCACAGCCAGATGAGGAACCACCAGCAGCCGACTCGATATAACATGCCAGCAACTGGTTATAGGGGCATGCCCGCCAGTGGGCCCATCGCTCCTCCTTATGCCTTCACATCTACACCGCAATTGCCCAATACCATCAACACTCGTCCTCTCGCACTCAACTCGGGTAGATCCATCTCGTCCCCCAAAGCTCCTCACCCAGGTGCTTCCCCTTCCTCACAACCTACCTCACCCGCTGGCCTTCCACGGATCGATGCTGGAAATCGTCTGTCGCTGGGTCTGCCTATCATAACCTCTGAGCCCTTGATGCCGCCACCTCAATCAAATCTCAATTCAGCCAAACCATCTCCTGATCGTTATCGACGAACTGTTCGAAGGAGCGAAGGGGAAATCGGTCTGAACCGAGCTGCTGGGGGATCCGCTCCGCCGTCAGGCTCTGGCATGGCTGCAGTTGGCTCACTCTACAATCATCCTCTTCAGTCAAACAGCACACCTTCGCTAAGTTCGAGTTCTCAACAATCACACCGAAGTTCTACGTACGGCAATCCGGTGCAAAATAAGAAACCCAGTGCAGACGACCTCCAGTTAGCCCGGCCGCAGCCACCTGAGTTGGCTGCAAGATATCGAAGACGCAGTTTTGGCAGCATTCAAACAGCAGGTTTGAACCACTCAACTGATCCGCAAGAAACGGCTTCGCCTCATCCTAACACGTTCCTTGATTCGGCACAAACGGCCCCACCTTCTACAACGCCTGTTCAACGACCGAATCACCATAGACAAACCTCGAGCTCTGACAGCATCAATTCGTCGAAGTCGAATCGATCGTCGAGGCCTGGATCTGTGAGTATCTTCCCACAATACAGTTCACCTGTTTCTGACCATTTTTAGGCTCAGTCCCCAGCGGCCGGTAGCCCGGTGTCCTCTCCAAAACAAGAACCAAGACTTGCGGCCCCTTCCCGACCTGGAGATTCCAGCATCCGCCAGCCTTCCCCCCTATCAAGACCAATGAACATGACAAGCGACAACACCGATGACAATCGCCCAATACCTCCTACCACTCTACCCCCGCCGGCGATGTCCACAACCAGCTTGGCTGCCGAACAGCTCGCGGCTGTCAGCAAGAAGGATGCCAAGAAATCGAAATCGAAGTTACGTAGGGCCTTCTCATTCGGCAGTGCGGCAGAGCTTAGGAAAGCAACTGCGCAACACAACCTCGAGAAGAGTGTGGCCAACAGGGACTCGGCCACCACCTCCAAGAGGCATTCAAAATATGAAGATGAGCTGGAGCCCGAACAAGCTCGTATTGCAGAGAAGCAAGAGGCCGCAGGGTTGGGCGAGAGCATCTACTCAGGCCAAGGCAACTTCTTTACTGGCTCAACTGACAATCTATCGATATCCTCAACGGCTTCTTCAGCCTCGGTGATGCTCCGTAAGATGGGCAAAGGGGTGAAGAAAGGAACTCGATCTCTTGTCGGTCTGTTCCGGCCCAAGTCGGTGGTCGGCGTGCCCGCAGCTGATGCTCCAATCAACCAAGCGAGCTTAGCTCAGGTGTCTATGGTTACTGTCGAGGCCGAAAGAGAAAATGTCAATGTCAACGTCAATCCTCGTGACCAACCAGGAGGTGGGACAGGATTCCCCAAGCTGGAGCAAAATTCAGTCGACACAAAGCTCTCGTTTGAAAGCGGCACTGTATCGAGTGATACACGCTCGCGACCCAGCATTGTTGGCACGGAAAAAGAGCGTGCCGATGTGCTTGCTGCCGTTAAGAAAGGAATCCTCAAGCGGACAGATTCCAATCAGCCATCCCCGAAGGCGAAACCCTACGACTTCAAGGTCCCAGATTTCAACCTGCCACAGATCCCGCATATCAACGACTCGCCTAGATCGAGTGCGCCCAGCACTCCTGCTGACGAACCTCCTCGGTCCGGACATCGTCGGACTGACTCTATTACAATCCAAGAGAGTAATGACCCTGATGACTACTTCACTGTGGATAGATTTGGCAGCCTAGACTCGAAGAATACCCCCGAGACACCCCAGACCCTGATGCGCAACATATCATTCAGCCCACGGATTCAATTCCACGACACTTGGCCCAGTGGAGAATATGATCGCCGCGGCGAGATAGCAACGTGCAATCGATTGACTCCGATGCTCGCACAGCAGATCAAAGAGGAACTCAACACTTTCAAGATGGTAAGTAAATTTATTCTTGGAGACATACATTCTTTCTGACTGGTAATAGGAGATGGAGGTTCACGAGTCATCCAAGGTCTACACACACTTTTTCTAGTGCCACGGCAGAGTCGTCGGGCTTGGCAACTTCAAGCGTATGACTTCTTGACGTGGGTCACACCGTGGCAGAAGTGGTCAAAGATACGCGTTTACTGATAAACATTCACGAACTCTACGACCCTTGCAGCACATGCGCAGCAAAGCATTGTCCTTGTCGCTAGACACCAGCATGACATCGTTCGGCGGAGGCTCTTCTCAACCTCGAGGACCTATGTACATTTAAAAAAGCTTGTTGTTGCATAACATTTCAGTCATGAATTGGCTTTCAAGTAAGGTGTTCGGCGCATGGCAACAATCATCTGGAGGATGATTGTAGGGAGGCAATCAAAGAGCATACATGTTGATCTTGGCTTGGAGACTGGGGCCAGCAGAAGGATTTCAGCATTCGACTTGAATCCAGAATTTCTAATCGACGGCGACCCTCAGTTGGGAAGTTTGACCTGAGCAAGTCATTGGAGGGGCAATTCACGCAGGTGGTTCCTTAGTACTGGACTGGGTTGGATGTCATTTAGTCTGGCACCGGTAGAACTGCTGGAGCGGGAGGGCTTCTCCCATTTCCGACTTTTGGTGGAACACTGAGCAGGAAGCACGGACGCTGTCCTGCACCGTGTGGGAAATTAATTGATTCCTTTCCCCGAGTCCCCAAAGCCGTTCTGTGACTTGTTCGAACCCTGCAAGTCTCTCGCAAGGCTGCCACTTGAAAAGGAGGTCCTAGTCACTGCACCGAGTCCGGTTGCACTAGGCCACAATAGGGAAAGCGCCAGACTTTAGGCTTGGCGTCTCTATCGGGCTTGGCCTGCGACGTCAGTGAACGAGTCGACTTGCGCCAACTCATTCATAGAGTGCCCGCTGCTCTTCATCGCAACTTCACTCGCAATTGCAACCTCGACACCTATTTCAGACGACAAATATCGTGAGCCCGTCTTGCTCTAGCCCTATCCTCACTGATTCGAACCTCACTCTCCTTGCCCAGGACAGGGCACGTCCAAGAGCACACAAGCTCTCATTTCCGGCTCTCCCCACGATGAGCGGCTTCAGAGGGATTGTGAAGGAGGGGTGGCATCCTAAGGGTCGGGACGGAGGCAAGGAGTCTTGGAGAGGCGACTTTAAGGGCATCAATCAAGTGGTCAGTGGCTGACTGTCTCCCAATACAGAAATGCTGAAGTGCTGAGCAGGCCGGCTGGATGGGCAAGAAAGTAGATCCCCACAAGCAAGAAGACACTCACGTGTCCCGACCTCTGTCTAGTCTCAAAGACCCAGCTTCATTTGGGCCGCCTCCAAAGAATGTCAACTACCACGGTGGAGCTGCGCTGCCGAACGAGATCACGCCTCAAACTTCAGGATGGGGTGCTCCCTTGCGTCCGGATCAGATGTCAACCGTGAACACAGTAGCCAGCGGACCTACAGAGGAAGAGATCTCAGAGCAAAAGAGAAACGCTGGCCCTCCGTTGCCCTATAGGGCAGACCGAACAGGACTGAAGACAGATCATCTACCGCCGCCGCCTGTCCACCGCCACGTGGATAGAAGTCCCGACGCCGCGCAACCAGGACCGCTCAGACAGCAACCGAGGGTACCACCAAGGCTACCTTCTCGGCAGCCTACGTTTTCTACACCCACTCCTCCGCCCGTGGTTAACTCTCCCTCTCCGCCTGCGTACGACTCGGCCCCAGCTGCCATACCAGCGCAACCCAGTACAGGCTACGGGATTAATCAAGCTGCCGTCAATAGATTAGGACACTCAGGCGTCTCGGTCCCGGCCCTTGGTATTGGGTCTAACCAGCCCTCAAACCCCTGGCGCAACGAGCAGAGCCAAACAAATCAGCCCACTAGTCCGCCCACGAACGCCCAGCCGGCAACAAACCAGCTCTCCGAACTCCAGGCCCGCTTCGCTCGTATGGGCCCAGGTGCAAGCGCAAGCGCAAGCAGCTTAAAGACTGTGACCCCTCCTTTCGTTACTCCCGTCCAATCGCCCTCTCCTGTATCGGCGCCTGCCCCCGTTCAACCAAGCTACACTCAGCCGGTGCAACCACAACCACAAGACCATGGAACAACTTGGGCCGAAAAGCAGTCCGCGATGCGCACGGCCCAAAACGCGTACAAAGACCCATCCACAGTCTCCGCCGCAGACGCCACATCGGCTGTACGCACCGCAAACTCATTCCGTGAACGTCACAAGGACTCGATCGATGCTGCTGGCAATCGCGCCAACGAATGGAACAAGAAGTATAACGTCACCGGCCGATTGAACTCGTTTCTCGAGAAACATAGTTCCCCATCACCTACGTCAGAAAACGCGCCGAACGGAGGCAATGGAACTGCATACGTGGCGCAGCAGCCGATGCAAGCAAGCTCCGTCATACCTCCACCACAGAGTCCCGGGGTTGCGGCTTCGATATCTCGGAAACCGCCGCCTCCGCCGCCTCCGAAAAAGCCGGCTAATATGCATGGGAGTATTGGAGCAATGGGTGTAGCGCCGCCACCTGTGCCACTAGGTACGAAGCCAAGCTATTCGTGAAGTGATGGTATGAGGTATGGTATAGGTGGCTTGGCTCACCGAACGTCTGTTAACCGAGCATGGGATGGTTATATATGTGGATTGGGGGTGTTGCTATTAGGATGATGCCTACACTTCCCAAAGGTGGGGTGTAGTAGCGGCGTGATAGCCCATTGCGACCAGCGGATAGTTCTCGAACTAATCAATCGAAGTATCTCACTCCGAGGCTGGCTGCCCTCCAACAGGATGCAACCAGGCGTAAATCGAGAAAGAACATTGTAGATGAGCGAAGAGGACTAGAGCATCGTTTGATGCCACGTGAGGATTATTTATTGAGTTAGGTATCCCCTTGGAGCTTTTCACGCTGGAATACTGTCCCTCAGCGCCCTCTCACTCTGTCTGTCTCTCTTCTCAATTTCCCCCGATCTGTGCTGCCGTTGTGTCTCTCGCCTCGCCAGCCAGGCACGCGTGCTTACTTACCCAACCCAGGTGGAAGCCGCGAGCTGGAAGACCTGCGAGGTTGCCTCCGTGGTCTCATTGGACACCTCGGACGTCGAGACCGGGACCGTTTGAAGCGTTCGAGGCGTGGAAGAGTCGGTCCGGTGCCGTATATTGCACGGTCGCGCTAGCCATATACGGCGTCAGAGAGCGAACAGGTCATGGTCGGAGAGACAGCGTTTGAGGCGTACATGTCTGGGGTGTGTAGCCGTCGAACGGACCTGCGTGGATAGTAACGTAGACTTGGAGTCGGCCGTCCGGGGACAAAAGAACAGGGCTGCAGAAGCGAATGTGACGGCGATTATCTTGTTGGCATGCATTCCTCCGGGGAGCTGTCAGATTCGGGCGGTAGATCCTAGCTGGGCCGCGGCGAGCTGTTGCTAGGTTCACAGCTAATGAGATATGGTAATTAGGGAAAGTCAAGACGAGTCATGGCACGTCATGCCATGGCCAGTCTTGTCTTCGATCCTGAAGTAGGTGAGCACAAATGGGTTTGACTCACAGCCACCTAGGTGACAGCGGACAAATGCACTGGAATACCTGTACTTCCACGGTCTCTTGGACAGCATCATTGACGCTGGACTCGTCGCGGACGGTACGCCTGACTGGCGTGGTGCTCGTTTACAGTCTCCTCGCGGATAACATCGACGGTCAGACCCTGCTGCGAGATGGAATAGTTGAAGTCGGTGTACGAGGTGTCTGTGTCTCGATCGCACGTGTCGGAGCGGACGGTCCGGATAAGGACGCTCAGGCTGGGTTTCCGGGGAAGCCAACGTCCTGTTGCTTGGGGGAATGACTCGCCTGGCTAGGGCGACGCGCTCAAGGTGATCAACAGGAGTCTCAACGTAAAGTATCCCAGTCCATGGAGAGTGTACCGGGAAGACAACCTACGATAAGAAGTTAGAGCGTTGGTTCTAACGAGGTTCGTTTCTTCAGCGCAACAAACCCGGGACCTCCAACTTTGACGCCCCCGGAGCCAGAAGGGAGGCCCCTGATATGATGGCGGGAAGCCGGAGGGCTGGAGGAAACAGTATACAAAGTGTTATGGCCCTCGGACCTTGCGGGCAGAATGACAAAAGCTATGATGCCACCAAGGTGAATTCCCGACCGTGAACGAAACTCGGGAGAGCAAGAAAGCCAGCACGGTAGCGCCCTAGTGGAATATTAAGAGCATATATCTAGCAGGAGAGGCTGTAAACTCCGAGATTCGGGAAGTTTCATGCCTTGCTGGGCAATACACATGCACGCCATGTTTTGAGGCGTGGTGACCACAGGTTCTGATGTGGATCTCATCATCGATAATCGCACGAGGCAGCCGGTGTCCAAAAGTAGAGATCTGCTCGTCGACTTAGGCTTACCTTGATTCAAGAGGACGACCGCACACGCGCTGTGCGGTAGCTTGGAACCTAGACTCCACCGAAACAGCTTCTCGGCAATTAGGACTTCGTCTGGACAGCGTGACAGCTCAATTCAATACGAATTTGAAGCTGTCGCTATCGCTTGGGACTCAGGCAAGGTGGAGTCTCGGTGCGGACGGTGCTCGTTTTAAACAGTCGCCACATAGATGAGAGTTGAGGATAGGCTGAGGTCTTTCTCTGGTCCAAGGAAGCAAATCCACGACGGACCCCGATAAGGGACATCGAAGACGGCTACTACCCCTTTACCTATTATTACCTTCTCTCTTTGCATCTAGTTCAGAGAGGAAAGTGACGGCAGAGAACAGAAACTCGACACAGCATCTTGTGTCCTTGGCCAGTGACATGCCCACTAGATGGCGGTGGCGCAGTCAATGGGGCTCGGACAGCATTGTCGTGCGGAGGTCAGTGCCCGATCTTTCCCTGATAACTACTCTTAACCCGAATGACTTCAAGAGATGAAAGGTATTGGACCGCTGCAGTGGAATTGATTTAGTGAGCTCAAACTGGTGGATATAAAAGCAGTATAGCTGCCATCAGCTAGCTGCGTGGAAGGACAGAGAAGCGAAAACCAATATCAGGAGTGAGGGTACCAGTTGGTGTTTTGAAGTGAGGACCATGGCATGAGCGGAGGCGACTGGTCCTGTGCTCTATTTCCGTCCTGCTGAGATAGTCATATCAACCAAAGCCGATCATGCCATTCCACCAAATCTGGAGTATGTTGAGGGTGGTCGAGCCAAGGTGGCCTATGTTGGCTTGCTGCAAAAGATAGGGCGGCTGTTTTCCTGCACCAAATGGATTATTCGCGCGTCATCTGCCACTGTCAGTGGTAGGTATGTGAGCACTAACCTGTTGTAGCGGCCTTTGGCTTCGCCCGGGTTTTAGGTCAATCCTTCAAGCGCCCATCTATGTTGGTATTGCTCGAAATGCGCTGCAAATGGGTCCTCGGAACATCATTGTTACCTGGAAGCCCCATACCCTTCGACACCCGATGTTGACCAACATGTCAAACTAATGGACGGAACATCCGATGACAGATTCGTGATGACTATCCTTATGATGCCTTCGACCAAGGAATTGACGTCTTCAACATGGTGGGCTTAGCTCCGTACCGCCCCTTAATAGCACTGAACCTGGATGGGTTGCCGGCCATCGCTTTGACATAATCGAAGTGTGGCCGCAGTGCCACCTACTGCACATTCATGCGTAGAAGGATGGACGAGCCGGACTCGCTCGGGAGAAGACTTGTACCGAGTTCACCAGGTACGTACTCCCCACTTCGTTGACAGTATTGGCGACCTCCGCGCCATGTTCCATGGAATGGCTCTCGAATCCGTCGAGGGTACTCAATACCAGCGATGGCGCTCAAAGTCGGCCACACAGGAGCCTCGGACAGTTGACTTGTAAATGCGGGCATCTGATAAAACAACCCCGACATGTGTAGTCCGTAGGCTCTTCAATGTGACCAGCATGAGATTGAAAGGGCACTCCTTCGACCAATGGCGATAGTGGTAGAAATCACGTGTGGGTCAACGAGTTGGACGACCTGCCGTGGGAGCTGAAGCAAGGCTGAGGCTGTTCGCCAAACACTGGGCTCTCCGGCTCGGTTAGCCCTGAAGAAATGTTCGTTGCAGGGTGGCTGGTCCGCGTCCAAATGTCCCGTACGGAGTACTCCAATATCACAGGTCGTACCAGACTCCATGAATTAAGATTGGCACCTGGGGGTGAAAATGCAGTGCAACATAACGAGTATGTACTGTGTATCAATCGAGGTGCCATCTTTGCTTCCATCAAAACGGAGTATCTACCAGTATTCGTAACTCGTACGGTGTACGGAGTGCTCCGTACACCTGTGAGAATCCGCTAAGATCTCGCCGGGACCTTTTATCCGGGTTGCATGCAAGACCTGAAGATCCTTGGTTCAGAGAAGGGTCAGAGGACAACGAAAAGCGCAGGGCGTCTCCCGCAGGGTTTCGAGTCGGCGCCCGTTCGACACTAGCACCACCAGCAGTAAAATAAGGTACGTCATTGCTCGGCCCAATGCCCGACAGGGCCTTAGGCGGTGTATCAGCACGCCCATGGCAGGCCCTTTCATGAGTCGAAATGCTGAATTCGGTTAATACAGGAATAAAAGGTGGCAGGCGTTAGAAGTGATGATGAACGGTGTTGCAGCATGTCTCAGGCCGTTGAATCGGAGGTCGGCCAGTCGCAGCTTACAGGCTCCGTGTCATGTGACTTCCGTCCAATGAAGTACCTGCCACGTGCCGAAAGTGGAGTGAGCTGATCTTCAACGGGCAGCGGACAAGAAGATTTGACGCCATCTGCAGCTTTTAATAGATTCTGTTCCGGCACTTGGTTGCGTTTTGCGCCAGATGCGGCCGCCCATGCCCAAAAGGCTGGTGATGGCTGGCGCTGGGTGCATGTTGCAACTTTTGTCCAACGCGCAGGCATGCAGGCAGGCAAGTCAGTCCGATATTTCTTTTGCCTGAAGCCAGGTGCGATGTGTCTGAAGATGGCAGCGCACGGAGTTCCTGGCGGGCTGCTTGCGCAATTCATCTGGGACCTATGCTAGTGTATTTTGAGTCTTACTCTCATGTCCAATGTGAAGATCTTCACCTTCGGTTCACATCTCCTGTGGCGGGTTGAGCGGTCTTTGAGCGGCCACAGCGCGGTTTATAGCCAAGGCTGAAGGCTGCAGCTAGACACCACGAATTCATAGAGCCAAGAAGCAAGCAGCGACAGGCCTGATTCGGCTGTCGGGGCTGGGGCTGGAGTTGTGCGATAGGCGAGCTGCAGCAGGTTGCGAAGAAGAAAGAATGGTGAGGCCAAGTGGGAGCTGTGGGAAGCTGGCGTTCGGATGTCCGTTGGCCTTGAATGGGATGGCGGCTGCCAAGGTATGCTTTAGAGGCGCTAAATGTGAGAGAGTACTAGCTCGGTGACGCCAAAATCGCATCCACCAATCATAGATTCAGCAGCGACTGAGCCAAGGACCTCTAATGAGGTCTCGCGCCCAATGCGACACCCAGGAGATTCCTTGGTTCGCCGCACGTTCTTGTGTCTGGGCAGGAGGGCGACTTGCCAATCGAGGGCTTGACGCTTCATGCTCCGTGTCTCTCGCTCCTCGCTTGGTGCAGTTTAGTGCATGGTCAAGTACCTGCGTGCCTGCGTGCCTGCGTGCCTTGTCTTCGCTATTCCGCCTTGATGATCCTTCGGTCAGCCCCGTTAAGTAAAGCATCCTTCTTGCTGTTCTCTCTCGCCGCAACCAACAGTTTCTCACCCACTGCGCCTCGCTGATCCGGACCTCGTATCTCATCCTTCAGCGACACCCTTCAATTATAATCCTGCAACCCGCAGCATACCGTGACGCATCCTCTCCTGGCCCTTTTCCAAGCGGACGCTGAGCCCGTGAGCCTGAAAAAGGGTGCTTAGCCGGGCCACGCTGAGCCCGAACTGCTCGACTGTACCTCCGAACTCACTTTCGCTTGCCACGACTGGAGTCGGTCCGCTGACTTCGGAATCCTGGGGGCCTTGTCCTGCCACCCTTCCCTCCGAACCTTTGTTCCTTTACATGTCGTGGTCCTCGCCTCTCGCGGGGTCGACTTCACTCTGGATCTCCCAAACCTTCAACTGTTCCCGGCCCTGGGGCCTCGTGTAGCCCGTCGAGATCTGCAGTCTCCCTCACACTCGTTCGCACCTTCATTGACCCAATCGTTCAACCCGACATTCTCTCTAGATAACACGTTCAACATGCCTGAAGGCGCTGGCTTCACGGGAGCGACCCAGACGTTCAACACGGCGAGTCTGGGCGAGATTATGTCGTCCATGTCCAGCGAATTTGCCGAGTCCACTGGCGGTCGATTCAACACTGGCACGTCTGCCACTCCAGCTTCAACATCTGACTCCCCTGCGTCGACCTCAGCCGTCTCTGGTGATGCCGGCTCGTCACAACAGTCTTCTACGACCTTTGCTACCCTCGTATCCTCAACGCCAGGAGCTTCAGACACTGCAACCCCGAGTCTGAACAGTTACGCAACCAACACAGCGACCAACGCTGCAAGCAGTGCCACCGATGGGCCCGTCACAGTTTCGGAGAAATCCTCATGCACCAACCTTTCCTGCTCACCTGCACTCAAAGCAGCCGTTGCAGTACCCATCGTCGCTGCAGCCGTTGTGGCCGCACTCTTGTTCTTCTTTTGTGTCAGAAGGAGAAGGAAACGGGCCGGTGCAGAGGTGTCAGAGAAGAGACCGCCGAAAGCAGGAAAGAAGAAGTGGACCAGACATTTGCGAGCATTTTCCTTCGACGCGGAGTTGCTCATGGGCGGTCGCTTCTCCAGCTCGAACAGCCTTCGCAGCCGGGATCCCAGCGTCCTCAGCCGCTCAGGCACGGCTTCTCGTGGCAGCAATCACACTGCCGAACCAAGCTTGCACAGTATTGACGAAGTGGCTCCCCCCTATCGAGACGCTGTGACGCACGCCGTGCCCCCTAGCCCACAACGATCAATACCTGCCATTACCACCACCGCTGCCGACCCCATCCCTCGACCGTCTTCTACGGCCACAGCACCCCCTCCTTATCGATCGGTTGCTGCTGGCGCGTCACCGGAACCACCCAGCCCATCCACGGTCAGAAACCCATTCTCAGACTCAGCACCTGTCAGCCCGATCGAGGAGTCACCTTTCAATGACCCGCCGGAAGCGGGTGGGGCGTTGGCACCTACGTTGAGTCGTGGCTCATCCACGTATCGCAGTGTCATGACCGATGATGCTACACCGACTGCCTCGGAAGCTGGGAGCATCAGGGAAGCGATTGTTGGCAGACGGGTGTCAGTCAGGAATGCGGGGAGCACGAGCGGCGGAAGTAGCTAAGATCTTAGCGGACTTTTTCTTATGTATCCTAATCATGGCGCGGCGTTGAATCTGTGGAACCGAACTCCGTGAGTGATTGCTGGTTGGAATCTGCAAGGAGCCATGTTTGACTGGCACGTGGAACGAACGCAGCATGTCTTTTGAGATGTCCCATCCTACTGTACATGATCGAAGCCGATGGCAAAGAAGTAAAAGCTAGCATGATGAAAAATGGAAATGTCGACAACGATGCGATGTGAGTCGTCACTGTTTCATGTCTTTATATCATGGCGTTAAGCGCCTGGCTAGGTTATTCTGTCCTGGACGCTCTTGTCGTACAGCGCAAGAACTAGCCAGTGACTTGCCATGGTGCCTTGTATTCCCATCGATATCGAATCACGTCGTATACCAAGTCGCATCCAGCAAGAACCCAGCCGTGCGGCGGTGCACATGTGCAACAACCTAGCTTGCTGCAGCAGCAATGCGCAACGTCGCTCTTACGAACCATCACGAAGTTCGCCCGAATTAGAGGCAGCCCTCGTCTCGGTTCTCTGCAAGGCATGGACCATTACGAGAGGCGGAAGGCTGCGTCGACCAAGAGTCGCTCCTGTAACTTCACCCGCGCTTTATCTGAGCCGATCGCCTCCCTCTACAGAATAGAACGCGTCGGTTCCACGCCTCGGGTGCTTGCAGAGGCCATCACTTGCCAGTGCAACCTCACAGCTACAGAACGATTCACTTTTCAGAGCGCAACTGGAAACCTGCGAATAGCCTGCCGCCATTCGCTACATGGCCACTGGTGTCCTAAGACTCCAAGGGTCTTTGCATCAGAGCGAAGCTTCCTTGGCTTACATGGAAGCGAACGAAGAACGAAGAACCAAGCTTCCGTGCCGACTTCCATGTCCGCCGGTTCGACTTTCCTTCTGCTGCAACATGGCTTGCATATCTCCTGCCCATCTACAGCCCTTGTTCTCTTCGACATTCCATTCCAGATCCACAAAAGTCGACTCTCGCCCTGCTTCTCCAGGTCCTCGTACTCGTAGGCTCTCACACCCCCCACCGCCACTTATTGCCACACCCCGCCTGGGTGTCCGCCGTGGGGTCCCGGCTTCCATCAACACTGAAGTGCGAGGAATATCCGGAGACGAAGGGGCCACGAGATGGCTGAGATCGACACAGTTTCCACACCGATGCAGCTCCCAATTACCCGGTAGTGTCGTCATTGGCGCAACGGTATTTTCTGCGGGCACCTGTGGGCATCGTCGAGCAGCTGGACAACTGACTTCATCCACAATTTTGCAGGCGTCATGGAGACGATGGCAACTTTGGGGTGCTCTTCCAGCCTTTCTTAGTGGAATAATGCCGGAGTAACATACAGAACGCATGCAACGTGAGTTCCATGTGCTGGACATGTGGCCGTCGGTAGGAAACGCAGAAGGTGCTGCCCATCCTGACGTGACTGCTTCGTGATCTCTTAGTTTCCCGGCCACGTTAATACCCTCAACTTCACAGGAGAAATTGGACTACAATCCTGTTACTGTCCACTGTCTCTTAACAACCAGGACAGACGGCCGGATTCTTTCTTACGATGGCCACCCACGAAGTCCACCAGGACTACATCCATGACTCCGACCGGAGTTCATTGAATGGAGTCAAGCACGATCCCGCCGAATATGTCGAGGCCCCTGTGACCGTGGGGCGAGAGCCTCCTCCGTATGTCAAGTCGCTCAGTACAGAGGAGCGCCGGATCGCGGAGAGGGCGTTGGTACGAAAGATTGATTTCCGACTTATACCTACGATTATCCTCATGTACGTCCCGCATTGGTATCTGCTCTCGACAAGAAATTGACCGCCTCTGTAGGTATATTTTGAACTATCTTGATCGAAACAACATCGCGGCAGCCAGACTCGCTGGTCTCGAGGACGAGCTGAAGCTCCACGGCACCCAGTATCAGACAGCTGTCAGCATTCTCTTCGTCGGCTACCTGCTCATGCAAATTCCTTCCAACTTGTTCCTCAACAAAATCGGCAAACCTCGGCTTTACCTCCCCACCGCCATGATCGTCTGGGGCACCATATCCGCCGCCACTGCCGGCGTCGAATCTTTTGGCGGTCTTATTGCTGTTCGGTTCTGCCTAGGTTTCGTCGAAGCGGTGTACTTTCCTGGTTGTTTATATTTTTTAAGTTCTTGGTATACCAGAAAAGAACTGGGCTTCAGAACGGCAATGCTATATTCAGGGTCGCTCATTTCGGGTGCCTTCTCCGGTCTCATCGCGGCAGGCATCACTAAGAACATGGACGGGACCGCAGGTCTCCGAGCTTGGAGATGGCTCTTCATCATCGAGGGATGCGTTACCATTGTCATTGCTTTCGGCGCAATCTTCGTGTTGCCCAACTTTCCGAGAACCACCCCTTGGCTATCACACGAGGAGAAACAACTTGCTGTGTGGCGACTGGACGAAGATATCGGCGAAGACGACTGGGTGGACAGCAAGCAGCAGACTTTCTTCCACGGATTCAAGCTTGCGGTCAAGGACATCAAGATGTGGATCATGGTATGTCTCCACCTCTTATCCTCCCCTGTCTATTCCTACCGACGCTAACTCCCTTCCTGTCCAGATGCTCATGCTCTTCTGCATCGTGGCCTCTGGCTCTGTAACGAACTTCTTCCCCACCGTCGTTCAAACCCTCGGATACGGCGACATCGAGTCGCTCTTGCTCACGGCACCCCCCTACGTCCTCTGCGTCATCACCGCATTCCTGAACGCCTGGCATGCTGATCGTACTGGCGAACGCTATTTCCACGTCACTGTGCCTCTCTACGTCGCCATGGCGAGCTTCATCCTCGCAGCCGCCACCACCGCCACCGCACCAAGATATGTGGCCATGATGCTGATGGTTCCGGGCGTGTATACCGGCTATGTCGTGGCTCTGGGCTGGATCTCCAACACCATGCCCCGCCCGCCCGCGAAACGTGCGGCCGCCCTCGCCGCGATTAATGCGGTCAGCAACACCAGCTCCATCTACGCCAGTTATATGTTCCCCAAGAGCGATGGGCCGAGATACGTCTTGGCGATGAGTGTCTGCTCGGGCACGGCTTTCATCGCCATCTGCGCGGCGACGGTGCTGCGGTTGATCCTCGTGCGGCTGAACAAGAAGTTGGATCGAGGCGAGTGGGTTGAGGGAGCGATTAACAAGGGGGCGCGAGGCGCGGGGCATAAGCATGATCTCACCGTTCAAGAGGGAGCGATTCCGAGTGAAGCCGCTGCGAGGGGGTTCCGATTTTTGTTGTAAATTCCCGTGATGCGAGGCGATGTGGTGCGCGGGTGAAGTAGACATCCTCGCAAAGACTTTATAACGAATAAACATATATACGAGACGTATGTTCATCATGGACATCCTGCCGCTGTTCACCGTTGCAAACCACCAATTCCAGAACGGTCATACACACCCGGGGTTTGTCCCTTCCACAGTTTTGTGCGATGAAAAAATCGTACCTCAAACTCATAACATCGTGAGTTCATCCTAAGCCATGCAGGCAGATGAGGGGAATGTTGAGTATCAGGTTCCTACCCTACAGTGGACACAGCTTCGTGGGGTACTGTAGATGTTTCTGTCCAACACGGGTTCTTACAGGCACAATAACATGTAAGCTACAGTACAACACCACTAGCCATATGAGTATCGACCACGAATACTCCGTGCATGGGAGCGAGATGGGAGATAACAGGTATGGAGTACGTGGAGACACATGAGTGGTACCCAGAGACATAGGAAAAGTACACGGAGACACATGAGAGCGTCGTGGATGCTGAAAAGACCAAATAAGTCGTGATGCACCCGTACTGGACATACCAAAAGAATTGATTTGGTTTTCAATGGGGACTCAAGGGACTATTCTACCGAATGCTACAGGAACTGTACATCATCTCGCCCTCAACACGAAAGCATCAGCATTGTCTGCTGATTACTCACAGCCACAACAATACGTCTTCTTCTCGTTGTCCCTGACTGGCTGCGTGACTGACCGAACTGGTGGAGAAGTGAATTCCTCGGTAGAGCTTAGCCAACATAGCCCGTGCAACTTGCAACGGTCATGACATCCGCTGGAGAATCCGTAGCTCAGTCGAACTTCCGTCGCCGACGCCCGTCGTCCGTCGCATGACACAGCTTCAGCTTCCTTGGCCACCATCATTACCGTACGGCTCGAGTAGTACCTGGAGTTCTTGGAGACCTTCCAGGATTTCTGCCTGGTATTCTTCTTGGAGTCGGTCGTGGAGTTCTGTATCTGTGATAACTCTCCACGTCACCGGATCGTGCATCTGAAGGACATGCATCGTTGCAGGGCAGGAAGGCAGGTCGCGATACTTTTCAAGACAGATGTCCGTCACAGGCCAGCGCAGAAATTCGTCGCCCTCCCGAGTCCACTCGTATACCAGGTTCAGCGGTTTTGCAAAGTTCGGGTCAAGGCACCTGGAAGAAGCCCCACGTAGGAATCTACTGGATGCAAGTCTCTTCAGTGGTTCGATGCCGAGCATGTCCGCGGACTTGAAGACCAATAAATGGACCATGAGCTCTTCCATCCCGGGACATCCGTAGTCTGGTTCGGTATCAGCCATGTGGCGTTCGGCGGATGCGATTCTGGTTTGGAGGAATTTTGGGATGCTGGATGTCTCGTAGTCGTTTGTGTACAGGAAGACCAGGACGCGACTCAGGATACGCGGATCATCTTCTGTCATCTTGATCCGTCCCTCCTTTGCTTCCTAAGGCAAGGTCAGTCAAAGCCACAAGCAGGCGCCAGTGGCAAAAGCTCACCCTGAAGTCCCCGTTGGCTGCTCTTTCCAGCATGGTCGACTGGGGACAGACAATGGCTCGGTGGACCTTGAACTCGACGCCTTGGCACTCGATGACAAAGTCGGAATACTGACCCGACTTCAACAGAGTCAGGTAACTCAGCGGTTTGATCTCTGATGCCATGGTGGAGGAGATTGGGTTCGATATGATGAAACTGGATAGACGGATTGAGTGTGAAGGCGCGAAGGAACAAATGCGCAGAAAGTGTTCTTGAGAGGCACAGCAGTGAAGTGACTGTACTGTACTGCCTCAGCTGCCAGTTTTTCTTCACTGTATGATTGCCTTGAATCCGTTGTATGCCTGCTCCATGTCGAACGCCAAATCCCTAGCTTGCTCCTCACTAAGCTCCTCGCTTGTCTTCATCTGATTCAGCGTGATCAACCATTGGATGATCTTCCCCCGATGTTCGAAGTCCTGATCTGTGACCTTGTTTACGCTCTGTATGACATCGGACAGGAGAGGGTGAAGCGAAGTCTTGGAAGTCATGTTTAGCCGCAAGGCGTCGAGGAACGTTATGAAATTCTCGGTCGCGGTGAGGATGAGTGCGCCGGAGAGGTTGGCTTTCGGCGCAGGTGTGCCCCCAAGCCCCGCGCCTGAGGTTGACTGTTGTGAGACTGTAATGGTATCTACAGTATTCAGCCCGACTCGTAACCTCTCCTTCGCACGCGGGCATTCAACCTCCCACCTCTCGCAGAAGGCGTCAAGGTCTCCGAACTCCCGTGCCACGCTCTCATCTTGCAGAATGCTCCGGTACTGCTTCAACAGCTTATTACAAAGATCTGCATACTCGCTTTCGGGGAGCGCGTCTTTGATATATGCTTTCTCGAGTCCGTCGAGCGTGCGGATGATACTGTAAATCTCGGCAAGGGAGTCGATCAGGTCCCGCTCTGCCGGTGTAGAGGATAGCTTCACTTCTTCGTCGAGGGATATGCGTGCGGACAGCGGGTGCGAGGACGGAAAGGCGCCGTAGGGCGTAGGTGCGTAGGCTTGGACGGTGTTGTAGTTCGAGGGTGGACGGGGGGAGGTGGCAGTATACATTGCTGAGGGACACCGGAGCCTCTGGATTTCATGAATTAGGGAGGTCACTTTGCGGTCATGGACGAAACCAAATCCAGTTCAGATCGTTCGACGGATTCAGACTACTTGTGTCGTGTACGCGGAACCGATTGTCGCGAGGCTGCGACCGACCTGAACGACGAGGCTGTGCGGGGAGACTGTAATAGTTGAAGCGTCGCTGGGAAAACCTCGGCCCGCCTGTAATTTTTTCTGAACTTTGGGTTTCAGTCAACGCAAGAGGAAACACCGACTGCGCCTCGCTCGTCGTCTCCCACCACAAGGACGAACCTTCACGCCTCGTCCTCCTCTTAGCAGTCGCGATGGGAAAACAAGCCAAATCGACTAAGAAGTTTGAGAAAAATCAACTCAAGGGAACGATTGAACGGAGGAAAGAATTCGCAAAGATCAAACAGCGACACCAGCAAAAGGCAAAGAAGAAACAAAGAGCAGAGAAGAGATCGAAGCCGGCGGACGAAGATGGAGAGTCTAATGATGAGGCACTTGGAGAAGAGCAAGCGGACATGAATGAGGACGAGTTCTTCCAAGAAACGTTGGACATCCCCGAACCCGAGACCAAGGCAACACCGAAGAGCAATGGTGTCAAGCGCAAGAGAAACAATCTCGCCGATTGTGAAGAAGGCGCAGACTCAGAGGTTGATGAAGAAGATGGCGATGAGGCTGGAATCAATATGGCCGCGCTGGCTGAGAAAGACCCTGAGTTCTACAAATATCTGAAGGAAAACGATGCCGAGCTGCTGGAATTTGACGAAGACGATGACCTGGCTGCGGTGGATGATCTTAGTGACAACGAACCGCCAGCAAAGAAGCAGAAAACCATGGGTGGTGATGTCGAGGATACTGATGCTCCCGACGACGTGACCTTGGTCATGGTGGAGAAGTGGAAGTCTTCCTTGGCCGAACAATTCTCCATCAGAGCTCTCCGTCAAGTTGTCCTAGCATTTCGTGCGGCTGCGCACGCGGACGACGAAGAGGACATGGTCTTCAAATACAACATACCCAGTCCCGAGGTGTACCACGAAGTTTTGATGACAGCCCTCAAGCAGGTCCCGCAGGTCCTGTCCCACCATCTCCCCGTCAAAGAGACTGCTACTGGGAAACTGCGCATTCCCACCGACTCCCCGAAATTCAAGACTCTAGCACCATTGATCAAGTCGCACGCGTCATCCTTGCACTACTTGCTCGGCCACTTGTCGGACACCAAGACTCTGCGGTTGACGTTGGAGTCTTTTGAGCCGCTTTTACCATATCTACTTCAGTTCCGCAAGTTCCTGAAAGTCATCACGAAAGCAGTTGCAGCCATTTGGTCTGACAATTCGTCTGACGAAGCAACTCGGATCCAGGCATTTTTAGTCATCCGGCGGCTTATGGTCATTGGTGATGCTGGGATCCGCGAAGCTGTACTCAAGTCGACCTACGAGGGTGTTGTGAAGGGGAGCCGGAATACGACCATCCACACCCTGGCAGGGATCAACTTAATGAAGAACTCGGCAGCCGAGATCTGGGGAATTGACCAAAAAGTCAGCTACACAACTGGCTTTACGTTCATTCGGCAACTAGCCATCCATCTCCGGGGGAATATCACAAAACCCACCAAGGACTCGTACAAGACCGTCTACAACTGGCAGTTTGTTCACTCTCTAGATTTCTGGTCTCGGGTCCTGTCTACTCACTGCACCTCGGTGCTTGAAACCCAGAATGGCAAACCTTCACAGCTCCGGCCTCTGATCTATCCAGTGGTACAAGTTACGCTCGGCACACTGCGTCTGATACCCACTTCCACATACTTCCCACTTCGTTTTCAGCTCATGCGCTCTCTCCTGCGCATTTCACAGGCAACGGAGACCTACATTCCCTTGTCGGCTGCCCTGATAGAGGTTTTGAACTCGGCGGAGATGAAGAAGCCCGCAAAAGCCGCAACATTGCGACCGCTCGATTTTGCCTCCAACATCAGAGCACCGACATCCTATCTGAAGAGCAAGATCTACCAAGATGGCGTCGGCGAACAAGTGGTTGAACTACTTTCGGAGTTCTTCGTGCTATGGACCAAGAGTATCGCCTACCCTGAACTGCAGCTACCCGTAACTGTCATGCTCAAGCGCTGGATAAAAGCAGCTTCTAAAACTAGCGGAAATAGGAACTCCAAGCTCACCCAAGCCGTCGCCCTACTCGTTCAAAAGTCTGAGACAAATGCCAAGTGGATTGAAGAGCGGAGGAACAAGATCAACTTCTCACCCAAAGACAGGACTGAAGTTGAGGCTTTCCTGAAAGATGTGCAGTGGCAAGACACGCCGCTGGGAGCATTTGTCGTGTCACAGAGGAAGTTGAGGGATGACAGGAGGAAGGTCCTGGAACAAGGCCGGAAGGAGCAGGAACGACGCAAAAACACCAAGGACAGTGATGAGAGTGATATTGAGATCGCTTGAAAGTCAGATAGTGAGTTGACTCTAGCTCTTGTGATATGGAATATTCAGTCGCCGAGGCGTTTCGCATGAAGCTCGCGCTGGGAAATCACATGGTGCTGCTATTTTGCAGAAGTGCCACCAGATCTGACATTTTCTTCGCTCTTCGATTGCCCCGTGCTCAGATATCGACAAAACAATCCGTACTGGCTTGAGAGGCTTAAGCGCAGGAGGGGCTAATGTACCTGTTTCCTTGCACGCCAGGCCCGTGGGAGTTTTCACAACGCTGAGCAGGAGTCTCTCCGTAGCGAGGGCCTTCCGGGCGTTAATACCCTACCGTACTGCACTTCCAGGCCATAATCCCGGCACTTTGCGTAGGACCTCGATCTGTGGGCTGAGGTGCAGAGAAGGTTCATCTCAAATCTACATCATCGTTGACGACATGATCCACACTCCATTCAGAATTCAGAGGGACCGGAGTCGTCGGAATCTAGCTGCGGGAAAGATACACCCCATCTGCTCGTTGGCGGCCGCCCTTCCGAGAGAACGCGCTTTCGAGCTCTTATTGGCACGTCGTCGCCTCTTCCGCTCCAGCCTCATGTCTCTGATCAAGATCTGGGAGTAAAGAGTTAATCTGTCACCTGCACGTACCTCGTATCTGCATTATGCATACTGTGCACAGATTATCTGAGCCGACACGAGCTTCTCGCTTTCCACCGCCACGTTGGACAACCGTGGCATCAAACTAGACGACCTTGGCCATCCACGCCGTATCCTGACACATCAGGTGATGTTTACGTCGAGCTCGCATAAGCCTCGCTTCGATAATCTCAACCAAAAGCTGCGCACACCATTTTCAGGCACGCGCGAATCAACGTAGACTGTTCCCACGTATCCGAGATGTCCACAGGGGCCCTTCCGCATGTGGCGGTTGGTGACCATAATTGGACGTCATCCTGACTTTCTGCCGTCGATCAGTCTTTGTTCCATCTGAACTTGCTTTTACACCTTTGAGCTCATTGAAGTTGTCCCACGCGGCACTCGATTGTGGCTAAGTCGAGTCGTTTTCACTTCACTTGCTTCCGGCGCCACGAAGACTAGAACTACATATTGTTTATTCTGCTCCCAATGACGAGAGCAGCCTTTATAGCCCCGTCGCATGCAATATCGGACGTTGTTACGCCCACTCATATCGCAAACTAGTCTAGCCTGACATTCAGTTATCTCCTGATCCGAAGAGGGACATTCAGCCTTGTGTCACCTAGGTCCCAGAATAACCCTCAGCTATGGGCGATCCAGGAGGGCGAAGGACGAGTGTTAGCAAGGAGGTCCACCATGACTTCCAGGCACATCGTTCCCAGTATCACCGAAACCGCGCGGCAAGTGTAAAGCTTCCCGACCGCATTGATATCGGCACCAGCATCAGTGTGAGTGTTTACCCCCTTGATGCGCCTCGTGAGGCGCCCTCACGCGTACGCGCTTGATGACCTTCACCTCTACCTTCGTGCCAGGACAGCTTTGACTTACATTGTACGTCATAGGAATTCTGGGCCGGTCTCGCAATCGAAAGAGAGAGTGATCGATGTCTCAAGATCGGGATTGCCATCCATGACGGCACCTACGGCATAGACTTCTCTGTACAGCGGGTGTCGCTAGAAGAAGAGGATGAGCATATCAAGAATGGGAATAGCGATTGGGTTGCAGACCATGTCATCGCCGAGCTAGACCGCTATAGACAAGAACACGTGTGCAAGATTCTGGGTGCCGGAGTTATCGCGGAACTCGACGGAGAGAGCCCGGCGCTCTGCTCCAGGCTGTGGTCAGAACTGGATGTTGTCCCTATGGTGGTGACGGCGAACCCGGTGCTACGGTCGGACAAGGGAAAAGACTTACCGCAGAGAGTGGATGAGATCGCCGACTCAGCTGCTCGAAAATGTCTGGCGTGAGTTACGACGCGTCCTCGTTCGTGTTCCTACTCTGACTTGCATAGACTCTACGCTCCGACGAAACAACCCCGGCTGTCAATCAGCTTCCAGAATGAGGTCCAAGTTGACCTAGGCGGTCTGATACATCTCGCTACCTTGGAAGATTACGAGAAATCCGTCAGAGCTCCTACGTGGAGAGCCGCACAGAAGTACATCAAGGATGTGGTCGATCGCAAGCTCCGAGTTGTCTTCTTCAGTGCCACACCACAAGGTGGCGGAGTGGCCCTGATGCGTCATGCACTCATTCGATTCTTGAGACTGCAGGGCGTGAACGTCGAGTGGTGCGTGTTTCTTGCTTGACAGAACGAGTACAGGTACTGACCACCTCGCAGGTTTGTGCCCAAGCCAAGACCCGATGTCTTTCGGATCACCAAAACAAACCACAACATCCTACAAGGTGTGGTCCCTCCCGATGTCCGTGCGACGGACGAACAGCTCGGAAAAATCAAGGAGTGGATCGTTGATAATGCGGAACGATATTGGGTGAGAGACTCGGGTCCACTCAGTGCGCCCCAGGACGGCGGTGCAGATGTTATCATAATCGACGATCCCCAGATGCCAGAACTCATCCCGATCGCCAAAAGAATTGCACCGGACCGGCCCATAATTTTCCGAAGCCACATTGAAGTCAGAGACGACCTGGTATTGAACGATGGCAGCGCGGCCCAGCACGTATGGCGGAATATGTGGTCGAGTATCCAGCATGCAGACGTCTTCCTCAGCCACCCGGTCAAGTCCTTTGTTCCGCCTGATGTACGCAAGGAATCCCTGGGCTGGCTCCCAGCAACTACAGACTGGTGAGTGTGGGGCCGAGACGCAAGGCTGTTCGAGGAGCTAACCAGAACTGCAGGCTTGATGGTCTCAACAAAGACATGGCCGAATGGGATCTGCGGTACTATTTACATGTCCTCCGTCAGGTCTGCCAAAGCCAGAATCTACCTCAGCTCGCCTACCCCGATCGAGGATACTTCACCCAAGTAGCACGATTTGATCCATCCAAAGGCATTCCGGATGTTATCAGGAGTTATGCCAGATTCCGAGAAATGGTGAAAGACAGACCCCAAGAACAAGTACAGCAGTTGGTGATTTGTGGACACGGTTCTATCGACGATCCTGATGCCACCCTAATCTATGACCAGACGATGGGCCTGATCCTGGAGAAATACCCCGACCTGGTCAATGATATTGTGGTGGTCAGACTTGGACCGAGTGATCAGATCTTGAACGCCATCATGTCTTTATGCACTGTGGCGTTTCAACTGTCAACTAGAGAGGGGTTCGAGGTCAAGGTCTCGGAGGCGTTGCATAAGGTGAGTATAGTCCGATGAGTACTGAAGAATGTGCTGACAAAGCTATAGGGTAAACCAATCATTGCCACCCTTGCTGGGGGTATTCCACTTCAAGTTGAAGATGGAAAGAGCGGTTACCTCGTCTCTAGAGGAGATCACGAATCTGTTGCCAAGCACCTATACAACCTTGTCACAGATAAGGACCTCTACATTCGGATGAGCGAGTACGCCAGAACGCATGTCAGCGATGAAGTGCACACGGTTGGCAATGCCCTCAGCTGGATGTACATGGCGTCGAAGGTCGCTGGTGGACAATCCCTGAAACCCAATGAGCGGTGGATTAATGACATGGCGAGGGAGGAGGCTGGTGAGCCGTATAAAGACGGAGAGCCGCACCTACCACGCCACCTTTCGACATGAGGCCCGAATCTCCGGTGCCTGCCCCTTTGAGGCGTCCATGCAAGCAGCGCTGATGTCTGCAGGAATCACACATGCGAGGACTGGATTGAGTTGGCAGATCTTCTACTCTCTCGTTCGTCTCTCCTTGTCATGGTGGAAGAGCCGATTGATCGTCCCTTGGAAGCCCGGCATTGCATATGCGGGCCACGACAAAGAAACTCTGGCGCAAGTTTTGGTGCTATCCAGATATTGATAATGATCATATCAGAACTTCATCTAGACGTATTGATGCATCACCTCGATGCAGTCAATCATTCTGGAGCCGAGCGTCATACTTCTCTCTCTGTACTTCAACCGTCCCGACCGAAGCACGCGTGAGCCTGGAAGAGTGTGCCCAATTCCCGACATCCTGCAGTGTCCCGGCTCCGCGAATCAGAGCTCGCGATTTGCGGCGACCTCGCGATGCTGCTAGGAGAGCCACAAGACCGCGGAGGGGCACATCGAGGAGCCGCCGTGGTGATGGTCTCCTTACATTCCGTCACTGTAAAGTCTCCTCTTCCAACCTTTCAATTCAGTAAAGTACTTAGCCCAATGGACTGGTCAACTTACAGTGTGTTCACAGTGCGTCCCTTTACCAACCCAGTCGTAGAAACCTTCGTAGCACAGACTACCAATGAGATGCCGGGCTTGGACAACGTGCTCGATCAACATCCACGGGCTTCCGCTGCGGCCCATGATTCCTACATTCAACCGGAGTTGATTACCACCCAGACAATCAAGCAATGGATACTGTCTGTATAACCTTCCGACTGGGTGCCGAGGAAGTTCTCGCCCCGCTCCGCCCCGCGTCGCACCGGAATTGTACACTGTACTCGATTGCTTTGCAGCATGATGTCCAAGCCCTACTGTTAGGTTGTCCTTCGAGAACCGTTCTGTGTACGAGTATGTCCTACTGAGTAACCACATTCGGCGACCTGGGTTTGCTCTGCCTATCTGTTTCTCCCTCTCTGCCCTGCACGCCACGTCTATACTGTTCATCTCCCAACCTCTCCACTACATCGACACCTCCACGATGTACCGCAAACGCAACGGCTCCCTCGGCTTCTCCTTCACGCGCTTCGCCAACGCCGCGGTGCCCAACTTCTTCGCCGACCCCACGCCCTCCCACCACATCGACCTGACAACCTACCGCCACGACATGTGCTACGTGCACCAGATCGCGTCTCCAAACCCGTACGCGTTGGACGAGCGATCCTTCTACGTCGCCGGCGTGGTCGACTCGGAGAGCGTCTCCAAGCGCGTCCACTCGAAACTCATGAGACATGACATCCTGCGCCGCGAGGACGGCAGCGTCGACACGTTCAAGATCGGCCCGCGGTTCCCGCATCAGCTCGCGCTGTTGAACCTCAACAGGCAGAAGGATCTGGTGGGGATGTTGTTCTGGTGGGAGGAGGAGTGTCAGCGGTTAAGGAAGTTGGAGGGGGAGGAAAAGGAGTTGGATGGTTTGATCGGGGAGGCGACGGCGGCGGCGGCGGGGGATGTGGTGCCGAGTGCCACGGGGCAGGAAGGTGATAGTCCGCAGAGGGAGATGTCGGCGGACCTGAAGGCCACATTGGACCAGTTGAAGTTCGCGCGGGAGAGAGTCCGGATGAAGAGGAGGCAGAGGCCTAGTCAGCGGGATCCCGACGTTGAGGCGGACAAGGACGATATCTTGGGGGCGTTCCATGGACGGAGTAAGAGCTTGCCAAGCACTACTCTGGGTGTCGGTGTTGGTGACGGGGTCGAAGTCGGTGGCGGCAGTGGTGGGAACGGAGAAGTCGACCCGGCACAGCAGCAAGAGCGGCAGCAGCAGGATCTGGGCAAACCGCCAGAGTATTTCGCCAGTTCTTGAAGAAGGGGCTCTACGAGGGTGGAGTAACAGTCAGCACTTGCCTTTGCGACGAGACCAAAGTCACCGCATCAGAGCCGTCCTTGTTGAACTGACCATCCCCGGACACAACCAGTGGGCATCTGTGTGTGCCGACATGGCCTATGGAGTCACAACGACGACGGCATGGGACACGAAGCCTCGGGGAAGGGATCATCAATGCTCGGGATATCCGGTGCCGTCCCCTCCCTGCGAGGGAGGAGCTGCTTCGACGCCTACTGTCCGAGTACTTCAGCATTTGCGGCTCACTACCCCCGAGCGTGCGGTTGCTCTGGTCTTATCGAGACGATGTCAAGGGCGAATAACTGACAAGCTCCACCTTTGGTATTTCGTCTAACCACTGAGGCAAAATTTCAGCCTGGGGAAGGCAAGCAATAGTGACTTCCCCCCCAATTACTGAAGCGACAGCTCAATAAACAGCGGGACGTTCTGGTAAAAACGCAAAGAGGGCTGCGGAACGAGGAGACAACCCTGCTAGCGTCCGTCTTACTGTCCTCTGTCCTCCGCATGTCGCATCCGAGCCCGGGCACCGGCCCTGCCGTCATGTGAATCTGGCCGAGTCTAATTACTCGAGCGGACCTTTGTATCTGCGCTGCTCGGGTCTACAGTAAGTGAAGGGGACGTCGGCATGTGGTTATGAGGAGCAGTATAAGTGAGAGCAATCGAGGGTTAAGAGTTTTGTTAAGACTCAGAACGTAGACGAGAAGAGTAGTGGGCATACATAGGCATATAATACTGTCCGATTGCGATCTTGCAGACCGTCTTCTGATGGCCACCCAGGACGAGAATCTAAACCACTGTAGCCGATGGCCAGTATGTGTACATTTTCTGCACTCACGGACAAGGCGCGATAGCTCTGGGTTCGCCAGCCGGACCCAGAGTGTCGCCCACGCCTTGGAAGTAGATTACCAGCCGAGCTGTTGGGTCGTCCGTGAGGAGGTTGAAGTCAAGTCTGCCCGGAATTTGTGGCAAGGAGCTGCAGGCTCGTCCCTCAAAGCTTTCTCATTCCCGCGATAAGCCCCGAGTGGTAGGATATGCCGGGCGTGCAGGGTCTCCCAGTAGGGGCGTTCGAGCTGAAAGGGGGTGACCTGTTTCCCTAAAAAGCCGCGGTATTCTGGGACCTTGACATCTTTGAACCAGCTCGAAGTGACCCTATGAAGGTATATGACATGATCTTGCAAAGCCGGAACGGTCAAAAGGCCGAGGGAAGGCAAGATGAAGGCCGGCACTTAATCGTAGGCGCACTGCCTCTGAGGCAGAATTGTTCACTTGACTCGGCTGGGTGGACGGGCTACTAACAAAGGCCGTTGCAGATAGGCACTTCAGAGAAACCTGTGAGGCCTAGTAAAGGACCGAGGTTTACAACTGCGCCGGAACCTCGATCTTGCAGTTATGGGGAAAGTGTAGGACTTCGCTCATAGCAGCCGTGCAGGCATTGAAGCTGGAAACGAATATGAGGCCCAATGCATGGTTGACCCAGGACCACTGTCATGCTCTGTCACTGTAAGCTGGAAATCAAACACTGGTTCCTGTGGTATGGCAAGCCAGATTGACCTGTGGCTTGAATGGCCAAGACTGGTAACCATATTAGTGTGTTTGCTTCGTTGCGAAATTTCCGGGAAGATGATGTTCAGCTTCGGTTTCGCGATATGCAGAATGACAGCGCCTCATGTAGTCTGATGTTCCTATAACGCTCTTCCGCTCACCGTAGATGTACATCCCTCTGATGCCATTTGGACAAGCCCCGAGAGACACAAAATGCGATGAAGATTAAAGTTATCGACTTCCGCAATGGTGTTCTGTCATGCGATAGTGTTTCGCTGCAGGGCCTGTCCATAGGTAGTGCTCACGCACTCACCTGCAATTCACCTTCGTCGCCGCTGTCACATGACAAGGTCCGGTCACAAAACCCTAGTCTTGTTATATTATACCTGCAAAAAAAGGAATCAAATCACGCAAAGACCCCCATACCCATTGTGTCGTCCTCTCCCCAGAGGCATCAATGGAATGGGCGATTCGAACCACGCCGCCGCCGGATCCAATCTGGCTCCTGCTCGGGTCGAACTACCACCGGGGTAGGGGCGTCAGGAACCCGATTGAGATCTGAAATCTGAGCGAAGTATCCCTCCGATCCAGGTCTTGACAGGACAAACTAACACCGGTTAGCAGGCATCAAGCACCTCGATCGTAGGTCGTAGGCCGTAGCAACCGTAGCAAGCAATCAGAGCGTAGCGGCGGTAGCTGAGATGTCATCGTGGGATGGGATGATAACAATGTGGCAGGAAAAAACCAACTTCGAAAGGAGCGAGTTTCTGATGGTTGGGCCAGGGAACCTTAAGAGACTTCTTCAATCTTCAGTTTTTACTTTTTTTGTGGCTTGAACCTAGATCCTTCTTTTAATGGGAGGAAGGTAGCTAAGTAGTAATACCAGCAGTGAAGCTAAATAGACTAAGGGGGAAGAAGTGAAGTTAAGAGCGAGGTCAAGTCAAGTCAAGCTACATCGTCATTTAATGTCGACGATACTGTCATTTAACGCTCTCTTACAGCGCTGCGGGCAACTATACCTAGGTACTAACTGAATCGACCGCAGTCTCCGGCCAACTACCCTATACGCCATTTATATACCCTCGGATTAAAGGCATGTCAGCGTATGCTGGCAGCATGAGATCGAATCCAAGTTATGGCAGAGCAGGTCGCAAATCAACTGAAGATCGACACAAGCAATGAGCCTCCTGTCCCTTCTATTGCCGCGGTATTTCTGGTCAACTTTGACCATCGCAAAGGGTGCGCACACGCGACCCTGCTTCCGACGTCTACTAAATGGTGGCAGGTATACGTTAGGATGGCACAAGTCCGTTGACGACCGTCAGTTCTCCAGCTCTCCATGTTTGCCGAACTGCGAATTAAACCTCCGTCACAGTCCCACTTGAGGGCATCGTCGAGTTCAAATCCCTGCCCTCCGGCCTACACAATGTCGAAGAAGATCTCGTGTGAGTGGCACACACTGTCCCACGGGTTACTCGGCTGAAACATTAAAGATATTTTATCCACGATGAATACGCCGGCCTCAGCGCATTCATCAATAGACCCGACCAGGAGTCTGATCGCGCTGCCCGAATGTTAGCCGTGGGCATTTTGGTCCCATTGGAACGTGGTCGCATAGGTCGGAGCTGGCGTCATGCTGAGATCCTGAAGGAGCTCGCAAGGTACACACAAAAGATTCCCGCTACATGGGCACGTCTGAACGCAAACAGGGCACAGATCGACAATGTAACAAACACAGCCGCACTTGAAGAGTACTGGGACAAATACAGGCTGAAGCCCGAGGAGCGCTCTTCTCAAACACCTCGGGATCCTGAAGGAGATGACCCATCGCAGCGACCGAATGGATACACTAATTCTAGGAGCATGTCTACCGGAACGACCTACATCTCCACACACCATTCTTTGACTCCCCATCATCCGGCCCTAACTCTGATGGACTCGTTAAAGCTCTTCGGTCCTCTCATGTTCCCACTGTACCGGGCGGCGCTACTGCGCAAGCGCATTCTGATTGTGACGGACGCGCCAGTCGAATTCGCCTGCAACCTTGGTGAGGACGAGATTTTCGAGTAGGGGGACCCGCGCTAACCATAGATACAGTTTATAACCTTTCCATCTTGTCATCCATTTCCAAACCGGTGCTATCGGCCTTGCCAGAGGCCGATATTCTCATCAGCAGGCTCCGTCCCTTGTTCACGATTGGAGTTATGGATATTGCGAAATTGGAGCAGGAGAAGGCCGCAGGGCCAAATGGAAGCTTTATCGCCTGCACGACGGACGATGTATTGGCTTCAAAACCTGACCTCTACGATGTCCTTGTGCTCCTGCCCAAATCAGAGGCACACCAAGCTGCGACGAAAGCATTTCCTCGCATCGTTCTTTCGAGCCCAGAGTTGACCAAGGCTTTTCCAAAGGCTGGCATCAGAGCTACCCAGCGGGATGCTCATCGGCTCTCGCATCTGCTGACGACCCTACGCTTCTTGGAGCACAATGACGTCACGGCGACTGACAGCGATGTCTCCTCGGTCTTATCGGCTTCGTCCTCATATTCGCTGAACAAGGAGGTGATAGAACCGTCATCCTGGTCTCGGGTCGCTTATAATTCGATGATTTGGTGGGCGTCCGCGGGGGACAGGCGCACTGGTTTTGCCGAAGGCGAGGAGAGTGAAAGCGAACGAGACCAAGCGCTCTTGCACAGCCCAGAGGAAGAAAATAAAACTCGGGAGGTTGCAGTGGTGGGGTTCTTTCAGCGCATGACGGCCACCATCTTCAACACACTGGCTTCCGCAATTGCAAGAGTGGACGGTAACGAACAAGACTCGGAGCGTTACCGGGATGAGGAAGAGGAGGAGGGCAGTACGAGCCCGGTGGCGGATACTACGCAGGAGGAAAACCAAGCACTCCTGGCTGACCAGAGTGTGAAGGCCGAGGTCGAGATCAATCACGAAGATATGATTGAGATGTGCCTGGATAGCTGGAGTGCATCTGACAAGAAGTTCGTGGAAGAACTGGTGCAGCTCTGGTGGCTGCGGAAGGCAGTTGTGCGGCCAGCATCAATTGAATGCTGCGGGCTGCGGATACTCTGAGCCGCTTTCATGTTAGCACACTTTCGCAAAGGCTGTCCTTCAGCCTCGTCCCCCTCGGATCGCCCAGAAGTCACCATGACGTCGATCATGCAACGTTCTCCGCGCGCACCAAGCCGCATCTGGGAGCTCGAAAACAAAGTGGACAGGCACACCAATCATCGTTGTGGCCAGATGCTCCTCCAGCTTTTCCACATTACGGGCGGGGCTCCCTTGTACCACCGTGATTGGGAGACTCGGATACTGTCTCCGCCATGAGATCATGACTCTCATGCAGAAAGACCGACTAAGAACGAAGCTTCGGCAGCCTCTACTTGTACGAGCTACTGCATCATATACGAAGCTCGACAGCAGTTCCTCTGGCAAGGCCTTCCAAGTTTATCCAACTGTCGTTCAATTGTCAAGCCCATTCAAAGATGAAGCTGGCGACCGGCACTCTCGCTGTTCTTGCAGCCTTTGGGACTGTAGCGGCCCAACAGCCAGCTCGTGATCCGATCGGCACAGGTCCGTCACTCGAACTTGTGCACTTGTATTTCGACCAGTGGCCGACAGGTAAGACCAAGACTGGGTTACCCTCGGAGCCGGCTCATTCTCTCACAGGTGTCGCTGTTTCTTCATCTGGACGTATCTTTTCCTGTTACCCGCTCGGACTCGACGCCACAAATACCAGGTACCAAGTCGCGGAGCTTGGGTCAAACAACACCGAGAGCCCGTTCCCAAATGCTCAGATCAATACGCCGCCAGGCGGTGCTGTCGACTATTCGACGAATCCGCCACAATCCAAAGGTCTCTCAAACTATTTTATCTCTGTTCAAAGTGTCGTGGTCGATCCGAAAGACCGGCTATGGGTCCTGGATACCGGCCGGGCACTGCTGAGTAATGGCACTCTGACGACGTCGAACCCTGGCGGACCGAAGCTTGTCGGCATCGACCTGACAAACAATTCAATCTTCCAGACAATTCTCTTTCCGCCGACGGTCGCATTCGCCGACTCTTATCCCAACGACGTTCGTTTTGACCTGCGCCCATCAGTCACTTCCTCTGGTCAAGGCATCGCGTATCTTACGGACTCATCCAGTGAAGGACGCAATGGAATCATTGTAGTTGATCTCGGGACCGGAGAGTCTTGGCGTCATCTGAATAATATTCCACAAGTCCGTCCCGAGCCCGGCTTCTACGCCAACGTCTGGGGTGAGTCAGTCTATATGAACCCCGGGAACGGCATGCCGGTCTCCAGACTCGCATTCGGCGCGGACGGCATCACGTTATCCAATGACGGCGAAACACTCTACTTTTCGGTTGTTTCGGGTCGCCATCTATACGGTGTTCCTACGTCTCGCCTTCGCGATCGCGGTCTGTCTTCTGAGCTGTTCGCTACAGGCTCGGTCATGGACCTTGGGCAGAAAGGCGTGAGCGACGGGCTCGAGAGCGATTCAAACGGCATTGTCTATGCAGGAAGTGTGGAGACAGACTCAATCGTCACTTTCAACCCGCAAAATGGAACAGTCCAGACTTACGTGAGAGACTCCAGGATTGGATGGCCCGATACCTTCTCTGTCTCGGGGAGTTATCTGTACTTTACGGAAAACGAGCTGTGGCGGGGCCCATCACAGCAAGGTGGTGTGGATAGGCGGGTTAAACCCTACGCGCTGTACAGGGTGCCTCTGCTGAACAATGCGACCAAGATTAGTCTCGTCTAGCCCCGGTACAGGCAGATGAATGCGGACAGCACGGGTACCGAGCGAGGCGTGCGCCCTGTGGCATAGCGAACACATATATACCTAGGTAATATAATATGGTACGAGTATGAGGGCAACGAAAGAAACGGAGATCGCCGGATATTTGACCAGCGTGCCGAGGTTCTTTCGGTTCTCCCCCCTTCGTATACGCAGACCATCCGTCCGTCCGACATCCATATCATATCAGCCTGTCGTTCTATTGTGAGGCGCGTATTCACGCCTCGGCGCGTGTAGGGGAACTCCCGAGTGTACGCGCAAATACCGGTCTTGGTGACCCTGTCCACAACCGTTATATGTCTTAACTATAGTTTTCTTGCCTTCCTGAAACCTTGACTTCTGCCGACGTGATTTCTTACCCCCCGGTCTCATCGATTCTTGAGGCTTCAAGATGGCAGGTGCTCATTCCAGCGAGGCGCTGCCGGTTGTGCTATTCGGATATGACTGTGAGTATAGTGTATCTGTCGCGAACGAGTGGACAGCCCCGTAATTAAATACAACCCCAGCTAACCAGATGGGGTCCTGCAGCGTCTCCGTTTACACAAAAGGTCAAATTGGCGCTTCGGCTGAAACATATCCCTTACAGTGAGTACCGAGTCCCACCCACTGCTTGGGGGAAGGGCATCCAGAGCAGCTGGCGGATAATTATTTCACGGATGGACTGGCCTCCTCTGGGTGCAGGAGGGTTCTTTGGAAGGAAGCCGCTGCTCGTCTTGCTGGGCCCCCCGCTGACAGAACAGCTTTTGTTGTCGTCCCATCCATGATGCCGCGGCCGATCTTGAAGGACAACTTCAACGTCACGTATAGGAAGATTCCTGTCCTGGCTATCGGGAGAGAGGTGAGTCCGATCGGGGCGACGATTTCACGTGACACACGGTTGAAGACCATACGTGTCACTGTAGATCTACATCGACACGTCGCTCATCCTGGAAGCCCTTGAACACCACTTCCCGCCCGCTCAGGGCTACGGCTCTCTCTATCCGGCCGGCCACGCTGCGACATACCGCTCCCTCATTCGGGGGTTCGCCTCCTACTGGACGGACCGTCCGCTTTTCCGCGTGACAACCGGCCTCATCCCAGCCACTGTCTGGCGTACGCACTTTGGCGTTGACCGCGCCAATCTCATCGGACACACTCTTGACGCGGAGAAACTCGCGCGCAAGGTGCCGCAGAATTTGAGCGGGTTGGACCTACAATTGAGCTTGTTGGAGCCTTTGTTCGTGGGGGACGGCAGGAAGTGGATATTTGAGGGCGACAAGCCCAGTGCCGCAGATGTGGCGGTGTGGTATCAGCTGGATTGGGGGGAGAAGATCTCGCGAGGCGAGGGCATCAGTGACTTGACAGGTGGACGAGCGAGGGATGGAGATGGAGAAGGCATGGGTAGCGTGTTCAATAGGGAGAGGTATCCCGGGCTGGTCGGATGGTTTGAGCGTTTCAAGGATTATATCCACGATCTGCCGGGCACGGAGACGAGGGTCGAGCGGTCCGACGATGCGGGTATCAAAAAGACGCTCCAAACGCTGAGGGACACGGAAGTGGCGGAGCGGGTGCCGGTGTTGCCCACGCCTGCTGGACCTCATCGGGAGCTCGACAGGCGAAATGGGCTTGTGACGGGTACGGAGGTTACTATTGCGCCTGATGATACTGGAAGAGATAGTCCGACGGTGGGGACCCTACTGGCTATCGGGCCCGAGGAGGTTGTTATCAGGCCTCAGAAGACGGACGGGGCAGGGCCGAGGGTGGGAGATGTGAGGGTACACTTTCCTCGGATCGGGTTCGTGATAAGGCCGGTCGGGCAGGCACGGCTGTGATGGCTTCTCAAGAGACCTACCAGCAGTTACTCTCCCATGCCCGAATCGACTATTGAACTGGTTTCTTGTGAAGAACCTAGGAACAAGGTACACCGATTGAGGCCGAGCACAATTACGGTACAGTATAGGGATGTAGAGATACGGTAAAGCAAGCGCTCACTTCTCGCTCCGGGATCTGACTCTTCCCCTCTCTGGGTTCCTCCTTGTCTCATCTTACTTCACAAATCAAGGGCATCAGACAGCCACGCCTCGAGCTAACTTCTTTCTCCGAGCCTCAGACTTCATGACCACTGATAATGCCGCCTCGACCTGGCGAAAATCGTTCTGCCGTGACCGTCTATGCGCCGTGTGGAACGACCCCAAAAACGGCCGGCGAGGTAGCGAGTATGACCTTCATACCATCATCAACCACGATTCAGAACACGGGCTTCCAAACGCAGGACAAGCGAAAAGGCTTTGTCTCAAGCTGTACCAAGACACTGCCGATCCTCACCTCCATGTTGCGCAGCTGGACAAAAGCTATAGCGACACGTACTGGCTAGGGAACCTGGGGAGGGCGGCCACAGTCGAGCAGCAGGCATGTTTGCCGTTTTCATCATAATGACTATAGCACGGTTTGACAGGTGGCTGACGCCGTACGTGCAAAGATCTTCGATCGGGCGACGGAGATTCTCTGTCAGCTACCTGTCACATCACCTACAATCCTGGGGGCCCTTCCATTTCAGGGCCCGTTTGACGATGGGTACTTGTTGCCAACTGTGACCGACTGTCGTCCCGATATGGTCTCAGGGACTGCATGGGAAACATTACTGGCAGTCAACCACGTGGACACAATCGTTCTTCGGCTTGTCTTGGGCATTGCCCAAGCGGATTTATCCCGCGAATCCGGCCCACCACATTCCGTGCGCCTCCTCAATGCCACCATCTACCTTCTGAGGGTCAGCCTTGATCTGGCATCTCAAGGCCGTGGTAATGCGCAGAGATGGTCTGTGGTTTGCGTATTCCTGTGGACCTCGTGGCAGAGGATCCTGATGATACGCTTGCGGTCTGTTGTTGGCCGACAACTCCATGGTTTCGACTACAATAGCAGGGGTTTGAACTCAATCCGAGCTCAAGATCTTGTGCCCGAGATATTCGAGTATCGTGGTAAGGTGCAGCAAGCTGACCTGGAGGCCACTCCCTATCTTTGTGCATGGGCTTATCGAAACCTCATCGAAGACCGCGCATGTATTTCATCGGATCTCCGCCACGTAGCGCAGAATCTTCACGATTGCTTTGGTGGGAGAGAAGCTGTCTGCAACGCTGGACACGTGCAGTGCAGTGGTCTATCATCGGTCTCCTGCGGCCGCTTCGAGAACACGACCGTTATTAACCAGTCTATGCACATGCGGAAGTGTTCGGGAAACTGCCCCCGGCTATTTTGGTCGCGAGAGTCATTTGTAGCAGTATCCGGACCGAAAGCGATCGACGTTACCACTACAAGTGCAAGCGCCCTACGCTATTGCCAGGTCACATCGAAGACGCTTGCAATATCACACGTCTGGAGTCATGGTCAAGGAGGACGACCCGATCGTGACGGGCCCGAAGGTACCGGATTCAACCTGTGCCTGCACCAACGTTACTCTGAGATTGCCGTCTCGCTCGGCTGCTCGTCTTATTGGATGGATACGCCATGCATCCCCAGCGAGAAAGGCCTGAGATGGGACTGCATCGCCCATATCCACAAAATATTTACGACGAGCATGGTTACGCTGGTCTGCGACAGAGATCTAATGTCGATCGATATCGCCGACTCAAGCGTGGACGCGTGCGAGAACCTGCTTTCAACCCTTCTCGTCTGCGATTGGAACATGAGGGCCTGGACGTTGCTCGAGTCCATGCGCGGAAGGAGCTCCCTCTACTTGCTCTGTGCCGACGACAGAACCATCAAACTATACGACGTGCTGCAAACAGTGTTTCAAGGGGGGAGCCTTGACGTACTGGTCCCGTACCTAACTCGGTCGTATCTCTTTCCTCCAGACGACATAATGGATATGGAGCTGTTCGAGGGGAGCGGCTCCGTTGCCACAGCCGAAGATCAGCAGCTCGCAGAAGGATTCATCAGCGTCGGCGAGGCCGCCGTCCTGCTCAGCCATCGGCACGCAACTCGGGACGAAGACGACGTGCTCATCTGGAACCTGTTGATCGGCGATACCGCAGAGCAAGATGCCGCAGAAATGTGGAGACGTCAACTAGGCACGAAGATCTCGACAGGCGCTCTGGTATCGAGCGCCCCGCGACTGCGCAATGTCGCAGGTTTCCACTGGGCACCGTCCCGTCCGACTTTGCCTCGCAGGTCTACGACCAATACCGCGACCACGACTGCGCATGAGAAGACATTACTCGCATATGACGGCGGCGACGCAAGGGACGGAGAGATCACTACTGACGGCTTACGCGCCAAATGGTTGACATGCCGTTTCACAATAGCAGGTGCTAATGTCCAAGAAGAGCTACATCTAGGGAAGAACAACAGTACTGATGAAAAGCTGGCCGCAATTGCGAACCGCTACATTCCGGACTTCGCTCACGGTATGTTACTCCAGGTCTGTCCGACGAGAGGGCCCAACAACGTCCCCCTGCCGTATCAGGGCTCCAACAACCATGTGCTGGTGGTCTGTGGATCTCATGACGCGTTAGGATGGGAGTGGAGAGGCGCATATGAGTGGGGAAGGACGTGTCCGCTGCCGCGGTTTGTAGTCGAGGAGATTTTGCTGGTCTAAACCTCTTCTGCACGTTTGGAGCATCCTCATTCGTAGGACTTGTTCTGATTAACCGCCAGATAGCGCTTACGGGGGGCCTACACGTACAGGAACATGCCATGATCGTTCTTCGACAGTCTCGTATGAACTTGCAGCTTTTTGCTCGAGAAATTCTCTCTGCTTCTCACTAGCCAAAGATCTTTCTTTCGGACAGGAGTTGGGTTTTAGACTGGACTAATTAGTTCGGGATCCTACATTCGTCCGTCCCTTCTGATTTTATGCCCCGAACTTGGGTTCCGTGCCGGTGGCTGGCGGGCCAGGCAAGCGAATACTACATTGTATAAGGCACACGATACCCATACACTTGATCATTGCACGTATCCGAAATGGCAGGAAATAGTAGAGCTACCCTAGCCTAAGCTTGTCTCCAGCCCAACAAGGGGGACCAACTTCCGCTCCGCGTCGGACAGGTACCGAGGCTGTAAGAAAGAGACTGTAAAGGTTCACGATACCAAAAGCGCCTGATTACTACACGTGGGTTTGACTTCGGAAAAATAGTGGGGCTACCCTCTCCTAATCCTACGTTCTGCCCAACAGCGGGACGGCCAACTCCACCTCTCTTCGAGAGGTGATTAATTAGTGAGTGTGTAAGTATCACGGCGCGTTATTGGCAGAGCTGGTGGAGCCAACTGTTAATGTTGTAGTACAGTACGATAGTGCATGAATTCCAAGACAGAGATGTCTAACTGTATGGAAAGAGTGCCCTCGGCGCAGTTTAGGCGTTTGTTGTGCAAGTCGTCATCCGGCCAATAAGAGCGCAGCGTTTGCGGTGAAACACCCATATGGGTGAGGCTGAGGCGGTGAACAGTGACAGTAAGAGAGAGAGGGCGGAGGATGGGAGCACGAGAAATGCTTCGATGCTGTAGCTGAACGCCGCTCCCTTTCAAGTTCTAGCTTTATCACGCGTCGTGAAGACTGAACAAAATTGAGAGCTGGAAGTACTGTAGTAACAAAGTGAATGGAATTCGTGATTCATAAGGATATGAGTAATGCCCCAGCTCCCGACGGCTATTCAACTTTCCAGTAGTCATACTCGTACAGGGTTGCCAGTTGTGATTCGTACATGCTGCGTCGGTATGCAGTATCAATCGTCCAGAACTCCTTGCTCAGGCCCCAAGGCGCTCGGCGGTCCAGAACTCCTACCCATGACCCAAAACAGCTCGCGATTCTCTGTCTGTCGACTCGCCGCCGTCACTCTTCAGCCACACCTCTTCCATTCCAGTTCGCTGAAGCCCACGATCTGGCTGAAGACCTCATCCCTACGCGCCAAGTGCATGACCGTTCTCTTCTCTCCTTCGTACAGCACAAACTGCAGCCCTGCCTCCTCTCCGCCATGGCTGTTCTGCTCGGTGATCTTGTGAATCTCCTTGATGTCGTCGAATAATAGGCTCCATCCATGGGTGTCCTTGTCCTTGTTTGCAGAACGCGAGCTCTGGGTCAAATTGAGGCGATTCCCCGAGCGTTTTGGCGCGAAAGAAACGGACGTCATCATGACGACGAGCTTCCCTTGGACGTCATTGTGGTCTTTACACGTGTAGGTGCCTATGAGATGGGTGTTCTTGTCGATTGTACTGAGGGTTTTGTCCGACGTGAGGTACTGGTGGGCTTCGCTCTGAAGACGAGAGACGGCCCATTCCGCTGATCATCTAGGGTCAGCCGTGACTGGACCTTGCGGGTCAACAAATAAGGGGTGAAACCGGCTTACCGTGAGTAGGGCTCTTCCATAACAGCCAAGTTATTGGGCTGGCAAGCAGTCGATACCGAGGATACCGGACGCCGATTGGTGTCAAGATGAAGAACATTACTCCACAGCCAAGAAAACTCATCTGGACCAGGAGCCAAGTTGGCGTCAGGGTAATGATAACGAGGCCGGTAAACAGAAAGCTTAGTGTCACAGCCGTGTAGCGCGGATTCCGCCATTCGTAGAAACTGGGAGAAGGGATCAGTGCAAGGGCTCAGAGACGCCACCATGAGCGGATCGGAGCAGGGTGGAACCACACGTACTTCTGTGTCATCTCCAGAATGTCCGCAAGGCGCTCCAACCAGTCAAATACCGCCGGCCCGGCTTGTTCGATGACGCGGTCGACCCAGCCACGAGTGCCGTACTGCGTGATTAGCTCGCCCAAGTTCTGCGCGATAGAATCTTGATCTTCAGAGTGGGCGGTTGCTTTTCGCATCTGTCTCAGAGTCGGAGGATGCCAACGTCGGTACAGGACTTTCAGCAGGACGTAGAGGATCTGCTCCGGTTAGCCACAACGGGAAAATACAGTATCGATACGTACCAAAGCGCGAGTGATGTAACTGTAGAACAGCAGGAAGAAATACAGAATCATGTAGCCGAAGCTTTCGCGTGGGTCCTCCCAGTGGGATATGTTCCGGAGCTTCATTACATATGTCTGCAGTGGTGTGGAGTCGACGATAAGCCGCTCGACGCTGGATGCCAGCAATTTGCGGTCAGGCATAGGCATCTTAAACTCGGGGTCGATATAGTTCTGCGCATTTGTTTCCCACTGATACTTCAGGAGCTGCAAATTGTCAGTCGAAGATGATATTGTCCTTTGGCCGGGTACTTGCCTGCTGAATATATGTGGTCCAGGCGAGTCGCTTGTCCTCTGTGCTATTCTTGCCGAACAGCAGCGGTCGAGCAGGAGGTGGTGGTGGTGAGGTTCTTATCCTCCCTAGTATCCTCACGTGTCGATCAATTGTCCACCGCACGAAGAAATCTTGCCTGAGCTGTTTCATCTGGATGAAGGTCTCATATTCGGCTTCTTCCTGGGTCTCGTTCGAGGCATCCTGGACCTTGTCGGCCTGTTGTAGAAGTTGTACATCTACGCCGTGAGCGATTTCGGCCTTGCCTATACTCTCGGCGAAGTCATTTCCGCGTTGGTCTTGCACCGTCGAAATGACAGACTGGACTGGCTGGTGTATAAACTCCTTGATTGGAGGGAACTTTGGTTTATCTTTGAAGGTGTTGTCTAGTCTCTGGTTTTCCACGGAGCTATCTGGTGGGGGCGGTGCAAGTGTAGGCGCATGGTCGTGGTGGTGCTCGTACGTTTGACTGTTCGATGCCTCATGCTTCTCATCGATTGCGGCTTTGATTTTGCTGATACCGTAACGCGGGTGCACAACCGCTGAGAGGAGATTATCTTTGACCGCTTGGCGGATTGACGGTTTTTGGTAATCCATCGCCTCGGGCGCGGGTCGCGGGTCGGTCGTATCATCGTTCCGAGGTCCCACATCGATCTGCGCCCGGTCGAGCCCGTTGGAAACCGAGCCGAAGTCATTGATGCTGGACGCCATATTCGGAAAGAGTATGCAAGGACTGCTGCCTTTACTGATGTTAACGATAAACTCTCCTTGAACGCAAGCTGAAGTGATTGAGTCTCGCTACGGAGTGATTGCGCTCGGATTCCATTGTGACGTCTGATGACAGAACCGAACTGTCGGAACGAACTTCCTTCTCGTCACACGGGGCAGCATTCCGTCGGTTTGCGGAAGGCGCATCCGGTGTTGTCATCTCCACGCACCCATCATGTGTGAATACACAGTACGAGGTAAGCGGATTGTGTAACCACTAGCGCTCTCGTCTAAGCCGCGTGGCCGCTTAGGGCTGGTGGCCATGTACGAGTAACGTTTGGAGTGGCTCTCGCCCGGCCCTATTTGCGGACCGAAGCGGGCTACGTGGATTCAATGTTCGTAGCACATGCTACCTGTGACAGCATGGGATTACCGGTGGTTCCAGCTAGACGGCGTAGACTCCAGCAGCAGCGCCACCATACAATCAGCAGATGATTATGTCTGAATTGGCAATAATAATATCTCATTCTTGTCTCAACTATCACGAGGGTTCGGGCCCTGCCGCATGGCTTGCATGGCGTTACAGTACCTCTAATCAGGGGGTGGTGGAATGTGGCCGACCTGAGGGCTTATCCCGCTTGATCTGTCATACCTCGCTTTGCGGTTGACAAGTGCTTGATCATCTCAAAGGTCTCGCGGATGACTGTACCGTACCCTCCAACTGTTTTGTCCTCGGGCTTACCTAGATGAAGGCCATCTGTTTTCTTTGTGTCTTGGTGGAGATACTCGACCACCATGACTCTCTGCTTCAACTCCTCTGCCCTTGCTGCCTTTCCCTTCTGAGCGCGTGCTCTGGCAGCCAGCAACTCATTGTGTTGGTGCTGATTCCAATGCGCAAGAATCCGCATTTGGAGTCCACCGTCACAGGCCTCCTTTAGCTGTCTGCCTCTGCGTTGCCGTTGGATTGTTGATCGTGGCGGAAATGGGGTTATGGTTGGCCAGAGAGTACCAACGTGTGCTTGCTCTTGGTCGGAGTTTTGATCAGCAGAGTCGACATACAAGGAACCGGCATAAGGGGAGGTGTTGAGAGATACGCCCGCATTCGTGTTGAATGCAGCATTGTTCAGATATCCAGGTCCAGTGCCTGGACCGACAACTGGTGTTCCGGAGTCATAAGTGCTGCCGACATCCCCTGGAACGGAACTGACAAAGTAGAAAGGGTCATCATTGTTCCAGAAAGAGAGGGCGTGATCAGCGTAAGCCGCTTGGAAGCTGTTCCACTCATCCTCCCACTCACCTTCACGTTCTGAACTTGAAGAGGACGACGAGGGGGAGAGACCAGAGGAAGTCGGCGAGCCATCACCATCGTCGAAAAGAGCGCAGCTGTCCCTGCCAGATACGAGCGCGAGATCTTCAGCTTCATCCTCGGACTCGCTTCGAGCACGGAGTTGCTCAGCAAGGTCCGCAATCGAGCTAAGTGGGAGACTGTAAGACATCGTCGGTCCACCGGTGCCTGGCTCAGCAGAACCGCTGTCCGGAACCCTGGCCTCTCTCCGATAAGGCATGGTTAGTGGTCTCGCAATGTAAGTTCCTCTGGAAATCAAGATCAGCCAATGCTACCACACTCGAACACTGAAGAGGAGGACATTGCTTATAAGCAGTCAGTCGAGGGGGAAAGGCACTCAGGAAAGGAAGACGGTGCTTTGTCCTCGGGAATGACGATGGGATCGTAGGAAACAATAGACAGCGTTGACAAACAATGCGGCCATTCTGCCATACACAAAGAGAGTCTCCGTGGTAATGGACGGGTGTTGGTCGAAGACATTGTTGGTGTCGAAGTAAGAATGCTTCAATTCGAGACAAAGGAATTGACGTTGCTCTCATCTTTTGGCGGCTGGCCGAAAACTCGAGGCTCCTGACACGGAGGCTCCTGTGGGTGGGGGAAGTCTCTGCACACTCTTGCGTCTGAGTGACAATTACCATGTGAATCTTACAGCGGACGAGTACTGAAAATCACAATGCAGTTGAGAAGAAAGTTGAGAAAAGAGCATTCCGACAATGAGGGGTGAACGGGGTGGTGGGTGAGTGGCTGGGTTGTGGCACTTGATTCTCGTCATGCCGTCGCTGGACACACCAGTGCAGACTCTGGCCATGGTCTCTTGTGCTCTTCTGAGTACACTGGACACGGCTCGCAACTTCTCTATCCGCAGCACAATAGATGCATCCTGCATTCAATACCAGATCAGAATGAGAATTATTGAATCCGGGTTCGTCACGCGCCGAGAAAGCAGCTTCATGCCTATGTCGCTGTCCAAAGTCAAGCTCTTCCAAGCTTTGCCCGATAAATGGGTAAGCAGAGGTCAGGAGCAACGCAGCCGCAATCACCGTGTTTAATACAGGCAGGAAGTGCATTTATATGGCAGTCTTAATAATGGTAGGCGCAGCCACTGTTCGTTGAGGCAATTACCTGAGGTCTTCTCAGCGTCTCGAGATGTTCTCTCACTGACTATGCTGTTATTCTTTCTTCCTTCAAAGGTTCCTTTTCTACCCCGATACCTCGCATGTATCTTTTTACCACCGCTTTGAAACCGGCCTAACAACACTCTTCTTTCATCCCGCATAACGAAGAAGCTTCTACCCTCGCTCATTGACACGTACTCCGTTGATGTCCATGACTTCCGCCAACAGCAGACCGGCTAAGCGTCCCAGTGGGAATGCTGCTTCGACCACTCGCTCTAAAAGCACACGCCTCGGTCATGAAGATGGCGCCAGAGGAGAAGAATCTGACGACGATGCTGGTGTGATTCTGTCCCAGAGCATGGCTCGAACTATTCGTGATCTAGAACGTCTTGTGGCAGAAGCCGTCGAGCTTGCTGAAACAGCAGGGGCTCCTGTCGACCAATCCTTACCGGACGAGACACGCCAGAATTTGGCGCGTCGTCCAACTTTGGGTCTTGCAAAGAAGATTAGCCAGTACCTCGAGGAAGTTTCTTCGAAAGCGACCGAGCCAGATCCCACATCGAACAGCGAATCGCCGAGTTCGAAACCATCTTCGCCCAAGTCGCCGTACCCTCAGGACCAGAAGGAGAAGGAAGTCGAGACAGTTCGCTGTCAGGGTCCCTGTAGCGCTGATGATTTGCTCGTCCTACCACCCGAACCGGTCGCGGAGCCCATGTACGACAAAAGGCCAAAACTGGTACGAAGCAGAACATCAATTGAGGCGAGCCCGAGTTCCCCTGGAGCAAAGAGCCTCTTTCTCTCACCTCCTCAAATCGGACCTCGGACCACTTCTGCAAGACCCGATGACGAGAGCCGACCTCATATGCCACTGCCCACACCTGCCATTCAGTTGAATAGCGACAAGCTGAAGGTTCACTTCGAGGAAGACAAGGAGCCGCTGCTCTCAACACCCCGATCGGGTCATGAAAGACACTTCAGCGATATGTTTGGAGTCCCTTCCCGACATGTGAGCATCAACATGGCGCATCCAGCGGCATCCCCAGATTACAAGATCGACCTCAAGGGTGCACGCCATGTCGATATAGCTAAGAGCCCAGACGACTTGAACGTTCACAGTACTTGTCATCATGCTCCTGTAGCACGAAACTGGCCGGGCTCGCGGAAGCGTTTCGCTGCATGGATGAGCTGCATCAACACCGCCTGCATCGGTATACTCCTCGGCATATATGCAGGAGAAGTACCCGCAATCCAATACGTGATTGTCGACGTCAACCGACAGGTAATCCTTGGGAATGTGTGCCTTTACATCGGCTTGGCCATTTCCACCTTGATCTTCTGGCCCCTGCCTCTCCTGCACGGAAGGAAACTGTACACGCTCGTTTCCCTGGCATCAGCATTGTGCTTACAGATACCTCAGGGGATCATGGTACTCTCTTTCAGAGATCCGCACGTAGGGCGGTACCGCATCGTACTGCTTTTGTCCCGTGGTATATCGGGCTTTGCTCTCGGATTTGCCAACATCAATAATTTCGCGACGTTGTTGGATGTCTTTGGCGCGTCCCTGCAGAGTGACGAGTCGCAGGAACAAGGCAACCCGTACGATGTTCGCAGACATGGTGGAGGGATGGGGTTGTGGCTAGGATTCTGGTCCTCCTGCTCTCTTGGCACAATCAGTATTGGCTTCTTGTTAGGGGCGACTATCATCAACGGCACGTCTGTGGACTGGGGCTTCTGGGTTTCGTCGCTGCTGCTGATGCTTGTAACCCTGCTCAACGTCATGGCACCGGAAGTGCGTCGATCTGCCTTCCGTCGAACCATTGCGGAGATCACTGGAGAAGGAGGCAGCTTCAGCAGGGTTGCTCGTGGCGAGATTAAGTTCCATCTCACCGGGAATGGGCCCTACTGGTGGGGCGAGGAGGTTCTTGCAGGTATCCGGTTGAGCTGGCGCATGGTCAAGCAGCCAGGCTTTTTGGTGCTGTCAATCTATGGCGCTTGGGTCTATGCGCAATTCATCCTAGTGATCATGGTCAGTTACGCGCATTGTTGAATATGGCTCTCACTAATATCAGCAGTTGCTGGGCGCCCTGGCCTCGACTCAGTACCGGTTGCACGCAAACGAAGTCGGTGTCTGCGTCTTCTCTCTCGCTCTCGGGTCAGTATCTGCAATACCTTTTCAGACTGGTTCCTGGTTCAGTCGTTCTCGTTACCACCCATCTCGGACCGACAGCATGACATTCCAAAAGGCAATGGTCTGGTCTTCGCATACTGTACGACGATTGTTGTACACACTGTTCCTGCCGCTCACAGCAATCGGATACGCACTCTCCTCCAGAGACCCGCCGTTTCCAATCGCAGTGCCGTGCATTTTTGCGGGTCTTGTTGGTTTCGGCGCGAACCTAGCAATCGCAGAGTGTTTTGCTTTACTGATGGGTACGTTCGATACATCAGACTTGCAACCGGGCATGACTGGTCGTCCGGCTCGAAAATCCATCACGGGGCGCATCCGAGAGCAAAGAACCAACTTTTCCTGCTATCCACGAGTTAGTGCTGGCGTTGCAGTGACTCAGTTCCTCATGTTTGTATTTGGCGCCGTCGCCACAGGAATTGGTGGTCGCGTGGAACGAAGATATGGTGCAGAACAGTCCGCTGGCATCGTCGCTGGTGTTCTGATGGCACTCACGCTTGCTCTCACCGTGGTACTGTACAAATGGAAGAGTGTCCAGATGATTCCTGTTGGTCGGGATCGTACCAGGGAGGAGAGTGCGGAGGGTTGGGAACCTGTAATCCTGGGTCTTCCAAGCGGATTCACCCGCAAGATAAACACACTTGAAGCAGGCACTTACAGCCGGTGGTCAGAGATTCGACGTCGGAACCATTTGACAACGGAGCTTCGAGAGGTTGAAGGGCTCTAGAATTTGTGCAGGGTGTGTTGAGGTAACTCAACCAACGAATGTCGCTTTAGATCGTGCTTCTTTTGGACACTATCGTTCAATGCCGCAGGCGCCCGGCCGCATGGTTACGCGAACAGGGGTTTAGTTCAGAGTTCTGGTGAACTATGCAAATGTCCTGCGATCGTTCCGTGCTCTTCAGTTGTTCTGGTCCACATGTAGCTTTGTCAGCGGCTAGTCCATGAGAGGGAGATAGAAGTCAGCGCACGCCGCAATCCTACAGCAGCAAGCGGTTACACCAGATGATTCAGCATGCATTTGGGGCGCAGTAGTTGGCCTTTCTGTCGATTAACTCGGCAAAACATTGGCGATGTTGAGAGTTTTTCCGCAGATGTGCAGGGCGCCATTATGGATGGCCGTACTCGCACGCGCAAATCATATCTGTTGGGAGAGCGCGAATCCCCAAGGCACCCGGCAATCTCGTGGTTTAAATCCGCGCTGGCTGTTGCTTGTTTTCTGGGCACCTCGATTGGGAGAGCACGGGCTTATGCGGGGCGCGAGCGGGTGCGATGTCATAGTTCGGCAATGGGATGCCCATCCCATCCGTGTTGTCATCACGGGCTCCGCTTTCTGCTTCGACTGAAAGCTTTACCACGCTGCAATGTTGCGGCCGTGAAGCATCATAGACACTCTTTTCCCATTACATCCATTGGCAACTTTCTGTTACGCACCTAAGTCGATCAACTCCAGGCTTGGATAAAACTCGAATTCCCTTCGTTTGCGCCTCTCTTCCAATCGTACAACCTCAACCTTGCGTATCGTTCACCCGTCGCTCGTGTGACTCTTACCCTCGCTTCTGTCCCACCAGCGGATTTGGCTCCGGGTCCGTCACCTCACTGTCGGCTTACTGTGTGCACGAGGATCCTACCGCACGGTTCCCCTTACACAGCGCCACGGAGTAGAACGGCGGCCGCCTGCCGTCGTCGACCGCGAGCCCCAACGAGCCTCCCAGGCAGTACAAACAGCCCAATATCTGGGTCAAGGAGCAAGAGCAACAATTTTAGCAGCTTGCAATCATGGACATCGTCGATCGAGAGATGGAGAGGGCGGAGGTCCAGGCCACGCGACAATGGTCCCACGAGAGCAAGGAGCGCCGGTCATTGCGCAGTCAAAGATCTCAACGATCAATAGGATCCAGCTCGTCTACATCCAGTACCGACTCGACGCCTGATATGGATAGGATAGCTACGGCGGGCACCTCAAGTGCGAATATGCCTCCATATCGGGCTGCAAGGACAAGGACACATCCAATTGAAGACCTTAGAACGGAAACACATCGTTTGCAGCATATCCAGACAGTGGGTGCTAGTGTGAAGTCAAAGACGGACACGAGGCCTTTGCCTGAGTTTGGAGGTGGTAAACCATATCCGCCGGATCTCCCACCACAGGAGGCGTACGTAGTCGAGTTCGATGGGAAAGATGACCCTCTACATCCTCAAAATTGGCCATTGAAGAGAAAGTGAGTGGACCGAAGAGATAATGGGATTGGCTAAGCGCTAACCGTATCACAGATTCTACATGGGCGCGATTCTGGCATACGTGTGTCTGTGCAGTACCTTCACCTCCTCCATCTTTTCCGCCTCTACCTACAGCGTAGCGGCCCACTTCGGAGTTTCTGCTGAGGTAGCCACCTTGAGCACGTCTCTGTATGTACTGGGATATGCATTTGGACCTCTGATTTGGGGACCTTTCTCAGAATTGCAAGGTACGGTCTCTCAGATCCGTCACAAAGGGGCTTGCTGACAAGCGGTATTCAGGCCGAAAACTACCAATCATGATCGCAATGTTTGGCTTTTCCGTCTTCTGCTTCGGTTGCGCGGCAGCAAAGGATCTTCAGACAGTCATGATCTGCCGGTTCTTCACGGGCTTCTTCGGATCATGCCCGTTGGCCGTGGTTGCTGCCGTGTTCGCCGACATGTTTGACAATACTCAGAGAGGCACCGCCATTGTGATATTTTCTTCAATGGTCTTCATGGGTCCCATGCTTGGCCCTTTCATCGGAGGCTTCATCAACAAATCATCAGCCCTAGGATGGCGCTGGAACTTGTATATTCCAGGCATTATGGGCTCAGTGGCAGTCGTTCTGCACGCCGTTTTCATTCATGAATCCTATGCGCCCGTTGTCTTGGTCAATAAGGCCGCCGAACTACGTCGTCGAACGAAGAACTGGGGCATTCATGCGAAACAAGAGGAAGTCGAAGTGGACTTTGGGGAACTGGTGACTAAGAATTTTTCCCGCCCCCTCCGACTTCTCATCTCTGAACCCATTATTCTGGCCATCACATGCTACATGTCCTTCATCTACGGTCTGCTGTACTGCTTCTTGACGGCGTACCCGCTGGTCTTTCAGGGTGTCCATCATATTACACCCGGTGTGGCAGGTCTCCCTTTCTTTGGGATGGTCTGTGGTATCTTTATAGTGGCGGGCTATATCATTTGGGACTCGAAGAACTACAACAAAAAGCTTGCAGCGAACGGAGGGATCCCCGTGCCGGAATGGCGACTCCCACCCGTCATGATTGGCGGCGTCTTATTCGCAGCGGGTCTATTTTGGTTTGGCTGGACCGGGTACAAGGAGTCAATCCACTGGATTGTCCCTACTCTGTCTGGTCTATTTACAGGCTTCGGGCTGTTGGCCATCTTCATCTGCTGCTTCAACTACTTGATCGACTCCTATCTCATGTTGTAAGTTTGACCCCGTTCTTCCCTGTGGTATCAATTAACTCTGTTCCAGCGCGGCCTCCGCCATCGCAGCAAACACGTTCCTTCGATCGTGCCTCGCCGCCGGCTTCCCACTATTTTCCCGACAGATGTTCAACAACCTCGGAATCGAATGGGCAGGGACACTTCTTGGCTGTATTGCTGCGCTCTGTGTTCCGATTCCGGTCTTGTTTTACTTCTTTGGCAAAAGGCTCCGACAGAAATCCAAGTTCGCCCCTACCATGCAGATTAAGAAACCCGTGGACGAGGAGAACACCAGCGATGACAGCGACCACGAAGCAAATATGGCCGCGCTGCATGCAACAAGGAGTCGGGCACACCATGATCTGGAGGTCCGAAGCAGGAGAAGTCGAACGAACGGGAGCTTGGCGACTACGCCCAGCAATCCCGCAGCGGCGGACCCAGAGAAGAGTTCATAGCATGAAACAGCAGCTGATGATATGCAGCCAGCGAGTGGAGATAATCCAGATGCTGCCGGTTGGAGTCTTGCAACCTCGACTTCAACAGGTCAGAACGACGCGGACGCGAGTAGATTGTCTTCTGCCACAGCCGTTGCCCGCTGAGCTCCAGCCTTGCATGATGAGATTGTGGATAGGTAAAGCTAGTGTAGCAGCTTGCAGTGTCTATATTCTTTCACGGTTGAAAATAGAGACCATTCTTCGAGAAGTTCTTTTACTTGCAGCAGCGACAGGCTACCTCCAAGCAAAATCTGACGTCTCACATTTCCCTGTTTTGTTCGTCGGTGCAGGAATTGCCACGAAATTTGACCGAGTGAGCCAAATATAAAAAGATGAGATCCGGAAATATATAATCTCGATCTGCTATGGTGTACCACAGTAGCGGCCTCTCTCTCTATTCGCGCTCATTCTTATGTTTTCGAGAAGTCACTTCTATGACAGGGAGAATGCAGTTTGCTTGAAAGGTGGACTCAATCTATCCAGGGCATCTCTTTCCAGTCACACACAAATTTCGGTGGCCACTGACTTTGGCGTCTCGCCGGTCACAATCTATCTACGCAGTACATTGATATGGACCCCAAACATCAAGGTCGACAGCGACATCGACTATCGAAGGGACGACAAGAAGCTCTGCGGCGTGACCAGCAGTCGGCATCGACAACGAGGATTGGCAGCATGTTCGGTAGGAGACGGAGGATCACAGACCAGCAACTGCCGAAGCGCGACGAGGAAGGAGCCTCGCACGGCTCCACATTGTGGCTCTCGGATCGATCACAACTCAGCAGACGCTCAGCGTAGGGTGAGGCCCGGGCACGCAGCGCGAGATGCTGTCGCTTGCTTTATCCTCGATGCCCAGCACTTTCTTCCCTCGCTTGACGCAACCATGATGCTTACGACATCATCACCAACCACAAATGACAAATCGCGGAACTGGCTCCAGCCTCGCCGATGCGCTCCACCTGTAATGAGCCCCGGCTGTGGTACAACCCAAGTTCGAGAATCATCTGCGACAGTCTATTCGATCATGCCAGACATCGGCCACATTTGACCCGCATATCGCTGCCATCTACATTGCACTATAATTCGATTTCGATAGACATTGAAAAATTCGGCAGAAAAAATGCGTTTGCCAGCGCCTCAGACGTACAAATACTTAAGATCCCGATCTGCGCATCTCACCTGCACCTCACTCTCACCTCTTTCACGACCCTTGACAAAATCAACAACACCACTCGCCAGCGTACAGACGAACATTCCACAAACCCGTCAATTCACGTCATCAACCAGCAAGATGTCGTCAGACAGTTTCTTCGACGCCGTCAAGTCGCGCCGCACATATTATCAGCTCTCTGGTGAATCTCCCATCTCAGACAAGAGGATTCACGAGATTGTTGACGCTGCCGTCACACACGTGCCCAGCTCTTTCAACTCGCAATCCACCCGCGTGGTTGTCCTGTTGAATGAAGAGCACAAGAAATTGTGGGGCGATATCGTCATCCCCATCATTAAATCCGTCGCACCTCCAGAGGCATGGCCAACGTCCGAGCAGAAGCTCAATGGCTTCAAGGCGGGTTATGGCACAATCCTGTTCTACGAAGAGCCAAAGGACGTCGCCAAGTTGCAGGAACAATATCCGCTATATGCCGATAAGTTCCCGCAATGGAGCGAGCACACCAACGCCATGCACCAGTATGTCTGTAAGTATTCATCCCCAACCGTTTGACGGGCGTCGTTCTATGATACCGCTGCCCATCCGTGGTCGAGAAGGATGCTGACTAAGCGTCATAGTGTGGACTGCTCTTGAGAAGGAAGGCTTCGGCGCCAACCTGCAACATTACAACCCCTTGATCGACGAGAAGATTGCCTCGACCTGGAACGTCCCGCAGAACTGGAGCTTGAAGGCTCAACTGGTATTCGGCAAGCCTGCCGCCGACACCTACCCCAAGACCTTCAAGCCTCTAGAGGAGAGAGTCTTCATTCACGGTGCCAAGGAGTAGATGTCAACTAGCTTTCGGTGATATCTGTCCAGGCCACGCTTTGCAGGGTGTTCGGTACCGTGTAGGGAAACAAAGAAAGATAGGGATGTAAAGTAGCTGGGTCCAAGAGATGAACTACCGGTTATAAAGATCCCATGATTATGCCAACACTCTTTGTCACCTCGTCAAGCACCTCATGAAGAAGTTAGACAGATCGCTCTCTTCTCGACTTTGCGATATCATGCCTGCGTCTCTGCACACGCACCGTCTTTGCTGATGATATTTAGATACACCGTTCTTACAGCCCTGGAACTTCCTGCGGAGTCAAAAACACAGACCTATCGAGCGGCCCAGGCATGCCAGGATCCTTGGCAGAAATTCCGAAGGCGGTCGTCTTCCTGTCAGCTACTGGATCCCGATGTCCTCAAAGCGGTTGTCTTTTGCAGAGCTTTCAGCAGATACAAGGGATCAGAACGTAAGTTGAAACAGATCGATTACCGTCCTATCCTACCCGGACTGGAGTCATGTCTATGAATACACCCCTGTCCTCTGGAGCCTCGCATCTCGCGTAAGTCTTCTGGGATGGATTCCTGCCCTAGCGCCTTGGCCATGCTGGTACAAACACTGCTTATCCCAATGACTTCACCTTCACCATTCCTGACTCCTCAGTATCCACCCAGTCGTAAGAAGGCAGGTCCCAATGTACCCCCGGCCCCATGGCAAGCAGCTTGTACATCTTCGTCTTGCTGCAGAACCACAATACCGAGTCCCGGGTCCAGATACCCCAATTAGTCTGCGGGAACATGATCTGAGGAAACCCGGGAATCAAGTCATCCATCTTTGCGTAGATGGGACGAAAGACCTCTTCGTATCTCTCCAGCGCCCGAGGTATATCTGCACTGCTCTGAATCTTCGCCAGTTCGCCAGCGAGGATGTAAGCGCCCCCAATGGCCAGCGTGGTCCCAGCCCCAAAAGTCGCCCAGGCCGTGTCGCCAAGCAACACGCCCCGCCCGTTCGTCCATTTCGGCAGCTTGACCTGCACGGCGCCGGACGCGTAGAAGTCGTCCGCGCGGTCCATGCCCTCCATCACACGCTCGGCCTCCCACCCGCAACCGTCAAAGTACCTGTGCAGCATCTTCTTGGTCTCCGCCACGCCCTCGTCCATGGCGGCGTCGATTTCGGGCGAGCGGACCCCGCGCTGCGGCATCGTGATGGACAAGTACGCGCCCATGGTGGCCGGGTTCCGGTGCGGGCGGATCATCATGGACAACCCCTTGGGCAGGCTGTAGATCTGCCACATTCGCGAATCGTTGGGGAGGCTGGAGATGCTGAAAAACGCAGTATACATGCCCAGGAAGTTGAACGAGGCGCCCTTGGACTTTTCAAATTCCGTGTTGGTATCGTCTTGCTTGTCCTTGGTCACAGACTGGTTTACCTTTGCGTCACTGCCATAATGTAGTTGTTGACGCTTATGCTTGACTGATTGCGCATTCATAATCATCGGCCGCGTCCTCGACGCGGCCCCGTCCGCCGCGACGATTACATCAAAGATATCTTCCTCCCCGCTGGCAAATTTCACCCTGACGCAACTCTCGTCGCTGGTTTGGTCCACCGACGCGATACTGTCGCCGTACTTGTACCGGATATTGTCGAACGGTTTCGTCGCGTCGAGAAACAGTTCCGACAAGTCCGCTCTCAAGATCTCGTACTCGGCCGTGAACGTCTCGCCGGCGTCGAACTGCACGACGGGTTTTCCCGCGGAGTTCAAAAACACGGTCCCTTGCTCGGTGGTGTAGCGCGCGCGGATGGCCTCGAGCAGCTGCATGCGCCTGACGATTTCGATGGCCGGGCCGTGGATGTCGATCGCCTGGCCCGTGACTCTGGGCGTGGGTGAGCGTTCGACGACCGTGATGGATGTGCGCAGCCGTGTCCGGGCGAGCCAGTATGCGAAACACGGGCCCGCGATGCCGGCTCCGGAGACGAGCACCTTCAGCTGTGCCGCGGCGGACATAGTGGCTGGGCGGGTGTTTCCTAGCTAGTTTTCTGAAAGAGTATGTCTGCGGCGATATCAATCGGACCCTTGGTAATTATTGGGCTTCTGTTAGATTCGAAAGCCAAGTGCGTATAGAAAGCGAGCCGATGATGACTGATGATATGTGGTTCAAGAGGGCGCGCCGAGCCATCTATATACATGAGAAGAACAACGGGACAGTGGAGGGAAGGGAGCACTGTATCTTGGCTCGCGGCACCCACGCGACACAGGGCAAAGGTCCGGACTCACTATCGTCACATGCGCCCATGCCATGTTCCCGCTGTCAACGGCGTCATTGAATATGCTTTTCCGGCTTTACTTACCGTTCAGGCGGCGCTTCAAGTTCTGCGTGGCGCGCATCCACTGCCGTCTCTGCGTTTCTGCGTAGACACCAAAGGGTACCGTAAGAGGTAAGGCGTCGGGCTGTCGCGAACTCGGCCGGCGTTGATACTCGGACCCGAGCACGACAAAGTGCCATTGGCTCGCTCGCGTGTTAGGCTAATCCACTCCTGCCGTTGTTCAGATTCGCATCTGATCGAGACACGTTTTCGGGACCTTGTCGTACAATAATTAGTCCTGGATCTGGTTTAAGATTGCTCGGGCTGCTCGGGCGCTTCGTGCTCGAGAAGGCTTGAATTCAGCTCCGGACACTACAATGTCATCGCCAGCGATGTTGCTGTTGCGGACAAAGTCCACCTTCGCTGCGGCCGCGACTGTGAGTGGAAAGTCAAGCCTGGAGCCGAACACTGGCATCCAGGTGCTGGAACAGTACAATGCGGTGCAGTCGAGCCCTTGACCACGTGCCTGTCGCTTGCGGATCCACCCGACACTTTTGAAGCTGGATATGATGCCTTGAGGATGAGAAATTCTGCCTTGAGACACGACCTCTGTGCCGAAGATGCGCCGACATGCTATCGACTCTGCAAAATAGTTCATCCGTTGCCGCCGTCGTTGTCCTTCACTGGTGAGCATGCGGAGTCCATACCATTTCATGCTCCGACGAGAACCAGGCCACAACGTTGATGTCAACTGATAATATACGAGGGAGCTTCGGCAAGTTGCCCGCCAACGTCGATCGTCGTGCGTTCGCCGGCTCACCGGATCTTGAGCCGACTGAAGCGGGGTCTTCGATCCGCGGGGGCGACCCGTCAGAGATGAGGAGATTCACATATATTCCATCTCCCATGATGAGCACATGCATCGCTACGATACCCAACGAGTTCTACATATCCAAGACTTAAGCGAACACACGCGACAGCCATGGTTCTCACGACCTCACACCATCAGTACCCACCCTTTGCTGAAGGAGTGACAACCGCACCACTGGTCTCGATTTCCCTTAGTAAGCTCGAAACCAACGATGATGTCGAGTCGCGTACCTTCTTCAAGGCTTCGAAAGAGCTCGGCTTCTTCTACCTGAGCATGGAAGGTTCCTCACTGGGCGAAAAGCTGGTATCACAAGCCGAACAACTGCACCGTCTACAAAAGGAGTTTCACAACCTTCCCGATGCGGAGAAGGACAAAGTTGCTCGAGAAAAGATCGACCCCTTCTTCGGGTATCGCCATCTAGGTACAACAGAGCTGGAGGATGGCTCAGTGAAGCGAAACGAGACTTATAATGTCAATATGCCCACCTGCCATCTGCTTCGGCTGGCGTCCTTGCTGATTGTCACTCTAGATGCGCAAAGACGACCTCGTCGGCAATTGCACGCCACTTCCGTGCCCGGACCTGATCAAGCGAAACTGGGATCTGTTAGCGAGTTACGCCCGGAATTGCCGAGCCGCCATCGACCTCATGTTCACGCACCTTGAGCGTAACCTGGAGCTACCTATAGGAACCCTCGCGAAATTGCATCGAATTGAGGAGCGATCAGGAGACCACATAAGGTTCAATAGGACAGCGCCGGGAAAATTCAGCGAGGAGAAAGCCAAGCTAGGCGAGCATACTGACTTTGGCTCCCTCACCATTCTCTTCAATTGGCTGGGTGGACTGCAGATCCGACTCCCGGAAACGAACGAATGGGTCTACGTACGCCCTGTTCCTGGCTCGGCGGTAGTCAATCTTGGGGATGCCCTCGTTAGGTTCACGGCCGGGTTGTTGCGATCCAACGTTCATCGCGTCGTCCCTCCACTTCCGCCACAAGACAAGATCGATCGGCACAGCCTGGTGTTCTTCTCCCGACCTGAAGACGCAGTGGTTCTGCGGCGGCTCAAGGGCGGGCTCATCGACAAGCAACCGGAGTCGCAGAAGGAGGAGTTGGAGTTGACGAGTCAGGAGTGGATTTTGCGACGGAGTGTGGGAGATCTGAAGGGAGTCTATACGCATCAAGGCGGTCTCGAGTTGCGCCTGCCTATGGTTCAAGGGAAGGCTTAGGTGATGCGGAGTGGAATTCCTGCGTATTGACTACACATCTAGTATTGACGTCGGTGGCCAATATCTCCTGCGACCGATTCCAATACGGCGCCGCCATCGAATATCATTCCAAAAAGTCGAACCGATCAATACGAACAAACCAGGATCATGGTATTTTCTTTGCGCGAGCGACCGTCCTCTGATGGTGCGGAGGATGTGCTTGCCATGCCAAGTCTTATTGCAGTCCTCCTCCCAACCACATGTAGGTACTGGCACTTACATCTCCCTGTCCATCCAAGCACCTCCATTGAGGCTGACTGAGGATTCCACGTCGCTGATGGGGATCTTGGTGAAATGAAGGACATTCACTTATCACGCAACTGCGTGTCCTTTTCTTCACGTCTACTGCGTGTCCTTTGCTTCACGTCTACTGCATGTCCTTTTCTTCACGTGCACTGCGCGTCGCTTTCTCCAGGCGGATGTCAACACTCTGCTTTCTGCCCTTTCGATTTCATTCAGTCTGCCATACACAACGTCTTCTTGTCTTCCAAGGGCTTTGATCAGCCATGGCATCGACTGAGGCCTCACACCCAACGTCTTTCACAGATCTCCCCAACGAGTGTATCTTGCTCATCGTCGAGGAGCTTGCTGAACCCAACGGTTGGTACTACGATCTCCCCACGGATGTCAAGAATCTCTCTCTTGTGAGTAAGCGCCTGCGTCACCTGTGTGAGCCTGTCCTGTTCAAGGACTACCGGGTGGCCCAGTTGCGATGCCTCGGACCAGCGACAAAGTAGATGCCGGCATATTGAAGGGACTATCCAAGCCGACCTTTTTCTCATCCAGGATAAAGTAAGTGCGCCCTGGTGTCCAGACTGGGATGGGTTAACTAACCGAAAACAGCGCTTTCCAGATCACACTCTTGCAGAACGACTATCCGGACTTCTACAACAGCTTTGTCAAGGCACTCACAAATATGACCCAGCTACGTCAACTAAAGGTCACCTTGGACAATAATGTCATTGTGGCTTCCCGCTTGCGTATGGAGCTCAAGAGAACGGAGGCCAAACTTCCCACAGTCCAGGTCTTACATCTCACCACAGCACCTGACGCTGGCGCCCTCCTCCTGGTCTGTCCCCAATTGACGAGCTTGGTCGCAGACGATATGACGCTGGGTTGGAAGTCGGCATTGAGAGCCATGCCGACGCTACGAAGTCTCCGCCACCTCCAGGTGAGGAAGAATACGACCAATTGGACGGCCCGAGCCATTCGAGGTAGGTTTCCCCGGTTCTGATTGCTTAGGATATCATGCTAACATGAAACAGAGATGGTGCCCTACATCCAAAACGTCCCAGGACTGCACATCGAAGGACGGCTCTACCGAGTTCAACCAAGCGTATGTATACAGCCCCCCAACCGGACTCAACTTCGAATCTGACAAAATACAGACTCTTGCCTCGGAGTTCCAGGATTTATCGCGCCTCTCACTCCTGTCCATCACATCGACACAATGGCGCAAACAAAGTTCCACTTCCGCGACAGAATCCTATGCCGACATGGACCCTGAAGTACGGTGGTATTACTTGCTCCATAGAGACGACAAACATCACGATGATGCGACCGAAGACCCGGCTGAGGTTGCGGCAAAGTTCTTTGCCACGTGTCCACATCTGAAGGTGCTACGCGTCCTTCAACAGCGATGGAGCGAGAATACGATTGTGACCGTGAGGCGGACGGTAGTGTCAAAGCCATTCATCACATCGAGAGTGGGGAGCATTGGAATGGCGTTCCGTCGTCTGATACAGAGTTCATACCCGGACTGGACATGGACGAGCTAGACATGGATGAGCATCATGGACTAGGTGCTGCGCTAGGTGCCACTGACTCTTAGGTGTCGGCGACTCTCAGGTGCTGGCGACTCCGGTGTCCGCTGCTCAAAACTGCTACGGACTGCTGGTGGATATTCGGTTGGATTTCACTGTCCTACGAACTGCTGATGGACATTCAATTGGGCTTCATTGTCAGGGCCGGCGTCCTGTCACGGGAATGCTTTGTCAAAGGAAGGACAACGAAAGACTATTGTCTGAGGGGCGAATGACTGTCAAGTCACTGCTGCGGCTGGGAACACTGCGACTGCTTGTACGTGCTACCACAAAAGGCACTCCTGCTGACTGGATATGCCTGTATTTCCTATCTGGCGAACTTTTTTTCTCAAACAGTCTCCGGGCACGAACGCTCATCTCTTCTTCTCACTGAAGATACCCACCTGAAACCCCAGATCCCTACCCAGACGAGTAGCGACCGCAGTTATGTTGCCTAAAGAGAGTTCTCTCCGAAGCCAAACATATGTACCTGCACCCGCAGCCAGTTCACCACCTCGAGCCGCAGAGCACAAAACCAAGGTCTCCCACGACGGGGTTAAGGATGAATCACCCTCGACTAACATCGTCCCCCACGAAACAATGGAAGGTACAAGTTTCCCCGACTTCCTCTCGCTACCGTCGAGCCTCAGCAGTTTACTGAACGAGCCGAGGGGCGATACTGACACCCAGCTCGAACGCAGCCGTGCCATAGTCATGCTCGCCCTGAGATCGAGCGTGAAGCCCACAGAGGAAGAATGGGCAAATTATCTCTCAGGAGACGACTTCGTTCGACGCATGACTCTTTGCTGGATGCGGTCTCGCGGCGGTACCGAGACGGAGGCGGAAGCGACCCAGGTACACCAGATGATTTGTCCGAAGCGGTTGAGCACTGGGCAAACAATGACCCCTGTTAATAGTCCCCACATATACTTCAGCCTGGCGCTCCTGGGAGTCTCTTATGTGGCTGGTGGGATTGGGCTCTCGAAATGGCTCTTCTCCTGATTGATAAGTGTGAGGCCGGCTAATCTATGGATGCTTGCTGGTGTTTATTTGTGGAGACGAACAGGAGGTGCTAGTTATTGAGGGCGATGGAGGAAGAAGACTTCATCTCAACGTCCTGGGGCTGGCGTTACTCGTATGGAAAGGCTGATTTGTTGGTGTTTGAAGAGACATGTTGTCAACTTTGCTGAAGATCCATGGATTGGTTTCCTGAGGACAATGGGCTTCGGGCAGTAACGGTTGTATCAAGACCAGGAAGCCCACATATGACATAGACGGGCGACAGTACTACTGAGTTGTACACGAAGAAGGCTGCAGAGATTGGGATAGCATGGTCGTGTCGGGAGTGGCATTGGTTCTGTCAATTCCCAAGACTGAAGAAGTGATTGCTGCACTTTCAAGCCTGTCTGGCAGTATCCCAGCAGTTCCATCTAGTGTGCTCCCACCGACAGTCGTCGAAGACAGACAATTGAAGTGAAGACGCCCGATTATTTCCAGTCACTTATCACCCCGGGACGTCCCATGGAAGTGCCCTTCCAAGGCATTGTATCTTCACAGTCAGAGAGAGCGCGTGCCGTGTCGCCCTGCGCTGCGTAAACATTATATCCATCCCGTCTTCCGTCCTGTACATTGACCTGTTTGTCTGGCTCTTCTGCAAATACAGTATCATCCACCTCAATCCCTGCTCTGATATCGTATTCTTTTATACCCCCTTGCCTTCGTCCCCTGTTTCAATACCATACTCCTTTGTTCCATCTTGCGCACTGCAGCCATGCTGAAGATGATACAGCCGGCACTGCCTGATCTGGCGGCGATACCACTCAAACGAACCAAATCCTCGTCCTTCAACAAAGCAGACACAAAGTCACAGCCGATGGTCACTCACAAGGACAAGACCGTTGTCGCATCTCCTGACGGGTCTCCTGCATATCCCCAGAAGTCAAGCTCGAGCACTGCAAGCAGCTCAACGCCACGTCCAAGTCGCAGATCGACGCGTCCAAATCATGGCACCATTTCCCGTCTTCCATCACCCGACGTTGAAAAGGCCAATGGCTCAAGCCATACTACAAACTCACCAGACAGTGCCTTCCACAAGAACATGCAATCTGCAGGCTTCACCATTGTTCGGCGACGATCCACCCAGTCAGCACCAGCACCCCAGCCCAAGCAAAACCTGCAGGAGAAGCGGGCGCAGGCACCAGACCATACCACCGGCTCCGGCTCTAGGTACAACGTCCTTCTAATTGAAGAACTAGGACTAGACGCGGAGGACGTGGTTTCCGAGGGGACAGGGTCTGACACTTCACCACTGCCTGTAATAGAACCAAACAATACGACCGCGACCACAACCAACAAGAAGAAGAACCGGAAGACAAAGAAGCCCAAGAAGCGTCGCGCCGACATTAAGGCGCCTGAGGGTCTATGCGTCGCGGTCGCGTCGGACCGTCATGACAAAGCGTCTGGGCCTTCGACGGCGGTACCTCATCAAGAACAGAATGCAATAGAGGAAGACGAGGGAGAAGAAAAGAAGGACGAGAGAGCAAAGGGCCTTATCAACACCATAACACGGCCAGAGTACCTGTTCCTGATCCTCTGGGTTGTGCTTGCGGAGATTGCCAGGAGGGTGTTCGACGTTCAAATTGGACAAGGTTAAAGAGGATGCATGCAATGGATGATACCGCAAGCCTGTGTGTGTAAATACAGTCAAGCTCCAAGAAACCCACCAACCATTTGCGCCTGTACTGTCGCTACCGGCATGAAATGCTAGCTGGATGAAAGGTCTGGGGCAGACATGGAGAAAGAGGGGCGCGGAAAGTGCTCATCAGAGCTGATCCAGACAGACAACAAGCTCAGCACCTTCCGTTTGTGGATGAAGAGTCATGCCTGCTGGATCTCACGGTCAACTGACTGACTTGGATATGCTAATCGCGGTCGCTGGTCAGAGGCAGGTAGTGTCTTTACCGTGGCAGGGATCAACTACTGCAATCAACAGGTCTTGTGATCTTACGTGTGTAGCGCTGCTAACGTTGTCTACTTGAATATACACTCTCCCTCTGAGCTTTCTTTATCCCTCTACCTGACCCGTTGTCTGTAGGCCTTTTTCTGTGGCTATGACCGCTGTGTCGTTCCTGACTCTTGATACCTTAATAGCTGCCAGGTGAGAACGCACGACAGAGTATACATCACTACTCAAACCCGAAATCAGACATGTCGGTGGGTACCCACGGGATGACAGTGAAATAGACAGGATGAGGTGGTGCCTTGTCTATGACGCTTCTGCTGCCTTTGTTTTTACACAGCAGAGTGACGGACACGCATTCAATGTTCTTTTATTCAACTTCAGCTGGCTTCCAAGGTTCGTAGGGCAGCGTCCACCACACAGACAGCCATGACGTCCGGGAACATATAGACTCGCGGCTCCGGGTTCCTTTTGCTGATCAAACCCGCAAATTCTTCCACCCTTCGAGCTGTGGTTGAGGCACAGCTCTTTCGCGTCTTGGTGCAATGGCGGCAAGACGAAGTCTTTTAGGTACTAAATAGTCAAAGTCACACGGAACCAAGGCGACTTAATGGACCTACAAGCAGCTGCTTCACCAAGCTCTGTGCCCCAGCGGAATAGGAGAGTTACATGCAATTCTGAAATCGGGCGACATATGCTCTCACCTCCGGATATCAGACCAACGAGGTCCGCTTTAGTCGACCTCCACTTCCGTTTCATCAATCCCAACTCAAATGCCATATTTCTCAGTTTGAGTGCAACCGGTACAATTCACCACTCCTGAGCGAGGCTCAAGCGGCTCAAGCGTCTCCCCAAGACGTTCACGGTCAAGAGGATATCAAATGTTCCAACAAATCAGAAGTCAATACTGCTGGAGAATATCGAACGGGACGAATGCTTTACGTCGATGCAACTTACCTAAGCACCAGTGCTGGGCAACTCAGTCAAGTCGATGATACCATGGCTCCATGTGCTGTCTGGCGAGGAAGTGGATGAAGAACACGAAGCCAACCGAGTTGTTGAAGACGTCAACGCCACTGAGGTAGCGGGGCGGCAGCAGGGACTTGGTCAAGCAGCGCCCAGGATCAACAATGACAAGAGATTCAGGGTTGCGACGAAGCGAAAAGAAGGTCACCATCCGGTGCCAATACACAAGGTGAGGCCAGCGCCGTCAGAACGCCGAGCCATCGCCACAGTGAGGCAGTCTGTGGCACGTCCCGGTCCTGGGAAAGCACGGTGGCTTCACCTCCCTGGACTCTAGTTGCCCATTCAGAATGCGCATCCTATTCCGCTCGTACTTGGTAGCTCTGGCCAGTTGCCTCGTCGTTTTATTTCTGATAAATTCAGTGGTGGACATCTTTGGTAACGACAATACCGTGCATAAAGGGCACAAGGCTCCCACGGAAAGGGGCAAGGCTTGGCTGACGACGCACCTGCAACTGCCGAAGACATCGAGGAGACGCGACGAGAATTGTCCTGCAGCGCTCTGCAATAGATATAGGAGGGAAGCCAAAGCCAAATTGTAATCCGCTATCAGTACTAGTAGTCACTCTCACTTATGATGCCGTCCTTGATGCGACACGACATCTCTGGAATCCAGGCTGTAGCCCGCACCTATCCATCTATGCGCGATTGTCCTTTGCCGACAATGATAACAACTTCTTATGAACCCACGCCCTAGTCTGGTCCTTGAAGATAATTGCACCGCTTGTGCCTTTTAGACACCATCTCTACGCCATAATGTGACTTCAAGTTCAAATACCCTGCTGCTCTCGTCCTTCGACGACCTTGAGCTACATACATGCATGGTACGTCTCTCCCGCGCAAATTGCAATCGTTGAGAGCGTGGATGTCAGAGGGTAGTAGGTACAGACTCTAGATTCCGAACCCAGCCTGTCATTGATCCACTCAGAGCCATTGCTCCAATCATCCCCAACATTGCACCGATCCTTAAGTACCGTTCATTCAGAACCTATATTGGCGCCCCACCGCCACCCTGGCTCTGGCTCTGGCATATATCACGATACGGTGGGCAAGGGAATCCTCTTCCAGTCAGCGCAGCTTCCAGTCATCGAAGTCCGACCGTCGCCGAACGCGTGCGATCCCATTCCCGCCACCTGGGGCCTCGCGCTCACACTCATATCGACTGCCGTAACGTGAGATCCTGGGCCGGAACGTCACCAGGGAAGGACATGCTGAGAAAAACGCACGCGCCACGTCCATGCTATCTATCACTGAAATCCCTCGAGCACGGGGATCGAGAGCGCGGTACCGTTCGGGAGGATGGCGTCTCTCCCTTGCGAGTATGGATAGAGACTCGAGTTTTGGGAGACCGGCAAAGTAGGCGGCGTAGTCCTGCGTGCGCTTTATTAGCATTGAAACTTTGAAAGGGCAAAACAGGCGAGATCCCCGGGACAAGTCTCGGTACTCACCATGATCCGACATGCGTCCACCGTGCCTGCAATGCTCAGGTCGGTGATGTCCTGGATGTAAGGGATGATCTCTGGGATCCACGAGTCAATGATTTCTCTGTCTTGATACTTCTGTGAGAAGTCATACCTTCCGCGCGCTCAAGCTCGCAGTTGTCACCAAAAGTCGACATCGAGCCGGCGCAGGGTCTTGACGGATGGCAAGACTTGAAACATTTTCTCCCGCGTGTCGCCCATGTATGAGTCTGACAGCTTAAGTAACTCGACGGAAGGACACGCCATGACGATTTCGGGCACATCTGGAGCTCTCACTAGTTCGAGGATCTGGATCGATGGGAACCAGGCTCCTGACGTGCTGAGCGATGTGTCCAGCTTGGAGCCCAGGACAACAGCATCGTCATTGTTCAGAACGAGGCTGAGCTCGGAAAGGCTTGTCATTGCCGCCAGCACCCCGACAAAGCTATCACAGAAGGCTTGGTCAGACAGCTGAGTGCTGTTCAAGAGATGGATAGTCAGGGTCCTGAGCTGGGTTAGTATGGGTGGATTCATGACATCGAGAGGGTCGCAAAGCCGCTTACCATAACGACGTCGTCACAAAGGGTGCCTTCAAAAGAGCTCTGAACGTCTCAAGCGATGGTTCCGGGCGCTTTTCAAGGTAAAGATTATAGATCGGAAACAGCAGAGGAATGCAGAGCTCGCGGAGGTGTCTGTTGACGCAGGACAGGTTCTTGATGTTCTTGGTGCTATCATCAGGACTTCCGCCTTCGATCTTGACGACTTCGTCAATGATGAGCCGGAGACAATCCCCAGGGAGGTCTTCGAACGTGGTCGACAACGGTTCTGCGATACGATCCATGGTATCGATTCTTATCTGCTGAGCATGAAGAGGATGGAGTGCTGATCCCGGCGCGGCCGATACCTATATATAATCGTCCAAGGGAGTAGCATACGGAGTGACCAGGCAGGCAGTACGCATTCACGGCCACTGGGCGTCGCTGTCACTGCCACTGCCGCCACTGTCACCATGTGTTTGTGTTGGTACTGTCATGCTCGCCAGTGGCTTGGTCATGGACGCAGTTGCATGTGAAGCTTCGTGCCGCAAGGACTTCATTGTTCTTCCTCGGTGTCACCCGCGAGGCTCAGTGAGGGAAAAGAACAGTTGTTGAGGTTCAGTCAGGGAAAAGAACAGTTGTTGAGGTTCAATGAGGGAACAGAACAGTCGTTAAAGGCTTCCGACGAGACAGAGCTGCCTTATATCAGCTTAGAACGACAAACACTAACAAACTCTCACTCACAAATACCTACCGACAAACTCTCACCAACAAACACCAACCCACGATTGCTTTCCGCCAAGAGCTAGAACAAAGGACTCTTCTGAAGGAGTATTCACGTGGAAAACAGATAGGAACATCGATCAGTTAGAGGAAAGGGGCAGATGTGCTGTCATTCTTCTGTCTGAAGACCACATTCCACATCAGTGGTCAAAGTACAACCATAAAAGATCCGGCGATGTGACAATTGACCTCGATCCAATCAAGGTTCGAATAGAAAGAAGGCCACCGACACTGCCTTTTAGTCACGGAGAACTTGGTACTTGCCAGTCGTGGACAATCCAAACCGTGCTAAGCTCTGATTCTGCGTGGCTATCCCAGGTTCGTGGTGTCCCGTCTCCTGCGCACATCTCCTTCTCGGGCCTAACACAGCGCATGATTGAAGGCAAACAGGCCAACAATGGTGCGTCTTCATGGATGTGAGGTGCTGAGTTGTCTTGGGAGGGAATGAAATCCTTGTCAAGCGGGCAGCTGCTGGTGTGCTGAGCATCCAGACGACGGTCGCTTGACCAACCACCAACATCATCATCCCACTAGCTCCATCACATTGCTCGAAAACAGTCAAGGTCCTTCTCAAATCACGCGGGGGACTGAACAGCAGCATCGTCCTTTTTGATCACACCACTGAACCGTCCGGTACCCCCTTCGAACATGCCATCCTCAACCGCAGCCCACCTACTCAAATCATCGCCCCAGCCAAAATTCATCTGCCAGGCCTCTTCGAGAACGCGCTTCTCAATCGGATGGACACACTGAGTCAGTGTTCCCAGCCAAGGAAATCCATCGCTGCTGATCATGATCCGATTTGTCTTGTCGTGAAGTTCGCTCACATAGGGAACGCGCTCACGTAGGCGACCGTCAGCGTTGGCGTTAGAGGTTGCGACCAAGCCGCTGAAACGAGCCCTACGAACCTGAAGGCCGGGGTCCATAGGACAATCCCCCTGGATGACAGCCGAGTTCTGGTTGTATGTCGAGGCCCGACCGGCGGGCAGAGAGATCTTAACGTAACCGCAGCTTTTGAGGGTGATCTGTTGAACGTGGCCCCGGAAACATCGCGCTGGTACGGGCTTGTCGTCTTTGTCGAGTAAGCCAGCTTCATACTTGTATTCACAGAGTGGTTTCCCTGGAGTGAGGGCGTCAAGAGTGCGAGCCCATGCAGCGCCTTTGGGCAGGTTCTCCCGAGGCCAATCCTCTCTTGGATGGAGACACCGGAGGCCGTGAAGTTCGGTGGCTAAAGGCATTTCCAAATTCTCCTCGTGTATGGTGGTCATGCTGACCGAGTCGAGAGTCAAAGAATGAAGACTGCTGTCGCGACTGGCCTCCATGAATCCTTTGAGCATCCACGGGGTGAACCAACAATTCTCGAACTTGAGATCTCTCACGTGATCAAACTTGAGCAGAGATGGGGCCGTCTTGCTGGTATGTTTGAGCAGCCATGCGTCCGGATCGTCAACGACGGGAGCGGGCAAGACATGCTGATTGCGGGCGTACATGCCCACGCCATGTTCGCCACCACCGACATAGCCAATACTCAGGCTGTGCAGGTTTTCAAGCTTCGTGATATACCGCCTCAAGAAGTTGGTGAATCGCTCAGCAGCCTGTGCGGGAGGGATAGGCATGTTGTGCATAAAGGCCTTGTCGCCGATGACATGTTCTTGGTGCCAGTCGGGACTGAGGTAGATCTCCAGCCGCTTTAGTCCAGACAACGACTTCCAGAACTCTTGCTGCTCTAGAGACGGCAGCAAGCCTGAGGACAACTTGCTGATGCGGAGAGTGTGAACATGGCGGAAGTTGTTCTTGTTCGTGATGATGGCTGTGGTGTATGCGCCCAGAAACGCTCGCTGGGCCCACACAGTTTCCATCAGCCATTGAGCCTGTGCTTCGCTGAGTATCCCTGGAGTAAGCGGCGATACAAAAGGGTTCGCGATTTTGCTTTGGATGAATGACAGATGACCACCGTGCTCCGCAGCAAGATTGTGGCCGTTAAAGATCACAGGCCATTGGGGCAACTTGCGGTTGGCACTTTTGGCATGGTTCAGAGCCCGAGGGTGACTCTCAGCTGCACCCGGATGCCAATTCAGGAGATTCTCCATTGCTGCATCAGTCGGATCCACTTGTGGTTGGGCGGCGGCTGCTGGGTCGAGGTCGACGAAGGTGGCGACACCTCCCGTATGGCACTCTGGGTCGAAATCATACTGTTCGCGCTGACATGTGAAGCTTTTCATGTCCCGGACCTTGAGCCCATCTAAGAAGCGGACCTCTTTAGCATCGGACATCGGTGCTGGCTGCCTGGCGAGAATAGATTTGAGTGTCGTGTTGATGGTGTTCTGTTGGCCCCATCGAAATAGCTCGTTGCGCGCAAAGGTGGTCCACACATCTTCGGTTTTGAAGGTCTTGCCGAATACTTTGCCGCCTTCGTTGATTCGTTTGTCAAAGAGGGCCATGTCGGAGATGTCGGGACCCTCAATCCAGCCATGGCCGCTATCCATGCACAAGCCAAGCTCCGAGGCATGGGTGATTTTAGCGAGAGCCTGTTTGAGGAGAGGGCGATTGTTGTCAACTAGATCTTCGATAGCTTGCAACTCTGGGAAGCGAGGATAGTTCTCGGTGGGCCAAACGAACTTTCCGAACCAAGCATCCTGTTCCTTCTCGATGATCTTTGCGCTCGCGTACGCCAGACCTTGCAGGTTGTATTCAAAAGAGACACCAAAACGATTAATGCTAGGACCATGAGTGTTGAATATTGTGTCGTTGAAGAAATTCTGGTCAAATTTGACCACGACATTTCTGAGCTGGACCGGCGCCAATATTTGGGCATGCAATCTGCTGACGAGACGGAGGTTCTTGACGTCTTGGGTTGAGAGGAATTGAGAGATTGCAGTCCACAAAATCTCGTCGATCAACCAGATTGCAGCAGGTTCGCTCAAGGGTACGGACTCATTTTGAGGCGGTCTAGATATGCCGGGTTTCGGAGGGTTTGCAGGTATACCGGAAGTATTTGAGGGCTCCCAGAGGCGTGGATATTGCTTTGCACAAGTCGCCGCGTACTCCTCTTTCTTATTTGGCTTGCTAGACAGTCTGAATCTAGATCTGCCGCTGGAAGGCTGTGCTTCGTGCCCAGGATCCGATGATTGAGGGCGCTTGGCCCGGGCGATTTTGTCGAGGAAGCTCTTTTTGTCCTTTGACGGGATACTTTCAGGAATGATCTTAGCATAATTGAAAGAAAACCTAGATCTGCGCTGCTGCTCGTCCACACCAGCAGGGGTGCTGGGATCGCCTTCTATAGCGTCTTCGGGAAGAATGGTATCAACATTGTCCACACCGCGCGGAATGGACGCGGTCGACAAGCCCAGAGTCCGTCCTAGAAGGTTACCGCCGACCTTCTTTCGAATAATGATATTTGCAGCGCGAGCCAGGAATCCAGTACGAGGACTGCCATGTTCGGGTAGTCGCGCATGGTCGTCCTGCAGGGTCAAGTCTGACAAGTCGCGCATGCCCGAAGCCACTCCCCCAAAACCCGTGTTTTCAGCAGCCGAAGCGTCAGAGGTGGTCGCACCCTTAGAGAGACCAGGCTTACGCAGCTTTGCGCGCACCGGGCTGGTCGAAGACTCCTGCGTATTGTTTCTAACAGCGTTTCTCTTGTTCTTGGTGTGCTCTTCGAAGGTGGTTGTCCGCGTGGACGGGATGAAGTCGTTCATCTGAAAGGAAGGTTCTGTTGGAAAGACTACCCTACATGGCGGATCGATAGGGCTGAGCGAGGTGAGAGGAGACGAGTCTTTCTGGGACAGACGCAGTGAGCGGCGGGTCCCCGAACCTGAAGCTAACTGACCGCGGTTGGACTGGTCCGACAGTGGAGGAGCTGAAGGCAAGAGAGATGATAGAGTTGAGTCTGGCAAGCCCATGGCGGGTGGGGCAGCAGTCTCTCTCTGTTTTCCCTTGCCGTTAGCCCTAGAAGCCTCACGGTCGCGACTGATCTTGTCCATCTCTTCCCGCATGAACGCGATCAGCGTCTCCGGACTGAAGGCTGTCTGGAACGGATGAAGCGGGGGGACTTCGGTGGCATCTTTGAACAGGGACGACTCCCCTCGTGACTGCCAGGCTGTAGGAAATCGGGATGGAGGTTGACGAAGAGGATCGAGTTCGGTGTTGGGGTTTGTGTTTTGGGCCGGCGAGGCATCAGGTAGAACTTGAGGGTGAAGTGTGACAGGGTTGTCCTCGTCAGAGGAGAAGACGAGATTATTCTCATTGTCGTTGTCGTCGTCGTCTTCCGGCTCGCCGTACAATCGTGCAGCGTGTCGGAGAGTCATGGCTGCACTGTCGGCGCGTTGAATGTATCAAGGCAGAAGCAGAATCTCGAGTTTCTCCAACAAAAAGGCACAGAAAGGCCACTGATGATCGCCCGCCCACTTAGCGCCGGTGGCACTTCGGCACGGATAATAGTGGCTTCGATTAGGAGACCGTCCGCTACCGCGTCGAGCACGTGGCACCGGGGGCCCGTGCTCCAAGCTTGGAGATCCTCCCTGGTTACGCGGATTCAAACAAGCGATAGTCAATTACGAGCTTGCACTCCGTACTCCGTACAATTTTTGCAAGCGCTACCGGAAGGTGAAAACAGCTGCCGAAGTCGAATGTCACGGCGACAAATTTTCGAACGAGGCAGAGTCGCTACAATGTCACGACCTATCTCACTCCAAGCAAATTTCCAAACTTCCCGAAGTAAAGAATCAGTTGCGCCAAGAACGATATGCACTTGATGGCTTCATAAGTAGGCTCTTTGAACTCATCATCCCCAGGTGATTAGCCGAGCCGTGCCAACCCAATGCTGCGTGCTCTGCAACACCGAACTCGGCACCAACGGTTCCGGTGGTATGATCGAGCTTGACCATTATCTAAAGTGAGTAGGTCCGCACTGCAACACCGAAGTGAGACCCTCGGTCGCTTCTATCGAACTTAGGTAACCAAGCTCCGACCAGAGCCAATCTGGCAGCGCATCCAGCTGCTTCAAGAGCTGTCCATTCAAGATGCCGCAAGCATAAACAGCACGTCCCCTGAAGCAACCTGGATCTTGAGATACCTTTTGGACTTCTGGGCTGCCGTTCCCTCGTACGACCCTGCAAACGCTCGGCAAGCCGCCATAGAAAGACGAGGAATGGCATGAGCTCCCGCGTCTCGAGCACCGCAAGCCCGTCTTGATCTTGCTACTTTTGGCGGCCTGGAAAGGCCAGCGTGTATGACTTGATGCTCAAAGCACTCTCAAAGTCGATGGACATGAGCAGTACCTCTGACACTCTGCCACACTCAGATGGCCCTGGGTGGGCTGTTTTTGGCAGGAATTCGCATCTAACAGGGCCGTATTAATTACCTATGTTTGACAGGGCAAGCCTGCGCAGCCCACCTTTATACGTGCGATCCTCAGCCTGATGCCGTCATAGATGTTGAGACGAGGCAAGTTCCTCTCGACCCCTGTCCCTGTCGTCTCCGATGTTCTAACCTCCATTCGTATACCTCGAGGAAGCTAGCTGCGCCTCGTATTCATGTGGAGTTGACTACACTGGATGCTACTGTACACCGACCCGGGACATAAGGCCCATCGTGCCTCCTGCCCATAACGAACCCTCAATGGACACAATATGGATTCTCCACATAGGGCCAGCCAACTTCGGTTCGTAGTCGATTGTCGAGTCTTCCCCGACTCGGTCAATAAACCTCCCACACACCGACCAAGCTCGAAGGGAAGCAACCCTGCTGCATCCTTCTGTCCTTCGTCTTCTGACATATCTCACCAGCGTCATAATCGGACCTACACACACCGGACTGCTAGCGGACCTTCCTGTGTGATGAGGAATTAAGACTATGTCCGCCCGGCTCAGGAGCAGTAGCCGCACCACCGGGCTTTCTGTGCGGGAGAAACACATTGATTACCAACTGGCACGACCGTGGCAAGTATATCATCCCTCTGCTGGCCCTCAGTATTCATCCTCTGTCAATCCCTCCCCCATTCAAGCACTTCATCCTTCATCACCCTCTGTCCACCCACAATGGCCCCCACAAACAAAGCCCTCGTCCTCATGGCGCCCAAGTCGCACACCCAGACCATCTCCCCAGCCCCCTACAGCCACCCTTCCACCAACGAAATCGTGATCAAAACCCACGCCGTAGCAATCAACCCAGTCGACTACGGAGTCCAGCGCATGGGCGTCCTCGTTCCCGAAGACGCATACCCCTGCATCCTGGGCTGCGACGTCGCCGGCGAAGTGGTCGAGCTGGGGGACTCGATGTCTCACTTCAAGAAAGGAGACCGCGTGATCGCGCAGACCGGACCCATTGACACGAAGCACTGGAAAGACACGGACGTGGACAAGGACACGGATACGAGCTCCGACTCTGCTGCCGCCCTCTGGCAAGGCAAGAAGATCTACGCCTACGCCGCGTTCCAAACGTACGTCGTCCTGCGCGGCTCCTTGATCGCGCGCATCCCCGACTCTGTAAACTACGAAGACGCAGTGGTGTTGCCGTTGGGAATCGCGACCGCAGCGTCGTGCCTCTTCCCCGCAACGCTGCTGAACCTGGACTTCCCGCCCCCCGACCGGAATGCCGAACAGAAGGACAAGATCCTTCTGGTGTGGGGCGCCAGCTCCAGCGTCGGATCCAGCGGCGTCCAACTCGCCACGCAGGCAGGATACAGCGTGATAGGCATGTGCTCTCCCCGCAACTTCGACATGGTCACCTCTCTCGGCGCGGTCAAGTGTTTCGACCATGCTTCGCCCAACGTGGTCGACGATGTTGTCTCGTACGTGAAGGGGACAGAACTGAAAGTCGTGGGCGCGTATGACGCGATTTCCACCGCATTGACGGTTCCTCCCTTGTGCGATATTCTGCATCGGTTGGCCACGGACACGGGCAAATCGACCCGGAAGTTCATCGCGGCGGTGTTTCCCGGGGCGGAAGCGCACGCGAAACACGAGGTCGAAGTCATTGTGAATCTGACGCAGGGCATGGAGCAGTTCAACAGCACTACGGCACGGATCGCGCCATGGTTGGAGACAGCTCTGGCGGATGGGAGGATCAAGTGTGCGCCTGAGAAGGACGTCATTGGAGACGGGCTGGAAGTTGTGCAGCCGGCGATGGACAAGCTTGCGGAGGGCAAGGTGTCTGGGCGGAAGTTGGTTGTGAGGTTGTAAATGAGGGTGTTGCGGATGGCGGACGGGGGTAGAGTGGGAACATATATCACAGACATGAATAGACATGAATAGACGCGTCAGTATTATCGACGCTCCCCGAGCCACACGCCAAGGGCTTCACTTCAGCGTGCTTAGAGAATGCGACATCAGTACAATTGAACCATTGATTGAAGAGCTTCGGCCGCTCAGCTTCGCTCATTGACCGCAGGCTATTACGAGACGAGGACGAACTTCACGGAGCCTACACCCAGCTCCTGCGGCTTGTCACTTGAATGTTTTCTTCATTTGTTCATTGTCTTTGTACTGTTGTCACCAAAGCTACAACCAAAGCAATAGCACAGCCAATATCGACTCCAGCAATGAAAACTCACCTCTCAGCCACCTGGGTATCACTATGCATATGACAATTCCAACCAACACCTGTGCAGCCGAATACAGGCCATCGTAACAGTATGTCCCGTGATATGTGATATTTTCATAATCATGTACCAGCCAGCCTGTTTGCGCTGATCGAGCCCTCGCATTCACGTTCCGCAATTCCAATATTATTTACCTGTTTCATTGGAATTTTGTCCTTGAATTTTTCCTAGCTTAAATTCGTGCTCTTGAGACCTGCCCGCCCGCCCTTCCTTGTACTGTCATATCAAGTCTCAAAGAGCATTACTGTCTGCCCGAACAGATTTTCGTGGTCAGCACCGATTGCTTCTGGTTGTCCGTTGACATTGACCATGTTGACGGAAGCCTTGGTAGTTAAGCCGATAAGGGAGATATTCTGCGAACACTGAATATCAACCATATTCTCTTGGCAAGACTCTGTCTCCAGGCATGTCTGGATGTAGTTGTCGAAGAAGCTGTACAGGCCACCGCCATACATATGGACATCGGACGAGTCAACAATTCGCAGACCCCAGGACTTCTTGCAGGACTCGGTTGTGCAGTCTGCAAATGTGGGGTCGGTGAATGACGGGTTAGGTGGGAAACCACCTTGCAGCGCATCTGGTGAAGCTTGCATGTATGGCGTTTCGGTTTGAATAGCACCCATAAAAATGTCGCGGGAGTTGGCAAACTGGTAGTTGTAGAGCTGGTTGTGCTCGGAGGATGTTCCATACAGCCAGACAGGGCCCTGACTCTCGACAAGTAGGCCTCGGCCATTGTAGATATTAGTCTGGTTGTGGGTAGTAATGTCGAGCTCGTGGTCCGCGACCCAGAACCAACAGTTTTCGAAATAGCCTGAGGCCTGTTGAGTGATGTGCATCAGGAGGAATGCACCAGCGCATTCGGGCTTGAACTCAAAGGAACCGGTTATGTTAGCCTGGCACGTATCCTGCTGGAGCTGAGTTCCTGCGGATCCACCAATGCGGAAATTGACATCCCACATTCCAGCAGAGCCCTGAGACTCTTGAGCGACATTCCATTCCATGATAATGGCACCTGGAGCGGGGCCAATGGTCTCAAAGACAAGGTCCGACATCTCGACTGAGCCGATATCGCCAGGTTGACCAATCTGGAAAGCAGGCTTGGGGTTGTTGATGTCTCCGAATGCCGACCCTTGTATCATGATAAGGGGCCAGATTTCACCGGTGATCTTGATATTGGACGGTACTCGAACCGTGTCGGAGATGACGTAGGCACCGTGGTCAAAATACACGATCTGGCCAGGTGTAGCAGAATCCAGGATGTTCTGAATCGCGACAGTGTCGTCTGTGACCCCGTCGCCCTTCGCGCCCTGAGACTTGACACTGACAAAGGATGATACTGGTACATTCTCGTACTGTGGCTTAGAACGCTCAAAGACCTTGCTGCCGTTCATGAGCGATGCCGGCATATTCGGTGCGGTCAACCCTTGCTGAACCCGTGCGGATTGAAGGGCAGCAGGAGAAGCAGAACAGGCAGCTGGAGCGGCTGCGGCCGGCAGGGTGGACCGAGTTGGGGATGCGCTCGCTATCGTGGTGGCGTTAGAAGGCGAGTTGGGAGAGCCACTGATTCCCGAAGGTGGAATGGGTGCAATGGTGAAAGGAGAAGCGGCGCCATCCGGGGTTGGGGCTGCGGTGACAAAGACGGTCGTTGTGGTCAATGCTACGCCGGATGGCGGAGGAACAGCCGAGACGGTGAGGGTGGTTGTGGTTGTGGACGAGAATGACTGTCGCGGAGCTTGGGGAGATGGAGGCTGGGCTTGGGGCTGTCGCTTGACAGGCTGGCCTCCTGAAACGCCAGCAGGAGTATAGGTGTCACCCTGACCCCAAGCAGCGACAAGTTGTCCGCCAGCAAGAATGGGTGTAACGCCATCCGCTCCGACAATGGCATTCTGGGTGCCAGTGAAATCAACATTCTGCAAGGCCATTGTACCGCCAGTCGCAGGTGCGCTGGTCAAGTTGTAGGAGGTCTTGATGCCAACCGGAGTGCCGGTCATGACGCTGTCAAGTAGAATGAGAGAGCCCACGGTCTGGTTGACACCATCCTGGAGATTTGACATATCGATTCCAACATCACAGTTGTTCACACTGACGGATTTGAATGTCCACAGCCAATTCCAGTTCATGAGGATGGCAGTTTCGCAATTGTTGAAAGTCAGATTGCGTGTAGTAAACTGTTGGTTCCCGAGGAACATACCAAACTTGCCTCCATTGAAGGTGAGATCAGACATGAAGCCGCCTGAGCCGTTATCCATAAAAATGCCTTGTTGTTTGTTGGTGGGAGATTTGGGGCGCATGTTGAAGACAATATTCTGCAAGCTGGTCGCCTGCGCAACTTGCCAGTGGATACCAGCACCTTTGTCCTCGGGCATCTGCGATAAGTCGATGATCAAGTTGCGCATCTGGCGGTAGAAGTTGTTCTGATTTGTATAGAATTGTGCGCCATTACCTCCGGGAATGTAAGGATCGGTGTCGAGAACTGCAATCCCTTCGAAGCCAGGCAAGGCAGAGATCGTAGGCAGGTTGACAGCGTCTCCGATGAATTGGGTATAGTACAGCTGAACGATCGGAGCAGAGACGGCGTAGGTACCAGGAGGGAAGTAGATGATTGCCGGCACGGTTGTCGAGCTGTCACAGCCCAGGCCACAGCGGCCTCCATCAGTAATGGCATTGTTGATTGCAACAGTATCGTCATTGGACCCATCACCGACAGCACCGTAGTCCTTGACATTGCGAAAGACCTTGTACGTGGTGTCTGAGCCGTATGCGACCGTGCCTTGACGCTGGATCTGACTTAGCCAGTATGAGGAAGTGGCCTGCCGAGTGTCTAGTTCGAGAGGTTTGGGTCTCGGAGCCGCACTTGCCAGCCAGGGCAGAGCGAGCAGGAGGGAGCTGAAGAGCCTCATATTGAGGTTAGAAGTGTGTTATGCGTCTTGGATTGTCGAAGTTGACGATACCGAGTCGTCGGTCTGGGGTGTGTCAAATTTTGCTGACGGATACTCTGGAAGAGAATGGAGTCGAAGTATAGAAGGAAGAGGCTTTAGTCTTCGAGCGACTAGCACCGAGACAAACAAAGGTTGGGCAGTGATAAAGGCAGTGATACCGGCTGCCTATGTCTTCTGAGCTGATATTGGTAGTGGATTGAAGTTTCGGAGGAAGTTGTCGGCGGAAGAGATGCCTTGTGACCAGCGCGTAGCACGCGACTCCAGAAAGAGACTTTTAGTGATTGCGATGAATGAGGAAAAAGTTGAATAGGGAAACCACGAGCCCAGTCGCGTGGGGTACAGAGTGAGTGAGTTGGAAGTGACGGATCAATGAGAGTCAGAAGAATAGACAACGATCCCAGCTGCTTTCGAGACAAGAAAGTAAACAATGGTTCATCGGCGAATTTTTCAAAGGCGGTCGATGTCGGTCCGGCAGTCGATAGACGCAATGAAAGACTTTTGTGCCAGTTCTTTCTCCTCTCTTCTTCAAACGAATGAGAAAGACAAACAGCTCACGACAACCAGCGTGAGAACGACAAAGAGAAAAACAAGGAACAGGAACTTGATGGTCTTGGAAGTGGAAGAGATGGATGAAGTCAGAGAGAAAGTCACAGCGAGGTGATATGTGCGCTGGCAAGCGTTCGAACCCACAACCGCACAATCGCAGCACAGTGAGGTGAGGTCTGACAAGAACCAGTACGCTTGTTTCCTGGATATGTGGTCGCAATCTCAAGTTGCAATCAGCTTGCACAGAAGACGGACAGGTATACGTACTTGCACAACAGGGACGACCTGTTTGGTGGCTCTCCGACTTCCTTCAATCTCAGCGTCGAGCATCACAGGCATTACCGTAGCGGGCTCTCCACCATCCTTTTTTATCTCCGTCATGCATCGTTAACAAAGAAGAGCAGTCCTATCACCACTACTAGCTGTTTCCAGTCTTTCCCTACCGAGCGCATGCCCTGGATCAGATGTTCCGAGGAAGCTTGTATTTTCGCGCCGCCCCGTTGGGAAGCAGCCGCGTGGCAAGGTCGAGTCAGGAACACGCTGGAAACCGTGGTCTCCAGCTCCTCATTCGTGGGACATTCGCACCCAGAACACACTTTCACCCGGACGCAGCTGGCACAGCCCCACTACATATCCCAAGGATGGTGACGAGAATGAAGGGATGCAAAACAGGAAATATGCTGTGGAAGCGAAGGAAGAGAGTGAAAGAGGACACAGAGTGGGCTTCGGAATACTGCTGAGCTGGCAGCTGCGAAACATCCGATTGGGTGCGTAGTCATCTGCCATGAAACGGCTTCGAAACACCCAAGGTTTGACAAGGAAGCGATCGGGTCACGTTGGTGGCGCATCGAGGCTTGAACTGTGGCTACACGGCAGAATTTAGCCGATCATGCAATACAACCCTGCTCTGTGAAACTTGCGAGAACAAGAGAGCCAGCAAGGCTAGGCCAGATGCTGTGATTAATACCCAGTTGACAAGCAAGGTGGTGGCGACAAGTCATATCGGTGGTCAACACCACCTGCATGTTTCCCATGGGCCATTTCCAGCGCTCATCTGATTTGATCATCTTCCATTTCGCGTCTGATCACACGGGCCAGCCGGATGACGCCTTCCTCGAGCACATCCTCGTCTTCCCATGCATAGCACAGCCGGAGATCTTTCTCAAACCGGGTTTGCTTGTTGTGTTCGTCGCCGTCGACTTTAAATAACGGTCCCGAGATGATTGTTACATTCTCTTCTTCCAATGCCCTCTTGTAGATCCGGGTCGAGTCCACCGACCCTGGCAGAGTCAACCAAATGAAATATCCACCCGCAACATCTCTATCTGCCTGCGGCATGGTCAAACCTAGTGGGAGAAGATGGCCCTTGACTGCTTCCATCATTGTGTGGTACCGCGCCGCGTATGCAGGCTGCAATTCTTTGTAGATGTGGTCAGTTAAGGTACCTGTAGCCAGCATTTGGTAGATGAAGGATGCCACCAGATGCGAAGGAGCTCCTCCTGATCGACTGGAACCTGTCTGGGACATGCCATAAGCCATTGCTGGGGTGCCTTCTGCCCAGCCTGTTCGGCAACCGGGAGCGATAATCTTGCTGAAACTACCATTGCTTATTGCATTCCCAAAATCATCAATCGGCCCACCATCAAGTTCTCGGTCAATGTCCACAATCCGCGGCAATACTGCTCTACGTATCGCACGGTTTCCGTTCTCTGGGTCCGATGGCCACAGTAGCATGTCGTACACATCGTCTGTGACGACCAGGGCATCGTACTTGCGCGCCAGACGTACCAACTGTTGTCTATGGTGTAGGCTCATGATTCGACCCGAAGGATTGGCGAAGGTAGGCACCGCGTAGATGATGTGCTTATAAATCTTCCTCCATGCCTTCGGCGTCTTTATCCTGGGTTGTGTGTTGTCCTCCGCTAATGCTTGTTGCTCACTCTGCTGAAGGCCCTGCTCAAGATACCCGAGGTCGATGCCTTCCTCGTCCTCGGGGACTCCCCTGAGCCGATTGTCGAAGCCAGCGTCGGTGAAAATCCTACATGCCAGATAGTAAGTAGGAGCTACCATCCAGACGTTTCGAGTGTATATGGGATCAGTGAAGGTCTGCAAAATGCAAGCCAAGTTCTGGCTGGCACCCCCACTGATGCATATCCTCTCGCTTGTGATGAGTTTGTTTGAGTTGTAAAATTGATGAAGCCATTTAGCTATCGCTTCCCTCAGTGGTTCGTATCCTTCGTCCGGACCGTAGAACAAGACATCTGTATTTGAAGGGTCAGATAGAATGCGAGAGGAAGCCTGGTCTAACTGTTGAGGCGGCAGAAGACTCGGATGAGGCCACCCTTTGAGGAGATCGATATGCCTCGATTGAGGTATGCTACTGGTATATTTTTTTCGAGGGGCACCTGTCACTGGCGCAAGTCGAGTCATCCTGCGCAAGGAAGCCTGCCGACATGTCAGAGCAGTCAAGGGTGACAGAAGCGCTGGACGGCCGATCCGCATGTATTTCTGCATATACCAGACATATGCTCTTTCCGTATCCGAGTTGTTCACAAATGCACGGTAGGAGTATTGAGTATTCCTTGGGAGATCCGTCGGAAGGAAATTTTCTTGGCCGCTACCTCGCTCCTGCTCCACTAGAATCAAGGTCTTTTGTGGGGGAGTCCAACGCTCGCTAGGCTTGGAGCTTGACTTTAGCGGCAGTGTCGGCCCCTGGAACTAGACGATAACGGGCAAGCTAAGCATGAACTCTGGGCAAGACTGGGGAAAGCGACGTCAGCGAGGGGAAGGGAAGGCTTGGGTGACGCAGGCACAAAATTCCTAAGGGCCACAAGCGAGCGAGGGAGATGAAGATGGCCGGGCCTGCGGTGGACATTCCTTGAGAGTCTTGTGCAACAATCTCCTCGAGTGGTTCTCAAGCATCAACAACAGCACAACTGCATCTCCTGTATTACCTACCACCTACTGTGTATTCATATCCACTGCACCACTACGTGCGGTATCCTTCCTGCCGAACCTCTCGATGCGGCGCAGCATATAACCTGCGCTGGACCGGGGCATTCGAGAGTACGTCGGATATCTAATGCTATATTTAGTCCTCATTGCAAAACCTGGTGACACGATAATGGCACCAAAGTGAGCGTTTCATGGAGCCGCATGAGCCGCTTAACGCTTCGCAGCGCAAATAACATGCTGCAGTAGCCTCTGGCTGCGGGCTGTCTGAGCTTCACACCACGTTGGTTCTTTGAAGTTGGAAAGTCAGAGACATCAGCTACCTGAAAAATCTACGGCAGACACAATGTCGAAAAGACTATCGTCGTTGTTCACTTTGTCGCGGGACAGCGACCAGCATAGTCAGCGCCAGCACCCAGAAGCGACACCTTCAACGACTGCCAGCTCCCCTCCAATCGCGCCCCAGTCACCTCACAAGCTACACAAATCCCGCTTTACCTCATCTTCGCAAATTGATCTCAACGATGGCCTTCCTCCTCTAGCTCCTCCCCCTCGCTTGACAGAATCTGGCTCGGTGCGCCCTCCAAGCAGCCATCGAAGCGGGCCCGACAGTCGACCGACTAGTAGGAATAGCAGTATACATAGTCGAGACGGGAGCAGGAGTCGGCCGCAGACACCCAACTTACTGATACCACCTGGCAATACCCACTCGCCAGGGCTTCCGGCGACATCTCCGGTGGCCAAGATCACCAAGAAGAAGAGTTGGCTTCCAGGAAAATCGGACAAACACAAATTCGAGGATGGTTCAACATCATCTAAGGCTTGGATAGCGGGTATCCGTGATCATATGCCATATGATCTGGCGCCTCTGTCCAAGGGCGAGAGAGTCCCTGACTTGTGGAGTGACCGTGGAGATACTGTTATCTATCTCTACCCACCTTCGTCTGGCAAAGGCCCTTGCTTCCGGATCGACTCGGCCCTCCTTGCTGACTCGTGTTCGCTCATAAATCTGCGCAGGCAGTCTCCTGCCTCTGCGGTTGACCAAAATGGTGACATCCCAGAAATTCAGACACCCCTCTCAGCCCTTTCTGTGGGCCCTGGCCCGATTCGTCCTCCATCTCAGGATTCGACCTCAACCTACCGCACCACCAACTTCTCGGTACCGAACATTGTCGCCTCGTTCACCGAGGAGAAGCATGTCTACCTGCCGCTGGCCTTTGACGCTGACCTGTCTCAGCCGGGATCAGAACCACAAGGCGACGACTTTGAGCTTATCGTACTGTACCGTAACTTCTTTGCCTTCTTTGTCGGAGGAGCCCTGGTGTCGACGCACAGGCAGCTGTCCCTCTTTTCCATCTTCATGGGGATCAGTACCATTCTGAAGCGATTTGGATTCTCAAATACAGACGGCTCCACATGGGGCGATGTGCCTTATAACAGCTTCTCACGGTATTGTGAGGAGCTGAGATTGGCAGATGTACGATCAAGTCGAGAGAAGACGATCGAGGCAATCGTGCTGGGTGAACATCTCAAATCTTGGCCCTTGTACAACGAGGGGTTCTGCCACGCTGTTGGGAGGCTGGCCGATCTCAAATCAATCAAGAGCCCGAAGTATGAAATGATGTCTCCAGTCACCAGGAACCGATTGGAGCGTGCACAGATCGATCTCGAGCAGAGGTTACTGGTGGTCAGAGGCAAGCTGGAGGACTTTGACTTTCCCTCAATGTTTGCGGGAATTGCTAACTCGCAGACTGCTACAGAGGCCAAATTGGTTCGCTTCAAGGAGTGGAAAGCCGCTTTTCTAGATTTCCGGCGCTTCATGCTATCGTATCTGCGGCGGAGATACGGTGCTTGGCCACCCAAGGCATCCTCGAAGAAGAACAACTTTGAAGAAAGCGGCCTGAACCGCATCCTGTTGCGAGAGCTGTACAAGGACCTTACAGACTTGTACGACATCCTCGTCGACCGCTTGTCTTTCACAACCCGTACAGCAGACATGCCGCCCATGGACGAAGACGCAGAGACAAGCGACCAGAATGAAACCATTCAGCATGCCATCAGACGCATCGAAAGCGAGTATGACCGAGCAACTCCGCCAGTCTTGCCTCCAATTCCGTTCGACACGCCTCTGGTTCCACAATTCTCCAACAGTTTCAATCGCCGGCACGTTCTGATGTCTGATAAGTCAGCTGCCTCGAACAAAAAGCTGAAAGAGAATGAAATCAATGAAGTGCTCTTGGGTTCGTACAATCGCGAGTCGATCAATGCAAGCACCTTCATTCAAGACTTCTTCAACTATGAGCGTCAACTGGGAAAGGGAAAAACATTGGCACAGGTCGTAGACGCACGATGCGGGCAGTGGCTTTTCGTCTATGCGGTGCTTCAGGCGCTTCCCATGACTGTGGTGGACGCGAGAGATCTCAAGCATACCGAAGGTGTGGAATACTTCCTCTGCGTGGCGCCGCGGGGAGGTAGGCCGTGGCTGAAAGAGGACCAGTCAGTTTCGCGAGCGTGGTACAACGTGAGCAACGGTGGTGGCTACGTGAGTCTCCCTGCGGACCTAATCGACCATAGCGTGGAGGGAATCTATCGACGCAGTCACTGCTGGACGGAAGCCTCGAAATGGGCCGAACAGTCATCCCAACATGCCCTGGTCGATACGTTCCACCGTGTCGATACGGATGGGTTGCAACCCCGGCCCGTCAGCGCCCATGTGCCGTTGCCGTCTGCCAGCCCTGCGCAATCGCCGTATGCCAGTCCTCTCCATTCCCCAGTTTTGCGGCCAACATCGCCGCCAGGCTCTCCAGGGTCCCGTCCTCTAAGCCGGGATCGATTTTCGGTCAACCTGGGTCTCGAGGCCACAGAGGCTCCGCCGTCGGTGCGCAGCAGCTCAAGACCGCCGCCCATCCTCAATCCGAACATCACTTTCGACGCGATCTTGGGAACCACCGACGAAAAGGCGAAGGGCAAAGGAAAGAAGGGGAAGAAATAGCATTTTCAATGTTGGAAATAATCTTGCGCGCATTGGGTTTGTTTTCTGGAAAATATAGCTGTGAGCCACACGGTTCACCGCCCGGGGGTTTGCTCTACCGTTGAGGGCTGCGGTGAACCATTTCCCTCGAAATGATAAAATTGTCAACCTATCAAAGTTCGTGGGTGACCAGTGACGTCAAGCACAATTGATGCGGAGTTGCACTCAGCGCGTGTTTCAATGCTTCGGAATACCATTGATCACTCTATGCTGACTTGAAGATATCAGTGCTTTGGAGAGGAACGACTTGGGAACTCAGCTTCATGTTGAGGCTCCGGTGCACTAGTTCTTACACTAACATTACAATCTACGCTGGTGAACAGACGAACGTCTACCCCCGCGCTTGTGTCTAACCGGAGACTTCTCACTATGAGTTCAAGCGAAGACGGTTCCGTCAAAAAGCCAGTCAACAGGGAACCTGATGCTGGAAAGCTCACAGAAAGGTAATGACCCTCCTGGACCCGAGATTATCGTGACATTACAGAAGGGAGAAGGAGCCGCTGTAGGAATCTGTTCCAACGGACTGACTGACCTCATCTTTTCCAGCTTCCTAACGCCTTCTGAATCGACATCGCATCCACAGGCTATAGCGTATGAACGCAATCACGGCTCCATCCGACATCTCGACGCCACACAGCACAAGTTGAAAATCAAGGCCGACTCGTCACTAACGTCGAGCGAAATCCTGCCCAACCCCATCGATGTGGTCTTCTCAATGGACGATTTGAAATCCCGCTTCAAATACAGTAGTATCACCGCGGCGTTGCAATGCGCGGGGAACCGTCGTCACGAGATGCGCGAGCGAGTAGCTGAAGTGCAGGGAATCGATTGGGGCGACGGCGCCGTCATGAACGCCGAGTGGGGAGGCGTACTACTACGCGATGTGCTACTTTCGGCCGGGGTGACGGCTCCGTCGCCACCGTCGACACATAACTACCAGCAATACCAGGGAATGCACGTCCAATTCGCCTCCGCGCAAGAAACGCAGGAGGATACATACTACGGCGCTAGCATCCCTCTCTCGACGGCCCTGGATCCGGAAAGACAGTGTCTCCTTGCGACGCATGTGAATGGCAAACCTCTCACGGCAAAACATGGATACCCATTGAGAGTGATTGTCCCGGGGATCATCGGCGCTCGATCCGTCAAGTGGCTCGACTCGATTACCATCTCGGCCGAGCAATCGAGAAATCATTATCAACAGCAAGATTACAAGATCCTGTCCAGGGAGATTGCCCAGCGGATCGAGGCGGCCGAGGACGAGGAAGAGAAGGGACGGATCAAAGAGGAGGCAGAGCCTCTGATGGATAATCCTATCAACTCGGTCGTTGCGGTACCGGGGCAGGACGGGGATGTGCTTCACAGGGATGGTCAGGGAAGGATCTATCTGCGAGGCTATGCGATCCCAAAGGGCAAGGATGGCCCGGTCGTCAAGGTAGAGGTATCCATCGACCGCGGCGGGACGTGGCATGAAGCCTCGATTCTCGATAAAGGGGATGAGAATACCGTGTCTTCCTCCGTGAACAACGGAGACACTACGCAGAGGGGCCAGTTCGCGTGGGTGGTTTGGGAATGCTGCGTTCCTGTTGACGGAAATATGCCGCAGGAGGGAACAAGTATCTGGTCGAAAGCGACGGACAAGGGCGGGAACACCATGGACGTGGAAAAGCCGGAGGGCGAATGGAACTTAAGAGGTGTGGCATTTAATGCTGTTGAAGGAAGGAGAGGCATTAGGATTGAATGAAGCATTGGTGGGACCTGACCATCGGAGGATTTCGCAGCGTCAACGTCGACGTCGACGTCGGCTCTGAAAAGGCCTGGATTACAACTTCGCCCCTTTCTTCTTGCTGTCACGGTCCCAGTACTGGACCTCCTTCCGTGACCGCCAGTCCGCGGGGAACATTGCAGGGCCCAGCATCTTCTTCTGCACCTTCCCCGTGCCGCCCTTGGGTAACTCGCCTTGCACGACTCTCAGTATCGTGGGAAGCTTATACGCCGTCAAGCTGCTTCTCAAGTCCTTGCGGAGTCGCTCGATAGTAACGTCCCGGACCTCCGCGGACGACTTGACGCCAATGATGGCGCCGACCCTCTGGCCAAACTCCTCATCGTCCACACCAACCACTGCGACTTCGTTGACGTAGGGCAATTTTTGACACGCCTTTTCAACGTCAATCGCACTGACCTTGTACCCGCCCGATTTGATGATGTCTACACTCTCCCGTCCGACGACGAAGTAATAGTTCCCCTCTCGTCGGAGGATGTCGCCCGTCTTGAAGAAGCCGTCGCCGTCGTGCGCTTTCAGTGTGGCCTCCACGTCGAACAGGTACTTGCTGAACATGTACGGCGAGCGGACCAACAGTTCGCCGTGATCCCCTTCGGAGAGCCGCACCTCGACGCCTGGCACGGGCAAGCCCACGCAACCCTTGGGTAGATCATCGGGCGCGTTGGCCGGGACTTTTAAACAGCCCGGGAACTCGGTCGCGCCGTATCTCGTCAGAATGGCGCGTCCTCGGCGTAGATCGGTCCAGAACTCCTGCACGTTGTCCTGCAAAGCGGAAGACCCGCACATGATCTCGCGGAACTGGTTCACTGCGTCGTCGTACTGGCGTCGTTCCTGGGGAGGCAACACGGCGATGTGCTTCTCGTAATGCCACTTCAGGCGGAGCAGGATCGTAGGCACGGCTGAGAAAATCGTCAAGGCCCCTTGTAGCCAGCGATTCCAGACCCAGGCGGGGTCAAAGCCCCCACGCTTGAATTCTATACACGCGCCCGCAACCAGGAAGACGAAGAAAGACGTCTGCAACCCTGTGGTGTGATGGACTGGGAGGACATGGAGAAGGACATCATTGTGGGATACGTCGTAGCCCTCGCCGATTGCTAGGGCCGTTTCGTGGACGTAGGAGCGGCGCATTACAGCGCCTTTTGGCAACCCTGTGGTTCCGGAGGTGAAGATGACGACGCCTGCAGCGGTATCGGAGAGGAAATGGGTTGAAGATATGACCATGTCGAAGGCCGTATATTTGGGTTGTTTGGGAAGGTTGGACAAGATCGGGATGACGGGGAGCTTCAGATTTGTGGTGGTCTGGAGATCGTGTTGAATATCGCGCCCGAGGTGAACGGCATCCTCGCTTACCAGGAGGAGAACCTGTCTTGACTTGTTGACAAAGTAGGAAGCCTCCTTGACTGGGGCAGACGTGGAAATTGGGACCACGGCTGCCCCGATCGCCAGCACTGCCAGCACTGCGACGGTGAACTCGTAGCCACCAGCAGCTAAAACGCCGACATAGACCTCATCACCGTCCTTGAGCGCTTTCAGAGTTTCTGAGGGAAGCGACTCCTGCAGAACAGCTCGGAAGGAGAGAGCGTCGGACAGAATGTCCGTGTACGTCTTCTCCACGCCGAGGTCGACATCTCGGACGGCAAGACGGTCCCGGCGAGCATGGCGCAGGAGTTTGCTGAAGAATGGGTTGTTGGAGAGAACATTGGGCCCGAGGTGTGGAGGTACAAGGACTGTGCGATCATGATTGTCGGCGGGAGACTGGGATGGCGGCATCTTGATCGCTCCCGCTCATCTGGAAGGGCATCAGACGTTGTTGCAAGCCCGCCCAACGTACCGCACTTCGTTGATTGACTTGTCGATGTGGCATCCAGTCAGGCAGCATCGCCTCATCGGTGCCATCCACATGGATCAGTCGTGGCAGTTTCATCCTACGTCTCCGAAGACTTGGAGAAAAGGCGGAGTTGGCCCGGGCCGTGACGATCTGTACTCGTACGGGTACATGATGTTGGAGCTCTGCCAGTAAACGAGCTTGTCCCGAAAGTGCGGAGAATGATTAATACCTCAGTGATTTCTACTTCGCCTCGAGGCCGTCCTCGCAGTAGTCATGTTGAAGGAGGCGGCGGCATTGATCAAGAAATGAAGGAGCGACAAAGCAGGATGGGAGGTGATCGGTGCGGCTCGGTCACGTGGTCTGCAATTTCCACTGTTTATGCTTAATTAATCTTACTTTCGTCATGAGGAAAATCTCAGACTCACTTCTCGATCAGCTCCACCAGCTCAACACTTCACACCACGACGATTCTCCCGATTCGACGGCATAAGAACGCGAGACATTGTCACCTTGTCTTACCTCGCAAGAAGGTTTGCCAATTTCTCGGCTGTTGCGTCACGCTAACGTCGGCGTGACCCGTGAAGCTGGGAAAGAGAAATCCGGCTTCATGACGACAAGACCATGATAAATGCCAAGCTACGATGGGGATGCGCATCGTCACGACTTCTTTCTTCGTGTCTACTATGTTGGCGCGTCTCAGCCTTGTGGAACAAGGAGAATTTTGTTGTGTGGAGCTGGGCCAGCCCCCATCCAGGTTCACGATGTCATGCTGGTGCGGATTTCACGATGGCCAAGTGACGAAGGTAAGTGAAGGGGTTTCCTCACTTTCCCAAGGCTTCTACCACTGCCTCTCATCGCATTCACTTGAAATTTGCCTGTGCATTCAACTTTCATTCTCGTCTTTCAAAGCGAAACTCGGCTTCTTTTCCTGCTTGTTACGCGCTTCTAGACGGCGTTCTCGGCCTCGTCTTGCCCAAACCTCCATTACCGGCACAATGCCCCGGAAGTTCCTCGACTCCGTTTCGGCTAATTACCAAGGTCACCGCGTTACATGGAGAGAACGAATATCACACTTCACATGGTCATGGTTCGAATGTACAATGTCGACTGGCGCGATGGCGACCCTCCTCTCTCAGCAACCGTACAGCTTCCACGGCCTGAAAACGATCGGAAAGGTTGTCTTCATTCTTGACCTCGTTTTGTTCGCCACGTTTACCGCACTTATCACACTGCGTTTCTGCCTCAACAGGGGAGCATTGACCAAGTCATTACACCACGGAAATGAGAGTTTCTTCTTCGGCACCTTTTGGGTCAGTCTTGCCCTCATCATCTATTCGATCCAAGCATATGGCGTCCCGTCCTGTGGGCACTGGCTCGTAACAACGCTGGAAGTCCTCTTCTGGTTATACGCTGCCTGCGTCATGCTGGTCTCTATCTTCCAGTATCATGTCATCTTCGATCTCGAGCAATTGCCCGTGCACGAGATGATGCCGGCTTGGATTCTTCCAGTCTATCCGTTTCTCATTCTTGGCCCACTGGCGGGCACCTTACTGTACAGTCAGCCACGGCCGTCCGCTGCATTACCAATTCTGATTGGCGGCATTGCTTTCCAAGGCTTGGGATGGTGCTTTGCTTTCATGCAATACACCTTGTACATCACGAGGCTTACAAGTGGACTATTACCGGATGAACCCAAACGACCGGGTATGTTCGTGGCCGTCGGACCCGCAGCGTACACGTCTCAGGCCCTGATCAATCTCGGCAGCCAAGCCCAGGTCATTCTCCCATCCGACTTTCTCGGTATCACCACTATCCCAGTAGGGGACATATGGAAAGCAGTTGGGGTGGCAGGTGGTTGTTTCCTCTGGCTTGTGGGCTTTTGGTTCTTCGCCATCTCCTTGGTCGGGTTCGTTCATGGCTATAAATACGCGCATTTCACATTGAATTGGTGGGCTCTTATTTTTCCGAATGCTGGACTAACCATAGCCCTGATACACATTGGCAACGTGTTGTCAAGTAATGCAATCAAGGCTGTCTGCTCGGCCATGACAATCCTACTCTGCGTGGTCTGGTTGTGGGTGGCAGCGTTGAACATCAAGGCTGTGTGGCGAGGGCAGATTCTATGGCCACATAAGGATGAGGATATGGAAGATATCGAGGGTCATGAGCAATAAGGAGGGGGACGATTGGTACTTGCTGGGCCTACCCGGAGGTCTAGGAACTCAATGTCTCTGTTAACAGACTTCCTCAACTTCCCAGCCATTCCTACGACTGCCGATCTATTTTTGGCCTCTTCTACCATCGCAACATGAAGCGACACCAAGTCAAAAGATCCAGGAATGACGACACCTGTGCCACTGCTAGATGTTGTGTTCCGCTTCTTTGACACTACTGAACCATTCGGCATCTCATCTTTTCGCCAGCAAAATCTCCACCTTCATGTCTTGCCAACAACTGCAAGAGGCTGTAGAGCTTATCCCAGTGGCCCTCGGATGTTTTGCCGGTCTGATCTGGCGGAGATTGGCTTGTGACACATTTACAGCATGCCCGCTTTCTACCCCACTTCCGGTGGACAAGTTTCCCACCGACATATACCCGCTGAACCTCACCGCTCTGATGTCGATTCTCGCGCATCGAGTTCCTGGTCGCATATCGGCCAGTCAGGTTTGGCGACAAATTAGCCGGTGCGCAAACAGTCGGCATGTTCAGCCGTTGCGATGGAGCCACATATTACACACCTTCCACATTGGGTGTTTGGATATCACACTACTGCTGCATGATTCGGGCGCTACATGAATCTGGAAATCTGGGGAAGCACCATGGGGAAAGCATCTGCGGAGTGGTCCCAGCTTGCTGAGTAGGACAGCTGCGAACGTTATTCGCATACAAAAAGCGCCGCCCAGCCATGATAGTACCTGCGTCCAACCGTGTCGGCACGCACCTTGGTTACAATGCAAGCTTTCTCTTGGTATTTCCTTGGCCTGCATGCCATGTGCGCCATGGCCGCGTTATCTGATTGCGATATTGCGTCCATGCAGCAGTTCGTTACAGGTTATGGGGGCGCAACAGTTACGCTGGCAGAGGTTCTACAGCAGAACGCCACCTTCGGTGGCGGCGAGGCCGATCTTGAGTTTCCCATGAATGACACAGGTCTACCAGCCTTGTGCGTGGTGACGGTCAACATCAAATCATCCAGCACCTCGTCTTACAACTTCGGCCTGTTCCTACCGAACCAGTGGAACAATCGCTTTATAGCCTCGGGAAATGGTGGATATGCAGGTGGGATCAACTGGAACGACATGGGGACGAACTCTCGATACGGATTCGCCTCCATGTCGACAGACACTGGCCACATTTCAGGTTCATTCGACGCAAGCTGGGCACTCAACAACCCCGAATCTCAATTGGACTGGGGTTATCGCGCAATGCACGGCTCTGTGGTTGTTGCAAAGATGATTACCAATGCATACTATGACACAAACATCAGTTACTCCTACTACTCCGGTTGTTCCACAGGTGGTCGACAAGGTTTCAGAGACATTGAGTTGTATCCAGAGGACTTTGACGCCATCTTGGCGGGAGCACCTGCATGGTGGACGACTCATCTTCAACCTGACGCCGTCGCTGTCGGATTATCCAACCTGCCAGCCAATGCTTCGTCGCCTATTCCGACTTCGTTGTTCCCAGTGATCGGAGCAGAGGTCATCCGACAATGCGATCCTCAGGACGGCTTCAAAGATGGCATCGTTTCGGACCCCGAAGGCTGCAACTTCGTGCCAGAAATGCTTCTCTGTACCCCGACCTCGAACCAAAGTGCATGCCTTACTGCACCTCAGATAAACACTCTGTACCACATCTACAATGATTGGTGGGAGGCCAACCAGACGTTTGTTTTTCCGCACTACGAGCTGGGCTCTGAAGCCCAGTACGGCTTCCTTCTGAACAGTAAGTCCGCTGGCTTCGTCAATTGTTACGAGAAGGCCGAGGGCCCTGTATCTTCGCTTCCTGGTTCACTGACCTGTATTTTGCGCGTATAGCCGATTCAGGGACCCCCACCCAGCCTGGAATTGCTTGGATCCAGAACTTTCTCTACAACGACACCACCTGGGATTGGCACGATTTCTCCTACCAAGTGATCCTCGACGCGGACCGAATCAATCCAGGCAAAGCCAACGTCGGCTTCGACCTGACCGGCTTCTACTCCCGTGGGGGCAAGATCATCCAATATCACGGCTTTTCGGACGGTCTGATACCGACTGGAAGCTCGAGGGTTCTCTACAAGAATATCTGGAAAACCATGGGCACTGCAGGTATCGCTCTAGGCGACTGGTATCGTCTATTCTTGATTCCAGGCATGCAACACTGTGCAGGCACAGCCGTGGATGCGCCGTGGTACATCGCCGCGAGTGGGCAACCCTTCGCGCTGGGCCCAGAGGTGTGGAGTGTACCCGGGTATAGTGATCCTAAGCACGATGCTTTAATGGCTCTCTTGGAATGGCGAGAAAAGGGGACGGCGCCCGAGTCGATCATCGCGACCAGGTTCAACAATGACACTATCACGGCCGGAGTACGTCGCCAGCGGCCGATCTGTATGTATCCAATGCAGGCAAAGTACACGGGCGCAGGAGACCCTGATATCGCCGACAACTGGCAATGTCATCTACCGTACTGACCCCGTACGTCGTCTATATCCTTAGCACAGTCTGGATATGCGAATGCGCACGCACAATTATATGCAGATAGTGTGTCGTGATGAACAGAGACAATATCGGCACTTTGCCAATATCATATGCAAGCCTTCCCTTGAACCCTCCTCGATCGCCACGCGCATTGCACGTTGCGGCCTCAAGTGCCGAAATCGTCAAATCCGGCATCCATCACCGACTATCGCAGGCTGGGCGCTGGGCATCATCCCTCCTCGTCTTGGCCTCCAAGCCCCTAGCGATCCTCCGCAACCACACACCCCTCGCCGCCCAAGAAAAGCCAAGCCCTCAAAGCTGCGGACACCAAGACACGGCTGACGGGGTAGAATGCCTTTTGAGAGCCTTACGGCCCAATCATGGTGCCCGCATTCCGCCTCCTCGTAGTGCCGCGGTCTTAACTCCTTGACCAAGACCACCAAGACGTTCCATTGCATCTTCGACTTGCTCTCCCATGGCCAGCGGGTGGGCGAGTCCAACGGCAGAGAGGACGTCATGGGCGTGCAATACCACGAGCCGCGAGCCGATCTGATTGTCCTTTCGCCTTCGCGTGCACGAGATACCCCGGATCTTGGTGGAAATGCTGAACTTGCCGCTCCATGCACGCATACATTTGTGGATTGTGATCCTGGCATGGCGGGGGATGCGACAGTCCACCGGGCACAGTTCACAGATTACGGCCCAGCGTGCTTCCTACATAAGAAGACCGGACCTGCGGGCAACTACAGTACCGCGCTCACGCTTCTCTGGCGTCCTGCTTCCCTGACATCTCTTCTGTGCCTTCCGAGGCCTCTCTGTCGCGGACTCTATCCGACCTGGCCTACCTTACTCTGCCCTACCTACCCTGTACACTAACCATCACGACGTCACCTCTCGCCTGTCGTCTCCTCGCCATTCACTATGTCCTCCCTCCCCCATGACGTCGAGGTCAAGGACGAGGGTCGATTTTCCCACGACAAGGACCAGGAAGTCCGTATCGAACGGTCCGAAAGCCTGGATGGCCTCCCTGACCCGGACGCCGGGAAGAGTGATGAAGAGAGGAAGAAAATTGTGCGTCCTTGCCCTATCTATTCAGCTCGGAATGCTGCGTTCTCGCCTTCCCTGCCCTCCTCTGATACCATTCGCTTTCACGAATTGAGCATGCGCCGACTGACCTCTTCCTTCATTTTCCCAGGACCGCGCCCTCATGTGGAAGGTCGACCGCTGGCTGATCCCCTGGCTGTGTCTGCTGTATTTGCTCTCGTTCCTGGACCGGACGAACATCGGCAACGCCAGACTGGCAGGCATGGAAGACGACCTCGGCATGGCCGGCCATGATTACAACAACACGTTGACTATTTTCTTCGTGGGTTCCCCCTTTTCCTCCCGGCTAAGGATGATGAAGTGGTTGAAGCTCCGGCCGGAGGTGGATGCTGGCGGCGACGAGCCAGACAAGACCCATCTGGGAGTCGTATTCACGCTTCTACGTAACACCCAACTAACACCCCTTCCGCTCTACAGATCTCCTACGCCCTCGCCGAACCAATCACCAACATCCTCCTCAAGCGCCTGACGCCGCGCATCTTCTTCACGGCCATCATCTTCCTCTGGGGCCTGATCATGACCCTGATGGGCCTGGTACAAAACTACAGCGGTCTGCTCGCGTGCCGCTGGTTTTTAGGCCTCGCCGAGGCCGGCCTCTTCCCCGGCGTCAACTACTACCTCTCATGCTGGTACAAGCGCACCGAGCTGGGCATCCGGGCCGCGACATTTTTCTCCGCGGCCGCGCTGGCGGGCTCCTTCGGCGGGCTCCTGGCGGCGGCGATCGCGCAGATGGACGGCATCGGCGGCAAGCCCGGGTGGGCGTGGATCTTCATCATCGAGGGGCTGGCGACCATGTTCGTCGGCGGGTTTTGCTGGTGGATGGTGTTTGACTGGCCTGACACGGCGCGCTTCCTGAGCCCCGACGAGCGCATCCGCGTGCGCCGCCGCCTCGCGGCCGACAAGCAGAGCAGTTCGGCCGAGGAGTACGATCGGCGGCACATTTTCGCGGCGCTGCGCGACTGGAAGACCTGGGGCTACGCGTTCATCTACATGGGGTGTCTGTGTCCGTTGTATGCGTTCTCGCTGTTCTTGCCGACCATCCTGCGCGGGATGGGGTACGCGGGCACGAGGGCCCAGTTGTTGTCCGTCCCGCCCTACGCCGTCGCGGCCGCCATGACGATCTTCATCGGCTGGTTCGCCGACCGCACGCGCTGGCGCGGCTACTGCAACATGGCGGTTGTGAGCTGCGGGATCGTCGGTTTCGTCATGCTCATTTCGACGGCGAGTCCGCGCGTCCAGTATGCCGGCACGTTCTTGGGCGCGGTAGGCATCTATCCGACCATTGCGAATACCTTGTCCTGGGCGGCGAATAACATCGAGGGCGTGTATAAGCGCGGGGTGGTCATCGGGATCGTCGTCGGCTGGGGCAATCTCAATGGCGTGGTGAGTTCAAATATCTACATTACTGGCGAGGCGCCGCGGTTCTGGACGGGCCATGGCGTCGTGCTGGCTTATCAGGTCATTTGTCTGTTGGGAGGCACTATTTTCATGCACGTCATGCTGAGGGTGGAGAATGCGAAGCGCAAGAGCGGCAAGCGGGACCGTATGCACGAGGGAAAGACGCCTGAGCAGGTCTGGGTGGCGGGTGACAACAGGCCGGACTTTATTTACACGTTGTAGCAGGCCGGGCATAGAAAGTAGGGATGCTGGACCGAGGCGATCAGATGTAGATGGATGTGACATCGGAACCGAAGCATCAACTTTCCAGATAGATCATAGATTTATTGTGATCGTGGTGGCTCGGCCAGTCCTGGACCAAGAACACCAACGAGATGCAGAGCAGGAAGAAGAATTGATAGAAGGTGTCAACACATCGCGACATCCTAGCCAACCCGATCCAACCAGCTTGGGCTCGCAGTGGTCATCATTGTCCTATCGAGTTACCCTCGACTACTGTCATCATCTGGGCAATTGAATGACAAATACCCGAATAGAGCACAACAACAGGAAGAGCTTGTGCCTTCGAACACGGCGATGGTATCTGGAGCATTTCCCGTCTCCCCGTCTCCCGTTCACTGTTGCACTGACTCACATATTGGCGCAGCAACGGGTGGCTTGTTGGTACCGCTGGCCTGCAAGGCTTGAATTCTGGCTGTGGTCCGAACGCGCAAACCCAGGCCCAGATAGACATTCTGCTCTGCGAACGCTATGGTAAGTACGCGGGCTGTAATGGTGGGTTATCATCAGATGTCCGTGACGGAACGGACCCTTTTCTGCTATGGCACACAATCTAGGCTATATACCTCTCTTGCGACGCGCACCTTTAGCTACTGTCGGCTTCCACAGCTCTGGATAGATATGCAATGACCTACCAATGAGGTTGACAGTCTCCCAGACACTGCTTGATTGGTATGGTTTGGCCCATAACCGGACGGTCATGGAGCTCGAGCGAGTCTTTTCCTGCAGTATCTGCTTGCAGCTCACTTTGTATTCGGTTTCCGCCACCAGTTGCACAACATACTCCAAGACTCGATGTTCGGAGGCGGTAAGAGGCGGATTCGGCTCACCCGTTGTAACCTCTTGGAGCCATTTCGCCAGCAGGAGTGCGCATTCTAGAGAGCACAGGGCATGCTGATTTGACCAATGTATCAATTGCGTCTGGGCAACATAGTCGATGCCCAGCTTAACCGGGATACTAGGGCATGAGCACAATGGAGAGCAGCTCTTGTAAGCTTTTTGTTCCGTTCGGCTTTCGCACTCTGATGCAACGAGTGGGCGACAACATACGGATCCCAGCTTCTCAATCATCTTACCGGCCCAAAATCCATGTTGAGACGGATATGCGCTAATCGTAAAAGAGCCGAGAAGTCGTTTGCGAAGACAGGAGCGAATGAGCCGAGTTCGCTGGGCATTCCATTGGAAAAGCCAGAAACGAGATCAGGGAAAGAGTCGCCGGTGTCGGTGCTTGTCATGTCTGCTCCTACCCCAGGAGCAAGTTGTGAAGGAGTCGCAACATCGTCGAAAATATTATCGACTAGTCACTGGCACTCGCTTCAAGGGAGGCTCGAGGGATCGGTCTCGTACGTGTGCTCTTGAATACTGGTTGCTGTCAATGCTGGTCGTATCACAGCTTCGGCGTCGGTCCATAACTCATAAACATCGTCGCTTCTGGAGCTGCCCTGATCCAGGTCGGCATTGAACTCGCCTGCTCGTCCATCGCCCTTAGGTCCATGATGGTGCAATCGGAAGTGTCGTGTCAAAAGGTCTCTTGCCAATCAGTAAGCGACTTTGTGGTCACCCTTGCGCGCCGCACGCCACATACAGTACTTGCGTGTGAAAGCTCTGGTACACAGAAGCCAGCGATAAGGCTTCTCTTTAGTATCTGCCGGTCATTTCAGCCTGTCGCTGTCATTTGATCCATCCCGATCACCTACATCCGTCAGGCTGCAGCAACTCTAGGCGACCTTGGTGGACAGGCTGGCAAGTTAGGTAATTGGTTACTACGGGATGACACTGGCGCTAATGACAACTACAGTGACTGGTGACACATGATCCGCGTAAGGTTCGCATGAAGCGTTGGCTCGAGGCGACAATAACATCCCACTTGAGCACGCAGTTCAATATGTGGTTTACCAATCTCACTGCAACCAACTTTAAAACTCCGTTACTCGCTGTCGCTATCGATCGACAGAACTTCTGTTGCCGTATCGTCTTCAAGTACAGCGGGGATCCTACTATCGGGCTCAAGGTCGATATGCCGAATTTCACCTTCTCTCACAATCCGCCTGCAGATCGGGCAGCAATTCCCATTTGTGCTATCCCTCAGCCATCGAAGTAGGCACGGTCACGGAAGCGATAAATTCGGTCTCTGAGGCATTCTCTTTCCTCTTCCTAATCCACGTGATGGCGAACATACAGTTGTCTCTCTACCTGAGGACGATCATCGCGCCGGTACCACTCTTTTGCATCCAGCATCAGGTTCTCTCCGTCATTGTTGACTCGGGCGTACTGGTCGTCCTCGGTCAGGCGTCGCAAGAATATGTCTATATGGATACCGTAAAGGCTTGGAGGCGGCAGCTGCCTAGAACATTTTAGGTACGCCAAGTACGTATCCGCCGCCTAGGGTGTAATCTTAAGTGTTGTTAATAGTCCTCGATTGGCGACAGAGAAAGGCTGACGACCTTTAGGAGATCGCTCTGATGTTGTCCGCTCACATTCGGCAAAACGGGCTGGAGATGGAGCAAGTAAGCCTGAAACTTTATCCGTATCCATTGACCATGCGAAGATAGTATGGTTGTCGTCATTTGTGGATAATCTCTTCTTGAAGTCGTATGAAAGCTTTCTCTCGCTCCCCATATAAGAGTGGTATATTGATATCGAGTAGTCCCATTGAACTGGGGCGAGGCTTCATTGCCAAACGGGTAGGCCTCTCGTGTGGCGGCTGGCAGTGCCTCTCAAACCATACCACACACTACATCTTGAAGGAACGGCGTAAAGGTCTTGAGTAGAGTGTCTGTATTGCATGTGTTGCTGTCTGGCTTGTTGGGTTGTCTATGTGCTATCCGCAAAGTAAGTAAAAGAAGGAAAAGAAGCGCAGCCTTGCGCTAGAGTGTCAGCCAATCAGAACGCTCGGTTGTTACTCTGGACATTGTCCAGAGAAGTGGCAGCCTTGCCAACCCCTGGCCTCTCTCTCAGCCCCATCACACCATCAGACAGTATGCGATATCTCCGACACGGATCGTGAGGCGTTATACTACCCACGACATCTTTTACATAGAATATTTATGTATATTCCCGGTCTCCAAAGCTCCAGGGTCGATACCTGTAATTTAAGAAATCTCAGCCGACAAGCCTATTTTATCACCGAGGAGACGCTAATTTCGATTATGAAACCGAACAACAGACAGCACGATGAGCTCTTGCGACGTCCAACCTCGAGAAAACGACTTGCCGCGACGGAATGACTCTGCGCCTTGTTCTAGCTCCACATATTCCAGGTAGACGTAGCATAATTTTGCCCTTTTGTACCAGCTGTACATGGAGTTAATCGCTTCGGTCAATTCAGCACTATTTTTTCGGTCGATGCAGCATGTGTCTACCCAGAAATATCATAGGAGGTTTTGCTAGGCTTACTGCCCACAGAATTGGATCTTAGCATGTCCAGGCTTATTCTTGCCGGATCAATCTTTCAGATCGTCGAAAGCAACTCTTCATCGTCTGCAGGTATGTGAAAGTATCGCAGAGTCCCGGATTGGATCGGCCAAATCCTTCGGCTGGCTTAGCTCATCAAGAATACCGGATTCGAGGAGGCGCATCTTGTTCATATTGGTCCGGGTTACGTGGATTAGGTGGCAGAAGGTAGACCCAGTGAGGTGGCTCTAGTGGTTGAGGTAGGTTCGAGGTTTGGCTGCTGGCGCGGATGGACTGTTCTCGTGACTCCGAAACTCAGATACTTGGTTGAAGGAGTTGCGGACAATTATGTCCGCATCGACAGAACTGTCCATATGAACGTAAGAACGCATGCCGGAAAATTCCTCGACCAGGCTGAGGTGCGCCTTACAGAGTCAGTCGAGCAGACAAAGGCACGGCTGCATCGGCCGAACAGCCAATTATCTCACACGTGACCAGATTGGCTGGCTTGCTGGAAGGCGCCCAAAAAGGGGACCCGGCCATCGAGCGACTAAAAATAGCTGGCCCACTCCTGGGCTCACATTTGATCTACGCTCGTATGTCAATTCCGCACATTTGTTCAACAAGCTGGTGCGTCTTGGACAGGCGAGACACTGTTCCATCCAGAGCCAATTGCAATACTGGGAGAGGCGTTGGAGTAAACTTGATCCCTTTACCCCTCTACTCAGAACTCATTGATTCATCTCTTGTTTGCAATATTTTATCCAAGGGGTCATCTTCCCAGCTGCAGTCTTGTTAAGAGTCGAAAGACATAACTATCCGAGCGTACCCGGTAATATATAGCGAGTGCCGAGGTCAAATGCCGGAAGATAGCTTCTACCCCGCGCGAGGGCGGTTCAAAACTACCCCCCTCTCGGCGAGTTTAGTGATTTTATTCTTTCCTTTGAAGATATACAACTGCTACCGTTTCCCCATGACCACCAAAGAAGTCCGACTACCAGACGAGGGAGGCCCCCTACGGGGCCTCAACTCCGCCCGCTCGACTTTGCGACTGGAGCAGATTGCCAGGCTTCGTGCACGCGGCATCGGAGATCACATCGGGTTACCGCAGTTAGTGGTTTGTGGGGATCAGTCCGCTGGAAAAAGCTCTGTGCTGGAAGGCGTGACAAGCATCCCCTTTCCGAGGCAAGACGGTTTATGCACCAGGTTCCCTACTGAGATTCTACTTGAGCACTCGTCTGGGGATGAAACCATCAATGCGTCCATTATACCATCGCCAAATCGAACAGATGACGAGAGACGAAGACTTGCCAGCTTCCACCGCCGCCTCCCATCCTTCGAAGATCTGCCCATGGTGATCGAGGAAGTCAGTCGGCTGATGGGAATCAGAGGAGCGCATAGCAAAGTCGGACCAGCATTTGGGTCCGACGTGCTTCGCATTGAGGTCCGAGGACCCGTCGGCTTGCATCTCAGTATTGTCGATCTTCCAGGCTTGATCTCCGTCCCGAATGAGGAGCAGACCGATGATGACGTGCAGACCGTCCACAGACTTGTGGATGACTACATATCCGACCCTCGGACCATTATCCTAGCAGTGGTGCAGGCTGGAAATGATATCGCCAATCAAAGTATTATCAAGAAATCCAGTCAGTTTGACAAGGACGGAGAAAGGACTGTGGGCATCATCACAAAACCAGATCTGATCAACCAAGGATCGGAGAGGCGTATTGCGCTGTTGGCACTGAATAAAGACAGCACGAAGCTCAAGCTAGGATTTTTCTTGGTGAAAAACCCGGCCCCAAATGAGCTGACGAAAGGTATCACACCTGAGCAGAGGCAAAAGGCCGAGATCCAGTACTTTCACTCCCCTCCATGGAAAGAGCAGTCACTCGATCCTGAACGACTCGGTATTGTTGCATTACGAAAATATCTTCAGCAGCTTCTGGATCGCCACATCGAGAAAGAATTACCCAAAGTGCGAAACGATGTGCGCAAATTACTGGACAAAACCGAATCTAATCTCGCAACTATGGGCGAGGAGCGCGACAGTCCTTCCAAGATGCGAATGTTACTGACCCGATTAGCTATGGCATTCCACCAGCTGGTTACGTCGACATTGAATGGGACTTATGACGATATCGACGTGACCTTCTTCGCCCCAGACAACGAACGCATGTCCCGCCGTCTACGGGCTACTGTTCAGAACCTGAACACGGAGTTTGCGGATGCGATGAGGGAGCGTGGGGCGAAACGGCGAATCACCACCGCTTCAGAGGATTCGCCACATGACTCTGAATCAAACGAGAGTCACAATGGTCAGATGCTGGTGACTGAGACGGAGATGAAAAGCTGGATTCGCCAGGTCTGTTTCCTTCGGCTAAAGTTCCTTGAACCTAACGCTCACCATCTCCAGGTGTACCAAATCAGTCGTGGCAAAGAACTTCCTGGGACGTACAATTACGTTCTTCTTGCAGAGTTGTTTCACGAGCAATCTTCCCAATGGATAAATATCGCCCAAGACCATCTGCACAACATTGGGAATATCGTCCGCGATTTTGTGGAGGCCGTGATCTACCACACCAGCCCTGATACCAACGTCTCGGGCGAGATCATGGAATTGGTCAGAACAAATCTACAGGAAAATATGAACGGCGCCACAAAAGAGCTCCGCAAATTGTGGCAGGATGAACAGCATCACCCAGTCACGTACAATCATTATTTCACCGACAACATCCAGAAAGCTCGGGAACAGGGTACTAGGGACGTTGTCAAACGAGCCGTGGTCGAGACCAGAGATCAAGATTGGCATGGAAGGATGCACATCAGCAACGTCCAGATGGACTTGGATCGGTTCTTAGCTGCTTTGCAGGACCGGGTTCAGGTAAATATGACCGAGCAGGCATGTGCTGAGGCCCTGTCAGGACTTCAAGCTTACTACAAGGTATGACTTACGCTTTGAAATAACCAAGATCTGACCTGGTTTAGGTGGCCATGAAAACGTTCGTCGACAACGTTTGTAGGCAAGTCGTGGAGCGCCACATCACTCGCCCCTTACCATCCATTTTTTCTGCCGAGAAAGTAGCCGCACTTTCGGATGAAGAATTGGTCAGGATTGCTGGTGAGACGTCTGAGAGGGTAGCGAAGAGAAAGCAACTGCAAGAACTGCGGCAAAACTTGGAGTCAAGTCTTGGAGATCTACGCCGCAATACTACGACCCCACAAGCTTGGTCGCGATAGGAGGACCTGCTCGAAGAGTGGGAGGGGTGTTGAGAGTACTGGGTCTCGTCCTTTTGTCTCTGCTCAGGTGTTACACCTTTCGTCAGCTCGTTGAAGGCTGGGGCTTTTACCAACAAAATCCCCAACCGGAGCTTGGAATTGTATCCTTTCAACAAGGACTGTTCTCCATACTGCTACCACAATGCATAAGTCTTCACCTTCAAACCTCAAGCATGCCAACGACAAATGGCTTTAAAACGGCCTTTCAAGGACCAGCGTGAGCCGATACTAGGCTCACCATAGGCACTGATTGACTCACCACGTCCCATTCCCTCAGCCAGGCTCTGGGATTAAGATATATATTCTGCTTAGTGGTAGCTATGCAGCGCTATAGGTACACGAATTTCCCAAAGTTTGCTTCCAGACAAAGGAGCCTTTCTAATGGGGGTTGCTTGGTGCCTTCTTCACGTAGTTGCAGGGTCATATTCATCACTGTCCCGTATCTGTGTACCTCTCATAGGCGTAAGTGGAGGGACGGCGTGAGTAGAGGGAGTGGCCCAGTGCAGACTCGGGCCAAGTGTGTACTTTGCCTACTTGGCTTAAGTCAGACCACCGTGTAATGCAACAACCGCGTACTGCAACAGCCCCGCATTTACACGTCATATATGATCGCCGTCGTAACTATTTAAAGATCGGCGCCAGCGACGTTGTAAATATGAAAGACGTTACAGAGGCTTATGAACTCGGTCTGTTAGCACCTCTTAGAGGTTAAACGGGCCTCTTTATCTCTATCGATCCTCTTCTACTCCTCTTAGCGCGCGATAGCACGGTCTTACGCCTTTTTTATCTTAACGATTAAAGCAAAGGACTTATTCGAGTTAATGTTAACTCGTGTACGCTTAGTAATGGTCTTTTAAGTAACTTAAACCGATAATTACTAAATTTAGAGGGTTTATTACGCTGATTATAATAAAAGCTAGTTAATCTTATTAGCAGCTTTATATATAAATAACCGAGTGCCTTTTTAAGCTGTAATATCCGAGATAAGGCCGATCGCTTATACTTATAAATAACGCTCGTTACGCGGCGTTACTATATAAACCTCTTTAAATAGTTTACGCTTATAAGATCGTAGTATTTATAGTGCTATAATAAGGGTTTTAAGGGTTTATACTAGCTATAATAATTAAAGGACTTTATAAGGGTTATATAAGTATAGACTAGTACCTTTCTATTTACCTTTTATATATTAAGGCGTTAGAGTTATCGCTTTAGCTATCTTATAAAATTCGATAAACTTAAGGCGTTATACGAGTGTAGTTTTAACGAATCTTAAAATATTAGTAATACTTTTATAATAGTTGCTTTTAAGGACTAAAAAAACACTAATATTAAGAGGTTAAAGGATATACGATAAGTATAAAGGTATATAAAGTAGCTAAATATTATAAGTAAAGCACTTAAATATAAATATAATAGTAATATAAGAGTTATAGTTATTATAAAGTGTTAAGAATTGCCTCCGCGCAGCGTGTATGAGGACACGTGAGCACACAGGTAACCCTCGGGGTTCTTGAGTATCGGGGGTAGAGCAGAGGTCAATGTCGAACAGATCGTCAGACGGGACACAGCACTTGTACTGTATCTCCTTGAGCGTAATGTTAACTGAAGTTGACTATACCTCCTATAGAAGTGTATCTAGCTGTGACTATATACACAGGTAGTTTTCCTATCTAGGAAAGTCTGGGCGTTGTATAGTTGCCTCCGTTGCGGCCCCATGCTCTGTAACGATGCAACATATGCAACGGCTTATTTCCTTTTTAGGGTATCACGTAACCCGAGTCAGCCTTACCAGCGAGGCTAACTTCCTCGCTTGACCTTCCCTTCTGTGCCAGGCCCGGCAGGCCGCATGAAGGCCGGTTCGTAACACTCTCCCCTCCTTAGCCTGTTCGTTGTCCGTAACGTACTTAAGGTAGGCTACAGCCCTCCTCTGTTATTGTCTATTATCTCCTCTTCTCTTATAGCTAACCATATAGGCCTTTAGGGTGTATAAGTCGAACCCTAAACCTCCTAAGTCTTCTAAACCTATCGTTCCCTAGCAGCAGCGTTAAAATGAGATCGCTAATTATATCGAATTTATTAAAAAGACCGAAGCTATAGTATCTTATACCGAGTATATAAACTATAATGAAGTGTGTTTCTACTTAAGGGAGTAGAGTGTAAAGTACGCGGCGTGTCTTCGGCATTAGAGAGAGTATAACGGAACATTTTCCGTGGAGGAACTCCGGAAGATAGGAGAGCAAAAGAAACAACTATCGGCCAAGTCAAGGGCCAAGAGGCGCGAGATCGCGCGTCTTCGAAAAACATTAGTGGATGCCCGCCGATCCCTAGCGGCGTTGGAGTGTGAGATGGCCGAGGTAGAGGAGGAAGACTCCTCCTTACAGGACTCCATTACGAAGCTAGACGAGGTGTCTAGTAATATATTAAAACGAGAGATAATAGCGCTAAGTGCCTTTAATAAGGCACTAGCCCGGGCTAAGGTGGCTCTAGCCGAGCTCAACTTCGTCTAGCAGGATACGCCCCTAACCGAGTCAGTCGACTGGAATGAGATCCTAAATTTCGAAGGTAGCAGCTAGCCAGCGGCTGGCTAGCTTCTCATACCCCTATTCTGGTAGTATTGTTTAATGAGGTCCGTAGGTAGGTTTTCCTTAGGTTCCCACGTATTTTCACTATCCTTATACCCTAACCATTTAATTAGGTATTATTATCGGCGTTTAGTTCCTCAGTGGTCCACGATTCGTTCCACGTCGTACAGTGGCTCTTATGTTTCCTCGTGGATTAGGACTGGTCCTGGCGTAGCGTTTTAGGGTGCTTTTTTAAGTAGTGATTTGTAGAATACTGGGTAGATATTTATACCCGCTAGCAATTCTATCTTAAATATTACTAGTCCCAGTTTCTTTTTAATTTTATATAGTCCGATCTTAGTATAATCCAGCTTATTACTTAGTCTTTATATTTTAATGTTTTTTCGTAGGATATAGACTTTCTCCCCTTCCTGAAAATCTGGTCCCTTAGATCTTTTCTTGTTCGCGTGTTTTATTACTTTTTATAATATTTTATGTAGTTCTAATTTCATCATTTTATACAGTAATTATAACTTCTCAACCGAGATTTTCGCTTTTTCCGCTATTAGTTGTAGTCCTCTTACGTCTTTTTCAATGTTTAGGTGTTTTCCGTAGTTTACGTAGAATGGTAATATTCCCGTTATAGTCTTTAAGTTGTTATATACGAACTATACGATTAGTAGCAGTTCCACTTAATTGTTTTATTAATAGTTGACGTAGCAACGTAGGTACTGTTTAAGTGTTTAGTTAATCCGTTCTATTTATCCGTCTATCTGTAGATAATATGCCGTGGATAGTTTTTAGTGTGTTCCCGTTAGATCTATTAGTGATTGCTAAAACTGCGACGTGAATAGCTTGTCCCTGTCGGATATAATTTCCTTTAGTGTTCCGTGTTGCGCAACGATTGTCTTCGTGAAAGCGTATACTAGTTCCTCTACTATGCTTGATTCCTTCTAGGGTATGAAGTGAGCGTATTTTGTAAGTGTATCCGTGATTACGATAATACTATCGTAGTCCGTCCTTATAAGTGGCTCTTTAGACTATAGTAGTTTAACGATAAAGTCTAGTGCGATTCGGGCCTATAACTCGTCCTTAAGTTCTGCTGTTTATAGTAGCCCGTATAGCCTATATCGTGCATATTTCGCTTTTACATATATATCGCATTCCCTAATGTGCTCTTCGACATCTTTCCTTAGTCCCCTCTAGGTGAAGTCCCTCGTGACTAGTTTAATAGTCTTATTCACCCCTAGATATCCTGCTGACTTATCCTCGTGTCGTCCTTTAATGATTTCTTTCTTTTATTTATTAATAAGCTCGACGTCCATAATTACCAGCGTATCCGTAAGTAATGTTCGGTATATGAGTTAGTTATCTTCCCACTTAAGGATAGCGGCCGGTTTTAGGTGTAAGTTTTCCTTATAGTCTAGTCTTCTGCTTAGGGCGTCTGCCCTTCCATTCTCTGTCCCGCGCATATAGTTTATCTTAAACCAGTATACCGAGAGCGTTTCGGCCCATCGTACCTATCGTCTAGTTAACTGCTTCGTGGTCGTCCAGTATAGTAAGTTTTTATGGTCCGAGTAAATCTGTACAGGGTACTTAGGTCCTTTAAGGTAAACTCTCTATTCGCGTAGTGCTTCGACTATCACTAGTAGTTCTTTATCGTATATATCGTAATTTGTTTCTAGTCTAGTCATCTTTCTAGAGTAGTATGCGATCGGTCTCGCTTGTCCGTCGTCATCCTTTTACATAAGGTAGGCTTCGATGGTATAGTCCGATGCATCTATTTTAAGTATAACTTCTTTATTTAGATCGAAGATTATTAAGATAAGTGCTAATATAAGTCGGTCCTTAATGTCCTTAAAAGCTCTCCTATAATCTTAGTTAAAGTTATACGTAGTATCCTTCTTTATTAGTACTGATAAAGGTGCTACTATCTTTAAGAAGTCTTTAATAAACTTTCGGTAGTAGTTCATAAATCTAAGTACTGCTTATACTTCTTTAACGTTAGTTAGTTCGAGCCAGTCTCGTACTACCTCGACCTTCTTTAAGTCTAGTTATAGTCCCCTAGTTAATACTATATAGCCTAGGAAAGCTATACTATCTTTATAGAACTCGCATTTACTGAGTTTAATCGGGAGCTATTTCTCCTATAATCGTCGTAGTACCTTTTATACATATTCCACATATTCTTTATACGTTTTCGAGAAGATTAGGACGTTGTCGAGGTATATTACCACGAAGTCGTCTAAGAAGTCCTTTAACGTGTCGTTAATCAAGCTTTAAAATAAGGCGGGGGCATTAGTTAGTCTAAAAGGCATTACCTAATACTCCTAGAGTCCCCATCTAGTTTTGAAAGCCGTTTTCCATTCCTCTCCTTTCTTTATTCGTACTCGGTAG